AGGATTTGACTTTATGAGGTAATAGTAAACTATTTTCGTACGCCAGTATGCGTTGGGATCGACTATGCTTCAAGGGGAGCATGGGAGTGTTGTGGCTAATGCAGGATGGAGCGGTGAATACGTATCGTCACAGGGAAGGCACTGAGAGGGCGCACTTCGCCATCTGTCCGCGTCATCGCGAACTGGACGAAACTTTGTCTACAGGAAAGTCAATGAGAGACCGTAATTGAGCTCCAAAGAGATCGCGAAAGGTTTTGTTTCTTTCGTGACAGACTCTGTTTGAACGTGGTTTAAGCGTAGGTGACTAGCTCATACGAATAATGAATTGATAATACCTTATAAATTATAGACACTGCTTACTGATGACTACTTGGTTTGACGCACTTAGTTGTTATTAGCATTATGGCTTCACTTTAGAATGACTAATTCTCTATCATAGATGATGGTAGAATAAAGTTCTTGTGTGTTGTAGGCGGCTTGCTAGGCGTGCGGCTGAACTTCTTAATTGCAAGTTCTAACTGATGCCTGATTGGTACGGTGCGCGGTTACAGATGAGTAAGCAATCGGCAACAAGACAACAGTGTCTGCTTGTCACCGATATTACAATGTACAGGCAGGTAAAGGTTCATAAGGATGACTGGGATCGTCAGAGAACCCTGTGGATATACAAACATCAAACAGAACTCTCTTATCGATTAACAACAGCTACCTATGGAATAAGGGTTACCCCGTTTTTAGCAGTCAGAACATTGCTACAATTAGTCGAGGATGAAGGAAATAGGTACCTTATATAGTAAGTAGGTACCTTAAATAGTACCCTCTTGCTGTGTCCTCCAACATTCTAGGAAGATATGTCGACGATATATTCGGGAGTGTAAACACGTTAAAACAATTAAACAAGATCGCATTCCAATTCAAGGACCTCGGCATGGCGGGCAAAACGGTATGCAAAACACCAAGATCTACATGACTTTTGTAATGCATCTCAATTAGCAATATCTCCCGTCTTATACATAGCCGTTCACGACTCGAATAGCACTATGACTATACTGATATGTTCCAAGATTAAATTGGTACCCATCAAGAGAATCACAATGCCAATATTAGAGTTAACCACTACTTCTTTCGAAACTAACATATTACATGCTAGCCACCGTAAGGATGGACGTCGAGGCACCCATATTTGGATAGATATGTCCATGGAACATCCCAGTAGATTGCGCCTCACGAGGCATTAATGCATCACAGCTCTAAGAACAACCATTGTAGTGGACCCGACCACCATGAATTAAATCGCCTGAATCATGGCCACGCTAGCCAACGCTGAACGACAGCCAATGTCAACAAGAGGCACGACCCGATATTCAATACTAAAAAGGCTGCTGAGAACGACTGCCCTCTGCCTCGCGTTCATCGTACGGTTAAAAAAAACCAACAAATATCACCCACGTTCCAGATAATCACAGATACCTTCGAAAGGGCAAGGATCTACTGGATAAAGGCGACCCAAACGGCATACTTATTACACGAATTAAAGGATCTACACTCCGATGTTCAATTACCAAAAACTCATGCATGTAGTTGTCTAACTGTATATGTCAATAATCAAGGAATAATTAGAGGTGGCGGAAGACTCAACAGAGCCTCGATCACCCAGGATCACAAGCACCCGGTTATTCTCACTCGACATTCATGCTTCACGAATTTCATCATTGATCATGCACACCAACGAAATCTCTACGGAGGCACACAAATCAGGTTGGAATACATTCGCCAACAATATTGGATTCTTGGTGGGAGATTCCCTGTAAAAGCACACATACTGCGCTGCGTTGTGTGCCCTCAGAAAAGGGGAATCTATGCAAATGAATTAATGGGCCAATTGTTGACCTGCTTCTAAAGTGACGCCATCACGACCATTTACTCACACTGGAGTTGACTATGCAGCTCCCATAATCATGAAAATCCAGAGGGAGCGAGGTGCAAAAACTTATAAAGCCTGGATTTGTGTTTTGGCGTGTTTAGCCACATCAGCGGTACACCTCGAAGCAGTTTCCGACTATACAACTGACGGTTTCATTTCCGCATACAGACAATTCACTACTCGCCGAGGAATCGTAAAAACATTATACTTAGTCTGTGGTACGACCTTCATTGGGGTTGATGCCGTCCTAAAAAGAGTGTTCATTCAAGGTACCCATGAACAGCAACAAATCGGAAGTATTATGGAGCAAGATAATACTTATTGGGAATTCAATCCACCCGCAATGCGCCACATGGGAGACAAGTGGGAAGCTGTGGTAAAATCAGTAAAATACCGCCTAAGATGCACCATTAAAGAAACTTTACTCACTTTTGAAGAGCTCATTACGTTACTTACTCAAATCGAAGCATTTCGCAATTCAAGGCTCTTAGAGCCAATGAGTAACGACCCTGAAGATATTGCAGCACTTACACCAGGACATTTCCTTATAGGGAGCTCGCTCACAACTCTTCCAGAACCGACTGTCAAAGAACTATTAATCTCAGGATTATCTCGTTGGCAATTTTTACTGCAAGAGTACTCATTACCAATGAACGCTTCCCTCCTTGCAAGTGGCCCCTCGCATAAGTAATCGACATGCATCCCGGTAAGGGTGGACTGACCAGAGTGTGACATTAAAAACGGCTTCTATCACCATGGTGAGACCAATACACAAACTTGAAGTGATACCAATCCCTGAGGATAAAAAATAATCATCAACAAAATTGATGATGGCAGGCAGTATGTTCGGAATTGGAGCATTTTTTCGAGGCCTTCGGTTCTTGGAAATTCACCAAGCCTTCTACAAAAGCATTATGATAAATACAAAAGCATTTTGTTATTTCACATTCATTTTTCATAGAAGCTTTTGCACTAAATTTTTTCCTCATTATTTTTAAAAAGAATGTATTTAAAAAAATAATTTTTATATATAAATACTCTAATAAGTATAATACTAATTATTATTTTATTGAACTAATTATTACTTCATTATATTAGTTATTATTTCATTATATTAATTATTATACTTATATTGCTTAAAATAAAAACAATAATAATATTAATTTGTTATTTATATTGATTTAATCTATTGAATCTTTGTTTATTTCGATAAATACGTTAATAATCCTATTCACTTTATACAAAAAAAATTAATTAAATTAAAATAATAAAAATTAAAACAAAAGTTTTAGAATATTTAAAATTGATAAAATTATAATAAAACTATTTTATATACTATTTATAAAACGATATATATAATCGATAAAATTATTTTTGTATATAATTAGTGTAAATTTAGATTGATAATGAATTTTTTATGGAAAATATTTTATATAATAGTTATAGTATATAAATAAAATATCAGTATTTAATTCTATTAAATAATAAGAGTGAAAATAAATGAAAATTGAATGCATTCTTTTAGATTGCTTGTATTTATAAAAGTAAAGATATACATATTTTGTGAAAAAATAAGATCTGGATTAGTTGGCACAATATTTTTATGAAAATAAATATAATTATTTTTGTAGTTAAATGGATGAATATTTAAATATGAAACCAATATATATAATTTTAAATTACATTGCAATACATTGTAATACAATTTATATAAATTTATTATATTTATTTGTAAAATTATTATAATTAAACTAACATTCACTTTTATATTTCATTTATTTTACGAACCATTGAAGAATTTATTCATTTATTTTTTATTTAAAATTTGTTATAATTCCAATAATTATAGTAACTTTAGTTTGTAAACAGTTTGTAAACAACTATCACGAATAAAACGTGAAGACGATTTAAAAATGAAAGTGCTTATAATAATTGGTAGTTCGATGGTGGCAGCAAAAAGACAAGATTCTAGCTCAATTTCTAATAAATAAATCCAGGTTCGATTTATTTGAGTTTTCGTCCTTAAAATTATCATTTAAGTTTTTATTTACATTTAAATTATTAATATAAATAACGATAACAATAAAAATTTAAGAATTAAGTGTTTAATAATAATTTAAAATAATGATATTTTAAAATATATTTTTCAATATTTAACTATTGATAAAATGAATAAAAATAAAAAATTGTATGTTTATATTTGGGAAAAGAAGTAGGTTATTAAAATTTATTATTTTTTACTAGAAGTTCATATTTTTAGTTAAGTAAAATATTAAATATTAATAATATTTAATGTTTATATATTATGGAATGATTTTCCAAAAATAAATGATCATGGTAATATATAAAGTATATATATATATATATAAAGACCAAAAAGAAATCAAGTAATTAATGAAAATATGAAAAATAAAATAAAAATTATAAATAATAAAATAATAATGATTCTAAGTTCAAATTTACGAGTTTTGGTATTTTCTAATTAATACTTGACTAAAAATTTATTAAAGCTCGTTAATAAGTAGTTTGTAAAAATAATAAATTACTTATTTTAAATAGTTTTATTTTTTACTTAAGCTTTTGTAATTAATATTTAGGCTTTCAATGAATATTCGATTGCGACTGTTCAGAAATTCCGGTGCTATTAAAAAAATTAGTATTTCCATAATTACGACAGAATCACATGATGATTGACATGCATTCTTGCATTTGATTGTTTACTTTCTTCTTTATATTTTTACAAACGTTTTTGTAGCATAAACATTTAGGAACGTTGGTTTAAGTCAGCTGCAAATTATATGCACTGCTAATATACAGTAGAGATAGAGCTAACAATTATATAATTATATATATGAGGAAAGAGAGAAATATTGGAACAGCCCTCGTAAAGTGATAAGGAAAAGTGGTTGATATACGGTTTCATGGACACGCTAGAATCACGTGTTTATCAGCAGGCATCCACGTGCTCAATGCGGTTCTCTTTCTCTCCTTCTCTCTTTTTTACTTGATTATACTTACATTATCCCTACTCCTCTTTTTTCTTTTCATTCGATGCGCACGCGCGCCACAACTATATCTTGCAGCTCCGTTTATTCTTCTCCCCCTCTTCACAAGCCTATAGTTACACCCAAATAAGAATCAACGTTGTACTGCATACGCATTTAACACACTTATTGATAGGGCTGAGTTTTGGGATAGCAAAAAAGAAGAAAAGAGCCACTGCATCTCTGAAATAAGTAAATGTTATACAGTATTGAGAGACGGACATGCTTTAGCTGTAACACCCTTGACTTCTTTCTTCTCCGCGGTGAGCGTCACCAACCTCCATTTTCTTAAATTTATCGATGCTTTCATTTCAAAAAGTTTAGTCGTTTTAAGTTCAGTTATATTATTGATATTTTTGACAAGAATTTTATTTTTGTATAAAAATTTGACGTTTACAGCTGTAACTATGTAATTAGAACATAATTGTAACGTATAAGTATGTATATACATGAAATGATATGACGCACGTACTTTCGTAAAATAAAAATAGACAAAAAGAAGATAATTTCATAAAATTTATGCAACCATGCGAAACCCTTTATAATGAATGTACCGTATAGTAGGTTTTATAACATTAACATTAACACATTAGTTAATGAATTATATGTCCCGTAAGGAAGTTTACAAATTAAATTTACAAATTCATGCTGTCATCTTTTATTATTCTTGTGTTATATAAATGTGTTATTTATAGCAGTGATAAGCAAGTCTGCTTGATATAAATCAAGAATTTTTTAAAGTACTGAAAATGTAAATAATAACGGGTTTAATTAATTAATCGTAATATTTAACATTAATCATTTTTATTTTTATTTATAATTTTTTTTGTGGGCAAATTGAAAAGGGTAGAGTAAGGAATATAATATAATAGAAATGTTAGTTGTAAAGGTGCATTCACATTAGTTTACTAAATATCAAAAACTATATTGTTTATCACTTTATCGGACATTTAAATATAATTTATAATTTTAAACTTTTTTTATTATTTTTGCGTTTTAATTTTTATAAAAGTTAATATTTTATCATGATTATAATATTTGTAATATGTATGCATCTGTCTTTGAAAATATCTGCTAAATATGATTTAATCGATTAATTATGTTATTGTTAAGACACCTTATTAATTAATCTTGAAAATCTTAAAATATTAGTTGTAAAAGGCGTTACATAAATATTCGTATACTTATTATTACATATTATATTATTACATATTAGACATGATTTTTTTTAGATAAATTAAATTGTCTAATTTTTTATTTCTGTTTTGCAACCCTACATTTTTTTATTTCAGATGCGCGCTGCTGTAATCAATTGATTTGTTGGACATACTAAGTGGTAACGCGTAATTCTAATTGGAAACGAATAGTGCTTATTTATAAAACTCATTATAGTTAGGGTTGGTAAACATTTTTTATTTAAAATTTTAACTATAAAATATGTAATTGTTTTTATTATTTTTACTTCTACAATTATTGATTATCGCTTTCAATTTGCTGAAAATTCTGTTAAGCATTTTTGTAATCAATTAACGTAATTTTTTATAAATTCATTTAATCATTTAAATAAATTTATCATTTATAAAGGTAGTGAATTATAACATAATTTGCTAAAGAATCTGTTTATTTAAACATTATGTTACCACTTACTTATGAGTATTTTATTTGACCATAAGTAGGGAAGAAACAGGATTTCTCAATTGTAAAACTTAAACCCTTTAAACTTATATATTTACTTAACTTGTTATAGTATAAGGAATATATTAAAATAGTATCATATAATGGAAGTAAAAAAAATTAAAGTAAGAATGCTAAATATTTAAATGTATAAAAATACAATTAATGCTGTTTATGAAATGCAATTTCGTTTTATTTTCGTCACGCAAATTTTGTTAAATTTTATAAAGTAATACAATAGAATTGTATTCATATAAATGCATACAAATTTATATGTAATTCTTTATATTATTAATCTTTAAGAGTTCGAAATATGTATAATATATGTTTAAAAATACTTTTTATTATTTTCTATGAATGAATTACAGTTTATCATATATTTTAACAACAAAATTATTGTTTTTATTAACAAAATTTTAATTATTTATTATTATTAAAATATGTTATCAAATTTCGAACGTCTGCAAAAACTTATAGCGTTCTTCATTCATGATTGAGAATGCAGTTTAGATCTATTGGCACTACACATTACTGGTAAATCGTATAATACATATATTACTTTATCGATCATTTATGTTAGATTTTCGTATTTTTATCTCTAAAACTAGTGTAAAATATATTATATCTAGCAAATCATTTGAAAACCCGAACCCCATATTACTTAATGTTTAAAATAAACTGATTTCACTTTTAATCGATACAATCATTAATTTTTAAATGTTTGATGATGTATCTAGATTTATAAATTTATTTAAATTTAGCGTTCAAACACTAATATCTGAAAATTTGTAGAAAAAAATTTAATATTTAACCGAAACTATTAAGTACACAATACTCACAAATTCTGCTTAAGAAATAGTTTAATTTTCAGTTTAATAAATAATATTTTCAATAAGGACTGATGTACGTTATAATTTCTTAAATTTTTTTTTGATTATAAAAAATAAGCGATTATAGGATTAAGGTTGATTTCTATACAATTATAATTTTATAATTATAATTACAAAATTTATTATAAGACATAGTAAATTTATATATATTTATATCCTACATTTGATTACTAATAACATTAATTATATCATTAAGTAATTATATTATTTATATATTCAAGATATTCTTCTGTATGTACTCACGAATTATTATACAAATTGAAAATTTTAAATAATTTATTTACATAATAATTTAATTTAAAGTATAATTGTAAAAGCTTATAAATTATTTTGAAAATTTTCTATTTTTGTTAAAGAAGCTTTATAATTTTTCTGTATTCTATTTTATAACGAAAGGGCAGCTTTAAATTCTTACAAGATTAGATTTAATAAAATATTTAAGGAGAATGAATACTGTAATGAAATTAATTTTTTATTTGCTTTGAAGTATATTAATTTCTCCTTCGAATTCCATTATTATACAATAATCTTGGCTAGTTAAAATACATTAAAAAATTGAATACGAGGTTTGATTTAACAAATATTCATGATATTTTCAATAATAAAACATTTCTCTTAGCTGTAATGGTATAACAAATTATTTCTTCTTTAACTTTATATACTATTTTTTTTAATATATCCGTAATATGGAAAAGCTAATTATATTTTAGAGATTTGCTTTTATATATTTGATTCATTAAAAATTATTTGTGTTGTTTTTGTAATACATTGATAGAAAATGGAATATGTAATAAGAAATCAAGAATAAAATGTTTAGTTTTTTATATATAAAAATGATATACGTAGAGAAGGTAAAAATAGCTTTATCATATATCACAAATAAAAAAGAAACAATCATGTAAAATTTTTATATTCATAATTTTACATTTAAAATTTTGTAATTATTATTCAATAATTGTTTTAACAGTAACTTGCATATAATTTATATGAAGCGAATATAGTTATAATAGAAGATTTCATTATATACATATATATATATATATATATATATATATATTAATAATCAGGCTTGATTTAGACACTATCAAACTTATGTAGTTTTGGGAATATTGTGAAGATATTTTAATGAATGTTGAATGAACCAAATTGATAAACACGTGAATAGCAGCGTTTGACAAGTGTATGATCAACATTTAAATTATAGAAAACAGTCTCTTCATGGTCTCCTTTTTTTTCCATTTGTTGGTTCTTTCTGGAAATATAAATTTCGAATCACCAGTATTATAACTTATTTCACTTATTCTTGCATGCTAGAACTAGTAAAAAAAATGCACTGCCAATATTTTCGAGAACAAAAAAGAAATAAAAAACAGTAAGTTATGCATTCATGAATACTCTTTACGTAGATACGATATCCTCTCTCTATTTCTTTCGTTTTTGCTTGGTCGCTATTCTGCCATATATCAGCCAGTAACACATAGATTTTTTAAAGAAGATATTAATTTGCAATGGTAATTGAGTTAAAATCATTTGCAAATCCTGTTAGGTCATAATTGTGTCTTGCGATAAGTATGTATTTTAGTTTTCATTAATTTTGTTTTAAGATTGATTTCATTTCTACTAACATATTATGCTTCTACGTAGACTACGTTGCATTCGTATATCATTCATTTAATTTATTACTTTTCGTTTTTTATTAATTTATATATTTAATCATTTTAATTGTTTCCTCATTCTTCAAGTACAAATGTAAAATAGGATAAAATTAATAAAGATTTTATTTGATAAATTATAGATGTAAATTTTTAATTAATAATTTGATTCATTTTAGTTTCAATAGTACAAATAAATTTTGGGAAATTTGTATGCATAACTTGAAAATTACCCGAGCACATTTATTACGCGATATTTATTCGTGTATCGTTGAAGAAATATATTTTTATTATCAGTAAAACCTCTAATATTTTCATACATTTTATGAATTTAGAAAGATGTTTTATTTAAAAAATTTATTATACTTATATATAAATATTCGTTCTCTACTTTTTATTAGGATTTTAGTTTGTCAGGAATATTTATTCATCAGTCATATATTTTAAAATTCAAATATTAAAGTTTTATCGTTTTAATCAGGTACAAAAAATAATGTTTTAAAAAATGCATTATATTTTTTTAATATTATTAATTTACATTTTTTCTAATTATACACACATATATAGAATTTCTTATAAAAAATGATTACAGCAATAAATTATATAATTCAGAACATATTTGTAAACTAATATTTGAATAAAGTATAAAAATGATGAATGCTTTAAAATTTTATGTATATGAGGGGTTCTATGTATATTTCAGCACGTTATTAAATTAGTAATAAATTAAACTATGAAATAAAATAATTAAAATCTAAAATACTTCCGCACATATCTTAAAATTAAATAAAATATTTGCTATGTGCAAAATACTTATATTTATAACTACTCTGTTTTTATGTTAAGGTACGAGATTTTAAATATTGGTTAATTAAATATATTTTTCGTGGGTATTATTTTTATAGAATAAAAACGTGAAAATAACAAAACGTAGAAATATACTAAATTTTTTCATTTCTGGTGTTCTTTTAGAGAAGTAAAGATGAATAAGCTGTGCAGGCAGCTATCGATTGAGAGTCCGTTGATCGACGGCCAGGAATGCGTGTTCAGTTTCGATGTACCAGTGCCTGAGGTGCCACCTAAAGGTGCCCGTATTCGTGTGGTATGTGCCGGAGCTTGTTATCATCCGCGACCTTCAGTATCTCTTTCAAGACTCCATGGAACCTCCATTGAGGGTGATCTACCCGAGGCTTTAGCTCACCATGGAATGCGCAATGCCGCTCTTTTCCCTGGCTACGAGGTCTCTGGAATTGTTGAATCTCTAGGCTCAGAAATCTCTTCAGAATGTGAATTCGTCATCGGTGATCGTGTAATAATGTATCCATACGAAGGACTACCTAATGGTTATGTAGAGTATCTTGTTGTACACGATCTTAAGTATCTTATTAAACTTCCTGATATCATGCCATTGAGTGTTGCGGCTATGTTGCCTGCTGGCGCTCTTTTGGCCATGAATACTGTCTTCGCTGCCCATGAACATGTCCAAGTGAGAAGCTTTAAATATATTATCGATTCCTTTCATCTTATTATTCTATTTTGTTGTTGTTGTTGTTGTTGTTGTATAATCCTATTTTAATTTAATATTAATTACATTAAAGGTATCCTTAATTTGGCATTGTTTATTTTAAAAAGTTAAAAAAAAACTAAATATGTATTTCTGTATATTAAATTTTGTTATAATATAAATAAGATTGAACTTTTTGGATTGTATTTTTTGTTTACGATAAAATAAATTTCTATAAAAATAATATAGTTATGGTATCATCTTTCTTTATATTTGTAATATATTTTGAAATTATTTTGAAAAATTTAATCATAGATATGTTATTCCAGTATTTAATTTGTTCATTTTAGAAATTGTGTCAAAGATTAGATATAAATTATTATGATAGAAGTATAAATAGTTGTATATTAGTGTAAGGATTGATCATCATCATCATGCAATTAAAGTTTTTATTTTTACTGAAACTCATTTCATTGAATTAAATTTATAACAATTTTTTTTTATTATTATTTAGTTTATAAAATATGAATATAAATAGTTATGATATTAATAAAATATTTTACATAATATGCAATCGTATATTCAATAAAATAGTTCAATTATTAATAAATATTAGTTTTAACTATTAATCTACAATAATATAAAAAATACAAACACTTCTTCAAATTATCAGAGTAAAATATTTATTTCAACTAAAAAATAATTTGATTGTCTTTTTTACAGAATCTATTTCGAGAGCGTAATGATACCAGCATGTGTAAAATCCTCATAGTTGGGACTGGTGGTCTGGCACTTTGGGCGCTCAGAATTGCGGCCTACCACTTCACAAATATGAAAGACCGCGTTACCATCACTATTGCTTCCCTTAAAGATGATGGATTCACAATGGCTCAAGAGTTCCAACTGTAGGTAGATTTTATTTCTTTTTCTTTGTATACGTGTGTTCATTTTATTATTCGAAAGCAACTATGATAATTTTCAATTATATACGCTAATAAATTCATTAATAAAAATTAATTCTATAACAATGATAGTATATAAGTGTCTATCTCTTCATATATTTAGTAGTTGATCTTGGTTAAACTAAAAGTGATGAAATGATTTTATTTTTGCTTTGTACAATATTTAATTTTTTGTAAAATAGTAATTTTTCGTATGTATAAATATCAATATAATTGAGAAATACTGTATTTAAAAAAATAAAATAAACTTTTTTGAATTATTTTTTAAAATGAAATAAAATTATATATATACTTTATCTAAAAAGTTGTGCATACTAATGTTTTTATACTTAAAATATCTTTTGCTTTTAGAAAAATGTTAAAAATTCTTAGAGATAAACAAGAGTTATAAAGTACTGTGACTATGAAATAGGAACAAATCATCTAACAGTTAAGTTTTTTCTTATGTTTTAAAGATTTGCGTGAATATAATTAGTATTAATCATAACAAAGTAAAAAAGGAGCTAAAAACTGAAACATATATTTGGTTAAAATTGCAGGGCAAATGTAGTTCAATGGAGTGAAGATCTATACGAAAAGCAATTGATTGAACGGACAATGGACGCGTGCGATGGTCACGTAGATGTAGTAATCGATTTTGGAACAACCTCGCGCAGCCTCCATCGCAGTATGCAATGCTTAAGTAAAGGCGGTATTGTCTTTGTAATGAAGGAGGTAGCAAATCGATTGTTACCCAAGTTTAGTCGTCGAGCGGAGGAATTCCAACAAAACATCAAGTCTATAGAGACTGGTAGTCTCGAACAGCTTCGCGAACTTGTTCAGCTTGTCGGCTCTGGTGAAATCGAGCCCCCGCCTCATACAATATACCCCGCTGAAGAAGCATTTGACGTTGTTCAGAAGCTCTGCCATTCGGAGATACACGGTAGAGCGATTTTGCGCTTCTACCCTACAGAGTAGATAAACCATGTCTGTAATTAATAAATAAAAACTCGAGTACCCGATTGACTCAACAAGAGTCATCGTGTGGCACATATTTGTCGCTGAGTAATATTTTTCAGCGAATTGAATGGTGCTTTGTTGATAGTTATTTTTTTACACCAGTATTTTATTTATGTTTTTATTATGTGCTAGATTTGTATAACATTATACTCATTAATGACGTACTTACTACGCAATAATAAGCAATTGCTACAAAGTTGAATAAGGGCATATTAAATTAAAGATAAATTTACGTTATAATTATTGAGAAAACTGATGCCTTTAAAGACTGTTCACTTTATTTAAATATTAAAATATTTTTTTACTTATTATTATTTATCATAATAGATTTTAAGGAATATTATAACATAAAAACTTTCCCTTTGTATGTATTATATCGCCATTTTGCTAAAATTACTAATGTAAATTTTGCATTGATAATATATGAAACAAATACGTTTTTCTATAAATGTTTTTGAATTTAATTTGTTTTTATTTATATAAAACTTAACACAATTGATCATAGTTCTAACAAAACCTATATCAATAATAGATTGCATTTAATTATAATCTATAATAATTTGATGATAATTCAAATTTAACAGTTTTTTTTACAGTTAATTAAATTTATAAACTTAAATAACATTCAATTTTTTAATTTTTGAAGAAGAGCATAAAAAGAATCGAACAAATTCTTCTTGAAAAACTATTTTGTGCAATAATAACAGTGAAGAGAAGAATAAAATAAAGAAGTCTAGGAAAATTTAGTATGTGTATAGCCTTTGTAATGTAAGACGTAAATAGCAATCTTGAAATATGTAATCGTGTGAAATCGTAAGATATTAAAAACAATATTCTAGCATAAAAGTTATTACATTCAAAATAACGCAATTTAATAGATTGTTTTTCTAGAATAATAAAATAAGAATATTATATTATTCCAAAAATAGGTTTTTGAGTAACGTGTTACTTTTTATTATAATTTTAGTTCCAACTGTAGTAAGAATAAATTTATTATATTATTAGTTTATTGTTAAGTAAGCTTATCGATATATTATTTATTTTATACAGTATTTTGTTTTTGAATTTATTATTTAGTAATTTAAATTTAAGATTATAATATAAAAAATATTTTTATAAAAAACTATGGAATTAAGTATTCCGGAGTAGTTGATTCTTTAGTTAATGTCGTTCGTTATTTTTTCAATTTAATTTGAACTTCACAATGGAATTATTGTTTTCGGTTTATATGTTTAAAACAATTTATTAATAAAGATATGATGACAAGATACATAATTGCATTCTGTAGATCTTAGACATATTATTTATAAAATTTATATCCTTAAAACTTATAATGGTTAAAAAATTGACCTACCAGTTTCTACTATGTAAAAATGTCTATACAGCTTCTAAAATTAATATTTTCATAAAACAGATATTTCCAATTGAATTAATCAATAGATATTTTCTATAAATTTTTAATATTATTATTAATTAGTTTTTTATGCAAATTTATTTATTTAAAACATTTATAAAATAAACTATAACTTAATTATTACAATGTTATAATTAGTATTTTACATATACATGAATATTAGACTATTTTCAAAAATTGTTCTATTCAGTTTTATAATATAATTATTTATTTACAACACTGATTATTTAGATGATTCACATATATTCACATAGTGAATGCAGTGAAGCAATATTAAATTCTAGTCATAAAATATAAAATATAATATTTACATTATTCTGTAGTTTAAATTTGAAATTGTAAATAATATGCTAACATAATAAATTGTTGAATTTTTCATTGGACAAAAATATTGCTATCAATTATTACAAATTATAGTAAAATTAACACTGTACAATACATATGTATAGAATAAATTTCTATTAAATTAATTGATTTACAACATAAATAAGATTTTTGGCTATATGGCTATAATTATTTAAAATAATTAAATTGATATTCCAATTTTTATAACTTTAATTAAGTTATGATTAGTATTAGTCATGACTTGTCAAAGTAAGATAAAATTTTTTAATAAAATTTTTAATACTATCCCAGATGCAGATAATATATAGAAAATATCTGTAAGTTTTGTATACTTGTAGAACGTTTACTAAGAAAAAGTTTCTTAAGTTTCTTTATTGTAAATGTAATTATATGGAACATATCCTTTTTGGCCAGTACAATCTTCTACTAACCACCATTGAGGATTATTTTTGTTGTCATGTTTCTTTAACACTTTCAATATTTGATTTCTTCTTATACTCAATGCTCCAGGGATTTCTGTACCATTAAAATTGCATAGTCCGTGAACAAACTAAAAAAATTATTTTTATAATTAATTATACATATTGTAATTAAATATTTTAAACATATTTATAATTAAATATATATATATATGTAAAAATTATTTGATAATTTACCTCACAAATATTTTTATATAATTGTTTTGGTTCAATCTTTAGATTCATAGAATTTAAAAAATTTATTTTTTCATCAAGATTCTTAAAATTAATAAAGTGTTTACTTTTCTCTGTCTCCGCCAAATCTAAAGATATAAGATCAATTGAATTATTAAGACATGTTGCATTAGTGCTTTCTTGAATAAATTTAGCTTCATCGATGAGCTCTAGATATTGTTTTTCTAAAAATCCTTTTAACGACCCGTTATCAACCAACCATTTCGACTTGTTGCCCATTAGATCCTGTCTTTTTATTACTCCAAGCATTGTTCCTTTAGTTACTGATAAATCATGCTGAGTAACACTGGATACTGATTGTGTTACTATATACAATTTGTCAGTAGGATATTTCATTTTTAAAGCTGTTCTATGAACATCAGATTGCAAAAAATAGTTAACAGAATTTTTGTTTAATCTTATATTAGTATCACCATAGCTAAAACGATTAATTTGATCATATAATAATTTGTGATTTATTAAAAAATTTATCAACATATCTTTCATTGAGATCTGAAGCATGTACTATAACAAAAGTGTTTGTTATAAGAAAATAAAAATTTTAAAATAATGAATAAATGTAACAAAAATATGTACCTTTGAAATATTTAGGTACTCTCTCATAATTTTTCCATTATATAATTTTCGAATTTTTATAAAAGCACTAATGCATGTACATAAAATTGCAGTAGCAGCTTGTATACAAATGGGAAGCTCTTCTAATAATTGTTGATTTAATGCTTCAAAATTATATTTTGCGCTATAAAAATCTGCTAAAATCTAGAATAGAATACAATCATAAGAAATATTGATATATAGATAATCATAAGATTAATTAATTAAACAGTTAAGTAATAGTTACATACTGGTCCTTTTTCTTGGGACTTTTCATTTTTTAAAATTGCAGAATCATAATCAAGCATCTTATCATGGCGTTTACTAATCAAAAGTTCTGGTCCAGCAAGCAATGGCATCAGAATATTTAAAGGTGATATTACTTGTATTCCAATACAAGTTTTTAACTGTTTTATAAATTGACATTTAACAATGTTTCTTATTTTCTGAAGTTCCAAAATTTTATTATTAGGTACTCCTGAAAAATATTGATGCAGATGTTCAGTAACAATCTCATTGCAATGAGATTCATTATCTAGAAAAATAATGCATTTAACAATATCTTTTAAAAAGTGTTTTATAGTCTTTTCAAGAAATATAAAATTTTTTTCTAATTTATCAAATTTTTGATCTATTGGAACATTAGTTAAACCTAATGTTACAGAAAGTTTTGCACTTAATCTACATGACTTTTTTGCTACAGAATGCATGTTTAGTTTTGCAATTTTTCCTATTAATGTATTATTAGATTTCAAGTACTTGGTCGTCAATTCTATTTTTCTTTTATATTCATTAATATATCGTGCTACATCTTCCATCACTTTTAATGCTTCAACAACTTTGAATTTATTAGGATGATCATCCTCTGTGTACTATTTTAATTTAAAACAAATATCAACATATACAAATAATTAAATTATTTTAAATCAAATATTAATTAACAAAATACCTTTAATAATTCATTCAAAATTAATGAATATTTTAAAATTCTTTGTACTGGTTTTATTAAAATTGAATTCATATCAAAGCAAGCAATTTGCATTTGTAATATTTTAACTCCATTATAAAAAATTTTCATAATTTCTTCGTTATTTTCGTACTACAAGTTTAATATTTATACATACATTATAATTATTTTAAATATAAAAATGATATAGAATAAAAAAATACCTTTTGTAAAAGAGCTAATGATAACTCATGATTACTGCAATATTTTCCATAAGCTATTTTCATCTTTTCAGATAAATTTAAAAAACAAGATACAATACATTGGTATTTCTCATCATAATTTTTTATTGGTCGTTCTATTAATTTTAGAAATTCTTCAGCAATATAGATAATTTCTAAGATATTTCCAAACAAAGTCGTTACATCTATTCCTTTAGATTTAAGAAAATTGGGATCATGTAAATTAAAAGTTCTGTAAGTAATTTTCAAATCTCGAAGATAATCTTTTTCTGTAAGGTATAGTTCTGTAATAATATTTTGTCTTTGATCAGCTTTCTTTTGATTTATTAAATAATGCTTAGATTCTGCTTTTAGAAATATACTAAGATTTTTTTGGTTTTCTGATAAAATTCCTGTTGATGTAAGGATGGGAGGTGCTGGTGGTGCTGGGCGATGTGGTTCACATAATCCCTTAATATGATTGGTTTTGTTGTAATCTGCATTTTTATTCCTTGTCATCTGTAACAATATTAATTTTAGTATTTAATGCATTAATCCAAACACATTACATGACATTTTATCGTATTAAACAAGAAGAATGCCACTTCTATTATCTATTATGCCTTTTACTCATTCATTGTCAATCTATTTAATTCATTTAAGGTTTTGTCTTGCTTTAAAACTGAATTTATTAGGATACTGTACAGTAAATGAAAATTATGCTAATACATTTGATTCAAGTATAAATGGTTAAAAAATGGACAAAGCTCAAATATTTGATTCTTTTATATTAGAAAATAAATTATATTTTGATGTTAAATCATTGTGTTGTGATCAAATTGTATCGTTAAAGATTTTTTGCAATTCTTTGTAAATTTTGGCTGACATAAGTACAAAAAATAAAAAAAAATTATCTACTTATAAAGAAGGTTAATCATTTTGCAATACACATTGTTTTATTTGTAATTAAAATTTTATATATGATTATTACTTATCCATTTTCTTTGTAACCATGATCAAGAAGCTTGATAACAGTAACTATATCTTCTGTATTTAAGCATAATTTTTCATGCAATTATAATTTTAAAATTTATATTTACTACTCTATAAAAATTGTCTTTAAAACTATTTATTATAGTAATTAAAATTTTAAACATAAAATGTTCATTTTAATTAAGAGAAGGTACAAATATATACATAAAATTTGAATAGCATATAAAGAAAATCCTTTTTTTAGCATGTCGATATATTAAATGTTCTAATTAGTATGTTCTAATTATGTAATCTTACGATTTACAATGACTATTACTCTTTTTAAAGTAAGAAAATTAAATCACCATTATGATTATTTTTTAATGCACTAATGGAAATGAAAAACAATTTATTATTATTTATTTCAGATACTTGAATAATGTATTAATAATTTATAAGCATTTGATAAATATTATGTAATCGCCCATAATAATCCTTTATTTTTTAATAGCGTTAGAAATTTAAAGTATTAAATTATGAATAAAATTTATCCTTATCAAACTAAAAACATAAAAATTAATATAATTTTTAACATTATCTTAATATAATATAAAATTATGTTTATATATTTGAATTGTATTTTCAATTATATATAAAATATTTTTAATATTATTTAAATAATTTGTAATAATTTAAGCAGAAAAAGAAAAACCGAATTCAGTCATTAATTAGTTATGTTTATAATGCAAATTTAATGTTAACTTAATTACAAATTGAGTTAATCAAATATATTTTTTTATATTCTATTGCTTTCTAAAAATGAAATCTCTTTTTCAACTATTAGTTAAAATATTATCAGATTTTCTCCAACATTTTACTGGTTACAATTATTTAATATTTTAAATTTGTAATAATTTTTTATAAATTGATATTTGATGAACATTATTAAATAGATAAAATAAAAAAACATTTTTTAAATAAAATATATTTAATGTACTTACAAATGAAATAAAATTTTATTTTTAAAACATTAAATATTTAGCATTTAAAAATTATAAATACTTGTAAAGACCAAAATTGTTTAGAAATAATCAATATCAGGCATCAAAAAATGAAAAGTACATGTAAAAGAAATGAAAAAATAAAAATACCCTTCATTTGTATAGTTTAAATTAATGGAATTTAACAGTTTAGTTTTTTCACAATAATTTTCTATAATCGTATATGTAATTCTAGATCATAATTAACTTTATACTGCTATTACACAAAAGTGATTACTAAGAAATTGATATATGTAATATTAACTGAATCGAATTTTAAATATTACAATTTTATTTTTTTATGCTTATAAATCATTTAAGTAACGTTTTACGATTGAGTATAAAATCTTCAGTCAAATAAGACATATTTTTTGCAATTTGGTGCATAAGTGAAGGTTAAGTCGCGATACAAGTTGAAACGATTCTAAAATAAATTAATAAACGATACGAAAATAATCATCAATTTTAAAAACTCATTTGGTCTTTCATGCTAATTCTAAATAACTTCATTAAATTAATTAAATCAATATTTAATAAAATATGCACAAAAATAATTCTATCAAGCACATACATAAAAATCATAAAAATCAACATAAGAGTCATTTTTATATATACAATGGTTTACTCTATTTTTTTTTAAATATCAAAAATTGTATTTTGATTTATATTTTATATTTTAAACATAAATATAATTCTTTTATACTAGAAATTACAAATTTCGGAAAATCACTTTTAAAATAAAATTGTTAATTTTTGTTTATAGGTTTTTCTAAATATTAAATCAGTAGTTAATACGGAAGTATACATAAAAAATCATTTATTTTAAAATATTAATATAAATTTATTAAATCAACTTTTAAAATCATTTATTTCATTTAATTATGACTATCATGTATTACATTTTTTTAAATATTAAATTATTGTCCAAAATTAAATAATTAATATTATTTAATAGATTTTTTTTAAAATTATAATTAATAAATAAATAATTGCTACAGATTACATATATATACTAATGAAAAATACGGTAAATTATAATTTGTATAATTATAATAAAATTTATAACAAGAAAAGCTGAGATATGTAAGTAATATTAAAAATAAAAATGGTAAAATTTGAAAAATTAAAATTGTGTCAAGTGTTTATTATCCACCAAACAAGATTAGGTAAGAAAAATTTAGTGTATACAATTTTTGTATTCAAGTCAATTAATATTATCGTTTTTGTACATTTTTAATGATTGTCATGAAACCTATGTTTAGTAAGTTGTTAGGTTTGGTACTTAAACAATTTTAAGCATATAGTGTTTAATCAAAATATAGGAAGAAATCAAATACTTAAACGAAACTCCAATATTGTAAAACTTGAAGATTAACATATTAAACAATATCTGAAATTTTGTAGTTACTATCGACTTATTTCAAATTCATCATTCATTTTATCATTTGAATTTTTAAAATAAGTAAAACTTAATCGAGTATCCAATATTGCGTTGACGTGTAAACTAATTTTATAATTCGAAAAATTAAAGTCTGGCATTCAACCTTTTTATTAAAAGATATTTTTTCTTATAAGAAAAACGAATTGAATAAAGTTTACAATGTAACTTAACATTGATCATTGATTATTGCAATATAGTATCATTACAAAAGAACTATCAATAATAATGGTAAGAAAAGTAATTTGTAATGTATTATATGAAGGAATTAATACTATGCTTTTATAATATCAATTAATTATGAGAATGATTCAGTATACATCTAAAACATATATTATAATTATATAAACCTGCTCACTGGCTCTTCAATGTTTACATATCAATTTTCATGTTTGAATATTCAAGTCGCAAATGTAGTAGTAATTTAACGGCGAAGGACAGATACAATTTGTTCTTATATTATTGAGAATAGTTTAAATCTAGACTATTAAATACAAATAGTTGAAATGTAAGCAAAGTTAGTATGCATAAGATTAGCATTTTTTTTAAAATTATTTAACATGTTTATTATATTATTTATACCATATTTTTGTTTATTTTTAAACATATAAAAGCCAATTATATATTTCACTAACTATAATTAATAATATAAAATAAATTTATAAAATTTATTTGCAAATGTAAAAAATTAATTAAAACTAACTTTTAAATTGAAATTAACCCAAATTTTTTATGCATAAGTTAAATTATTATTCACCCATCAATTATATATTTCTTATTTGGATCTTCAATGTCAAATAGCTGAAAAATTATTCTTTCCATTATTGTCAGAATCATTAAATTAAGATGTTATTGAAGTTTGTCTCAAAACTGCCTTTCAACATGTATCAAATCAAGGGTTACGTTTATTGCATAACATTTGTCATTACTTTGGTCATTCATTGGAGGTAGGCCACTTCTATTTAGAGTTAGTAAGAATGTTATCTTTCTTCATCTCATCATATACTCATTTGTTAATTTAAAAATTTATTAAGATGATTATATTGTCTATAAGCATTTACTTAAATGGTAAGGTATCATTTATTGTTATAAAATATCGAGTAAAATATCTAAAATATACCTACAACAAAAAGTATATAATTTATTATGATTAGTGTGAAACACAAGAATCATAGTATCCATCATTATTGTCTAGATTACAGTAAATTACAGTAATAACTTTTTATATTAAATAGTTGATCTGCAATTTATTTGCTACATCTATTTATATTTTATATTTCAATACAATTTATACATTTATAATTTATACTTCAATGGAAGCATGTATATATTTTGATTTATAATATATCCTATTCATTTCATATTTTCATCTTTTATGATGATTTAATAGAGGTTAAAAAAGTTTCGAAAGCCAGCGAGAGAGAGAGAGAGAGAGATGAAGAAGGATAGATATCAGCACATTAAAAAAAAAACGCAATACTGTGTGATTTACGCTATTCTTATATTTACATATGCTCAAACCTGGACAAGTGCATATATACGTGTAAACATATATGCTTATGCAGCAATAGAAATTAAAAATGAAAATAGTTATTATTTTAAAATGCAGTTTTTAGTTTATCAAAAATAGTATTTTCATAATTATATAATAAGTGTTAATATTTTTAATAATATTAGAATTTATTTATGGATATTTTTATATATGGAAAAGACAAAAATGTCATTGAATATACAAAAATTAAACTAAATATTAATATATGTTGGTATAATATAAAATGTAACAATATACTTAGTTTTTATTTGTATTAAATATATTGTCAAAACAAAATTATTTGGTATGTAGCGTTAGCCAACTGTTTCATTTGGCATTGATAAGTATTGGCTATAGTCTTTAGAGTTTGCTAACATTATGTATTATTATCTTTAATTATTATTATAATAATTTGGTATAGTTTTTGAAGTTTCGTTTGTGTAAGCACTTACAAAATATTGATATATTTTCATTTGCAAGTACAATTACTGAACTATTTTTTATTATGTGTTTAGTCTATTAAATGTCTTATGACCAGAAATATATTTTATTTTTTATCCAAAATAAAAATATAAAATTTGTGTAATTTTATAAATGAATAAAAACTTTTGAAAAGTTTTTATAAAAAAATATAGAATTTATTATGAATTTCTATATATTTTTATAACAAAAATTTACATTAAATACTTAAATAAGGTATCAATGAGGTTCACTGATATCTATTTCTAGTCGTTTTCAAAAAATGATTTTTCGAAAATTTTTTATTTTTCTTTATAAGATATAAGTTCTACTGTGATTTTGTCTAATAATAATATAGAGATTATAAGAAATAAGATTGTACAGATTTTTCGTTTTATTTTAGTAATTATGATCTCATATTGACTTCTTTAATAATTTTTGTAAAATTTAAAATTCTTTGTTCACATTTGCTTGTAATCTAAGCATTATTTGATATGAAAGTGTATAATTATAAAAAACATCTGTATACAATATGCTATCAAACATCTGTTCTAATTATTAAAAAAAATTAGGTATCTTATTTTAATTTTGTCTACCAAATACAAAATATACCGAAATACAAAAGTGTCAAGATACCCGATACTAATATTTAAAAAATTCATTTTAAATCATTTTAAACATTTTTTTATGTTAAAATTAATTCTATATAATTTTTAAAACTTGTAAATATTTTAAAATATATACAAAATTATTTTTTTTAAACTTTGAACTTTTTCTTTTCGAAATATTTTTTTATTTTGTACTCAATTTTTGTACAATTTAGTGTGATGTAGAAAAAAATAATATACGTCGCTTATAATAATTCTGTAAATAATATAATAATTATTATTATTAAATATAATTTTATTAGATAAAGAATAACTTTTGGTAGTGAAGTATTATTAATTTATCAAAGATAGTTTTATTATTTATTAAAAATGTCACTTATTTAATATTAAAATGTAATATGCGAATTACGTTTATTGTGTATACTGAAACCCACATCGATAATTCTATTACATGGAACTTATATTAAATATAGAATCTTCTATACTTAATTATTTGAAAATTTTTTTTAGTTGTAAGATATGTAAAGTAATTTAAAATTGACATATTTGTTAGTGATTAATGTACAATGTTATAATTTTTGAAAATAAAAATTAGTATTACTCACATTATGTAATACTTATATTACATATGATGTGAACATGATAGATTTATCTTTATAAAAAAATTAAAAATTGATTTTTAATCTATAATTTTCTGCTTATACTCGTTTCATTACGTATTAATTTAGATACAACATTTCAGTTGTTTAAAAATAAAGCTTTTGTGCTTTTTTTAAGTTCCATTGCTAAATATATATTTTCGTGAATTATTGACCTTTTGTTTTGTTCGTAAAAGGTTAGTTATTATTATTAAAATTTTATATTTTAAAAAATAAAAAATTTGATTTATTAAATAAAGTAATTATGTCTTATTGACATTGATTTATGATAATACGTGGATTAAAAAAGTGTAATAATATTTTTAATTATCACATATATGTTCGTTAAATTTTGGTAAATTTTATGTTATGTTACATATTTACATATATGCATATCAAACATCTTTAAAAATTTTAAATATATTATTAATATTTATATGAATAATATATTAATTTTCTAAATTTTCGTATCCAATTGAAATAAATTTTTTTCAGACTTTTTATGTTTTTGATATTAGTTATGACAGAACATTGAAAAATAGTATAAACGAGTAAGGTGAATTATGAAACGTATACAAAAATTATTAATAAGATATAATAAAACTACTTTATAAACACATTTAATACTGATGTAATAAAAAATAGTTTAGAACAATTTAATATGATAATTATTCAGTTACTAGCCAACTTTACTACAGTTCCATTTAGTCTAAAAATAATTTATAGGTCTTACCTTTGGATGTGTTCAATATGAAATCGTAAGCTGATATTAATATACATATAATGTATATTATATATATTAAGTTATACATCATAATATTAAGTATTATAATGAGTTATCATAAAATTAAAATTATAATATTTTCTAAAATTTAATTATTTAATGTTTGTAATCAACAGAGACAATATTTATTTATTGATATTAAATTTAAATGTCATAAGCATAACTTAACAATGGTAAGTTTTTATTTCATTCATTTAATAACAAATATACATTTGCGAATAACTACATTTTAAATTTTTATTATTATACATTTATTTTTATGTATAAATGATTGTATAAAATAATTAAGTCCTTATATTAATATAATTTTGATTAAAATAATTTATATAAACTTCATATTGATATCATATGATATAAAATTAATGACTTCGCTTTAATAGTTTGGTGGATATTCTTAATTACCTTTAATAGGGAGTACATTAAGATAGAATACCAGGTAATTTTGATTTTGACATAATTTCTTTTCTTTGACAAATTTACAAATATTGAAAAAGACTCGTATTTGGTACAATTAAATCTAGTTTTTATTTTTATTTTAAGTTTGATGCTGAATTTGAGATTTTACATTCAAATAGCGTTATAATAATTGATGTGTATGCATCCATGCATACATAAATTTTAAATTTAAATAAATAAAATTTAAGTAAATAAAGGATAACAAGTGACTTTACAAGTAAGAAAGAAATACATATATCACATCATAAAATAGATCTTTTCTATAGAATAACTTTATACAATAGAATAACAGTTTACAGTAATTTATAAAATATTAATTTTTTATAAATATTTTATGTATACACATGTCGATACAAAACAAAAAATTTATATTGTATTTTTGTTTTATTGTAATAAAAATTGTTATTTAAGGCAACCAATCATTTTGAAACTATTGCTGCGCAGAATCTAAAAATCATTTTGAGCTTGACAAACTATTAATGTCCGTTCTCTGTCACTTTTAAAGTTATAGTAGTTATAACCTTTAAGAGATTTTTGTATTAATTTTCATGAATTTATAGGTTTAATGTTATGACCGTTGTATAAAATTAAACATTTTTCAAAATGTGTGATAATGTTAATAGTAATCCATTTGTTGGTTTATTTACACTCAACAATGAAACAGCTTTTATTTCCCAAGAAGTAGTTAACAATATACCTAATGAAAGTATAAACTTTGAAAAGGATGGTATCTCGCAAGTTCAAACGGAAGAGCAAAGTTTAGGAATAGCTTCAAATAATAATGAATTGGAAAAAATTAAATTTGAAGAATTGATTGCAGATGTATTTGGAATCATACTGCGTCAATGGAATATAAAAACATCTACTCGACAACTTGTTTTCATTGACACAGATTCAATAGAACATGCTATTTTTGAAAGGTTATTATTAACAAATCCAAATTCTATGTTGATATCTAAGGAAACTACCAAAAAAGAGGACTTGGATAATCATTTTATTCAATCGGAAATTGTAACTTACCTTTTTGAGTGTTATCGTAGATTACAGCGATATAAAAAAAGTGATGGATTTTATGATATAGTTGAAAATATTCAAGTAATAATTATGCGTAATATTAGTACTGCCTTACAGGAACCTGAAATATTTCTAGATCAAGAGGTTTGTATATCTAGTTAATTTATAAAAAATTTTAATTTAGTAAATTTAAAATTTAAGTTATTAAGTATTAAATTTATATTTTTATTGAAAATAATTTTATTTTAAAGATTTTCACTTAAATTTTTTGTAAGATAATTTGATAAAATAAAAAGTATAGAAAAATTGATTTTTTTGTTATTTTAAAATTAAAAAGCATTTTGTAAAATAAAATTTCTTAAAATTTTTAATTGTATGATTTTTAGGTTTATATACAGTTTATATCATTGTTTAAGGATGGTGGAAATACTTGCTCTGATTTAATATCATTTATTAATGATGTAATAAAATATCTGTGTTTAGAAAATAAGGGATCTGAAACAGAAATTATTAATATAACATTTAGTTCAATTCTTAATATAATACATAAAGAAGTGGATAATAGTGATCTTCTTCAATTCAAACAATATTGGTTTTCTATTTTACAAATTTTTGCTATAATAGAACCTTTAGCAAAACTTATAATTACTCATAGTAGTATTAAAAGCAGAAATGGTAAAGCTTATGCTGATACATTATTGGGGTCTTTATTGAATCTTAGTTGTTTACCAAAAACAATTAATGGACCTTATTATTTTTATAATAAACCATTTGAGCAGGTAATGAAAAATTATAGTAATATATTCTTTTTAGCATTTATTTAAAACATTTATTAGTTTTTAATATTTACTATCTTAGCAAAATTCAATAATTGATCAAAATATATGGATTGCATTAGATGGATTAAGCGAATCATTGCATAAAATTTTTCATGCCTTGCTCAAGTGTTCGTATGAAGTTCGTCATATGACTTTACTGTGGATAGGAGATTGTATACATGCAAATGAAAATCGTGGAAAATTATGGAATTCACATAATGAAATTATTGATGATAAATCAGTATCAGATGGATTTATGCTTAATTTAGGAAATGTTTTACTAAAATTATGTCAGCCATTTTGTTCAAAACCAAATGATATTAAAATTTTAAAAATAGATCCTACATATTGTGTTGCTCAGGTTAAATTAGTAAATGAAATTATTTTAAATATTTATTAAAATAGTTGCTGAATAAAAATTTTGATTTTAGGTGAATGAAAATGAACATTACGAAGAACGATTACATGTGATAAGTTTGAGTTCAAGAACTTGTTTGATTCCCACACCAGAAGGTGAAAATCGTTTAATGGCAACTTCTTTTAATTTTATGACTGAATGTTTTTATCTTACACATCTTTCTCTTGATCTTGGTTATCGCATTATTTTAGAAAAGCTATTTAAGTAATCACAAGTTGGTTTTATTTTATTTGTTTGTACATTTTTTAATAATATTAATTTGATTTTTTTTTATTTTGATAGAGTAAGTCAAGACTTAGCAAGAATTCAAAGACTTTATAATGATGTTAGACATGGAAGTACTTCTGAGGTCAGTGAACTTATAACTGAAAGAATGGAAAACCATATGGCAAAGTAAGTTTTAAAATTAATATTTAAATATTACTGAAGAATCAATAAATCACTTATTGTATTTTTATCTTTTAGATATTTAACAATGAAAGCAAGCTTATTAACTCCTGATATACTTAATCTTTTAGCAAAATTCCATTCAGCAACTGCTTTCTGGTTAATTCAAGTAAATATAGATACAAGATTGCAAGAATTAAATCAAGATACTTATGCTCCTTGTGTGTATAAAGTTATTACATTTCCTTTTTCTGAAAGAGTTCCTGAAACTTTGAGGTATACACTAAAAATAAAGTAAATAAATAAAAAACAGAAGAATTACAATTAAAAAATATTTTTTTAATAAATTTTGCTAGATGTATACCTGAGTTTATAATTGAAAATACTATAAGTTTTTTATGTTTTCTTCGACGTTGGTGTCCTAATATTTTTGAAGAGCAGGGTCCGAACTTCTTAAATCCAATTTTGACAGAGGTAACATCATTGATTGACAATAAAAGAATTAATATTGGATTACTAAACCTATATTTGCATTAATATATTATTGATTATTAAAATTATGTATAGGTAGTTGCTTTAATGGAATCTCCAACTAGACTTCATAATCCACATTTACGTGCTCGATTAGCAGAAGGACTTGAAGCACTTTTACCTAATAATGATCATATAAATAATCATTCTACAGCAAGTCTTGGAATATATCATAGGCAACAACTTTTTCTTACACATCCTCATAAACACATAGTAAACTAATTATTCTTTATTGGCTTTCCATACTTTAAATTTTGTTATATGTTTTATTTTGTATTTTTAGATTGTACAGAATTTACTGCATGTTTTTGTAAGTATTGAGATGACTGGGCAGAGTGTTCAGTTTGAACAAAAATTTAATTATCGCAGACCAATGTATACAGTAATGGCGTATTTATGGAAAATACCAGAATATCAAAATAATTTTAAGTAAGAATAAAAAGCTAATGTTTCATTTAATACACATTATTACAGATTGATTATCGCAATTAATTTTAGACAATTAGCAGATGAAGCATTGGTTAATATGGAAGCTCCTCAGCCACCTCTTTTTTTGAGATTCATTAATCTTTTAACAAATGATGCTGTATTTTTACTTGATGATGCACTTTCAAACATAGCACAGTTGAGACAAATGATAAACGCACGGTATACATATTCTTACATTTTTATTTAATATTTTTTTTTTATCCGTTTTTACATTTGATATAACATAATTTTATAGAGATAGTGGGGAATGGGATAAGCTTTCTCAGCATGAAAAAGAGCAACAACATTATTACCTTGAGCATATTGGAACAATTGCAAGATTTAACAATATTTTAGGCAGAGAAACAATACAAACATTAAAAATTTTAACATCTGAGATAAAATCAGTATTTTGTCACGCGACAATGGTGGATCGTATAGCTTCTATGTTAAATTATTTACTTTTGCAATTAGTAGGTCCAAACAAAAAAAATTTAAAGGTGCACACATTTTTTTAATATATAACTAAATAATGATTTAATAATAATTTTGTTTTGAATAGTTTTTCAATCATAACTTTATTTTTCAGATCAAACACCAAAAAGAATATGATTTTAATCCAGCTAATCTTGTTTTAAATATATGTGAAATTTATATTAATTTAAGTAAAAATGATAATTTTACTCTTGCCGTCTCACAGGATGGGCGATCTTATAGTTATGAATTATTTAAATTAACTATAGAAGTTTTAGGTAAATTAGATTTTTTACTTTATTCAAAATCGTTTAACATCTACAAACTTGCAAAGTATATCTGTTTGTATTATCTATTTATAGTGATTTGTATAATAAGTAGATTCCATAGAATATATCAATTTATTCAAAACGTAAATTGATTAATTCTTTATAGTATGTAACATATAATTATTCAAAATCTTAATAAAAAAATATATCTACATATTTGCTATATAAATATAGATTAATAAGGAAGTTAGCATAATGAAATTTATTAATCTGTTGATAATATACCATTGTATATTATAAAAAGTATTAAATTATTTTTATAATCACATCTATTTATTGTTGGATGTTAAATATCAATGATTATATAGAAATGTTAATATTTTTAAAATGTTGTATTCCATAGTCCGTATTGGTGGAGTTGGAATTTTAAATGACCTTGACATGTTTGCAAAAAAGGTGAATCAAACTGCAATTCAAAAGAAAGAAGAAGAAGAAATTTTAGTAGATGCTCCTGAAGAATTTCTTGATCCTATTATGTCAACGCTAATGACGGACCCTGTTGTTCTACCATCGTCAAAAACTATAATCGACCGTCAAACTATAGCAAGGTATAGAAAATCTTTTTCGATATTTTTAAAACAATTAATTCATTAAATTAATTTGATTTAGGCATTTACTAAGTGATCAAACAGATCCTTTTAATAGATCTCCTTTAACAATGGATATGGTTACAACAGAAGTTTGTCTCAAAGTTCAAATAGAAAAATGGATAGAACAAAAAAGAAAAGAACGACAAACTTCTAATTATGGTAATTAATAAAATGCGATGCTTAGGAATGTACAAAATGTGAACGTTGTAATTATTTTTGTTTTTTATATTTTAGTTAAAAATTTTATAATTTTACAAATCTTTATTTTCTGCATGTCATTTTTAAGAAGGACAATAAATTTATGTTGTAATTTATACCCTATATTAATGTAAAGGATGAAAGTACATAATTTAACATCAAAAATTTATTTTATATAATTTTATAAAATTGTTACTTTATACGATTTTTTACTAACAATCATTAAATCTTTAATTCGTCAACAGTTTAATATTACCACAATGAATAATGCTCTTGTGCATATTCTGTAACAATGCCACTATATAAAAAATACTGTCAGTAATATTTACACATCTACACATATTATGTAAGTCATTCTATTTCAGAATATGGTCCTTGTTTAAAGTATTCTTTTAAATAATTTGCATATGCATTCATTTTCTCCTAAATGATTAGACTTTTATGTTGAAATTATATTAAAATGACTATAAAGCTGCTTGAAGATCCTTGAAATCCATAATAAACCAAGGTGCATGTGCTTTTACACTTTCTCGAATAATATTACCACCATATCCTATTATAAAGAAAAAGTTATATTAAAAATTTATAATTTAATATAACAAATAACGAAACAGTTTTTATTTATTTGATGACAAAACTTTATTTTCACAATAATTATTTGCTTGCAATAAAATATAAAAAAATATTTTTTTATTATTAAAAAATCTCTAATGTTACAAAATAATTAATAAAGTCGTACTTGTATTTTTTAAGTTAACATTTAAATCGATCTTACATGTATATATACATATTCAAAAATGTTTCTACATGCTACAAACCAATGAAAGCATTTGCTGGAGGACAAGCTTCAAGATCTGTTGCACCATCCCCAATATGAACAACAGTTTTAAATCCTTTTTCTTCTTTTAATCTCTTAATCGCTTCAGCCTTACCTCCACTGTGAGAAGTTGGTTCATTTTCATCAAAGCCAGCATATTCTCCTAGAAAACAAAAGATTAAAATTAAAATCAATTCTTTCATACATTAAACGTTGAACAATATAACAAAACAAATTAAAACAAGAATTTAAGTGTAATTATAATTTAAATATTAACCCATTATAGGAAATTACTGTTGTTTACATATTTCTTTTTTATTATGCCAATGCATTTCATTACTAAAATATGATTTTCATATTGTCCTTTTAAAATTAAATTTAATTTATTCAAAGTCTAATTTTAAGTAATAATTTATGAATCTAAAATACATTATATATACTGAATTTACTTATATATTTACACATGTATTTTAAGAATTCATAAGTATTTTCTATGATGTTATAATATAAATATATATTATATAGTTGTTTTTATTAATACAATATAATACGTTCTTATTATTAATTTGAGTTCAAAATATGTTTTTTAGTTATTTATTCTTGAAAGTTTTAATATGGATAATTGAAAAGAATATTTTTATGTGAAATAAGTATCGAATGATTAAATATAAAATGAAGATTTTCATTAACAAGTATATACATATATACATACAATGACATGATTTAATGAGAAAATTATTTAATGTACTATATAAAATTTCTTTTCATGAGTCTTTAAATTTTTGTGATATATTTTATATAATAAGAGTTGTCTATAATATAATAAGTGAGATAAGGTAATCAAATTATATAATTATTTTAATTTTAAATAACTATTAAATTAAATATGGTAAGAAAGAAAAGATAAATAAAAATAATTCAATAGTTGTTTTGAAAATCTTACATAAATATTTATGTTTGAATAATCAATTTGATCATATATTGATATTAATTTTAAAGTAGATAAAATACTAAAATATTTAATTTTCTTAATTGCAGCATAGTATAAAAATAAGATCAAGGTAAGGATTAATTAAAAAAATTAATTTATATCATATACCTGTAAAATAAAATTTCAATTTGTTGGCACGGATATTTTCTAAAGGTATATTAAGTTTTACAGCAACTGGTGCAATAAGACAGTAAAAGCCACCAGAAACAAGATACACCTGCTTTTTTTGGATTTGCAAAGCTTGGATTAATGACCTGAAATGATTGTTAAATTTACATATATTTATTTTAACTAATATTGCAAAGGACATGTAACATGGTTGATTCATTTTAATATAATTGAAAATATGTAACCATTCACTAATTTTTGCTTCTACACCACAAAAGATGTGTACTTACAAATTGTTTATATATATTATGAGTATTAAAAGTAATAATATTGTACTTAATACTAAAAATTTAATTATTTGCACTATATCATTATATTTTAGATTCACGGATATGAAACTATCACTGCACTGAAATTGGAAAATTCTAAAAGGCTGTTATATATTTTTAATATAATATTGTGAATGTGATTTTTATTTAATCAAGCACTAAATATATAATGTGAACTTACTTGATTCCAGGTGTCAATTTAGGTGGATGGCTATGTATAAATTCTTTAATTTGTTTGAAACTCGGCTGAATGATATTAAGCCTGATGGTTAATGACTGTTGAAATGTCATGTTTCCCTGCATTGCTTGTTTCGTCCTAATAGAAATAAATAAATTTAACTTTAAAGTATTTATCTGTATAAAATAAGATAGTTTGTTGCATAATAAACAAAATGATTGAAAATTAACATTTAATAAATAGGATAGTAATAAAATATATTTTTAACTATTTCAAACATTTTCTATAATGTACTAAATTCCAATTATATAAACTTTACAAAATTTAAGAATATTAGGCATACGAACATTTTCACTTTCACAAGATTATTATGTGGTGTACTTTACTTTGTAATTATTACATTAGTCTTCATAGATAAATTGATAGATAAATAAATAAATTCATAGATAAAAAACAAATTTTTTAAAATTTTATTAGATTATATATATTTATTTATTTAATATTCTATTTATAAGTGAATAATGTATAAAGAATTAATGAATATAATTTAATATACAGATAAAATAAAATACTTTATTTCCATCTTTATATAAGTGTTTAATTTTATGATTTTTATTATGATAGGCAATCATTTAAATATTTAATTATTGCCTAAAAATTAAAAATGAACATAATCAATGAAGTTCAATAATATTATTGGTAATTATATTAAAAATTGTTTTTATCATTTCCTATTATTCAGTTTTTTTAAGTTTAATTGTAATCAATATATTTTTAATAAGCTATACTAATTCTTACTTCTAATTGTTCAAAGTAAAATAAGTTAACACAATTTATTTGAAGTATGTATGTATAAATAGGAAGAAAAAATTATAAAATCATGTGAATTATTGAAATAATTAAATTTTTTACATTAGGTTTCATAGATTATATTTATGAAGTAGATAAAAAAATAGACTATTGTTCCAACGAACAATAAGAGCATAACATTGCATAGTATTTATACAAAGAAAGGTCAAATATATTTTATAAATAATAAATTTATTAGAATGTGTGATACTTTATATAGAATTATAAAACTTAATAATTACTGTAATAGTTTAATGTTGAGAATGATGTTAATATAGTTATTCTTATTCAAGAACATCATTATAGAAAAATAAATATAAACTAAATGTAGTTCAATAATACAATTATTAATATTTAATAAGATTAAATATTATTTTACATTGATTTTATAATAAGTATTTTATTATTAATTAATAAATTTGAAGTATCAGTATCCTCATCAAAATAATTTATTAGCTTAAATATTGTAGATGGACGTAATTATTGTTCATTTATTATTAAAACTGCCATAAAAATTTTATACTGTTATATAATAATTTTATTATGAATGTTATATTAAATTTAAAAGTAAATCTAAAATTAATTAATGTATACATATATCTAATTGAATAAATGATTTTTTTATAAAAACATTGAATTAATTTTGATAACAAATATTTAAGTATAATTACAAATGTCTTTATAGCATTAAAATATTTTAAATCTTATTGAAAAATTTGTTTACATGTTATTAAGATTTTAAAAATAAAAAATTAAATATAATTAAATAAATATTCATTATTAAATAAATAAATAAAATAAAAAAATAATAATTAAATATAATTAAATAAAATATTAAATATAAAAAAAAAAAAATACAACAAACTATTTTTTTCAAGAATTGTTATGACTGAACTTTTGCTTTTATTATATACGAATAAAGCAGAACCTTTCTCAGCAAAAATTAGAAAATTTGACCATGGATTTTCTTTCATTCGCAATACATCTATATATAAAAAATTATGGACGCTGCTCGAGAAATTCAGATATTTATGAATGGTAATTTTCGATTTCATATTTTAAAGTTGGGTAGTAGATGAGAAAAGTGGGAACGGAACATACGTTCAATTGATTATTTACTCAAGTTGAATTGTATCAAATATACATTAATGTGATATTAAACTTACAAACTAGCGACCTGATCGCCTTTACCACAGAACTTGGCTAATTCATCGATTCCTTCTTCTACTATAACTGTTGAGTCAACATCGAAGCTTACAGCGTCTGCTAGTCTCCACACCATCTTCACCTCGTCTAGATTCGCCATTCTATTATTGATATTATTACTATGATTATTTTATTTTTTTATTTTGTTATTTCTAATGCATGGCAGTTTATTACTTTTTTGACTGTCCATTCGTTTTTATTTTAGTATACTCAATTTGCTATATTGTATACAATATTATAATATATTGTAAATATACAATATATAAAAATATTTATAAACTTAATTTTGTAAGAAAGTTGAATTAGTTATTAAATACCACAAAAAAATATACTAATAAAAATCTATATTTAAAATAAATATAAACATAAATGTATGACATATTATTATTTCACTTGGAGTTATTTTATTTTATATGAAATATATATAGTAATTTCTAGATTTTTTCTTTTAAATATGTTACGAATCAAATGTATAATTATGTAATGTATATATAATTTGGTTAGTTGCTTTCTATTGATTCTATTAGTATTTAATTTTCAATTCATAATAAAAATATTTGTTTTATAATTATAAATTTTAAAGAAATATTAATTATTCATATTAAATTAAGCAATACAAAATGTAGAAATATTAATCGAGATCTTTATTTTATTTAGTTACATAAAATATTAAACAATATCACCATAACAGTATGACGAAGTTGCATACAGGTGTAGAGTTATAGTGTAGAGATATATTTTACGTTGTCATTTTCTTGAAAATTTGTAATTTGTTACATTCCAAAAGTTGTGAATCAGGTATTAGAAATGCATACTATATCGTATATAAAAATTTCTTGTGTTTTTTACATAACGTATGAACTGTCATATGTTCAAATAACATTTAATACAAACATATTTATTCAATTAATTAAAAAAAATATTTTTTAGTATATTTCAATTTCTTCTCTTATTCAATATAATTAAGCGATAACGAATGAGCTCTTATTTTCCTTTAACTGTAAATGTATAAATTATCATACTTCGATGCAACTGGTTAATTAAAAAAAATGCATTTATATCTTTGTTGTAACTTTTATTTTAAATATATTTCAGTATTTCATTAGCTAAACAGCAATAAACTTTTCTTTAATATTTACATAAATTTATCGAAATTATTCACATGCAATCGCTTTAAATTGTAATTTACACATGGAATTGTCTTTACTTAGTATAGTGTTACAATTTATTTTGAGTATATTAATTTTTTATTGCTGATAAAATTGAGTTTAAACAATTGATCTTTAAATATAGATTTACAACAGAACAAATATGTATTTCAAAACGAAGATAATGAAATTTGAGCAAGTAGTGCACATTGAAAATAAATTCTTTCAGTCACGAAACTTATTTAACTAATGGAGTCAAAAGAGAAATAAATCAGAAATATGCTCACTGATTCTGCTAGTCTCTTTTTCACTTTCAATTTGGCGACACTGTACTTATCGGCATTTCAGTCAATCTTGGCTTGTGAACGACACTTATGAGATCCTCGTTTAAACATTTATGACTTTAGGTTTAGCTTTGCTTACATCATCATTATGTAATCAGGAAAGTAGTAGCGGTGGAAACGACAAACTATTTTCCCGCCAAAAAGTTGTTTCTGCGGGAGAGGTATGTTCGCTTACACGTCTACCTAAACTCTTTTTCACGGATGCAAGAGAATTTTTATTTACTTTTATTTGGCCTAATAATTGATAACTTTTGTACATTTTTGCTGGGATTGTCAATTTTCGAGATTGAAATGTATTCACATAGCTGACTAAACATTACATTATCGAAAAGTAATTACAAGCATCTGTTTCTATAATAAATTTCACATAATTTTTTGATTTTATAGTAATTTTTATACAAATACACATTTACATAATCGTTCATGTTTAAAGATTTTCATCTTTTATATTAAATTTTATGTTTATCCAAAAAATTTAATCTTGCTATCAATTTCTGAAGTGCTTTGATTAAAATTATTTTACTATGATTGGTATAAATAAAAAATATATATTTAAATAATTCATGATAAAAACATAATGCTTAAATAAGAATAGTGATAGTAATAAATAAACAATTAAATAAGTAAAGTATAAAAAATTTTAATTTTTTAGTCTTTAAAAATATTTATTTAAACTTTTGTTTTTCCTAAATAACATCTTTTCTTTTAAAACATTAAAAAGAATTCAAGGTAGAATTATAACAACGTTAATGAATAAATATATACAATATTGAAAAATTCTGATGGATATCATTGTTTTACTATAACCAGGTACTCACCATAGAAAGAAACGATTACGTATTAAAAATTCTTTCAAAAGTTGACTACGAACATTTTTCGTACTCATTTTACAATAATATATAAATGTAACTCAATATATCAATTTAAATTAAAACGATTTATATATATATATATATATATCAGCGTTGTAGTTATTTTGTATTCGTTTTTTGCTTATTGCTTTCCAATAGGGTTAATGTGATTATGAAATAGCAAATGTGCAAGCGACATATGACAAATACAAATTTGGACGTATATCAACAAGGATAAAATTAAAATGATACAAAACTAAAGAATTATATATATAGTACAGTATTAAGACATTACAATGTCCTATAAAAAACTTTTAACGATTCGCTAGGGTGATGTTATAAGTTATATGCCTAATCGAAGTTTGGCTGCATTTTTTAATGAAATTCATTTTTATTTTTACGAATTCATTAAACTTATTTTTTTATTTTATAATTATATATATGCATTAATTGTAATATGTATGACTGACTTCAGAAATGTATTGGAGATAATATATCTCTTGTTCGAATATCAAAATTCATATCTATCTTAAATGATAAATAGAATATATAGTAATATATAATATCTGGATAATTTGTTAAATATTTTAAGTAAATTAGATAACATACACAATAAATATTGATCATTTTTATTAACAATTATAGTAATAAAATAAAATAATATTCTCTCTCAACAATAATAATAATAACATTCTTTCTTATTCTTTCATAATAACAGTGTTTTGATATTATTTAGTACGTAGATTAATTTCTATATTGTTGTGAATCAATATTGCATGTATTCCCTTGAAACCTACGTTTTATCTATATATATATTGTTTATTTTTGGGATTGAAGCAACTTACAAGACCGTGACTATTGATATCGCTAGTCTCAGTATCCTCAAGTTTCTGTTAAACACTTGGGAGGAGAATTTTTCGTGTACTTGTTATGTTTTGATTTTAAATGGCCCACAATGCTTATAGTTTTCGAGTAATAATGTCGCTTGGAATTCTCCAAATTTCTTACGCCTTGTTTTTTTTTTTTAGTATTTTCGAATCTTATAGAATTTTCCTTCTGCGCCTCATGTAAAATTCCAGTGTAGCAACAACGATGCTTTATTGCCAGTTTAGTAAGAGGGCATGTGGATATATAAGGCAAGCACGCGACGAACCTCGCTCTCTAGCTGTGAAGCTCTCGCGCATTGAAAAACTTATGCAGTCAACTGACACAGTAAACATTTCTCAACAAAGCCATCACGGAACGAACAAGCCTTCAGTTTCGTGCGCGTATTCAACAGTCTTCTAGGCTCACGGTAAATTTCTCAATCAAATAGTTATCAATTATCACTCTATACAGCAACCACATTACGCCATATAACAAGCAGTCAGTTTTACTCATTATACGTAGATAATTTAGCCAGACTTAGCAACAATCAACTAGTAAGCCAAATACAGTGAAGCCAATACATTTAACAACTGTTTTAATGCGCTACAGTTCAAGCAGTCAAGAGTGCTGATTGCAATTCCAAAAAAGATAAGGAAATAAGAAGCATAACACCTATGCGCTCATCACAGAATCCGGTAAGATAAATAAAGTTTGCGTTAAGTCAATTAATAGAGAAACCATTTATTGAATGCACTTACGCGCCAACCTCGTACTGCATTGAAGGTGCAAGTGCATCCACCGAGATAGGCATTATTGGATCGCAAAGTTCTCGTAAACGGCTGAAGGTGTAATAGAAAAACCCCGGCTACAAGCTACAAGCAACTACATGCTGTCGCATGCAGCAGCAGCAATGGGAGATCTGCTCAGATGAAGACCCAGAGACGACTAGGCCCTTAATTAACTCCGAAGCCAAAAGAGGCGCTGACCTCGCACTATAAGGGAGGAGTCTCTGATTGGACAGAAAATAAGGGAAGGGGTTCAAGTAAAATTCATGGTCAGCAAATGTATTTAAGGGGCACAATTTTCAATACTTATTTACTCTTGATACTTATCCCTCTCGATACTTAACTCTCTTAATCCTTATCACTCGTGATATTTAACTGTCTTGATATTTAATCTTGATAGTTTTTAGTTAGTAGTATTTTCTTGATATTACTCTTTTCGAAGTGTCTCTCAGTTTTTTGATATCTATTGCTAATTAGTATTTTTGATATCTCTCTTTTAATAATACTCTCTCAATATTAAACCCTTGAGATATTTCATACTCAGTTAAGTTTTAGTGGAAGTCCATTTAGCGCTATTTTGGGAACGACCTACACTTCTTCGGATTGTCCATTAACACTGTTAATGGAACAGTAGTTACTGCCTCGGAAGAACCACGACATAAACCCGCATGTCCACTAACGCAGTTCAAGAAACTATAGTTACCTGTTCCAAGGGAGCCACGACAATCCGCCTATCAGAGTCTGAAGACGAGTCAACGATTAGTCTTTGTAAGTAGTATCTACTACAATAATTACATATATATTGAGATTCAGAGTATTACATCGACAAGTACTAAGAAAGAGGAAGCTACTCTTAAAACGACAGTGCGAAATAAATTCTTGTACGCGTCGTCAAGTTTCGCGCCCGCCAAGGGCATCCCACTTCGTAACCCTCACCTTAGTTCAAGTTCGGAAGCTTACGAAAGTACGCAAAACCCAACGCAAGTGTAGGCAATCCAGTTTCGCGCCACTTGCGATATCTTTCAATCATAAAGCCGCATTCATAACCTCAACCACACACGTGCTCGTTCAAAAGGCGCTAGTGTCGACGAACGAAACTTCGCGCCATTCGCCATTTGTATTCAATAATCAAGCTGCATAGATTATTGTACAGTTGTCTCCGCAACACATCATTTCAATCAAGAATTTAGTTCTACAAGTAATAATAGTAATACTAGTGAACTTTGTCATTAATAAATAACAGAATAAAAAGCATATATTTCAGCCATATCATTATTGTATTATTATAATATCCCTTCCACTTGTGACCTGTCATCGCTACCACACAACACCCGTGGTCTCTGAGTTGTCAACGGCATCAAATTGTATCCGTTGAACCGGCCTTGATAAAACAAGTCGGAACGACGAGTTGCATTTTGTACACATTTAAAAATGTAAGATAAAATATAAATATACCCATGTACATTCAAAAGATATTAAAATTCAAATATATCGTAATTTATTTACCTAATTTTAGACATATTCACAATGAAGTATAAAATATAAGAAAAATTGAAGTCATTAAAAATAAAATTTTATATATTTTTAAACTTATAATGAATTAGATAATAAATAAAATAAAATTAATAATAAATGGGTTCTTTTTATTTACGTATATATTAAATATAAGCTTTTTAAATTATAATTAAAATAATAAAATATAATACGGACAATTCTTTTCCACTAAATAATTATTAATTTATAAAATGTTATATTGTTTTTTATATATATATATATGTTTATGAACACTATAAATAGAAATGTTCTTTTATTTGAGTGAAGAGAAAGACAAACAATGATAGGTAGCTTTGATGCATGCTGTTTTATCTGTTTTTCTGCTTCTTTTTTTAAACAAGAGAAACAAAGAGAGATAGTATATATATATATATATATATATATATATATATAAAGATCAAGGTAAATTTAAAATTAATGAAATAAAGCATATATTTTAACAAAATAATGTTTCCCGCTATTAAATACAAATATTAAAAAAAATTGTTTTAACAATGAGTTATATTTTGATCAGATATTATATTAAAAATTATAAACTAATTGTTCAAAATTAAATATATAATCAGTAGACACAACTATAAGAAATGTATAAATGGATATAAGATATACAAAATCAATAAAAGGAAACGATTTTAGTGTAGATGAATTATCAAAAAACACCATTTATAATCTTTCTGCAACGACTGTAATAGCATTGGATGTTTATGAATAAAAATGAAAGTACAAATTTCTTGAAAAATAGTTAACTGAACAATTACATTTTTACTGTATCGTTTTTTATTCTGAGTTAATCAATTAAAAACTGGTCTAATTGAATAATAAAAATTCATTATTTTGATGTATACATTTGAATTTCCTATTTTATGGGAATTAATGATATTGTTTATAAATAATATTTAAAAGTTTTTTATTATTATTGACAGAAAAGTATTTATTCTTTTAAATTAATGAAATGTCAATATAAGTTATGGAATTATATATTATGAACAAAAATCTAATTTAAAGTATTGATTATAAGGGAATAATATGAATTATGCATTGTTTAATTATGTTATATACTATAATGCAAAAAAAATGTTATTTGTATAAAAATTATTATTTTCGTGAAAATAATTTTACTATATTTAACAAATTTTATAAACATTAGTTAAATTATTTAAATCTATTTAAAATATATAATAATCGATTTTTAAAGAATAAATCAAAATACAAAACAAATTATTTTTTTGGATATAATTTAATAATACTTAAGATAAAATTCAAATATTGATTGTACCTGTAAATTATACAAAATAATTTCACCATATATTATGAACTATTTTATAGCTATTAATAATTATCACTGTTCATTAAATTTTTTCTAACATTTTTAAGTTATGCAATATTATAAAAAACTATATAACATACAAAAAATATTTTTATTAATTTTCATGCCATTCTGTTGTTAAACTAATCAAATTTTTACAAATATTATAATTAAAAAATAGAAATTTTATTATATTTTATATTACAATGAAAATATTTGACATAAAAGAAAGTTATTAACTTATTTAGTTGAATCTTATACTTGTAGAAGTTTGCATAGTTTAATCACTTATATTCATATTGTAATTATTGAATAGATGCTCTTAAAACCTTATAAGAAAATATTTTCTTACAATACTTAGATTTTGCTTGAATCGATGTTTTCATGAATGAAAACATTTTCAATTTTTAAATAAATTTTAAATAAAAAGCAAAATTTTCACAAATGAAAACTTATGTTTTCATTTATGAACCGATAATTTAAAACAATTTATTTACTGTTTTCAATTTTATAAATAAATATATATTAAATAAAATATTTGTTTACATTACTGGACTAAAATATAATTTAAAGTGTATATTTATTATTTATATAAATAATATATTTCGATTTTGATAGTAATATTTTATATTAACAAATAACTTATAATTAGTAACATTATCACTACATATTTGTAGCTGGAATTTAATAGTAAATATATCAGAGATACAATGGACTTACAATTTTAATGCGCATGCTTTAAATAAACATATTACCATTCTTACATATTGTAGCTCTCTTGATATTCCGATCCAATTATAGAGTTGGTCGTTAGTCGTGTATGGATAATATTTTTTTAAAATAGTACCTGAGTGTACATTAATAATTACATAATTGTTGGTGACCAATGTATAGGTCGTGAATGTAGATATTTAAAATTTTTTTTTTCTATACCCTCCAATCTATTTACTTCAAAATATTTTTAAAAATTATTGTTTTGACAATAAAATAAGTTGCTTACTGACTAGTTTTTGCTCTCCTAGTTTGTAATATTACAATTATGTCTATGCAATTGGTACAACTTTATATAATGTGACAACATTTAAATAATAGTAATGGTATGTTAATTGTTTTTTTATTAAATTAAACTGAATGTAATTTTAATTTTATAGTATGCAGGGTATGATGAAGACTTGTGAAACACTGAATGTATTAATTTATATTACAGATTTATACTACATGAACTTATCCAAATATATTATGTATATATTTTAAATAAATTAGAAACAACAAAATTAACTAAGAAATGTACTTTTTTAAAATTATTATATTTAATTTAATATCATTATTTTATGATTTAATAAAAAATATGTTTTCAATAGTTTATGAAGGTATGAAATGTCTTTCAATGCAAATATTTCAAATTTTGGATCATTGTCATCACATAGTAGATCCCATAATTATTCATCAAATCTTGGCACAGCTGTCACGGATGCTGTTCATGAGAGATTCCGTCCTAATTTAGTTTATTGTGATAATTGCAAAAAGAAGTTTATTGGAAATAGTATAAGTATTCATGAGCACTTTAATAAATCTCATCCAGCAGTTGTGTATTGTATTTATTGTTCAGGAAAAGTTTTTTATTACTACAAAGGTGATATTAATAAATCTGAGAAATTTTATTATCATCGATGTCGAGATTGGTTAAATAGAGAAGCCATTATAAAATAATTAAATATGAAAAAATAATATATAGGTATTTAATTTTAATAATGTTTTTTTTAAATTAAATAATATCACATTATATTTTGATTATGCGAGTAGTTATTTACATATTCATTGTAAGAGAAGTGTCAGTGTATGAAATATATAATTTAATAATAACTCATTAAAAATTATTTGTTTATAATCAATTTTAATATATATCAAATAATATGATTATCATTTATTGAAGATATAGTACATAAACTTGTAAAACGTTAACAAATAATAACATTTTTTGAAAAATAGATTGTATTAGCACATTTATTTATATATCCATCTCTTGGTTTAGATATAAAATAGAATTAATAGTTTTCAAATAGTTATAATAAGATAATAATTATATGTTAATTACTTCTATATATTGTTAGCTCTATGAAAATATATTGGGTTTCATAATTATATAAGTACATTTTAAATGAATTACTAAATCTCTATTGCAAATTAAAATTTTTTGTTAGATAAAATTTAAACTTTCAATTTCATAATTGAGTATTTAGTTTATTACAAATTTTACATTTATATCCAAATATAAAATAATTATAATTGATTAACAATAACAAATAACATTTATTTAGAGCTAAAATAATTGCCTCTTTTGTAGTAATAGTTTAGCTGTCTTAATTAACATTTACATATAAGTAATATTTAGTTACAATCAATATATTTTATAAGTATTAATGCATGAGTTAATTATATAATAATAAAAAAGTATTCACATATGTTAATTTATTAGCTAAAATTTAAATTACAGAAACAAGTTCATATCTTTTTTATATATTATATTTAAATATTAAAACAATATTTCTATAATGTTGATAAAGGCTTTATTGAATTTTTTTTTGTAATAGTTTATTTTAAAGCCAATTATAAATGTATAGTTTAATTCATTTTATGGAGTTCATTAGCTTATAAATTATTTGGTTGTTTTGCTTTTTAGAAATAACATCAATTTTGTTGGATAATCAGTCATGATACCTGTGGCTCCTAGATCAAATGCTTTTTGAAAATCTTCTTTATTTAAAACCCAAAAATAAATCTATATATTCAATTAAATATTTATGTAATATAACATATAATTATGTAAGTGTATATGTAACAAAATATATTTTTTTAGAAAAAATACATGTATACCACGAGCTTGTAAATGATTAAACAAACATGGTCTCATTAATAGTATGTTCAAAGTTCCTAAAAAAATTGTATTCATTGGAAAAATTTGTTCGATTTGATGATCTCTTCTTTTAAAATAAAAAATATTTATTAAACTTTATTTAAATAATAATATTTAAAAATTTTAAATTCATATGAGTTTATTACCGGAGATAAATGGATGGTAAAAATATTTCAAGATGCGTTTCCTTTAGAGGAATAAATGGTAAAAGACCAGTGTACATAAAAATTATTAATAATATAACTCTTTTCATAGAAAATAATAAATTTACATTAGGATTCTGAAAATAACTTTTATGCATAAAATTTATTGAGATAATAACAATATGAATAAAAAATGAAACAGAAGCAGAAACCATTTTATAACACTTTTTAGTTATTTCATTATTAAAGTTTCTCCATATAGTATATTCCTCTCTATTATAGTGTTTTATTAATTCTGAAACTTTAAATATAAGCTCATCACTGGTAATTTTAATATCAATATTAATGGGTATTTGAGGAAAAGCTTCAAAAACTTCCTTTAATAACACAAATTTCCTCTCCTCTTTTTTATCGGAACCAGCATAGATGACACCTATAATGAAATAATCAATAACTGCAAACAATTTTTTATAAAAGTATATATATAGACAATCCATACCTGGATCAAAATGAATTGGTAATTTTGATTTTAATAGTGGTAAATCATTAAAATTTATTTCAGAAATGTTTATATCTATTCCAGTACTTGTTGATAAATTTTGATCATGAGAAACAACTACATGTCCATCTTGTGTTAGATGACAATCTAATTATATCATTTCAGTACCTGCAGCTACTGCACTATAAGAAATAAACTTTTTGTTTTAAATGTTATTAATAATTAATAATTTAAAAATAAATTATGAAAATTTGAATTGCAATAGTCAAATAAATATAATAATGAATTCAAAATATAATAAATTTATTAATTACATTACTACTAACCGTTCAAAGGCACACATTGTATTTTCATAATTTTCACCAGCACCTATAGAATTAAATTATAATTAAGATTCAATTATAAATTTCATATATCAATAAGTAAGAAGTTAAAAAATTAGTAAAAATATAATTACCACCTCTATGACTTATGTGACGACATACAAATTAATTTTTTTTCTTTTTGTGAATCAATGTTGGGTATTTAATAAGAAGTAATGATGTAAGAACATAACTACCAATTATGGTATATAATAACATATTTAAAAATATGTAAGCATTGGTTTAGGAAAATATATGAAATTGTAATATTTGTAAATATTTAATTTATATATAAATAAATGAAAAAGTATACGATATGTCTGGAATTATATGAAAATAAAAACATTTTAATAACTTTTTTATTAATTGTTCTAGTCTTATGATCAATATATTCTATTCATACAGAACTAATCATTTAAAAAATAAAATCATGTATGATAAATTATTATAAGTGTAATTTTTATCATGTTCAACTAATGAAAAACAAAAAGTTGCGATATTGGTTTTTAAAATATTTTTAAAAACTACTTCGGAAAATTTACCAAATCAACCAAACTTTTATTTAAACATAATTTTTGAAAATACTTATATTAAAACTAAATCAATCATTTTCATTATTGAAAACTTCATACATATATTATTTTAATTCAATTTTTGATCGATTTTTTAAAATAAATATTAATTGTAACTTAAATTTGTATTATTTCTGAAATTTAACTAGCCTAACAAAATTTGCATTAATTTATATATTCAAATAAATAATCCCTAAATAAAATAATTTGACACGAGGCTAATAAATGTTTTTACTATTTTATCATATAAAAAATTATAATTAAAATCCATGAATTAAAATATAATTTAATAATTATTTAATAATTTTATTCTAACAAAAACTATTAATGTAATGTTTTAATTCCAAATATTTATTAATGTTTCTGTTATCGTTTCATTTTCCTATACACCAGTTTCGTGTTCTGATGAAAACAAATAACAAATTTACTAAATTTTAATATCTGCTAAAAAGTATTTAATGCTATACTCTATGCTTGCATATATATAATCATATGCATGTTAAACAATCAAAATTGAAATGACTAATAAGAATATTTTCATTAAAATTTTTGGACAATTTTTGAATATTGAAAATAAATGAATACGAATTAACAAAAAATTAAAAATTATTTTATTCATTTATATTTCATATAATTTATAATATAGTTATTACTCTTTTGGTCAAATTTAATGTTTGGATATTTTAAAAATTGTGTCATTTTTTAATTATTGTTTAAATGAACTTTTTGTAACATACATTTTAATCTTTATGAGAATTTTAATCGAGTAAGCATACATTAAGCCGTTAACCACCAGCTGTATATATATTAACAAATTGCAATATAAAGTGTCTAACTAGAAAATATGTCATTGTTCATCTAGAGAAAATAATTTAGAAAATTTGATCATTATGTTAACAAGATATAGTTAATGGTCATCTTACCGTAGAGATTTCATTCAATAAATTATTATAATTACTTGAATATGGTAAACTGTATAGAAATTGGAAGAAGCTGTTAAAATATTCGATATAGTAGAAATTATATTCTAATGTATTCATATTTCATTATTTCATTTATAGTTAATTAAATTTTTTTCTTTGAAATGCATTCTTAATAACCAATAGAAAGTCGAGAAATAATTTTATACGATAGATACGGACTGAATAAAAATAAGTTTATAACAAGTTAATTTTTTCATAAAATAAATTCAATATATGTAAATTTGACCAATGCAATTAGAATAAAAAATAAAAGGAATTATATTTTAAAAACTGTCTGGGATCAGACTAGAAACCTCCTTTGATGGTGGGTGGAGGTGTTGTTGGCAAGTGAATGGACAGTGCAATGATTCAAGACTACCTTTAATGTTTATCTTTGTTTCTTTATTAAATATAATAATAATCAATAATTAATTATGAAGTATAAATAATATAATAGATTAAATATAAAGTTTCCTTTATTGTTACGTATTATGAATGTATTCTTCCTTTGTTGTATAATGAATAAATGCTATCTTAGCATACATTAATTTGTTGATGTTTGTGTTATACTTTGGTGCCGCGCCTATGGTGCGTCGGTCTTATCAGTAATATGTTTCAATAGTAGTATGCTTGATGCCACGCCTATGATACGTCGGTCTTATCTGTGAGATACTTCAATAGTAGTATGTTGATACCGCGCCTATAATACGTCGGTCTTGTCTATAATATGTTTTAATAGTGATATGATTAATGCCGAGCCTTTATTACATCGGTCTTGTCTTACGTATGAGTTGCTTTAATATATTTTATGTTTCACTATTGTTCTATAGTCATTAATACGTTATTAATAATTTTAGAATAAATGACACTATTTCTTACGTAGATTATTACTTAATTGATGATTAATTATATATTATTAAACTGTGGTTTCTGTATATGTGGTCGAAAAAATATAGTGCGTTTTATAATGATTGTGTAACGTTAATAGACTGAAGCAAACTGAGCTGCTCCGCGTGAAGCGCAGCCCTTAAATATTATCGCACTAATTCTCCAAGGCTGATATTTGTTACCATGACGATATTGGTCGTGACGTCATCATGGCATAGTCTGGAACGTTCGTTGCTAGTATTTTGTTTAACAACTGAACCTCTCCCACTTTTGACTTTCAATTTTTTGTCCGTAACAAAAGCAATGTCTATATTTACAATTACGATTTATAATTATATATAAAATTAAGTTATTGTAATAAGTAATAAAATGAAATATTAACGTATGTTTCAAGCATATAGGATTTAAGATCTGTTCTATCTTATTTTATCTCTTTACATAGTATTTTATCTATTGCGTCCGCAACTAGATATACTTAAATCTTATATTTAAAAGGAATATTCCACACACATCCTTTCCGAATAATACAATTTGTATTCTATTCCTTCTTACAATATATATTTACTGGAAAATCCATGAATCATATCGATTGTTTGAAATATTTATGTTTTTTCTATTTACTGAAATACTCTACACATAAACTACTTCAAATGTTCTTATTATACTTTTTATTAAAGATCATATTGAATACTTCTTAAATTTAATATTGTAGATACTCTAATCTATTTGTCTTCTTATTCTATACTATCTTAAAATAACTTAGTATGTATAACACGATTATATCTTGTTAATGTTGTTTAACAGTATTTTTTTATAAGCATTGCCTCTCAATTTCCGTGCGGTACGTAATAAATCTTAACTTGTTTGGTATTTATATTTAGTATCTGTTTAATAATATATTTTATAATAGCTGTGATTTCAATTTTAATATTAACATAATGTTATATAGTATTTATATAATTTCAATCAAATTATATGAAAATAATTATTTTTCCAAGTGTTGACGCCCTACTTCAAATGTTCTTATTATACTTTTTATTAAAGATCATATTGAATACTTCTTAAATTTAATATTGTAGATACTCTAATCTATTTGTCTTCTTATTCTATACTATCTTAAAATAACTTAGTATGTATAACACGATTATATCTTGTTAATGTTGTTTAACAGTATTTTTTTATAAGCATTGCCTCTCAATTTCCGTGCGGTACGTAATAAATCTTAACTTGTTTGGTATTTATATTTAGTATCTGTTTAATAATATATTTTATAATAGCTGTGATTTCAATTTTAATATTAACATAATGTTATATAGTATTTATATAATTTCAATCAAATTATATGAAAATAATTATTTTTCCAAGTGTTGACGCCCAAATTAGTCAGTCACATATCATTTTCTAGTAAAATTTCTTACTTTTGAGTGTACTCCTTTTAAATATTTTTGGTGCACCAATATCTCTCATAGGTTAAAGCTTGTATTTATCTAGAGTTCTATAGTCATAGTCACTATTTTAGTAATATTTTTTTAGAGCCATGTTCTATTTTGTAGAGTGCCTTAGCATTCAATTAAAGAATATTTTTATACTTTAAGAGGCGGGCTTGGTAAATGATTCTTCGCATTTTATATAGTTATTCAATTGTAGTTTACAAGAATTACTAATATTTTTCATCAAAAATGATTTCATTATTTTCATAATTATTAATTTATCAAAAGTCTGACTATAAAGTTAGGAATAATTTTATGAACAAAATTAAAGATAAAACAAAATTTATATTCAAAGATTGTTAATGATGTTTGGAGACGTTAAAAGATTATTTATACAAGTTTTCTAAAAAAACTTAATATTATCACAGAAAGTACTGATAAATAAATCGTTATAAAAATTAGATTTAAGAAAACTTAAGAATCTGAATTATGATTCAAAACATGTGTATTTGAAAATAAATATAAAAAAGAACAAATAACATCGAATTTTCATTCTATCGAAACTTTTGTAATTTTAATTACACTGCTAATGTGGTACTTGCAATGTTGTAAATTAGTTTAAATAATACAAAAATTAATAACGAGTACATTTGAATTAAGTATAAATAAAAATTCTAAACTTTGATCTAATTATATTTTATAATGCACTAGTTAGAATATTGGTTAGATATTGAATATATAACTGAAGCTGATAGATTATGTTGGTGAAATGTGTTGATAATATTCTTAACACAACACCTGTGTAGATGCTTCAAATTCATGATTTCCTATAATGAATCTGATATAGCCGTTATTGTCTCTACAGATTTGTATTAACTTTTCGGAATGGATGAAACACTCGACTTTTATTTTTATATCAAAGGATAAGAATTTTTTATTTATCGATATTAGCTTAATATCTTACTATCTTTAATGGCGATTTCTCCAAATATTTTTGCAATGTTCTAGTATTTAGTACAATTGAATTCCCATAGTTTGTATTGTTAGAGGCATTGATGTAGTAATTAACATTTATAGATGAGTTCACTATTGTTTTTTAATTCCATCATTGTTTTATTTATAAAATGTTGCCTCCATTTATTCGAAGAATTACATAAAATCATTGAAGCTTACCAAATCTCTTTAAAATGTGTATAGTAATAAAGTCGAATGCGGACATTTTATATAAAAGTGTAAAGAGTAAAATTATATGAACGATGTCTTTATGCAACAGAAATTATATTTTAATATTTTGTTAAATACATTATAATCTGGTACTAAAATCATGGCAAGGTTTTCATGAATTTTGATAAGACGAGTATCAATAAAAGATGGTGTTTCAATTGTATTATGGATGGACTAGAATTTATGTCACCATTTTGAGACAGATTACTTAAAATATGTAAATTGCGTATTCTAAAAGTAAAGAAATGCGAAAAAGCAAAAAGTATATTAAATTTTATATTCAGGAAACAGAGAACTATAGAAAAAGAAGAGTTGAGAATACACATTCCAGTAAATAACGATTAGTATTCCAGTAAATAAAAAAATCACTAAAAATGACTAATTACTAAAAATTCCTTTGTTGATTGATAAGTTTTAATTAAGAATTAGAAAAAATTAGTAACATAATACAAACTATTATAAATATATATGTGTATAATTAATATATTAAATAAACTTTTAATAAGAAAAATTATATTCTTTTTTAAAATAAATTATCTTTAATTATAATCATTTGAAAATATAAACAAGTTTCATATTTTCTTATATAGAAATTCTGTTAATGTTAATTAATTTTTTTTTTAATAAGATTATTTTAGAATCTTATTCTTATTTTTTAATAAGATAGCATATTACAGAATAAAAGCTTAATATTTTAAATAAGTAAAATTTATAAAGTAAAGTAAAAAAAAACCATGCATTTTTAATTATAGAGCTGAATAAGACAAGTTTTATTAGTATGTTACGAAATATGTTATTATGAATTATCTATATATATCTTATGCACATATACAATAAATAATTGGATATCGCAGATATTTTTGTATCATATTTATATTCTCCGCGTTTTCCAAAGTAATTAGATGAGACCTCTATTGCCGCTCATGATCACCTTAGTTTGAAAGAATATTACTGATCAACGGTTGAGTATACCATTTTTGAATTCTATACGAATAGGAAAATCGCCATCTTAGCTTCTTTTACGATATAAGGATGGTAGTAAACGATTAAAAACGTTTTTAAAAGGAAGAAATTTTGGTTTCGTAAACAGTACAGTATATATATATTTTTTTTAAATCATAAATTTAAACTACTATAATAAATATAATACATTAATTATTTAGTCTAGATTTTTTGACTTATTTTTAGAAACAATATATTTTTATATCATACATTATTTCAAGTTATTTCCGTATGTAATAAATAATGTTTAAACACGCTAGAAAGTAACGAAGATATGTAATTTATCTTGTATATTTAGTTTGTTGAAATACAAATTGTATTTATATCTACATAGTTTCAAAAAACATGTATTGGAATTAATTTTATTCAGAAAAAATTACACCAGAGCTATATTTAATATGGTTTGCCACGTTTTTATTTGTATATAAAATCAAGTTAAATTTTATCGTAATTAAAATATAATTAGTTTATTATAAATTATGTAATTTATTAATAAGCATTAAAAAGAATAGTCAATATTGATTAGTACAGAAAATAAAATATAAAATCTAGAAATGAAGATAGTAAATTGTTATAAATCTTCTTTATACAATACATTACTAAATAAACCGAATGTAAAAGATACCGTTTTGAAGAATTTACTAAATAGTTTGTAAAAGACATACATTTTTTTTAACTTGATTAAGTTATTAAAAGAAATTATTAGCTTACAAAATGTCCCTTAAACATATAAATTTATGTTATATTTTAAATATATCTTTTTATTCTATATAATTTATGTATTGTGTTTTTAAATGGGTTTTCAGATTTTGAGTATAAATATGTCTCTGCCTCCATATTTATTGGGTCCAAATCCTTGGGCTCAAATGATGGTTCAACAACAAGCACATGCTCAATTAGCAGCAGCTCAAGCTCATGCCCAAGCAGCAGCACAAGTTCAAGCAGCGCATCATGCTCATATACAAGCTATGAGTGGAAGTGGATCATCAATTTCTCAACCTACAAAGCAACTTGAAGTAATCTCTGAAGATAAGTTGCAGGAAAAAGGTTATATAATTCTCTTCAGTAAATTATTTTCAGTAATAAATATCTTTAAATTAATATATTTTTTATGTAATAATATCATAATATTTAAATTAATTGTAAATTTCAAGCAGTACAATATTTTATAAAGAATAATAATGTTTGGAATAAACTGTATTATATTTAAGTTAATTGATATTTCATAAAATTATATAAGATTTACGCCAATAAAAGAAGTATATTACATATAAAACTAACATGAAATTTGTATTTTATAGCACAAAAATGGCAACAGTTACAATCAAAGCGTTTTGCAGAAAAACGGAAGTTTGGTTTTGTTGATGCTCAAAAAGAAGATATGCCACCAGAGCATATTCGTAAAATTATAAGAGATCATGGAGATATGAGTAGTCGTAAATACAGACATGATAAACGTGTTTATTTAGGGTAAATTTTAAGACTTGGATATTTTACATTTTTGCAAGTTATAAACTTTTTAAAATTAAAATAATTTTTATTAGAGCTCTAAAATATATGCCACATGCTGTTATGAAGCTTTTAGAAAATATGCCAATGCCTTGGGAACAAATTAGAGATGTGAAAGTATTGTATCATATAACAGGTGCAATTACATTTGTAAATGAAATACCCTGGGTGATCGAACCTGTTTATATTGCACAGTGGGGGTAATCAATAAAATTTATATTTTTAAATTTATATATTTAAATTTTTATTTTTTAATTGTATATTAATAAATAACTTTAGTACTATGTGGGTTATGATGAGACGAGAAAAACGTGATCGTAGACATTTTAAAAGAATGAGATTTCCACCATTCGATGATGAGGAACCTCCATTGGATTATGCAGATAATGTTTTAGATGTAGAACCGCTGGAAGCTATTCAAATTGAATTGGATTCTGAAGAAGATTCTTCTGTTGCTACCTGGTTTTATGAACACAAACCACTCATTGGATTAAAGTAAATAAATTAGTTTGATTATTTTTATAAAATTATCATTTTTTTTTTATGATGAAATGCGTAGGGGTCCTGAAATCAACAAAAAATGTGAGTTGACAACTGTAGTGTTTTTGATGATTTGTCTGAGATGATTCATTAAATACTAAAGTTGGATCAAACGCTAATCTGAAAATTTTATCTATGTATAAACTTATAATTTTTTGAAAGTTCGTTTTCATAAAAATAATAAGTTAAACAAACTTTCAGGCACATTAATGGATCCACATATAGAAGATGGAATTTAAGTTTACCCATGATGGCAACTTTATATCGCCTTGCAAATCCATTACTCACAGATTTAGTTGATCATAATTATTTTTACCTGTTTGATCCCAAGTCATTTTTTACTGCAAAAGCATTAAATATGGCAATACCTGGAGGTCCAAAATTTGAGCCTCTGGTTAAGGATTCTAATGCTGCTGATGAAGATTGGAATGAATTTAATGATATTAATAAAATTATAATTAGGCAACCAATTCGAACAGAGTATAGAATTGCCTTTCCTTATTTATATAATAATATGCCTCATTTTGTACATTTATCATGGTAAGGAAAATACGTTAAGAAATTGAATAATTAAATTTCCACATTTTGTTTTGAGATTAAAAATCTAAATTTTATTAAGTCTTACTAGCAAAGTGGTATAATAAAATGGTAGTAGTTATTTGTATCTTTCATTAAGTTTTGAAAGAAACTGCTGATTTTGCCTATAAATTAAATTATAAGATATAAAATATTCTGTATATTTATTAATAAATTTAATAGTGATTGTAATTAGTCAATTTTTATAGGTATCATGCACCAAATGTAGTATATATAAAAACTGAAGATCCAGATTTACCTGCATTTTATTTTGATCCCTTAATTAATCCAATTTCTCATCGAAATTCTTTAAAGGTCAGTTAAAATATTTCATACCATTAAACTTTTTTTTATCATTAAATTAAAACCAGGTATCTTATTTATAATACTTTTATAAATATTCTTTGTATAAATAAGAAACTTTAATTCTTGAAGCTTTATATATATTTAGACAATGGAACCTATAATAGAAGATGATGAAGATTTTGTTCTTCCTGAAGAAGTGCAACCTTTCCTTCAAGAAACCCCACTTTATACTGATAATACAGCTAATGGAATAGCTTTACTTTGGGCTCCAAGACCCTTTAACACTCGATCTGGTAGAACCAGAAGAGCGATTGATATTCCTCTTGTTAAAGCATGGTATCGAGAGCATTGTCCACCAGGTCAACCAGTAAAAGTTCGAGTTAGTTATCAAAAATTGTTAAAATATTTTGTTTTAAATGCATTGAAACATAGGCATCCAAAACCACAAAAGAAGAGATATCTGTTTCGTTCTTTCAAGTCAACAAAATTCTTTCAAACAACAACGGTTGATTGGGTAGAAGCTGGTTTGCAAGTATGCAGGCAAGGCTATAATATGTTAAATCTTCTTATTCATAGAAAAAACTTAAATTATCTTCACTTGGATTACAACTTTAATTTAAAACCAAGTAAAACGTTAACAACTAAGGAGAGAAAGAAATCACGTTTCGGAAATGGTTAGTATTTTTGCTATTCTAAAATTTTATGTTCTGCATTTTTGTACAAAATAAAATATTAATATTTTTTATTTTTATTTATAATTAGTTTATAATGTAATGCTAATTTTTTTTCAGCTTTTCATTTATGTCGTGAAATACTCCGATTGACAAAATTGATTATTGATTCTCATGTTCAATATCGTTTAAATAATGTCGATGCATTTCAACTTGCTGATGGATTACAATATATTTTTGCTCATGTTGGCCAGTTAACTGGAATGTATCGATACAAATATAAATTAATGAGGCAAATAAGGATGTGTAAAGATTTAAAGCATTTAATTTATTATCGGTTTAATACAGTGAGTTATAATTATATTAAATTATAATGATATATTCAAGTTCTTCTTAATTTTATAAGTTTATACGTTTAAGGGCCCAGTTGGTAAAGGTCCTGGTTGTGGTTTTTGGGCTCCAGGTTGGCGAGTTTGGCTCTTTTTTATGCGCGGTATCACACCATTGCTTGAACGGTGGTTAGGTAATTTACTTTCTCGTCAATTCGAAGGTCGACATTCAAAAGGCGTAGCAAAAACTGTAACTAAACAAAGAGTAGAATCGCATTTTGATTTGGAATTAAGAGCATCTGTTATGCATGATATAGTAGATATGATGCCTGAAGGTATCAAGCAGAATAAAGCAAGAACGATTTTGCAACATCTTAGTGAAGCTTGGAGATGTTGGAAAGCTAATATTCCATGGAAGGTAAGATAGAGTTTCACAAAAAATAAATTAATTAAAATATATTTTTTAGCATATAAAAATTTATCATGGAATTTATATGCATCATAGTTAATAAAGAAAGAATTAAAGATTAAAAAGTGATTGTTACTATAGTTTTTCAATAAAATAATATTAAACTATCCTTATGTTGATGATATATTTTTCATATAATACATAATACTTTTTATTAATAGGTTCCAGGGTTGCCAATACCCATTGAAAATATGATTCTTAGGTATGTAAAAATGAAGGCAGATTGGTGGACAAATACAGCTCATTATAATCGTGAACGAATTCGACGTGGTGCTACTGTTGATAAAACTGTATGTAAAAAGAATTTAGGACGACTGACACGACTTTATTTGAAAGCTGAACAAGAACGTCAACATAATTATTTAAAGGCATATCATATATATTATATTATATCATATATTTTCAAAATTAATCTTTTTTTTTCACCTATAACTATTTTTTTATCTATTGTAGGATGGACCTTATATTTCACCAGAAGAAGCTGTTGCTATTTATACAACAACTGTACACTGGTTAGAATCTCGAAGATTTGCTCCTATTCCATTTCCTCCATTATCATATAAACATGACACTAAATTGTTAATTTTGGCTTTGGAGAGATTAAAAGAAGCTTATAGCGTTAAATCAAGATTAAATCAAAGTCAACGCGAAGAACTTGGATTAATCGAACAAGCTTATGATAATCCTCATGAAGCCCTATCGAGAATTAAACGTCATCTTCTTACACAAAGAGCTTTCAAAGAGGTATTTAAAAAAATTTTAATAAAATGAATTATTTTAAATTAATATAAATAGTTAAAACTATTCGAAAAAATATTTATATTGATGATTCCAAGTTAGTGTATTTATTTTTCTGATATATCAATAACATTAATTTATATGTCTATATGAGTAATTATATATAAGCAATTTTTAAGCAACAATAGCACGATATTTGTATCTTTTTTTTTAATTTTCTGAGTTTGATATAATTGATATTTCTTGTGTTGAAATATCAGCCTTCTCAAATTCACAAATAAAATGTCTTTATTGCCCTGTATTAGTGAATATTTTAACTAATGCAGTTTCCGAATTGACTACAATGTTATATTTTTATGAATATATAAACGTGTAAAGTTAACATGTTTGATTATTTAAAATTCCAATGTAAATTTATAATTTTGATTTCTCGTAATGAAATTAAATAATTTTTTTTTAGAATATCAATGTTATTGAATTTTGAATTAATTATTTTATAAATACAATTTGTATATTCTTATTAGTAAATAATCTCATGTATATAAAGTTTATAGTTATTTCTTTTTAAAATTTGAAGTTTTAGGTATTTTTAAGTTGTAAAATTAAACATTCGCTTGTGAGAGTTATGGGACAAGTAATAATTAATAAGTTTAATTATTAATAAGTTTAGTAAAACTTGTGTGAAGCGTTAATAAAATTACTCATTTATTTGGTGACGGTAAGAATAAATTGAGTAATAGAAGTTGAATAAATTAATTTCTTTTACTTTAATTATATCGTAATTGTTTGTGTTTAATGTTATATATATATATATATATATATATATATATAATTAACATCATTTTTTTATTATTCAACGGTTTGTTTCAGTTCTACTTTTATTTTGTCATCATTATCTACACCTACCCTTCAAAAATATGTTATATCTTAAATATTAAATTGTCAAAAGAAATTTTACACATCTATCTTGTCATTTATTATTAACATTTTCCATACATTATACAATTTTTATGCTTGAGCACTATTTTTCGTTATTTAATAATAAATATACTAAAACGGTTTTATTTTATTCAAAATTTTGCACATAATATCAAAAGATAGCACTCTATAAAATTGAACAATTGTTGTTATTTATAGATCTTGAAGTGTTATTTATATGTATAATAATAATGCAATTAATAATGATTTAAAATATTTGTATATATTTTAAAACAAAATTCTTAATATTGAAAAAGTTATAAATAATATAATTTATGCATATAATAATATTATAATTTGAAAAACCAACAAAGTATTTTACATAAGTTGTAAAATATAATTATAATTTTATTTGAATTTATTTATTATTAAAATAATTCATATTAAAATTATAAATATGATTAATCAAAAATAAATTTCTTCAAACAAGTTTTAAAAGTATACATATTTCTTATTTGGTTATAGGTGGGTATTGAATTTATGGATCTCTACAGCCACCTTATTCCAGTTTATGATGTTGAACCTTTAGAGAAGATCACTGATGCCTATTTGGATCAATATCTGTGGTATGAAGCAGATAAGCGAAGACTTTTCCCACCATGGGTTAAACCAGCTGATACTGAACCACCTCCTCTTCTTGTATATAAATGGTGTCAGGGCATTAATAATCTTCAGGATGTCTGGGATGTTAGTGAAGGTGAATGTAATGTTTTGTTGGAATCAAAATTCGAAAAGCTTTATGAGAAGATTGATTTAACTTTACTTAATCGTTTGCTGAGACTGATTGTTGATCATAATATTGCTGATTATATGACAGCTAAAAATAATGTTGTAATAAATTATAAAGATATGAACCATACAAACAGTTATGGCATAATTAGAGGTCTACAATTTGCCTCGTTTATTGCTCAGTATTATGGATTAGTGTTAGATCTCCTGGTTCTTGGCTTACAGCGTGCTAGTGAGATGGCTGGTCCTCCCCAGATGCCTAATGACTTTCTTACTTTTCAGGTAAGTTCTATGTAATTTTGTTTATAAAACTGAATTTAAAATTTACTTTATAATTATTCAATTATGACAGATAAGAAAGATACTTCAAATATATTGCAAAGTTTAAAAATACAATTTTAAATAATAAAATAAATAATTTATATATTTAATGATTTCTCATTATGATGTTTTTTTATTAAAAATAGTTAAATATATTTATTTCTAAGTAAATTAGAAAATCAATTAGAGTATCTAATCTTAATTTAGTTTAAATTTCTTGAAATTAAAGATTTCCAAATATTTTCAAAAATTGAATTTTTAATAAAAATTAAAAAAAAGAACATGCCTAGTATTTAATAGTATTTACATTTTTAACATATTTAATGTAGGATGTGGCTTCAGAAACGGCACACCCAATTCGTTTATATTGCCGTTACGTCGACAGAATTCACTTGTTCCTTCGTTTTACTGCAGATGAAGCACGTGATCTTATTCAACGTTACTTAACTGAACACCCTGATCCGAACAATGAAAATATCGTAGGATATAATAATAAAAAGTGTTGGCCACGAGATGCACGCATGCGCCTAATGAAACATGATGTGAATCTTGGACGTGCTGTCTTTTGGGATATAAAGAATCGTTTGCCACGATCCACTACTACTGTCCAATGGGAAAATAGTTTCGTAAGCGTATACAGCAAAGATAATCCAAATCTGCTATTTAATATGAGTGGATTCGAATGCCGTATTCTTCCGAAATGTAGGATGACTCATGAAGAATTTACACATAAAGATGGTGTATGGAATTTACAGAACGAAATAACTAAGGAGCGAACAGCTCAATGTTTTCTTCGTGTTGATGACGAAAGTTTACAGAGATTCCACAATCGTGTCAGGCAAATTCTTATGGCTTCAGGATCTACCACCTTTACAAAAATTGTCAATAAATGGAATACAGCTTTAATCGGTCTCATGACTTATTTTCGCGAAGCTGTTGTTAATACACAAGAACTTTTAGATTTACTCGTTAAGTGTGAAAACAAAATTCAGACTCGTATCAAAATAGGTCTTAATTCAAAAATGCCATCAAGATTTCCTCCAGTAGTATTCTATACACCAAAAGAATTGGGGGGTTTAGGTATGTTGTCAATGGGACATGTACTTATTCCTCAATCCGATCTTAGATGGTCTAAACAAACTGAAGTCGGCATTACACATTTTCGCTCAGGTATGAGTCATGATGAAGATCAGTTAATTCCTAATTTATATAGATACATTCAGCCGTGGGAATCTGAGTTTATTGATTCTCAAAGAGTGTGGGCAGAATATGCATTGAAAAGGCAAGAGGCTAATGCCCAGAATCGAAGACTAACTTTAGAGGATTTGGAAGACAGTTGGGATAGAGGTATTCCTAGAATTAACACACTTTTTCAAAAAGATCGCCACACCCTGGCTTATGATAAAGGTTGGAGAATTAGAACTGAATTTAAACAATATCAGGTATATTTAATTGTAATATGCTTCTTTTATAGTTTATTTTGTTCGGTTATAGTAAACTTTATTAACTAAAACCGTTTTTTTTATTCAATTTTATTTTAGTTTCAATCGATAATTTTTTAATGTTTGAATAGGTTTTAAAACAAAATCCTTTTTGGTGGACTCACCAACGTCATGATGGTAAATTGTGGAATTTAAATAATTATAGAACTGACATGATTCAAGCACTTGGTGGAGTTGAAGGTATTTTGGAACATACACTATTTAAAGGGACATATTTTCCAACATGGGAGGGTCTTTTCTGGTAAATAATATGTTTTTAAAAAATATATAATTTTAACAAAATCAATCGTTAATCTTGTAAAATTTATCTCTTTTATAGGGAAAAAGCATCAGGATTTGAAGAGTCAATGAAGTACAAAAAACTAACAAATGCTCAACGATCAGGCTTAAACCAAATTCCCAATCGACGCTTTACTTTGTGGTGGTCACCAACGATCAATAGAGCAAACGTATATGTTGGTTTTCAGGTAAATTATTTGATTAAAATAATTGTGTCTTTTGAATTCTTCATTGACTATATAAATATACAACGGTATTATTTCAGGTACAACTTGATTTAACAGGAATTTTTATGCATGGTAAAATTCCAACATTGAAAATATCACTAATTCAAATTTTTCGTGCTCATTTGTGGCAAAAAGTTCATGAATCAATTGTTATGGATTTGTGTCAAGTTTTTGATCAAGAACTTGATGCATTAGAAATTGAAACTGTGCAAAAGGAAACTATTCATCCTCGAAAATCTTACAAAATGAATTCATCATGTGCTGATATTCTTCTTTTTTCGGCTTATAAATGGAACGTTTCACGGCCTTCTCTTCTTGCTGATTCTAAAGATGTTATGGATAATACAACAACTCAGAAATACTGGATTGACGTACAACTTCGATGGGGCGATTACGATTCTCATGATATAGAAAGATATGCACGAGCAAAATTCTTGGATTACACCACTGACAATATGTCAATTTATCCATCACCTACTGGATTATTGATAGCTATAGATCTTGCATATAATCTTCATAGTGCATATGGTAATTGGTTTCCTGGCTGTAAGCCTCTTATTCAACAAGCAATGGCCAAAATTATGAAAGCCAACCCTGCCCTTTACGTACTCCGAGAACGTATAAGAAAAGCTCTCCAACTGTACTCTTCAGAACCTACCGAGCCATATTTATCTTCGCAAAATTATGGAGAACTATTTTGTAATCAAATTATTTGGTTTGTTGATGACACCAATGTTTATCGCGTTACTATTCATAAAACTTTTGAAGGCAATTTAACTACTAAACCAATCAATGGTGCAATTTTTATCTTCAATCCACGAACGGGTCAACTCTTTTTGAAGATCATTCATACATCAGTATGGGCCGGTCAAAAACGTTTAGGACAGTTAGCTAAATGGAAAACTGCTGAAGAAGTAGCAGCATTAATTCGATCACTACCAGTTGAGGAACAGCCTAAGCAAATTATTGTTACGAGGAAAGGTATGTTAGATCCACTCGAGGTGCATCTTCTTGATTTTCCAAATATTGTTATCAAAGGATCTGAATTGCAACTTCCTTTCCAAGCTTGCTTAAAAGTTGAAAAATTTGGTGATTTGATTTTAAAAGCTACTGAGCCACAGATGGTATTATTTAATTTATATGATGATTGGTTGAAAACAATTTCGTCTTACACCGCATTTTCACGTCTGATTTTAATTCTTCGAGCTTTGCATGTCAATACAGAGAGAACAAAAGTTGTGTTGAAACCTGATAAGACAACAATCACTGAACCACATCACATTTGGCCTTCACTGACTGATGATGAATGGGTGAAGGTTGAAGTGCAACTAAAAGATTTGATTCTTGCTGATTACGGAAAAAAAAATAACGTGAATGTTGCATCATTAACGCAGTCTGAAATACGTGATATTATACTTGGAATGGAGATTAGCGCTCCCTCAGCACAACGACAACAAATTGCTGAAATTGAAAAACAAACTAAGGAGCAGTCACAACTTACAGCAACGACAACGAGAACAGTTAACAAGCACGGAGATGAAATTATCACTGCTACAACATCGAATTATGAAACACAATCGTTTAGTTCTAAGACGGAATGGCGGATCCGTGCTATATCAGCGACAAATTTACATTTGAGAACAAATCATATTTACGTTTCATCCGATGATATCAAAGAGACTGGTTACACATACATCTTACCAAAGAACGTTCTTAAAAAATTCGTTACTATCTCAGATTTACGTGCTCAGGTTAAAAATTACAAAAATTAAAAAAAATATTATTTTGCATTTTTATTTTTAAAATAAAATTTGTGTTTAACAGATTGCGGGATATTTATATGGTGTAAGCCCTCCAGATAATCCTCAGGTAAAAGAAATTAGATGTATTGTGATGCCTCCACAGTGGGGTACCCATCAAACTGTACATTTGCCAAACATGTTACCTAATCATCAGTATTTAAAAGAAATGGAACCTCTTGGATGGATACATACACAACCAAACGAACTTCCACAACTATCTCCGCAAGTAAGAAATATATTCGTTTTATTTTTTAGATTATTTTCGAATATATCAAAGCATTCTTTATTATTCATTTTACTATAATACAATATTTTGTAAATTAAAACTATTTTCCAGGATATATCAACTCATGCAAAAGTAATGGCAGAAAACTCTTTATGGGATGGAGAAAAAACAATTGTAATAACTTGTAGTTTTACTCCTGGTTCATGTTCACTTACTGCCTATAAATTAACACCAAGGTTTATTTAAATTTTTTATTTATCTATTTCTTTTACAAATATTTATATTTTAGATAACTATTATCTCAAATTTTAGTGGATTTGAATGGGGAAAGCAAAATACGGATAAAGGAAATAATCCTAAAGGATATCTTCCTAGTCATTATGAAAAAGTTCAAATGCTATTATCTGACAGATTCCTTGGATTTTTTATGGTACCAAGTCAAGGATCATGGAATTACAATTTCATGGGTAAAATTAGAAGTCTAGAAATTTCTTATAAATTAAAAAAAATTTGTTATTGTTATTACTATATTATAATATATAATGAGAATATCTTATATGTATAAGATTATATTATTTTTGTAGGTGTAAGACATGATCCTAATATGAAATATGAACTACAATTAATAAATCCAAAAGAATTTTATCATGAAGTACATCGTCCTGCACATTTTCTAAATTTTGCAAGTTTGGAAGACGGTGATGGAGTTGGTGCGGATCGCGAAGATATGTATGGTTAAAATTTTAAGAAAATTAAAATTATTGTGTAAATAACTTATCAAAAATGTAAAATAATTTTAATACAAAACATAATAAAATTTAAATTAATACAACTTAAGTTAATTATTTCAATTCTAAATGAAATAACTCCATTGTTTCATTCAAATTAATATTTATTTAGAATGTTTATGCCTATTATATTCCTAAAATTTATAACAATTAAATATAATTATAAATTGTGTATTTTAGCATAATAAAGAAAATTACTTTTTAAATAAATGTTTTTCATTCATATACTTATTAAATGTTTGTATTTGAATATTATATATTCAATAAATAAAATTTTAAATTTTAAACAAAATAGAATTTTTTAATCAGAATTTAACTTATTTTTCACTATTATTAACTCTTCATAAATAATATATTTATATTTTTACAATGTTGTATTCATCCTTAAAAATAAACAAATTATTATTAAATATAAATTTAATAATGATACTAAAATTGTTCACAAATATTTTTCATGTAAAAGAAAGTTAATATTTTTTACAAACATTATTTAAGTAGATCAAAGGTAATTATAGTTTCCAGTTTAGAAATATGTATTTTTTATATTTTCTAATTATAATAATATATTTTAATATCTTTTGTTTAAATTGATTTAAATGATCATTTTACAGAAAGATTTTTAGTTTTTATTCTTTTAAAATAAAAATAAAATTAATCTATGATTTATCTATGTAAATATTTATCTATCTATTAAATATGATTAATCATTGATTTGAGACCTATTAAAAATTTGAATTTATTATTATAGAAATATATTAATAGATGGACACTAAAAAATAAATATGCAAGTGATAAAGAAGACAGTTTGTAAATATATAAAAAGAATATAATATAAAATACGGTAGGGTCAGATCATATGTTGCAATTATTCTTCTCTTTTCTGTATATTAAAACAGATAGAAGTAATTAACCCCAATAACCCTATTTTTCCAAATCTTGCGTTTTTCTTAGTCATTTGAATTTTTCGTTGTTAATCCAAAAAAAATTAGGAAATGGCAGCAGATATATGTGATCCGGCTTTCTTTTTTGTTTTCATAAATTGAATATACATTTTTACACAAATAAAATTTTCAATATTTAATACATAGGACATAAAGAAATTAAATACTCAACATTAAAAACGTAAGTCTATATGATATCAAATTTTATATGTTCAAGTAGTAATCGAAACTAAAATAATTAAATAAATAATAAATAATAATGGTTCGCTTTTATTTTTTTTTTAAATTCCTTTCAATTTTTATTTAAATAAGGTATAAAAGTGTAATTAAAATAATATATAAAGATATCTTTACTGTAAACATTTTACTTATAAGCTTTATTTTATATTAAAAATACTTGGATTTGACATTGATAAAAATTTGTTGTTAGTTTTAACGTTTTACAAATTTTAGTTAAGTAAGGAAATTCCTAATGAAAGATAATTCTGACATTATTGTTTAATAGTAAATGTAAGCATTCTTGAGTTTGTGGAATATAAATTTATTATATTATTTTCTGTAATGGTTAAATGACTAAATAGATTTTTTGTGTTTTTCATGATGTCCTTCTGATTTGTCTCTTTATTATTGTAACAATGTAATAATATTGTAATAATATAATTGTAATAATTTATTATAAGTCAATTTCATATTTCATTATTATCTCAATATATGTATTAAAATTTTCTTCTTATATATTGTCAACCACTCCTTTATTTATCAATATTCTTTTACTTTGAATTCATTACATCTGTATTAAATTTCTTGTATACAAACTTCCCCTTATTCTTTTTATTAATACAAAATATTAATTTGCTTTTTTTCCATTCTACGTTATTATTTTTTGGATCTATAAGATTTTTTATCAATATCATGTTTTTTATATATATTTTGTAAAATTACAAAAAAACCTTACATTAAATATGCTTCTACTAAATTGTGTCTCCATATAATTTATTTGTAAATTTATATAATAATATATAAAATAAAAATTTGTAATATAATACGAAACTGTAATGTTAATTTTTTTTAATCATTGTTTCAAATATATATTTATATATTGAATAGAAAGACGAGAGAATACAAGAAATAATAAATTTCTACTAATATTATAATGATTTAGATACATATAATTACAATAATGTAGGAACATAAAGGATGTGTTAAATTTCTACTTTGATAATAGTGTATGTAACTTATCCTTGAAGAAGTTCATTTTGACTGATTTTATTGCTAAAAACGTAATGTTTATAATAGAAATAAATAATTTCTAATATATTTTACATAAATAAAATATTCATTATTTTTATCTTTATGCTTTTATAAACAGAAATGTAAAATATATCAGTTTTATAGGGGGTTTGGGTCTATATTCTATTACATTATATTAATTTCTATGATATGTAAATATATTTCTAATATTCGCAGTTATTGATGGCTTGATATCTTGTTAATTCTAATTCATGAATCTTGATTTTAGGGAGATTGATCAGATTACTATTATGATTTGTGATTGAGCTGGGTTAACCGTATCATCAATTTCTGCAATAATTTAAACATGAAAAAGTAATAATAACTATATATTAATTCGTTTCAGTTAATTTTACTATTACTACATTTACATTTTTTTTAATTATTATTGACACTTATTTTTTATATCTATATTAATTTATATATATATCAGAAAAACCTAAAATCTAGTTTTGTAAAAATTTCAGTTTGTATTTAACTTTTCAAAATACAGTCACAATTTATTGATATTGGCTAAATTAAAATGATTTTCTTTTGAATAATCTTAAACTAATGAAAAGTATACTTTTAAATATATTTTATAATTTAATAATTTTGAAAATGTTGAACTCAAATATTTAAAAAAATTATATTATACTTTTGGTATTATTTAAAATTTTATATAATTTGGAATTTATATTGCGTGTATAAACAATATCCTGTAATGCCATAGTTAATAAACATTCTTTTTGAATATTGGAATAGAGACGTAATGTATATAATATATTAAAATTCAATACATAAATTTATTAAAATTTATGTGACACAGGCACACGTGTGCAATATATATATTTCTTATTAGAATACTTCATTTAATTGTACATTCAATATCATTTTCCTTAATTGCCTCATGAGCAAAGATTCCAGTCACTGATATTGGAATCTATAATTACAATACATTATTAAGATATTTCATCTTAAGCAAGCAATTATTTTTCTATATTACTATAAAATTACTTTAAAATTTTTAATTGTTTTGATAAAATAAACAATTATACTGTAATATGGATTATGTAAATTATATTAAAATAATTACATATTTTAGACAATTTTTTTTCAAAATTTTTCGTTTAATTATTTTTAAATATTTTATATTATGCATCTACAGTATGGAAAATAAATGAAAATATAAATTTGTTTCTCTCTATATTTTATCTTAATATTCATAAATAAAATGCAATTAAAATTACAAGATAAATAAAAGATTAATATTCCATTTACAAAATAAAACTAAAATATTTATACAAATAAATTTTTTAAATAAATAATATGGTAAATATTCAGGTATTGATATTTTTAAATATCGACAACTTTATAAAATGAAAATGAAATAAACGTACTTATTTATATTTAATTTATTTCCCTAAATTTATAAAATCATATTAATTACATAATTTATATTGAAATTATACAAGGTACATTATTTAAGTACTCAAAAATGAAATAATTTATATAGGTTTAATTTTGAAATGTAATCCAATTAAAGAAAATACAAAACATTTTAAATCTTGAACAAGAAAGTAAAAACATCGTAATCCTTCCGGATCTCTTGATTGATTGACATCTACTAGAGATCCAGTTTTTGATGTCGTAAATGATATATGTTCATCTCCTATAACAATTTCTAATTCTTGGCGACCAACTCTATCAGGTTGAGGCCACAATGAATCATCTTCTTGCATAATTTCAGAATCTTCAATTATTCGTTTTAATTCTTCCATAACACATTGGTGAACATAAGCTTCCTTACGAATCATTGTATCATTTTTATAATTAGAATTGTTCGCATACCTTAATTTACCATCAGGCCTAAATTCAAATTCTAAAAACTCATGACCAAATTTTCCCTTGTGGCCAACATAATATCGAATATAAAAATCTGTTGGCATTTTTACTCTTTTGTTGTTCTATAAAATTGTTAGAATTATATAATTTCGTATTAAATGTTTTCTTTAAAAGTATAATAATTATTAAATCTTTATAGGCTTACTATTTTGAGATGTTTAATTGTTATTTGTGTTAATTCATAAATCATATAACATTAGGAGCGTCTTCACAATTTTTTTTATTGTCCGCTGGGTTGATGTGGCGCTAAAATCGAGCTTTGAGTCGAAGTTAAAATGGAGGTTTGGCAATAGCTTGCACCAGTTTTAAGATGTAGAATTGTTAGTAAAAAAATTAGATGCCGTTACAGTACGTAAATTTATGGTAAAAATTTATGAAAGTCAATTTTTTAATTAAAAACTGTCAGAAATAATTAAATTATAATTATAAATACTGTAATTTCAACAAAAACTTTTGTAATAATTAATAAAAAAAATAATGTAATTTATTATAACGTAAATTTAATTAAAGTTTAATTTTATTAAATAAAAAGGGTGAATCAAGAGCAAATCACATATTAAGTGATAAAAAATGTCGCAGTTACCAGGATGGCTTTGGCCAAATTCTAATATTTTATCCCCTTTATACAAGAGAATATGGGAAACTGTTCAAGATGATTGTTGTAGAACTGATACAAGACATGGCGAAGCACTTGTGGATACAAATAAAATTTTTCCTTTATTACTAACTAGTCAATTGTCTACAGAAGTTCTTGGTTATATTTGGAGTTTAGCAAATCAAAAATACGCCGGACAATTAACAGAACAAGAACTTTATGTCGTTCTTGCATTAGTTGCCCTGGCTCAAGCATCCTATCCTTTTAGTAGTTTAGAAGTTTTATGTTATATTCGTAATCCACCAATGCCAACTTTAAACTTATCACTTTTTGATGTAAATACACAAAAAAACGAAATGCAAAGTCTTGTATCTTCATTTGAAGCATCTATAAATTTTTCTTTTACAAATAAGAATAATGGAAATGTAATTAAACCAAATAATTTATCTTCCAATATTGATGTATTGCCTTACGAGCAAAATTATTCAAATAATATGAAAGATATTAAGTTTTCTTCTGGGCATTCATATTCATATAATACAGATACAATTTATGGATATCAAAATTTTTATAATCAGTCAGATGTTAGGCATCAATTATTAAATTTTAATACAGATTCTAGCGATGATTTTTGTGATTTTCAAAGTGGTCCAGATTTAAAACAAGGATCTGCAATTGGAAGTAGACTTGCTAATCATAATCTTGGAGTTAAAAAATTAAATGATAAAATAAAAAAATTTAGTGTAAATAAGAGTAATAAAAATAATCAAACACATAATTTAACAACTTTTAATTCAACATTGTGTAATAAAGAAATAGAATCTAATAAGCATTTATCACTATATTTTCCAAATGGCATTCTAAAAAATCAAGAAAAAACAGTTATACTTAAGGATACAGCAATAAGAAATAATGATCATTTTAAAATGATTAAGCCAATTACAAAGAATTTTATAAGTAATACAGAAAATGTAGTTTTAAATAAAATTGGTTTAGAATCAATATCTACTTGTTCCAATAATATTGATACAGTTTACACCATTAGTACACCATTAAAAGAATTAAAAGAAGGGATAAAGCAAGATTTAATGATTTTACAACCTACTGAAGATAAGTATAGTGCATTAAGGATGATAGTTGATGAAACTTCAAATTTTCCAAAATCAAATGAAAAGCCACCTACTTATTTAGATGACTTTGGAGAATTTGTCTCTGCAGAAAATGTGGAACCTATATCATTAATTAATAGTTCTAATACAGTTAATTCAATAGATCTATTGGGTGTTTTTGATTTTAATCAAGAAGATTTAATAGGTATAACTAATAAGTGTAATTCTTCATTAATTCAAGAAATTACAGATGGTTTTAATGTACTTACCTTTGAAGATATGACAGATCAATATAATAAAAAAAAAGATGATATAACAGGTAATGAAAGTGAGCTAAGGTATTATTTATGATTTAATTTTTAACTTTATTAATTTTTTGTGTAGAGCAAATTGTTCAAAAAGATTCTTTATTCGTCAATAATATAGAATTAGATCATGTAGCATCAACAATTTGTACTCACTCTGAATCTATGTCTAGCTTAGATTCAAAGTCATTTTTACAAATGGGTTCAGAGTATGAAGAACAAATAAAAAATGTACAAATAAAAATCTATTTTTATACTTTAAATTTATATCGTGTAATTAAAAATTATTAAAATATAATGCATTTCAATGTTTAGATGATTTATTGGAAATGGAAGCATTATATGGAAAGTTGTATCGTATTATTACAAGTTGCAGCTAACATATTTACAAATATAAGATCTAAAATAATTTTAAAAGAAGTTTTATTATCTGCACAAGGATATAATTTTCTCTGCAGTAAGTTTTATTTTTTATAAAATAATACTAAACAATTAATGCATATTAAATATTATTTAATTGTTTATGATATGTAATTTTAAATTTAGATTTAGCTGAAGTAGCAGCCATTTGTAGAAGGATTAATTTCTCATGCAAAGAAATTGATATTAATATAATCGGTTTTAATGATTTATTAATGAATATTGATCAAATATGGTCTGAAATGGAACCGTTTTATTTAAATATACCAGTAATTTAAAATAAGTATTTTGTAAATAATCATTAAATTATATATTAACTATTTTATGTTTAGATTGTTACAGAATTACCATCTTGGCCTGCGCATCAAGAAGATGGTATAGTTTGTGCACTATGTTTAACTATAATAACTACTGGGAGAGTTATATCTAATAAAAATAATTATCATATAACTTGTGCAAATTTATGGTTAAATATTGTAAATAATAATTTACCTGTACTTCAATATCCACTGCCATATTTGTAATCTACTATTTCTTACAATGTAAATCATTTATAATTTTTGTGTTAATATAAAGTAAATATTCTAAATGACAAGTAAATAGATATAGATATATTAATTTCTGGATAAACATAAATTGATTAGTTTATATTTATATATAACATTACAATTTGTATATAAATGTTTTTAATACTTACAAGAAATGAATTTAAAACATTGAATATTATGTAAGTTTATTATTATCAATTTCTTTTAATATGAAATTGAATATTAATTAAAACTATGTTGTTTATAACAGTTATAAAATTCATGAATTAGATGTATCTTAATGTATATTTTAATTACTAGAAATTTTATCGTTGACTTGTATCACGTGGTCTGTATACTATTCCCCTGCTCTTCATTTCTCTGATAACACCAGCTGGTAATCGTCCTGATACTGATATAGCATAAACACCTTTGGCAAAACGATCTAAAATAGAAAATAAAATTTTTGTAATTATTTTAATAAGTGAATTTTATTGTAATGACTAGAAAGTTTCAACAAGCTTTCAAATATTAAAAAATTATAAACTGTTTAGTTATATGAATAAAATATACCATTCTATATATATTATCATTTTTTAACTTACTAATCCGTTGCCACTTGCATACCCAACTATCTTCTGGACTCATGACAGCTATCATTCTATAATGATTGTATTATAAATAAATGTATTTTAAAGTTTTTTATAATTGTAAATAATACTATTAAATTGTCAATTATATCAAACATAGGCAATAGAAAATTAAATAAATTAGTTCTTATATTTTTATAAAATTTGTATTAAAATATATTGAGAATATATGTGCATATATTTAATACAACTTCAAAATTAATTTTATTATTCAAATTATTTAAATTAAATTTATTCTTATTCTATGTTTATATATGATTTGTTAATTTATTTAGTTTAATTTTTATATAATTAAGCATACCCATCAAAATTGGAACTTGTACAATCAAAAACATTATCCTTGTTATTTTTCATTCTTAGGAATTCATCGCAATTTTCACAACCATCAAATTCAAATTGATCAAATGTCTGATAATAAAAATAGTTAATACTTAATGTTATGAAATTTTTTATTAAAAATATAGTTAAAATACAATATTTTAAAAATTTAATATCATTAATATTCTACATACCTTAATTAATGAACATACTAAACATGCTCTTAAACCTCGTAAATCTTTTGGTACAGTTTCCATTATTTATTTATAGTTTTAACAATAATTATTTGTTATAAATATTATATTGTTTTAACATGATTTATATAAATTATAATGTAGGTTAATATAAATGTTTTGTATAAAATAAATGGAGATGGAATGTAGACAGTCGTTAGAATCAATAAACCAATTAGATTTGATGATTACGAACCTAGCGGATTTTCCTACATTTACAAAATATATTTTATAAGTTATAAGTCATAATATATAAAAATATGTTGGTTATAATTCTCCAATCTGAATAATTTATTTATTAAATACTTAGATTGCTGTAAAGATAAAAGGTTAATAAAAGTATTAATTCATATGCTTTAATAAACCTTCTACTACACCATTCAATGCGTTGAACTGCACAATATTGTTATGCACCTGATATGTGAAAATAAGTACATAGTATGCCATTAGTGATAAGTTCTGTCGTTCCATTATTCAAAAAAATAAAAACATACTATCTCTTTAAAGCTAAATTTATTTTTGATTAAAATTACAAAAGAATTCAGTAAATTTTATGATCTAAGTATCTATAGATATATATACTTCTATATGAAAAGTATTTTTATTGAATATTTTTAATATGTTTTACATATCAATCTTCCAAGTACCAAAATTTCGTAAATATACATAGGTACGAATCTTGTTTACATATCAAATTAAAACGCTGCCAATTATACGTAATGACTTCGTTTAGCGATGTAAATTATTAATGGTTATAAACATCAGCTATGTGAGTTCAATATATAAATATGTTGTAAATACGCACTACCATTTATAACAAAGCGATTGATAGGTTTTATTAAATAAAAAATACTATATTTTAAATATTATTAAGTATAAGTTGAAATATTAATTATTTCATTGTTTGAATAACAAATATAAATCAATAAATGAATTTTTAGTTATAATCAAATAAAAATTTAGTGAATAATGTAATTAAATAATATAATTTTAATTCATATTAATTAACTTTTTTATTGAGAAATATAGAATAATATACTAATTTATATTTTTTTAAATAATACATAAATTGTTTGTTTTTTAACATATAATTAAAATATATTGAATATAGTCGTTTTATATATACATATATATATTTTGGTAATAAAAACTTATACTATTATAGTAAATATACTTAATTTGTTCACTTTATAAAAATAAAAATTAATTTATTATTCTATTAAATTTATTTAACTTTTATGTCTTTTATTTGTATTTTTATATATTTTAAATAAATTTTTTTAAACAATTAGTTGAATTATAATAAAAATAACATTTCTTGAAAACCTAATGGTCTACTATTTGATTGAATTCAAATAATTTTGCAGCTATAAACACATGGATAAAAGTATTATTTTTAGCAGTTGATTTTAAGTATTTATACTAATTATACAATTTTATATATATGTATTAAAATATTTTCTTTCTTTTTAATTTATTTCTTTTTGAAAATTCTGTAAGGTATAATTAAAAGTAAAATAACTGAAATATATTACTCATTAAATACTCATATATTAAATGTGATTCTCTTGTAACTATTCAAGTTTAATTAATATTTATACTATTTTTATTGATAACATGAAATTGTTAACATATTCTCAACTTTACTATTAAGTTGATTAAATTAAGATTTTGGACACCATTTAATTACTACACTAAATGAAATTAAATAGTTAAAGTTAGATAATAATAAAAGACAATCGTTAAATGTCATTTATATTATTACTTTTTTATTGAAAAATAACTAATAATTTATATTTATAATTATATAGGTTTTTTCAGTATATAGTACAGGTAGAATTTAATTTTAATATTTTACTTTTTTATTTACCAAATTTGGATTTATTCATAAACTAATTTTAAAAATATGAATTTAATAAAATAACGAAATAACATGTTTGAAAATTTATTAGGTCACTTTTTTCTTATTTATACATATTAATTACATTATAATTGCTGGAGGTAATCTCTTATATTAAACTGTTGCATAAATTCTTAGTTTACCATTTAATTTATCATTATGATTTATGGACTATCTTGCACGAATTGATAATATATAACATAAGATACTTTTTTGCTTTTCAATTTGTTTAATAATGATTATTAACAAATGTTATTCTTAAAAAAAAAGGATATAATATCGATGGCATTATTTTAAGAGATAAATAAGTACATGACACAAAATTTCTTCGTTATTTTTATATTTATTTTCTATTTTTTAAATTTCTCCAATAAAAACGATTAATAATTGACGAATGACCGTTGAGTATTGTATTCGAAAATAACTTAAATTTGTCCGTTAAAATTTTTATTTGTGATTCTGAATTCATAAATGAAAAGTGGTTAATTTTTTATGACAAAAATCCTATTAATTTTTGAAAAGTTAAACAATTGATTATCATTTTAATTAATTACAGGATCATGAGATCTGGAGGAACAAAGAAAATCGTTACTGACCATACAATTATTTCAGAGGTATTATTCAGAGGTTAACTTCTTACATAGTGTTAAAGCTTTGAATACAAATAAATTAATATTTTTTGTAATTAAACCTTATATTATGGTTCAAAAAATTGAACATAAATGATGTTAATTTAAAAACTATATATTTCTAAAATGTAATTGAATTCTACACAATTTTATTTCAAATTTTTTGTAGAGAAAGGCAAGAAAATCTTTACATCTTTTACAACCAGCAGCAACAGATAAAGAGAATTTAGTTGGTGCTGGAAGGCATCTTCGCTCTTTGAGTACAAGCAAACAAATAATTAAAAAGTAAAATATTAAAGAAGTTATAGTTTCCAATTACTTATATTATTTATTATTAATTTTTTTTTTCATAGTGAAATATCTGATATGATGAAGGAAGATATTAATAAAATTTTCAATAAAACTGTGCTTGTAAAAAGAGATAGCTGTAAGAAAGTCATTGATAAACATAATATTGAGTGTAAAAAATTACAAAATGATTGTAAAATGCTTAATGATAAGTACGTACAAACAGAATCTAATGAACAAATTGAAATTTTCAATAAAGACCTTTCTTCAAAACGTAAGAAATGTAATTTTTTTATAAAATAAATTCAATAATATTGAAAATATATATATTACAGTTGGTCCTAGTGAAAATTATTGGGAACTTTTGGCAGAAAGGAGACGTATTGCATTGCATGATGCATTAGCAGAAAACCATATATTAACCGATCAAATTTGTATTTACAAAGAAATGCTTGATGAAGCTAGGGCACTTGTTGAGGTGCTTAAGGTAATTTTTTATTACAAAATATTGATATATAAATTGAAATTCAATTGATAGAAAATGGAAAATGAATGGATAAATTTACTTTGCAAATATTTTATTATAATTTATTTACGCAATTCATTCTCATTTTTAGGACATGCTTGGTAATGATAAAAGTAATATCAATATTTCATTTGAAGATAGACATTGATGCAGAATTTTTCATTATTTAAATCTGTATTATTAATACATATTGAATTAATTTTTTATTAATATTGAAATAAATAATATATGATATAAAACTAATTGATTTTGTAGTTATACAAACCTTGATTTAAAATCTTCTGAAGAATTTTGTATAATGACTAATAAAGTTTTATTTTTAAAAGTTATATGTCTTAAAATGTAAGCTCATTTTAATTTGTTCTTATCTAAATATTAGTTTTAATTATGATTTTAGTTTCAATGCATTAAAATTTTTCTATTTTTGCTATATTGTAATTACTCGTTAAAATTTTAATCTAATAATTATACATGTTTGTATTAATTGGAAGTATAGAATTTTTATAATAAATAAGGTAAAACATTTTTTAATTACTATTTCTAAAATAGTTAAATACTTTAACTAAAAAAAATTAAATTTATTATACCAAGGTTTCTATTTAAAGATTTACATATTAATATCCCTTTGCTATTAGGTATTCTTGCACTTCCATTAATTAATAAGTTGTTATATTCATTGGCATTCATAACTGAATCTTTAATTAATTAATTGTTAGTTTATTGAGCATATATAAAATGAGCATGTATATGAATTGTAAATATATTGAGCATGTACATTTCAAATTAGAATAGCACATCTACCTTAAACAGCGTGATCCTAGTTATCTCACTAAAATAAAATTTGTTCAAAATTTTAATTAGTGTAAAATCTATACATTTGAAAAAAAAATTATATGTAAAATTTTGCTTCTATAAATTATTAAAGTACGTAAAAAATAAATTAAATATGAAATTAAAAACGTAATTTTTTATGTATACAAATATTTTTATGTTATGTATATTTTAAAATCAATTCTTATTTTACTTCATTTGCTAATATTTAAAATAAAGTGTAATGATATATTAGAGATATTTTTCATTAAATCAGTATCAAATTTTATCAGTTGTAAACAATTTAATAAATACGATTTTAACTTTTGCTTATCTATAAACATCTAATTTATTTTTAATTTTATAATTTTTGTTACTGCATATTAAATTAATATACTTCTGAAATATTTTACTTTTTCTGAAAAACTTATGAATTTTTTTTGAGCTTTATCATATTTAAAAATATACTTAACGTAAATTTTAATATTTGGATGTTAATTTAAATGTATGATTTTATTATCTAATAGATAAATTACTTTATAAGTCAATTGTTTAAAAATATCTTATATCAAGAACATTTTTCTTAATACTAAATAGCAATATCCAATAAATGAAGGAATTATAAAGTTTACAGAAGTATTTTAGAGTAAAGTATCTAGATCTAAAATAAATAATATGAATACAAGTGAAATTATTTGTTAAACTAAATATTTGTGTTTGGGATTATAGTTAATTAATTATAGTTTATTTAATTACTTTAAATAATTAATCAGAATCAATTAAGTAATTATTCTATAAAATCACGTTATGATATCTTATGAAATTTTACAAAATCATTACTTCTAGTAATATAGTTCAGCTTATCAATTATATTGTTTAAGTATTAATGTACTATTCTTAAATTGATATGTAGTGTCAATATTTTTATTTTTCACATTTAAATATCTTTCAATATTATTTATTACTGACATAACAGTGGTGAATAATGTAATCGATTTTCATAAATGGTTAAGCATAACTATAACAAAATATTAATATTATAATTTTTAAAGTAAATCATACAATAATAATTCAATATTTATAATACACCATTTAAAATTAATCTGTAGTATGTATATGATAAATGAATATACAAAAATATATTTAAATTAAATATATAATTATAAAAAATTAACAATCGATAAATTTAATACGAAGAATTGAAGCTTACTCGGCTTATTAAAATACTAATTTAAAATTCGTTTTTCAAATTTTATGATTTAAGAAGGCCGAAAATGATGAATGAGAGTATAATATTGTAGATCATAGCAACGTTATTTTAGCTTCTTGAAAAATTATCTAATGTATATTCTGAAAAAATAATTAAGTTTGTTGATATAAGAAAAAAAAATGTAATCGATTACGTATATTGAAATTACTAATTACTACATTTATTAATTTTGTAACAGTTAAAATATATACGTTAGAAAGTATATATATAGTAATATGCCTTTTTTATTTAGTATTTTAATATATAATCTTTTCGTATTAAACATCATTCAACATCATACAGAAATTGTTGAATGTGTATTCGTAATTGTAACGTTGTTTTGGACATGAATCGTTACATTTCAACAAAAATTCTTTTCTCGGTAGTTTCAGAGCACTAAATTGGGGCATTAAAGTTGTCATTATTTCAAGATTAAAAATTTGTCAATTCTGTTTATTAAAATTTTATTTATTGTGTATTCAAAATTTTAATAATGCCATAAATTTAATAATATCGTTAGAAAAATAATTGATTTTTTGCTACATGTAATGTTCACATTATTAACCGTGATATAATTTGTAATTTTTTACATATTAAAAATGGATTTTGAAAATCATATAAGAAAATGCATTAATTAATATATTAGCATTTTGAGGATAATTAAAAATAAAAAAAATATAAATATTTTAACTATCACTTAAATTAGTTCATCAAGCAGTAATAAGAATATTTTTAATTATGTATAATATAATAAATACTATACAATATAATATGTTAAAATCAAGTAAAGTTTTATTTTACTTTGCAATAATGTTCGTATAATTTAAGATCAGTGAATAATAGGTTTTTCAAAAATTTCTATACTTAATTCGAACCATTATATTATAAATATTTTTATATTATATTTTGAACTTAATTACCATAAGAATAAAATAGACTATTCTGTTGATCTAATTGACAAAATTTTATAAATGACACAGATTTCTTTATTATAATGATAAATTCATTATTCTGTTATTATTAATAAGCTTTACATTAAAAAACAATTTAGTTATATTTGTCTATAATGCAAGAAAGGATTAAAACAATAAATTTAGCAACTATGTTTTTAACATATGTGAATGTTTTTAACATATTTATTATATCTCAATGTTTTATAAAATTATTACTAATATATGCAAATTTGAAATACACAACAGAAGTTAGCTTATAGTAAATATAAGTTATAAATGATTTTCTTTCAATTTAATACATTAAATATATATTTATTTGTAAAAATTCATTTCTAAGACTAATGTAAATTATAATTTTAATTACATATTTTTAAAAATATTATAAATAATACGCTGGAAAATATGCTCAGTTATTGAGTATATAGTAAAAAGGTTGGTATGAATCTGAGCCTTGAAAAAATCATAGATTTCATAACTATTAATTATTTTTTAGTTTTATTTTAATTTTTTTTTTCATTTTTAACATATTTTCTATAGGTATTCGTAAGATTATTGAGCTTTTAAAATTTTAATAACGAAGTTTCTTTAATGTTGAATATACAAATTAATTTTGAAAACAATTGATAAAACAAACAAATAATGTAAATTTAAAAGATATTTAGTAATACAAATATATAAATTATGAAATAAAATGATTTTCCTATTTACATATGAACGTTTTTATTAGGTCTATTATAACATTCAATTATTTTCTATTTATAATTTTTATACGCTGAGTATCGAGAATGGTAAGTATAATAAAAAACATATTTATTAGTAGTTATGTTTATTGCAATTAATTTTATCGAATAAATTATATAGATAATTTCAATTTGGAAATATTATATAACAAAGTATAAAAAAATAATTATGTGTATATTTTGTGTATATTTTGTATACTTATAAAAGGTAAATATATAATATATTAGATTATATTATGTATATGTAGCGATAATACAATATTGTTAACTTAAATTAAATCAATCAATAAATTAATTTTTTATTGCTTTGCGATGCTTTATTCTGATGTTTCATCTTCATTCAAAAGTGCATCATATTATGAGTATTATTTTGAGTGTATTAACATATATGTTATTAATTTAATGTGAAGTAAATTTAATATTTTAAAAATATATGATGATATCGTGTGTAATTAATTGTGAATATATATTTTGTATTTTAGTTTTTTGTATTAAATTGTAGAATAGTACTTTTATATAATTGTTATTTTCAATTCTTATAATTATGTCAAATAAACTAAATTACTTTTTATCTGGACTGTCTCTAACATAAGCTTTGGAAACACGCATCAGACAAACGTAAAAAATTCGCATTTTTGCCGTTTGTCTATAAAATAAACTATATCAAGTGTTTTCACGTAATTTTGCCAAATATATTTGTTCATATAATGCAATATTCAAACATTGTCATCTAGTAATATTCGTCAAAAAACTTTTGCACATTGTTTTATGCAATTATGAATATTGGACTGCTGTTCTTGGTATATTTTAACACTGACTTGTATACTCGTAATATATAGTGTTTAGTTTTATCTTATACAAATATATCACTCGCGAATTAAACATCTATGTTTTATTATACATTATACATATTACAAGAGGAATTTTGAGCGTTATTGTTCATGAAATTAATCACTGTGCTTCAATATCGTTTATCAGAACGTGTTGCTTCTTGGAAAATTTTATCGAAAATCTTGTCGATATTAGTGTTGTCATCAAAAAGTTTTTCATCATTCAAACGTGGCATCGTGTGACTTCTTGATAAGCTATATATATTGTTTTTAAACTGAATATTGTACTTGCTCTTAGATCCTTGTCCGTTTATCTGTTTTAATTCATTAGCACGTGAATTACTTATGGAATCTTGGAAGTATCTTTGAATTTTTTCTTCCATTTTACGCATATTATCAGACATTGATGATGCCTCGAATTGTTTCGATAATTTTAGAGCAAATGAAGTCTTCGATTTAGGCGGTCTTAGTTGAATACTATTTAAAGACCGAGGAAGTCGTAAATTTCCAGTATTTTTAGCAATCCCTAATTGGTGCCATGATTGAGATTTCGATAAAACGATATTTTTTGTAGATTTATTAGCACAAGACATTAAATATTTCCCACTAGAATCGGTTGGACGCATTTTATTCCTAATCGGTAAATATTGATTGCACTGTTCTGACGTAGAATTCACCATATTTATTTTAGGTGATATATTTAATTGTTGAAAAATTTGTTGACTTTTATCTTCAAATAAATAAATTTTTTCTTGAGCTTTATTTTTGGCATTAGATACACACAATTGTTCAGGATGAATATCATTGTAGCATATTTGATTAACAGAAGATCGTTTTATTTCATGAACAAGTTCTTTTGGTAATTGTCGAGGTATAATTTTATTATTAGTTTGTTGCTTATATTGAGTTTGATTTTGTTGTAACACATTATCTTGAATTTCATTGAAAGTGGTATTACAAGTAATTTTTTTTTTAGTTTTTTGTAATAGAAATTCATTTTTTGGTGGTAATGAATTTTGTTGTGATTGAATTTGTGAAGTTTGTTCAGGACTTTTCAACATCGATGATGATACTGTAGCTACAGCGCATGTACAATGTGTGATAATTCCATCGGAACTACTAATTCGATTTTGAATATTTTTTTTAGTTAAATCAGACATCTGTTTATCATTAGAAACAGATATTGTTGATTTAGATGGAATTAATTCATGATATACCTTCGCATTATTGCAAGATATACTTACAGTATTATTCATTGCGTTATTCAATTTACTATCATTTTGAATAAAATAATGTTTGGCTATTTGTTTCTCTGGTAATTTATTAAATTCATTATATAATTTCTTAGACATTTTAAAATGTAATTGCTTCATCGAACAACGAGAAGACAAAGCATCAGTTACCATAAGATTACTATAAGATTGTTGATGATAAGGTATTTTTTTATATATAGAATTATTTGATTCACGGTAGTTATTATTTGAATTATTATAATTTAAAAGAACTGAATGACTAGGTATATCTATATATTGATGAGTAGAACTATTTGGAATATTTGTAATTTCTGATAATAATGATTGATGGTCATACATTTTATGTATATTTGACGTTGGTAAAATATTGTTTGAATTTGTTAAGTTTTGAGTATAATTTGGATTTGTATACTGCATTATCGAACTTACATTTGGACTTATTTGAATGGAAACATTATGTAATTTTCTTGATTGCATTTTTGGATCATTTTCAAATAAATTTTCAGTCGATGTTTTAAATTCACTTTTAGAAAGTTTTTTATTAATGGATTCATTCATGGTTTGATCTGCAACATTTTTACTTAAAATGTCATGTTTTTTTGTAAATTTTTTTGGTTTTATATAATTTTGTAAACGTTCTTGATTAATTGTATTTTGATAGGTATTTATTGGATTACTTTCAACCGAATTACAATATGAATATTGGTTTAAAAAATCAATTTTTTTATCTACACTAGAGTGCAAAAAATAATCATCTGTTTTTGGATAGGGTATTTTAGGTTTTTCTTTCTTCATTTCAGATTTTTCCAAATTTTTGTTGAAATTGAATAACAATTTAAATTTTGTAGATTTAATATTAGATTTTTCATTAAATAAATCTTTTCTTTCATTATCAAAAGCTTTACGTTGTTTACCAAATGGATAGCAACTTAAATAATCATTTTTTATCGAATGAGAATTATGAAATCTGTTTTCGAATGATTTATTGAATTTAATCTTGATCTGCGATTGCAAATATGTGTTATTATTATCCACATAACTTTTAGATGTATCTTGATCAAACATTTTTAATTTATCTTCCAACATATTATTTTTTGGAGTGTATCTTGATTTTAGTAATAATGGTACAGCTTTGATTTCTGATGAAGGCTTGTCAATTTTTTGAAAGAAAGAAGTTGGGGCATGAGTAAAACTATTTTGTTTTTGTTTTGTTATTTCATGTAATTCTTTGGCAGATCCTATTATTAATTTATCTTTTTCGGAATTAATATTTTTTATATTTTCAAATTTCTTTCGTATGCTAAGTTCATCAGGTTTTTTCAGTTCAGTGGTTTCATCTTTTTGCAGCTTATCAAAATTAGTTTTAATATTCAAAAAACGATCACTCCAAGTTTTATCCGCCATTAAAACTTCCGAATGATAATTAAAACATTTAAAAGGACTGATGGAATTAATTTTAATAGTATCTGTGTTCTTGTTTATTAAAGCTAAAAATTTCCGATCGTTTTCAGTTTTGGGCTTAAAAAATGGTATGACTTTTTTATAACCGTTAATTATTTTATCACCAACATCGATTGGTCGTTTTAATGCAAAGTAACCATTTGTAATTTGATCGGAATTTCTGCTTTTTATTTGTACGAAATTTGGTATATCAATTGTGTTAGCTCTTTTTATTTTTGATTTCTTTGCTATAATTTTATTATACCTTGTAGGTGTAGTGAGTTGATGATAGTGGGATACATTTTTCTTTTGAACCTTTACAACAATGTCGTCTTTGTCTTTGTATAGACTATTGAATCTCCTTGGTGACATTACAACACTTCCCAGTGAATCGTACGTTTTCTTATACCTCTTTTGTAAATCACAGTTATTTTTTTTTTCATGTAATTGTTGTTTATTTATATCTTCAATGCACATATCATTTACAGTATTTTTATCATCGGTTATCAATGTCTTATTAAGAGATTTATCTAATAACGTTTGATTAGCCACTTTATTAAATTCAGCAATTGAATTAAATTCTGCATCCGCTATTTTTTTTTTTTTTTCAAATTCCATTTTAACCGACGATTTCTTTAAATTCATAGGTTTCTCAGACAACCATTGTCTTACCGTTTGATTTATTTTCTGTGGAAAGACATTGATTATGTACCTATCGTTTTCATTATGCCCTAAACCAATGTAAAACTTACTTTCTGATTCACTTAGTTTCAAATTCGCATTCTCTGGTATCTTGAGTTTTCTTAACAGATTCGAAATGAGACGTATTAAATACAATTTACTTTGAGGGTTTAAAGTAGCATTGTATTTCGTCAATGTACAAATATCAACTCGTTTAAGCAAATCCTGAAGAGTATGAAGCCCTCTATGGATATCAGCCAGTAAAATATTCTCGACGAAATTGATATTAATGTTTGATTTTTGTTCGATTTTTATTGAAGTACTGTCAAATTGGTTAATCCATAATCTGAAGTTTTCTTTAGAGTTGGCGCTAGAGTCTTCAAACAGTAATTGCTCGTCGCTGTTGTCATTTGAGCACCAGAGTTCCAATGTCGAATGCAGATGATCGATTAATCTAGGTAGTATATTGCACTCACCGGTTCGAGTTTGTTGTATCTGATGCTGTATTTGTTGCTGTTGTGCCATTATGGTTGTACTTACTGACTGGAATGTCGTTAAATTCGATGAAATGACACTAATAATTTTTCTAAGTTTCTCATATTACAGTGATGAAAATGCTCTGAAATAATTCAAATAAAGACAATGATATTAGGATTATAGATCACTCTATAATTAGAATCCAGAGAAAATTTATTTTAATCTTCATAGATAACTAAAGCTAAAAAATAAAAAATAAAAAATGAGGAATAGATGATAAAGAAACGTGACAATGGGAATTTAATAAAGCATAGAGCTGTAACCTCGTATGTGCCTGATTTTTGTTGTCTAAATAAGATTAAATTGAATAATAAATTATATTTTATCATATTTTTATATTATATGTTAACATATAAAATCATTTAAAACCTTTTTGCTATTTTTAATAAACATTTGCCCAAATGTTTACACGTTCAAATAATAATAATAACATAGTTATTGATTAAATATTCGTAATATAATTTTTCCCTTGAAATTGCGCAATAATATTTCTTATGGATTATAAAGATATTGAATATATTTAAGCAAATTATATGAATTATAAATTTTCAATTTCTTTTAATGTATTTATTTTATATATTACAAACTTAATACGTATTTTATATTTACTTTTTTTACATAATCGAGTATTTTTTTATGCATTTTGTTTAAAACTTGTTTTTATTAATTTTGTCTTTTTATCTTGCAATCGTGGTATTATTCTCTTTATTATTTAGTCTAAATGATAAATATATAAAGTAGAATACAAAATAATGATCAAATGATTTCTATTTGCTTTCAAAAGATTGAATTATTCGAGATTTTGCTATCCGAATTTATAGAATAAAAATTATAAAAATTTAAGCTCACCTTATATTTTCGACATTATAAGTTGTTGGAAAAACGCCTGAAATTTAAATAAAAAATTATGGACTATAAAATAATTCATTATTAGATAATTTAAGATCTTTAAAATTGCAAAATTATAGATGATATTCAGTTTTGAACTTATTTACTAATATGATTTTTATGTTTTATACCTATTTAAAATACATCCCAAGACCTTTCTTAATCATTTTAAATAAATATTTTTCATTTTTATAAATTATTTTGAATAAAAAAAAATTTTACTTTGATTATATTAAATAAATTTACAAAATATTATAGAGCAAAATAATTGATTCAAAATATTTAAATCATATAAACTTTAATCAATTTTAGGAATAATATTTTTTAAAAGTATTAAAAATTTATTTCTAATTGTGTTGGTAATATATAATTAACTAAATGATCAATGTAAAAGTGCTATTTTAAATAAATGGTAATTATTGTTGTAAACTTTTTAAATTTTAAATAGAAAAATGATAATTTGTTTTTTGTTAAAGTTCAATTTTTTCAACTAAATAATATCTTTTAAATGTTGCGTATTCAGTTTAAGTATAGATATAGTTTTATCTAAATATATTTATAATAAATTTAACTTTATATGTGATAAATAATATTTATTTTAATATGTGATACATATGTATAATTAATAAATTAAAATATTTTATAGGTATATAAAAATATTTGTTATTAAACATATTAAATGTTGTCAGATTATTCCTTAATTTTTCATAGGTTTACAGATAATATGTTTTGTGTAGACAAAATTTTTCTTTTCTTTTCCATCATACAATTTCTTTCATTGATTACAATATTCTTAATAAAATTTTTTATTTAAAAAGTGATAATTTTTAATCTTTTATGTATTTATTGTAATATGATCTGCTGTACTGAAATTAATATTATTATTTGTTATAATTAACTAAGACTCTTCCACATATTCTGTATTTTATTAGTTTATTGTGCGATAAGTAAATGCATTTTTTATATATTTAATTACTTAATATAAGTTAAAATGAAAAATTTTTGCATAAATTGTTATATGTGAATTTTAAATCATATAAAAAGAAAATTTTTCACATTTGATCTTAACCTCCAAGTGTAATTATAACAATATGATGAATACTCGCAAAATATGTATTTAAAAAAATATTTTATTTATTTTATTATATTTTTTATTCTAATGTTTTTATATGTAATACCAATTATTTTTATACTTTAAAAAATTGTATCAATTATTTTATGCATTAATTTGAAATCAAATTAAAAATAACTAATATTGGTAATTAAAATTAATCGATTGTTTTACATAATTTGTTCTACTCTGAAATGACAATAAGAAAATGCTAAAAAGTTTAAGAAATACTTTATATACTTTATAAAGATTCTCATAAAGATAGCATTTATATTAAAATTGTAGTGAGAATTAAAGTCAAAGCCAATCAACTAAAAAACTGTATAATATAAATAATAGCATAATCTAGGGAGCAAAAATGTATCTAAAAAAGTTTAGTAGCAAATGAATGAAAAGAATGAAAAGTGAGTTAAAAGTAAGCAATGCAAAACAATAGAAAAAAGTTTAAGGAACAAAATAAAAGGATCTATAAAATATAGAATGATTGAAAAAAAGCTTACATAAAAAATCTTCGAAAATATTTGTAGAACCAAATTATTAGTCGAGTCTATTCAGGAATATAAATACTCATGAATTTTGTCAATCAATAACATTTATTTTAAATGTATTAAAATTTAATTATTTTGAAAATAGTAAATAATCGTATATATGTATACAATTTCAATAGTTATATTATTAAGTAACACTAGGTATTTTTAATATTTTTTTCATCAAAATAATTTTGTATTTAATATATACATTTAATATATATATAATACTTTACTATTGGTTATATACTAATATTTTTAAAGTTGATAAATTACATACAACTGCTGTAACATTTAAAGTTCTTTTAGATTATGAAACAAAATTCTGCATAATAGCTTGTGTTTACTTCCACTTGCCATTACTTTATTATTCTCTTTTATAGCAAAAAATATCGTGTTTATAATATGTAATGAATGTATTTTTTTTTCTATCCAGAATAGGGTTGAAATATGATATATCATTTGTAGGATGCATAGATAAATATATTATTCAATTTATGTGATAAGTAATGATTTAGACATCCATTCTTTACTTTCACTAACACATCATTCAACTTTATGAAATGTTGATAAATTGTCTTTAATAGAATATACCGTTTTATTTTTATGATTAAGTTTAATATTTTAAAAATTATCTACAATATTAAGATTAAATACAAAAAATATATATTTATAATAAAAGTAGAAATAATATTTTAATAATGTGAAAACAAGATTAAGCGATTTTTTCTTGTTTTACCCTGTTTATTAAAATTTATAAAGAATGGTATACTTTTGGTTATAAAACTGTAAAATAAGATATAAATATTGTAAAGCTGGAATAATAAGATACCATTTGTAAAATTAAATATTTATTTTTATGTTATTAAATAAATTACTTATGAATTTTGTTCCTATTTAATGATCGCATATACACGCATATCAGTTTTAGTTTTAAATTAGTTTTAAAGATAATCTTAACGATACAAACAAGAAGTTATTTTTAAAGTTAAATATTTGAATGCAAATATTTAATGGTTCAATGACCTTAAAATAATTATGTATTTAGTTTTTCAATTAATATTTTTCATTGATTTTTTTATTTTAACATTTTTATATATATTTTTAATGTAGTTGTGCTCGAGATAAAAGACCAAGACAGCTGGAACCATAATACTGTTTCAAAAGCAGGCAGATATCAATATTATATATCAAAGGAAGTTCATTTTATAGCTATTTATTATTTAATAATAATTTTAATAAAAATTGATGGATTTTTCAGTTATTTTTCAGAGTTTACTAAAATTGGGAGTAAATGAAAAATATAAGTTCATCTCTTTTTTATTATTAACGATACTCCATACAATCTCAAAATCTTAAACATTTATTTGCTCTAATAAGATGCAACGATTGATTAAACTGTTATTATAATCACTAATTAGATTAAATTACTACTGCATTGGGTAAAATTGTTAGTAATCTTATAAATTATTTATTGAGTATACGGAAGTGACATCCATATGTATACATATATATTAGAGAAATGTTAACATTTAATAGGTTTTTTTAGCAAAACCAAATATCTAGTTTATTGCTTAAGTATGATTTAAAATATTATGACTTTGTTTGATAAAAAATCGTTGTCATAAATGATTGAGAATTAATGGTGTTTGTGTAGATATTGTTTGTTTCCTGTCAAAAATTAGAGGCTACAATTATCTAGATATAACATACAAAAAATCTTTCAATATTTAGTATTATCAAGCGTAACAGTCAATAATAAATATAATACACATTAAATATATATTATAAAAAGAATACAATTATAACAAATCAACGATGAGAGGGTCTTCATTGCAAACTAACGATGTTGTAGTTGTCTGCTGTGAATTACCAATAAGATAGTCTGAAAAAGTACAAAATTGTATAATGTATTATGTATGAAATTGTATATGAAAATACGAGAATTTTATATAAGAAGAATGTTGATTATTTTACATAGAATTTCAGTAATTTCTTAGAATGTTTATGCAACTCTAAGTTCATCTACTAAAAATAATTTTAATATATTAAATCATATTTTATTCAACAATAAATATGGAAGGTAGAAAAATTAAGAATAGATTAATGAGTGGATGGACCGAGGAAGTGAGAAAGAGATAAACATAGTTCTCTTTTATATGTCAATTTTTAACTAAGACATTTATTTTCTATACATCAACATATTAAAATATGAATTAATATTAATTTATAAATTTAAAACATTTTCAAAGAATTTAATCGATAATACGTATAAGTTTTTGTATAATTGCATACAGAACTTCAGATATATAATTGTATTCAGTACTTTAAATATATATCAAATGCTCACATTTAATTTAATATGTAAAATTTTATTAAAACATTTTTAAAATCTTGACTACAAAGAGAAAAAATAATACAAAATGTACAAAACTAAAATTTTATTAATATTCATTTTAAAGAAATTCAAGTAAAATACAACTTAATTTAATCAATTTGAATAAATTACCGTTAGTTATTTCAAATATGAAGTTAGTATTGAATAAAAATGTTTATATCAACTACTTACAGTATTAATATTTACGTTTATTTAAAAATATTAGAATTAAATATTAAATATTAAAATTTTGTATAGAAGTATTTATAAATATTTCATATCTTGCTTAATTTATATAATAAATTTATGATAAATTAAAAATATTTATTTTTAATAATGTCCGTACTTGAATTATACAACAATACAAATAAAATTGTTAACATTATCTAATTAACTAAAGTTGTTTAGTAATATTAATATAAATGATTACAAAGTAGATAGATAAAATTTTTAAATTAATAGTCAATGACGAATAGTATAATTTTATTATGGCATGTCATTTTAATATCTTTCGTAATATGATGTTAACAACATTATTTAAAGTCATTATCGTATTAGTTTAATATTTATTAAAAAGATTTTGATATTACATATGGCTTACTTTTTATGTAAAAAGATTTTATTCAATTCGGTATTTCAATCACTATTTATTTGGTTTTATTAAATACTTTGATTACTTTATAAATTAAAAAATTTTTCATACTTCTGTTTTAATAATCCCATTAGATATTTATCTAAATGTGATTATCTAAATATGAATATACCAAATATCATCAATGTTTTAAATAAAATATAATTTTATCGTATCTATTATTTTATTTCATAATTATAATTTATTAACTAAACCAAAAAAATTATTTTTTCATAAAAGGAAAATATTCCAAAATAAGTGACCTAACATTTGAATGTAAACGTTAATTTAATTGTTTAGTTAATTAAAAAAACGTTTACTTAATATTAGAATCTAATAAAATTTTTGAAATTTTATCTTGTTGATTTTTATATATTATTGACAATAACAAATAATTATAATTTTTAATACATAGTTTTAGATATATAATTATGATTTTACAAATCATTTCATAGAATGATGTTGACTTTATTTATAATATATGTTAAAGGAATTTGAGTTTTGATTTCTTTTGAATTAAGACTTAATTGGATAAATATATAAAATATATGTGAAAGTTATATAAATATACATAAATATATATATATGATTCACAATGAAAACGGATATTTATAACAAATTTTTGTATGAAATTTTGTGGAAATCAAATAAGTTTTATAACAACAATCGTTTGTTCGTATATATTTTTTAATTTTAATATTTCATAAAAATGAGCTTGCTGTGATAGTAAATTATTAAATACAGAAATTTATTGTTTTTGAAAAAAGTGATTGATTAAAATAAATTTTTTATAATTAATAATTTAGATTGTTATGATTATGATGTATTTAATTAAAGTATTTATTATTATATAAATTTAGAAAATAATCATTAAATAAATTGCAGAATAAGAATAAAATTACGCACACACACAGTATATAATTTGCTTAAAATAAGACTTTATTACGTAGCATGTAAAACAGAATATAGGCTAAATAGTAAAAATGGCATCATCATTTAATAAAATAATATTTATTTTTTTAAATTAAAAAATATTTAGGAAGAATATAAAAAATCGAAATTTCTGTAATTTCAAACAAAAGAGATAAATAATAGAATTATTTAATAATTGATGTACATTGAAATGAATAATAAAAGATAAATAAGAAATAAAACAGTAAGATAGATACGTATGTATGTAAAAACAAGTTGTTTTATTTTATTTTGTTTATTGTGAAAAATTATAAAATTTTGAAAGTTGCTGATAAAATTATAACTTGTTTCTTATACATTCTAATTCATTAATTTTAAGTATTTTTAACATTTTTCATTACTTATTTATTGTGCAGTTATTAAAAGTGCTCCAAAATACGTATAATTTAAACTCTTGTATTGAACATAGATGCACTGTATCTTTACAGTCTCTCTCTCTCACCCTCTATCTCTTCTCCCCTCTCTCTATGATTCTAAATATAAAAAAACGTGTAATAAATAAATAACTGTAAATAGCAAATTTAAATAATAAATAAATAATATATCTAAATAAACTATTAATAAACAAAGTAATAAATTCATATTAATAGTTTTATTTGAAAGTTGGTATAAATAATCTTACATGACATTCTTGTACATAACGAAGCTTGTTTTTGGAACCAACCAAGAATCGAAATCTTGAAAGATATTTCTTTAGGCTCTAGCTCGATCTATTTATAAAGTCAACTAATCGAATATAAATACGAAAATATTATTGTAAATACAAAATTAAATGCGTAAAAGTATTTTAAACTTGTTATTTTAAAATATTATAAATATTTGTTGGAACAAGGTGAGAATCAAGCGCATAAAACAATTTAAAACAGATAATTGATTGAAAGAAAAATATTAAGTATTAATAAACATGAACGTAGAGGTAGATAAATTCATGGGTGAAATAGATAGGTTTGGTATATAATAACTTTAGACAGGTAATTATAAATTTATAATAACAAAGCGCTTGAATTTCAAAAGTTTTAAAATTTATATTAAAGTTTCTCAATTATATATAAATTGAGAAATATTATAGAAAATTTCTCTTACACAATTAAGTGTAAGAGTAATTGGCCTTTTATTGCACTCAGTACTCGTAATATCGGTCCACGTTACTATGAAAAAATATATACCTGATGACGAGTGATATATAACGACCGAATACAAAATGAAAAGATACATTGACGCTACTTACTTTTCTGGGTTTAAAGCACAGCAGTGGAAGAATTTGATAGCTTTAATGCTCAAGGTGTTAAGCCGACTGTTTTAAAGCCAAAGGGACTCGTAGAAGAACTAATAGCGATGCTACAGCCTTCAGTACTAACGCTACCGAATTCTCGCATGATTCGCACCGATTTAGAACGCTCGAAATAGTGACCCAAGTTATTATTGTTACCTCAAACTTGCAGCTATGCTTTAATTTTCATATGAACGTAAAATAGTTCAGACCTAAATAACAGCTGCAAGGGAATAGGTTGTATAAGTGTCTCCAAAGTAGCACTTTCTGCATTAAACTGTATTTATATTAAATTATGTCATTTCGTTTATTACTTTTTCAGACAGGACGAAAAGCTTAGAGTGTGATTCCGGAATTTCCTGTGTAAAATATGATTACTTCAATACATATTTGAATATATAATAATTATTTTTCTTTATTTTCAAAAAAACGTTAATCTTATGTAAAACGAATTGAAAAAAATTTCTTTGAATCTTAAATCATATAAATACGTTATTGGGTATGCGTATAATTTTATTAATTTTATTATTAATATTAATATACATTATAATTATAAAAATTTATTGAATTTAAAAAATATAATGAAATTGGGAAATGAAATGATGAATATATATAAAATAATAAATAATAATAAAATATATAAAATAATTCGTTAGACACAAAGTTTTTCAAATTTATTTATTGATTTAATTGAATTCTAACCTTTTTTAAAATTATATTATCTATGAAATATACAATTAAACTTTTTATTTATTTGAATAATTTTGGTTATAATTATTTAATATATTTTAAGAAAAAGTTTATTTTTATTTTTTAAAATCATCTGAAAAATGATATTAAAAATTATTCTATGTAGTTTATCAGATATTTATGAATTTTTTAAATATGTTTTATCAAATAACGCTTTTCATTACTTATATATTAACTATATTATAAGTATAGTTGATTATAAAAACAATATTTTATGTACTTAAAAATATATAAATTTACACTATTTCATAGATTTAAGATTTTTTATTTCATATTAAGTTACGAAAGATTTGTTTTTGTCAATTATAATAAATGCAATTTGAAATTTTTTACATTATTTGTTAGACATTTTTAATTGTACTAACTTCAATAACTTTTGTTGTTATTTTTTCTTTGTATAAAATCCTCATTATACTTCAATAAAAGCGTGTAAAAATATATTACACTTTTATATTAATATTAATATTAATATTGATATTAATAAGTTTCAAATTTACAATTATATTACCTTAATAATAATGGAATGTAATATAATTATGAATATCATATAATTATTTCGATACAAAAAGGCCATTAAAATATACATTAAATAATAAGTACACGTAACTACATGTATGAAGAACTTTTTAATTAAATTAAAAATAGTATATTATTCATTCAATTAACTCTATTTTTACATTTAATAGAATAAATTAAGTTTTTAAAAAAATTGATAATAAACCAGCAAATATACAAATAAAACAAATATCAACGATGTTTGATGGTGATAACATAATTAGTATAAAAAATATTTTAAATTATTAATAAATTATAAAATTTACTGTAATATAAAGTATTTACGCAGTTTATATGTAAGTACTATTGGAAGAATAAATATTATATATGAGAGCAAAATTGATAACCTAGCAGAATAATAATTAATTTCGGATAAATGTTTTTAATTGAAATATTGCCCCTAATCAATATTTAATAAAAATTAATGTAATATATTTTTAATCTAATAATTAAATATATTTTTAAGTTTTCTACAATAACAAGTATAAAGGCACTTATATTTTAATTTATAATTTATTATTTATGTTATTTATAAAATATAATTTATGATTTAATGTAAATTAATCTAAACATATTCAATTAATAATAAATCAAATACCAATTAGTTAAAATTGATATATTTATAATTGTTTATAATTATTTATAATTGATTTATAACTATTTATATTTGGATTACATCGTTCAAAATATATTGGTACAAAATTTTAAATGATTATATGACTTACGAATTGTTGTTGCATTTAGAAAAAGAAAACAATAGAGATGAATCGTAGTTTTAACTGATTATCATAGTTGCCTTTAAGAAAGTTTTTTTATAATTAAATTGAAACAAAATTTTAAACGTAAAACAAAATTAGATACTTGATATCATGGGCTTTCATCAAGCTTTTTTATTAGAGGTGAATTATATATAAGATATGTTAAAAATGAACAAGACAAATGAGTGAATAAATATTTGGAGTTAAGGAAGTTAAATTCATAATGTATAGTAAATCGCTCGCTTAATAACATCAAACAACATTATATCAACTATTATAGGCATAATATACTCAGGCTAGTAAAAGAAGTTAAATTTTAAACAAGAATCAGAATAATCAAATATGAATATAACATGAATGAATAAGATAGGAATATTGGAGTATCAAAAAGAGAATAATATTATCTTTGGGATACAGAATTGTGATCGAGATATAGTACAGAAACTTTAGCTAATTATTGGCTGAAGCGTATCCATGGATGATAATACAATTTGTTATTATATTATTATATTTTTATATACTAATACTTATTAGAATAATTTAATCTTGACATTTTTGAGTACTATTTACCGTAAATATATATGTTTCACTATGTTTATACTTGTGCAAGCACATAAATTCATATTATAAAAATAAGTTTACACCGGATACTTTATAAATATTTATATACAATATTCAGAAATAAATGTTAAGGCTAATAAATCAATATCCTATTTACAAATTGTTTATTTTTATGCAAAAGTTTTAATAAATCTCTTTTCAATATGTATAATTATGAAAAACTAAATATTAAAAAATTAATGTATAAAGTTTCATGTATATACTGTAGTAATATACAGATTTAAAATACTTTTATTATTTATATATTTTTTTCCTTAACAGAATCTCACAGACAAAAAAAGAAATTTTTAGATTTAAATTTTAAATAATCATAAATTTAAATTGAAATAAATTTTTAAATTATATTAAAAATGGTTTATTTAATTATATAGAATTTGTTTTAAATTTATTTTAAATGATATACAATGATATTATAATACAATATAGATATACGAGAGGATAATCTTATTTTATGGTGTTAATAAATTATTTTTTTTATTATTCTTTTTTAAAAGTGGAGTAAATTAACAAATAATAATTTTTTTTTATATGTTTATGACCTCTATCAGTGTATTTTATATAATTAAAGTTTGTATAATTATTTTATATTTTTTCTACAAGCAATATACATTGAATTTTATTAATTTATTTTATAAAAAATGTTGACAATAATAATAAAATTTCATTTCCTGTTCCTTTTTTATATTTTTAAAACATAATGCATAGTTATGTTTTCAACAAATCTATTCAATCACAAATTTTGTTTAATCACCAAGATGATTAAAAAATATGAGTTGCTTAACTGATAGAAAGGACTATTTGGTTAACATTTTTGTATGACAAACTCTTACTCCCCCACTTTTTCTTATACAGAAGCGGCGACAGCAGTGGTGGCAGCAGTGCACACGGATGGATTCGACAATCTGGTAACCTATAAGCCTGTCATCAGTTCAGTATCAGACTATAATCAGTCATTAATTTTTTTTTCATTTAAAAATAATCAAGAATAAACTATTGTTAATAGCATAAGCGAACACTTACAGTAAAAGTTGCACGAAAGATGATGCAAAGAATGTAATGCTGCTCCCGCTATTCGAATATCAACATTTAATTAAACAAGTACGAACAAAACAGTCATTGACTCACCTAGATTCTGTATTCATTAAGTAGAATGCTCGCAAGAATAAGTAATCAAGTAATATAAAAAAGATATAATTTTGAGATATTCTGACTTGCATACCTAGTGTAAAATTAATATACAATTAAAAATATAATCTGACTTGCATACCTAGTGTAAAATTAATATACAATTAAAAATATTAATAAATAATAATTAATAATAAATAATAAATAATAATTAATATACAATTAAAAATAAGTGTACAATTTTTCTTTAGCTCTTTAAAATTGAAGACGAATTTTGTAAAAAGCTTATTTTACCACTTATTATAGTGAAATTGAATTCTTAATCAATAACGTATTTCAATTATTAAATTTGTTATAATATTATTTATAAATCAAGTTTTACTATATGAACAATAATTTCTATTTGAAACTCAAATTTCTACTTTAGCTCTATGTATCAAGGTTTTCTAATATCTACAGTTAATAATCTAAAGTTAAATTTTATTGGTATTAGAATATAAAATATATTCTTTATGGTATATTTAATTTCACATAAATTAAGTAATTTTATTATTGTTTAGTTATTGCATCTTTACATATTGTTAAAATTGGTACTTAAAAATATAATAAAAAATACTTTGAATAAATAATATTGAGAAAAATTTTCCAAAGTTACTTATATACGATTAAAATACATAAATATAAAGTAAAGTATAAAATTTGTAAAATTTGTATTTGTATTTACTTAATTATTAATTATTGATTATTAATACAAATATTACCAATAATACATTTTTATTTAACACTTACATATATTAAAAATGTTTTAATATTAAATACATGCATAATTATATAATTATAAATAAATAAATTTATTGGTATTCCTATGGAAAAAAAGATTGCTATAATATAAAAAGTTTATATATATAAATATATTCTTAAACTGACTAGTTTTTAATTAATAATTAATATTTAGTTATAGTTAATAGTTAATTAATAATTATTAGTTTTTAATAATAATTTTTAAATAATAATTTTTGTAAAAAAAAATCAAACAAATTATTTAATATATATAATCAGTTATAAAGTTATTGACTATGGTTTTTACAAAATTTGCTTATTTTATTTAAGCGATTTTATTAATATTAAAATAAAAATTATAAGATGCAAATGTTATTTTTTAGAATAATATTTCAATAAATTAAAGTTTCAAGTGGTTTTCAAAATTGGTATGAATCAAAAATTCACGAAGAATTATATTATTAAACTTAATTTGCATTTCAATTAATTATATAAATTTTTATAAATACTTTAATTCACCTAATGTTTTATTTAAAATACACATTAATTTAATATAGATTATATAATTTAATAAATACATAAAGATTATATCAAAAATATAAATATATATAGATATATATACTTTTATGATACAATTATTTTTATTTACAAAAATTAATTATCATTATTTTGAATTTTATAAAAATAATTGTATAGTTTATTTTTTAGAAATATCATAAATAATAAATAATACGTTTTATCTTAGATACAAATATGAAGGGATGGTTTGATGCGTTTCGCAACGATGGCGGGCCGACGCTATATAGCTACAGCAATCGTACATCGGTTACTGGGGATATTAGTTTGATTACCATTTTTGTGTTGTTTGGTACTGTTTTTATAGCATTTCTTCTTATATTTCCTGGTATTCGTAAAGAGGTATGATTATTTCAGTTATTAATATATTTATTCATTATGATCAAGAGTAACGTTTTGTAAGTTTAATCAATATTATCCAATTTTAAATGATTATTCAAGTGATATTATAAGTAATACATATTAATTCATTTATTTGTAAGTATATTTTAAAATATTGATTTTGTTTAATTTAATGAAGATTTATTTAAGCAAATTTATTTATACAAAGATTTTATATTAATCGAAAGTAATTTCATATTAATTTAAATAATTAAAAAATTGTAACGGATAATGAATAAATGTCTATCATAAGATATGATGTAATTTTATATTTTGTTTTATAAGATTTTATTATATTTTATTATAAATTTTATTATCTTAGTGTTTTATTTTATTTTAAATATATCTTCATATTAAGTAATTGGATTTATAAAATTATTCTTATTTTTTAATGTTACAAATTACGTAACTATATATTTATATAAATAAGTGTTATATCATCAACATAATTTAATTAAATAATAAATTAAATAATAATTTTCAAATTAGAAAATTAAACTGAAATTATAAATTATAAAAATATACTGTTCAGACTATAAAATTAAATAAATGTAAAGTTCAACTTATAGAATTAAAAAGATTTAAAGTTTAAATTATAAAATTTTTTTTTACTGTATAATGTATATTAATACAAGTGTATAAATCTTCTTAAGTCTATGAATCCATGTGTTACTACATACAAATGTTTTTATTTGTAATTATATGAAGTATAATATATTAATGAAACTACATTAAAGTATAAGAAATGTATTGAACAATGATATTTATACATTTAATGAACATTTATATTACAGAGATTAACAACTTTCCTGACAGTGACTTTAGTAGTTTTCGTAGGCATGACCATCAAAGGTTAGTAGTCAGTGAATAAATTCTTAATTAAGTTTTTGAAATACATAATCAATGGTAAAATTGATATAAAAATTTCATTTAACCTAGAATCAATGATGAATATATAAGGTACTATTAATATAAGAAACACGTTTTATTTATATTTTGTAAATATACAATTAAGATAATATATAATTTTATTAAGATTTTTTATATATTTCATTTAAGCAATTAATAAATATTTATAAATACATACCTATTTGACATACTCAAGAAAGTTTTGTTAGATTATTTTGTATACATCATATGTTTTTAGTAATTTTTAAAATTGAACTTTGGATGCATAACTAAATTTTTATTTAGTTACTTTTAGAAATTGTAATAATAATTAAAATAATTTAAATACATTTAAAAAAAATCCTTCAGTTAAAAATAAATTCGATTAAAATTTAAAATATATATGAAATTAATTTTAATGATAGTTATTTACAATCTTTATGTAAAATTTTGAATAAATATACATGCATACATACACACAATCATATATATACATATATATGAATTTATATGCTACAAGGCAATAACATATATATCTTCGTGAAGTCAGTTGGATACAATTGTCATTACTTATTCATAATCTGTGATAGATGAATTATGTTTATAAGTAAAATTGTATTCTAGATGAACGCGGTAATTTAGCTGATAACCTTCGATTAGCACTCATGCTTGTTTACGACATTCTGCTATTATTGCACTACATCCTGTTTTCCCAAGTTTCTAATTTCTCAAGATTTTCATTATTTTTAGTTGTAGTTAGTGTATTATCATCCATTCAAATAAATGTACTCTTTAATACACTGATTTACTCATGCACAGCCTCAGAATATTTAATGGTTTTTTTAATTTTAATAATTTTATTCAAATTATTTTATTTACCTTGATAAATTTATCAAGGAATACATTGCATTTATAAATAATTATATACTATTGAGAAAATTGTTTATAGTTTTATATTGATCGTATATTACATTTACATATAATTATATATCGTATAATGTACAATTATATAATAATATAATAAAATATACTTTTATATTATTATATTATTATATAATAATACAATTGCATATGCAATTATATAAAATAAATAATCGGCGTATTTTAAATGCAGTATTTAACATCGATATTAATTTATTTTGGGAATCAGCACCTTTTTTATATTAAAAGTCATTTGTATTATAAGTAATTATCTAGATTAGATTACTTTATTCAAGATGATTATCCTTGCTATTTACTTATTTAGAATAAATAATTATTTAATATGTTTGTACTGCAGTAAATTATCATGATTTTAATAATATTAACAAATATATGTATACGACGCTATTTATTAATAAATTTAACAGCTATTAATTAGTTATATATTACATAGAGAATTTATCATATTAGAATTTGCACACAAATCGTACTAGAATTTTATATAAAAAATAAAATATTTCTTTGCAATTTTAATACAATATATTTAAAATATCATTGATGTTGAAAAAAGTCTTCAACTAATTACAAATTCGATAAAAATAAAACTTATATAAAATAAAAATATAATTAGAAGTGTATTAATTCATACATAATATTTATTGATTATATACTTTTATGATAAGATCAGTGAAATAAATGTTATACGGATTCATAAATATTAATAAGATTTTATTTAAGGCGTGAAAATAAATTACTCGTTTGCATAGATGTCCATAGATTGACTACTTTTATTTATTTTTTTTTAAATTTCTGTAAGAAACTAATTAACTAAGAAACTAAGCATAAAATTTGATGCAGCCACGCATTATTTTAACATTATATCGCATATATTATGTTATTATTATACTTAAGTTTAGATTCAGGGTACTGATGAAGTAGACATTTAATTTAATTTATAGGATTACCTCCCGAAATTTTCCTTTAAATTGCATATGCCACAAATATTAAAATTTTATAGTTGCCCTGCGTGGTTCAACATGGCATATAAGTACGTCTACTATCATGAGTTCTTACAGTGCTTTTTCGAAGCAGAGAATTGCTGCCGAAATTGGTGGATACATCGGTCTTATGCATATAAATATTACATACAGAGGTAAATAAAATTGTTATATATGCTAAATATTTGAATACTAAAGATTTGGATAGAATTTTTTTATTTATATATCCTACTCAATTCTGAATTTTATATATTAATCGGATTATGTCAAGTAGATGTATGTTGTTACATTTAAAAAATTGAATTGATAGAATCACTTCTTAACAAAAATCTATGTTAATATTTAAATAGAATCATGATTAAAATAACAAGCTATATATGAAATTTTTCACACTTAGATTGTAAAAGTAGTTAAATATATTTTATTTTACGATTTCTATATGAGTGATTAGAGGTAATAATAATTAATACAAAATTAAACAACTTTTCTAGAAATATTTAGATTAATTTCATTTATTTACAAGTGTATATACTGCATTTTGTAGAAATATATATATATATATATGTATATTATTTTAATTTGGATAAATCAAATATGTATTTAATGCAGTGTTACCTGAAAGTATGAATATCGGGGATGTAGAGTATAATGAAAGATTTTTTTGGAGAAAACCTCATGAAATGGTAAAACATTTTAAAGATGCGCTATACCGAGGCACTCCTTTCCCCATTGTTTCGCTTGCTGAATACTTTAGTCTCCATCAAGAAGGTTTTTCCTGGGGCGTCAAATATCGCGTTGCAGGTTACTATGCATCAGTTATGCTTTGGTACGAAAAATTTATTATATTGGATTTTATATTTATTATTTTTAATATCTATTTCATAACGTGTAAATATTAACAGGACACATATACACATACACAATATTAAATAAAAAAAAAATAAAAGTTGTGGTATTATATGTTTATTTAATAATTAAATTTTACATAGTATACAGCAATTCAATTTATATCTAAAGCAAGTGTCTTTATTTTAATATATATTAAACGATTTCAGAAGTATTCTTTAGAAGAATAAAGCTTTGATTATTAACGTTAAATAATTTTATATTTTTTTAAAAATATTTGTCTTGTTCAGAATATTGAGGATATTGGAAATATATATTTTATTATTATAATGATATTTAATAATCAAATAAATAGAGTCAATAGAAAAAATATACTGAAGAAATTAATTATTTATTATTTTTCTCTTTCAAAGGGTTTCTTTAGCATTCTGGTCAATGACAAATCTACTATTGGTGATGGTCCCAAGATACGGAGCTTATGGTATGATTTTGACGGGTCTCTGTATGCTTTTTACTAATCTTACATATTGGTTACTTCTGCCTTATGATCCACTTGTCGCTTATGTCGATGGCTCTATTTTAATTTTCAATTTCGGTTGGAATTATTGGTTGGTTTTAACTGCTGGTAAGTTTCTTAATTTAATTTCGTTATATAAACATTATTTGATATTCCAGTTTATTACATAAATTTTGTGCCCTTCATTTCATTGTTTTCAATACAAACTAATCTTATTTGACTAATCTTAATAAAAACAATACTGTTTTATTTATTATATATAATCGATTATTTTGTCATAGTCTGAAATTTCTTAATTTCAAATTACAATAATATCATATTTTGACATAGTATTTCTAACTGTAAAAATATTTTTTTAATTAGCTATTATTATAGTTATAATTATAATTCAAATTTGGATGGATTTTTTTTATTCTCTTACTTTATATATGTGTAGTAGCTACATATTCATGAAATAGTTCATTGTCGGAGGTATAAATCTTTATATATTAATGGTAATTTAAATATTATAAAACTTATTATTATAAGATTATTACGATATTTAATTCCTTCAACCATTGGAAATTTACTTATGCACGCAATATTTTATTTGATATTTTATATATAGTTGAAACCTAGTTTTTAAATAATATTATTAAATTTATTTAATGTATATATATGTCAACAAAATTATATAATAGATAAGAGACATAATATTTGAATATAGCCAAAATTATGCGTAGATAATTCAAATTTTGCATAGGATTATTAGGATATATATTCATTTTATTTAATATACTTCAGGGAAATTTTATATCAATTAATTCTATTTTATGTCAATTGTTTTACTTCAATTTAATAAATTATGTTGAAATTCAATAAACTTTTAAATGATTGAAGATAAACATGTTATAAAATATAAACATAATATTTTTATTAGTTAACTCTTTTTCTGAAATTGTTGAGAAGAAAAAAAAACAGCAATACTAGTCTTCACTAAATTTTAATAGCTTAGTGATTACATATTAGTGAATTAGATAATTGAAAACTGTTTTAATTGATTAGATAGTAGATAATGTAATTTTTATTATTTTTAAGTTCTTTATATTAAAACAATAATAAAACCATTATTATTTTTAATTTAAATTATAACGTATAGCATTAAATGTATATTAAAAAATAATTATTTAAGTATAAAATTTTTTTATACAATATAAATAACGATAACATATTATATCTATTTAATAGATAAATATTTTGAAAATATTTTGAATATTTTAAAATTTACTTTCATATTAAATATATATTATAAAAATCTTAATAAAAACGTATATTTTTATTTAATTTGTATTATAAATTATTATTGACTCATAATTAAAATACTTATAAAAATGAGGCTAAATATATTTAAATAATATTAGATAATTCACGACAATCTTGTTTAGGAGTTGCATACCTATTTGCTGGAATCGTTATTACAGTAATAGACATGATGTTTCCGCATTCATTTTCAACCATCATGGAAGTTGATTACGACACACCATATGATAGGCATGTTATCATAGAGGAAAGTTTTGATACTCGTAGTAAAATTAATAGGATTGAAGATTCTTTTAACGATCCATTTATAAGGTAATATTTATTCAATTTTTTTATTTCAGTTTAATGGATTTGATGATATAAAAAATAATACTTATTAAATGACTAAGTAAATACGTTTGAAAATATTTTAATAAAAATATTTATATATATATATATACGTATTGATAGTTTTCTATAAAATAATATTTTATATAAATAATGATTACGACAATTTAAAAATAAGACCTTATTAAATTACAATCTATCGATTTTTATTAATCCAGTTAAATTACTTACACGTTTAATTATAAATTTATGTATATTCCACTTTTATTGTTTTTTAAACCGAATTATGAAATTTTAATAAATGTAGCTAAAACGTTGAAAAAATAAACGTAATATTTACAAATATAATTATCAAATAATGGATAATAACTATAAATTAATTATAATTGTAGCCAAGTATCTTCGCAATTGATAAATGAAAGCAAAGCAATTGTAAACCAAGGTTGTATTAAAAATCTATTTGGTATTCAAGACAACTTAAGCAAAAGTAATTGGACTTACCCATTCCCGCAAAAACCGCGATGACTTGTTTGATATTTAAGTTGATCTTTGTTCTTTATATATTTACATTTATTTAACCAATGGAATTTAATGAATAAAATATATAAAATGAGTAAAATAATTTCATTGTACTACGATGAAGATTATTTTTATAATTATTTATTCGATTTTAAAAACTTGAAAAAACTATAATTAGAAATCGCAATGACAATTGTAAAAGTAATAATATTTCATTCTATCAGTAGTTATTTTATATCAGCATAAGAGAAAATTAAATAGTATAAACGAAGAATTAATAATGCTAAAAGAATATGCTTGTGAAATGTTTTCACGTTTAATTTACTTTACGTAAACCAAAATAAACAAAGATTTTCTCGTTTCTCTACAAATATGTTATTTGCGATAACTTAACAGGTTTTCAAATTGTATGAGTTTTTAATAAAGAAATGGTAAGAAAGGTTATACATATTTTTCTTCATACTTGTTTGATAAATATGGTTTATGGCCATTTTAGATGTTATCTATACTACAGACGATAACGAAAGCTCTCTCTCATTCAACACGTTTTCCTATTTCATCCTGCCTATTCGCAATTATATTCTATGCAGAAAAGTGTAATAAAAAATTTAATATATGTGAACTTGTCTATGTGTTTTCATGTTAATGATTATATCATTCTTTTACAATCAGTAATATATAACAAATCTCATCAAAGACATTAGACACTAAAAGTTGATATCACAATAAGATTAATGAAAATTTTTACATTTTTTCGAAAATCAAACATACATTTTTTTATTAAAACAATTATTTTTAGATAATATATTGAACTGAGCATTTTTAATGTAAATATGTATTAATATCTAGTATTTTATTAAAGTTTAAAATCTTTGACCATAATAAATATAATTATTATTTATATTATAATTATACTTTTTATTTATTGTTAACATTATTTAATTTTAAATATACTTTTGTTAAAATTAATTTATTGATCCAATTTTATAAAAATCTGAATCTAATCCAAATTTTAGAAAAATTTACGCAGTACTGTATAATATTATCTTTTCAATATGATTAAATATATTCTTCCCAGGATAATTACAATTACTCCCAATTGACTTCAGTGTTAAATAACTCTTTCGAAATCGACGTTATTGAACTATTTTACCTAATTTTTAGGCTGAAACATTTACTCTTAATATTTAATGTCTTCTAATTTATTTATATATTGATAACAAAAATATGTTATGTTTTAAATCTGTAATATTTTATATCTACAATGGTTAACATATTTCATCTTGAATATTGAAATTGACAATATTGAAATCTATAAATAATTATTTAAATTTCTGTATATTTCGAAATTAAAATTGAATGTACAGTATACATTAATCAAACAATATACAATAATTGAATATTTAGAATTTTTCATTATTTATTATATTACTTAATTATTTATTTAAATTATTTAATTTGAAATTTGACAACTTATTTTTTTCAAATTCTTTTTTTTCCAAAAAATTATAAAATATTTATTATTATTATTATAATTAATCGAATTAGTTATATATATATATATATATATATTACATAAAAAGAACATATTGTTATATAGTTGGAAAACATACAATCTTTAGTGGATTTTAATTTATTTATACTGGTATATAGCATACATTTTTTGTAAATTAAAATTTGGAGTTATATTATTATTATTCATAATAAGAAGATATATGTTCTTTTTTATATTTATATATGCTTATATATATATATATATATATTTATATATTTAGATATTTATGTTCTTTGATATAAGATATAAAAATATTCACTTTTATCTGAGCTTTACATTTTTTTAATTCGAATGTGCAAACTTTACATTGATCAAGAACGAGGTATATTTGCAATGATTATCAGGTTATACAAATAAGAAAGGATACATATTAAATCAATAAACAGCAAAATAATTAAATTGTATAATATGCTATTCTAATAAATAAGGATAAAACTTGCACATCAAATGCATACATATACACATACATATATTAGTTGCTAGATTGTTTAGCAAGTACATATGCAACTGATTTTTCAAACTGTTTCTTAAATTCTTGATAAATATATTTCGAAAAAATAAATAAATTATTTTTAATTAATTTGTAAAGGCTGAATATCAGAATAACAGAATATTATCAACAATTACAAGCCATGTTTACCCAAAGTTTTCGAAGTGGTGTATAAAGTACGGTAGTCGTCGACCTTTATTCACCTCATCACATGCAGACATGACGCTTTTGGTAAGTGGAAGTGGGCCACAGCTAAAAACTCCTATTTTACTCACCTACATTGATAAATATCAGACTTTTTATATTTAGTAATATTCACAATTCCTTAAAGTCAAACATGTTACGATAATTTTTTAAATATACAAAACGTTTATGTTGAAAAATATAGGAAATACAGCAAATGTTTTGTAATCAATTTTTACATTTTGAATTTACAAAATAAGATTACCACAACCGATTGCTGATATTTCACAATAGAAAGTAACAGCACACAATACTTATAAAAGTGTAAAAAAAATATACTCCATAATCCTTTTGTTTTCCTCTAAATAAATTTAAGCATAAAGTGTATTGATTCAATTTTAATTTATTATATTGTATTGCCATAGTATCGAGTATGTTATTAGTAAAATTTCTATAAACCATGCTTGAAATAAACTATGAAATAGTTATAAAAAATACAAACTTTTGTTATTAAAATATTTAATTTTATTTAAATATTACTTTCGATAATTTTATAAAGTACGTTGACCAATAACTAAGAATAATTACGATTTATATTAAAATATGATCCAAATTCTAATTATTTATCGTCTATAAATTTATATTAATATAATTAAGTAATTTGTTTACTTTTCATTGAAATAGATATTTTAATTACTATTACATGTATGACAATTCAATAAATTACAATATATTAAATTGAAAATATGTATTTTTAAAAAATTACTGTTTATTATTTGCATAAATTAAGTAATATTTTTCTTGATCAAATACTAAAATGAAAGAAAAGTAAACTTAAAATAATTATTAAAGAAAAATATTAATATAAAATATAAACCGGATAATATATTATTAATATAATTAAAACATTACATTAAAAAATCTCATTTATAATATATAAATCAATGAATTTTTATTTTTAAAATGTTTCAACCTTAAATTAAAATTATACTTACATAACTATGTTTTTTCTGAACAAATTTTAAAAATGAAGTCATATCAGGTCTTCCAAAATGATTAATCGCCTTTAAACCGGTAAAAATACTTGTTTTCGATAGTCTATGAAAATGATTTTCACAAATATACTGCAATGATAATTATAAATTAATAAACAAAATTATTATAAAATATTTTTATGTATAATTAATAAATCATTAACTCACGAGCATTGTAGTTCTTAAATCAAACTTATGAAAAAACTGTGTTATAAAAATATGTATTTCAAGAACATTTGTTACATCTTTTTTTTCAACGTCTCTTAAAACATCGATAAACCATTCAAAATGTTTATGAGATGGACAAATCCATAAGAAATAAACCTAAATAATGAATATACAAATTAAATATTGATAATTATTTTATAGTAAAATTTAATATTGATTAAATAATTCATTGCAAATTATAAATAACGAAAAGATGGGACATTAAGTTTTTTTAAATCTATTTTTATAAAAACAATTTGATCATTTAATGATAAAATGTCATTGATACTAATTATGAAAGGGTAAATTAAATGTGTTAAATTGAATTGTGTTAAAGCGAATCGCAATAATCTAAGTATATTATTAGGATGCTTTATTAGAAATGATTTTCTTATATCATAAGTATTTCATAAATATAAAGTAGTTAAGTAACAAACAAACAAGTTAGATATTTCAGTTACATTGTAATCCTTAGCTACAGAGGGATAACTCGGTAACAAAGTTTGATTAAAATTTTAAATTGGCGTACCTTTTTGCACGCCATTCCAGAATATCTATTAGTTGATGTACCGAATACGAGATCATTAAGCATAGAGGCATAGGGCGTAACGCCAATTCCTCCGCCAACCATTACCGCAACTTCGAACTTGTACCAGTCTTGATTACCACCCCCAAAGGGACCTTCGATTCTGATCTTTGGACGCTCAAGCTCTATATTATAGTTGCATGGATCAAAATAATTTCGCAATTTCCAGGTCCATGGTCCCTGAGCTTTGATATGGCATGAAAGGAAATTTTCATGCGGCGCCGAGGTTAACGTGAAGGAGTGGAATTCATTTGAGCGGAAAACGCTGCAGGCTAATCGCACCCACTGCCCCGACAGATATTTTAAATTCGGAGGTCGATAAAATTTGATCTTAATTACATCTGATGGTAGCAATTCAGTTTCGATTAAATCCAGAGCCATGTATTTGGTACGCAGACTCACCACCTATATATAAATAATCATAAAATGTAAAAATTTTAAAAATTTGTGGCAAATTTTAACTTATTATTTTGTTATCGTCAATAAGAAGGAATATTAAATATTTTGAGAAATATATGAAAAGTATCGATTACTTAAAGTTTTATTAAAGTCTTCAATATTATAAATAGTTATATTATAACTTTATTTATAAAATAATCGTATATTTATTATAATAATTATAAGTAAAATTATGAACCTTATCAACTGCAAATAGAATGGCCGGCCCGATGAAGAACAACCAAAATCGCGGGGATCCAGTCAATCTTGCTAAACCATGAATCAAAGATAATGCATATAGTAAAATGTATAAACTGTGAGTCTTCCAAAAAAACTTGTATGCTTTTTGTCTTATGGTTGGATGGGCAAAAACAAATATTATTGTCATCACAATAAATAGAAGTATTCCTGTAATTCCTATAATATAAATAACAAAATATTTTAATATTATTATTATTGATAATTATTTACGATATCTATAATATACAAAGAAAATACGTTAACGTGCACATTTCAATTATTACTACATAAAATTGAATTATTATTTCATAAAAATGTATTTAATATATGTTTAATTAATTTTATTTCATTTGAAAGTCAATAATGTTATAAGTTAATTAATTTTTTAAATTAAAACATACTCAACAATATATATATGATCATATACATTAACATATCAGGTGAAACTGATGAATTTAAAAATTTTATAAATAGCACAAAAAAATTTTGTTTGAAATACAACAGAATAATTTTTTATTTGAGAATAATAAGTGAATATTGATTTGCAAAATTTCAATTAGATATTTGAGTAAATTATTTGTCATCCAATGTTAAAGGATAATTGTAAATAATAAGTATTTGATTAATTTAGATTTAATATTATTAAAAACAAAAAGTGAATAGAATGAAATGAGCAAAAAAATATTGTTATACCATACCTGTAATAGTTTTGAAAAACCAGAAGGAAATAGTGGGTCTCGCGTCACTTGCAAAGCTGAGCTCACTGCTGAGACATCGAAGGTGAGCCAATGGTTGCGTGGAAACGTGATAGAAATTGACAATATGTCCAATGCTATGGAGGATTGAAAAAAATCCCGCTGTACAGGCAACAATCTTATGAAACTGAATATAAGAATCAAGGGGTATATACTGTTGCATCGAGAATTCTTTCAGTTTGGTTAGACTATTTCGGCACATGGTCAACAACAGAAGACTGTAGCAGAAAGAGAGAGCGGCTGCCGATCCACGAGTTATCGCAATACCTACCCCCATTATGTGTCGCAAGTCCGTATGTTCCGCCATAAATGAATAATCTGTCAAAGTATAGAGTATAATCATTGGTAAACTAAATCTATTTATACAAGAATTGATGCATTAAATAACCATCAAAGTATTTTTTAACGTCAAAATTGATATTACTCTGACTAAACAGTAGTCATGAATTTATTTCAAAATAATATATAATAGATATATTTAATATATTAATTATATTATTAACATTTTATAAGTTTGAATTGGATTAATTAAGCTAATATTATGAATACACTAATCCCTGGCATTTCATTACAGTGCTGTATTATTTTGTCATTAAATCATTATATATCATGATTTAATATAATCTACAATTTTTTAAAGCTGTTATTAAAATTATAGTAAATATGGTTTTAGATATTTAAAATTTTTTATATATAAACACTTAAATACTACATTTGAGTCACTGTAATTGCATTAATGAATTTATTTATTCGTCGTATATAAAATTGAAACATAATATCTAGTAAATAACATGTTAAAGCTGAAATTTGAATTTTTAACATTAACAATATATAATAATAAAAAGCTTCAATGAAAAAATAAGAAATTGAATATTTTGAATTTAAAATTAAAATGAAAATTGGTACGTAAAAAAAAAAAAAATTTTATAGCATATTATAATAAAATTATAGTTTCATATAAATGTATTAGAAATCAAAAGAACAAATGAATTTTTAACATTTTAAATTGTAATGTATGATTGTAATAATTTGCCATTTAAATGTAATTTAATCAGATTACTCTTAAATTTATTAAATATACGTCAATTTTTATTAAATAAATAGTTTCTATTACATATGATTAAATAAACAGTAAACAATAAAGGTCGATAAAAATAGTCAATCAATAAGGTAAATGAGCTTTTTGCTATGTTTACTAAAATAATTTTATGTTGTCAAAGAAAATTATAAGTATTTCGGTTAAATACTCTTAAACTTTAATATTTGTTTTAAATATATTAAAAATTTATGGATATTTTAACGAATAATTGTTATGTAAAACTTAATAACAGTTTATAACAGTTAATAACAGTTTCTTTATAAAAATTATAGAAGCATAAGAACAAATAAAAATATTTCTATATTAATTTATTAACATAATTAATTTTAATTTTATAAATATTAATTATATTTCTACATTTTTATTTAAAATTATAAAATATGATTAATCAAAAATAATACTTACAAATAAATCTTTCCACAAAAAGAATAATAGTAATTACATAAAATATGAAGAGGTAGTATATATTTTGTCGATTTTCCTCAAGAAATGTTGATAGTGCATCCCACTGTTTATGAGCAAAACCTTTCGAATCTTCTGGTGGAAGTTGTTCAATATGAAAACTCGTCATACGAGCAACATTTGTTGACGTATCTAGAAAATTCTGTTTGGCACCTTTACAATCCAAACCAATTGCTACGAAATCTCCTTTATATTCTTTCATCATTAATTTAAAATCGTTGTACGTTAAATAATTTTTTCTTTCCAACCCTGCATTCTTAACATATAATTTGAAGTTTTTATTTTATTTTAATTCAATTATTTTACACAGATATTTATATACAATGTAAAAGAAATATTAGTATCAAATTCTATTACTATTAATTTCTTACATTTAATTAGAAGAATAATGAAATTACAATTTTATGATTAAATTATGAATTCAAATTAATTACTGTACGAAACAATATGTTATTATTATGGTTCCATTTTGGTTTATGTATTAAGCTTATCTTGCAAATTTAAATTGTTATTTATAATGTGAATCAACATAAATTGTTTGTCCCTTTCTTTAATTTATTATTTTTAAATAAAACTTGTTCTATCTCATTGTTAAAAATTATATTATTCCTTTATATAATTATAGTGTATTAGAAATCATTTAATAATTGAACAGATACATTGTTTAAAAGAAGTTTAAGATTCATATAATCACTCACTTGAAACATTCCATCAATAAGTTCCGTGACATGATCATCAGATAAGCTAGTTGTTCTTGCAATTTCAACGAGGGATCTCAACATTTCTGAGAGTTCCTCTTTATCGATAACACCATTACTGTCTTTATCGCACATATCGAAGATAATTCTGAGTTTATCTTCAGTTTTTCCACGCGAGAAAAGCAATACGGTGTCCAGAAACTCTTGGAAGGAAATACGTCCATCGCTATCTTTGTCTACGATGTTGAACATCTTCTTTACAAAAACAGCATCTGCCTTCATGCCTAGAGCACTGGCAAATTCACTTTTGGACAGAGAAGTACGCATCACAGTAACTATTTCGCCGCTGTTACTGGTCTCAGGGCAACGACGACGTTCATTCGGTCGCAAACCGAATGTTAAAGCATATGCTTCTCGAAAGAACTGGTTGACAAACAATTAATTTTTGAGTTTAAAAGTTATACTTTTATTTTTATATTTTATTTACACTTTATATTGTATTATGTAATAAAGCTTACGGGTACTTTCTATTATAAAAAGAGGTTTAATGTATATTTATAAATATATTTCACTAAAGATATAATTTGAAAAACCTTAAAATATTATATTTTATCTGAGCTAAATTAACAAAATACGCTTTTATAATTAAGGCAACCTTTTTTATTCATGCAATTTTATACAATTTAACGCGAATAGTTATAAATAAATTTTTAAGATAATATTTATTCTATAAAATTTAAGCCCAAGAAAAAGGTAAAAATATATATTATTAAAAATGTTCTATATATGTCTATATAATATTAATCAAATTCATTTATTATTAAAACTTATAAATTGTAATCTATGTATCCAAGTATAATTATTTTTGTATTTGCAAGTAAAAATTATATTTTATATATTATACCAGTACAGATTAATAAAAAAGTGTAGTATGTAGATTTCTCAATTTCAACTCAAGTTTTATATATTTATATGTAATTAAGTCAGAAACAGGTCAATTTATTAGATCAATTTATTATTTTTATAAAAATTATTCACGTATATATTAAAATTATATTCTGATAAACTGAATATACGAATTTATTTCAATATCTATAAAAATACATTGTTACATAATATAGTATAATTTTATATTACTTATTGAAGAATTGAAAATGAATTTCTTTTCTTTCAATTTTAAAGCTATAATCTTTTATATAAAGCAATTATTAAAAATATATCAATTTATGCCGAATAAATTCACAAAAGAAAAATGTAATAATATATATAATAAATATATTGTTTGTATAATAATATTAAATATTACATATTTAAAGTTATTTATAATTATTGAACAATATTTTTTTTGTATTTTACAAAATGGGAGAGACAATATTTAAATGGAATTTTATTGTACATTACTAAAAATTTTTTTAAATCAACTTACACAAATATTATATTGTATTATTAAAATATAATTTATAATATTATAGATAAAATATATATAATCTATGTAGAGTATCTACAAATATATTTTCAAATAAATAAAATTAAAGTTAATAATTCCATCCAAATAAATTAAAAAAAATTATTGGGCACAAACAACTTATAAATATAAATTTAGTTCGTATTATATTATTACAATTATTAAATAAAATTTATATTAAAAAAATATCAAACACAGGTAAGTTAAATAAACTGAAAAATTATTTCGATAAAATTATAATACCTGTTCGAGTTTCTTTTGCCGTCGTTCTTTTGTTTCTGCTTTAGCTAGCATTACTTCACGATTTGTTTGGACGAGGACGTAATGTTTCTTATGCGATGTAAGAAAGGTTTCCAGTTTCGTGAGAAACTTCCGTCGTGAGCCAATTGAGTCGAGTTCTAGAACAAGGTCATAATCGCGCGGAATGTGTAGTAGTACCAGACCTTTGCAATGTTCAGACACATTCTCCTGTGATCAAAAACCAATAGCATTTTTTATGATTACTTCAAATTCATTCATTGACTCGTTACTATTGTTTATGTTATAATTGCAATAATTCTCTCCAAATTCGTTTCAAGAATTTCTAAATGTGCCACAGTTAATCATCCCGTATTTATATTGACAGACAGTTTATAAATACATACAAATTTTAGTTCCACAGTGTTTTTTCTAATACACAGTTAACATTTGAAATTTCAATGTTCAATTCAATTCAATTCAAAAAATTGGAAAAATTAACAAATTTTTATTTATTTAAATGATATTAAAAGTTATACATTTGAAATTCTGTTATTTAATATTTATTAGTAATAAAAAGCATAAGGCTACAAGTCATATATTTTTTATAATAGCACCACCCTTTTAGTATGTATATAAATAGAACAAGCTTTGAAAAAATATTGTTTATTTATGGATTATTAAGATAGTTTTGAAATATACTTGCTATGTAATGTTTTTAATAGTGCTGTAAGAATTATATTTACTGTAATTTTATAAAGTGTCAAATTTAATAAAATAAAGTAAATTTATATTTTTGTATTTTATTTGGTATTTATTTTATTTATTTTACGTGGCAGATTTTTTTTTATTGTGCAAGTTATAAATATTTTATCGTACTCTACTTATATATATATATATATATATACATAAAGAATTTATGAAATAACCAATTTATAACAAAAATAGTTTACTATGTATGTACAAGGTTTAAAAATATTGTATTAAAATAAAATATAAGTTTAATATTCATTATTCTATTTATTTGTATGCGAACAGCAAACGCAATTATTAATCTCAACGATCAATACAAAATCTATTGATGATTATTCAATGAATTAACTAAATTTTTAAATATGTAAATTCTAACTATTAACAGTGAAACAGTCAGAGTTGTTTATAAATAAAAAATAATAGATACCTGGGACTGTTCAATACTGACACTGTCGACATCCTTAAAATTGAATGTCCTCAGTGTTTGACCCTTACGGTCAACGATGTATAGTGCAGGTTCAGGTCCAAATTTGACTTTTACCATTCTACGATGATTAGCATGTAACCACTCACGTACTATCATTTTGTCAACGCAGATTTTGCTATCACCATTATTTCTCGTCTGTATTGTTTCTTGGAGGATCTTCAGTCGTCGACGCTTGCGATTCTGAAGTTTAATTAGTCCATATCCTATTCCCGCGCATATAATTGGGATGAATCCGAGAAAAATGCAGGCGTATATGTACACGAGCTCGCTACCCTGTCATTGGATAAAGATAAATAATAAGTTTAATAGAGCTTAAAGTATTCTTGTAGGTCTAATTACACGAAATATATATTTTATACAAATTCCAACCTGTTTATAATGAATTTCTATAATTTACACTTTTTTTATTTATATTGAATTTAAAATATTATTATAAGTTACAACAATTTTTTAAACGATCTTTTAAAAAATTAAGGTTTTTTATTACTTTGTACTATTCACGTCTAATGAAAATATTTCTATTTATTGTATAAATAGAAAATATATTGTTAATGATTGAAACGACGAGTTTACTTATGCGATCAGTGTTTTATACACTAAAATAAATTAATAAACTAAAAAGATACTGTATGTAAGAATTAGATGTAATTCATTATTGTAAAAAATTACTGTCTCTAACTATTACATTGTACTTCATTCAGTTAATATATGAATTATATTATTAAATCATAATATTTATATTTGTTCACGATCATATCAATCTCTATAAGAGAAATAATAATATATTATAGATATATATATAATAATTTTCAATATTTTTTTAGATTTTCCTTGATATATATAAAATTCATTTTTAGTGTTTATCAAAATGTTTTCATTTTACATGATACTTTTATTTCATATTGTTCGAGAGTAAAAAGAAAGTCTCGCCAAGGTTGCATGAGACTCGAAAAGGTTTGTACATCTGTGAACTCGTAAACAGCAATTTATTGCCTTTCGTATTAAAGACGTAGTGATTGTTTTGAATGCAATGAAGATCCTTGAGACTTACCATCAATTCCCGGCTAGCTTGTTTAATTATTATATTTAATTTAATTTAATTATAATAATTTAATTATAATGGAGATTATTATTAATTGCAATTTTCATCAATTCAACGATTTCAAGGCATCTTGTGAAGCGACACCTCCTATATAAGAAGCCAATTAAGAAATCGTATCTTCATATAAGATTCAAGAAGAGTCTACAACATCCATACGTAAATTGTGTAATAAATTGTATAATAAATATATAATTAACCAACTCTCACGACTCTTGTACAGCCCCTACATCTCACTCCTTCCCGAGCATCTGCTAGGGCGGGCGGTAAACTAAGCTATTGAAGCATTGGCAGTTCGAGCCAACAATTACATTACTACAACTTTCGAACACATATATAATAAAAAAACAATAAAAAATATTTATTATTATTACGGATTACAGCAATTTTACGCGGTAAACAAAGTTGGAGAGGTAAAGACACCTGCGCTTAGGTAGAAACATTTGCGCGCCGAGTTATAAACACAATTCTACGAAATCGAGAAACTTCACTACTCAAAATAGTCGAATATTACATTACAATTCCGACTAACAAGGGCCGACGAACTCTTCAAGGTTAGACTCTAGTGACGTCACTCTAACAATCAACATGACAAGACTGATCCAGAATTCACCGGAATCGCAAGCCTGTACTATGATATTTAAGGAGACGCGCTTGACGCTCTCGCTCTCTTACTAGTTCAATCAAGCATTCATCAAGATCGGATCGCCGTTCTACAGATCGACTCCAGCTCAACGTAAGCCAAGTTCATTCGGCCACCCAACACTGCACAGATCGACTCCAGCCCAATGGAAGCCAAGCTCACTCGGCCCACCAACACTGCAGAGATCGACTCCAGTTCAACGGAAGCGAAGCTCACTCTCAGCCTACCAACGCTGCTACAGAAATCGACCTCAACACACATAAGCTACGCTATTACACACGTTCTTACGGATCACTAATACACGGCTCTCACCAAGTAAGTAAGCAGCAATACTAATACGTGGTATACGGTACTAGGAATCCTCTCACCCGTCAAGCAGTGACGTGACACGGATATCCTCCCTCCATTAGGCCGCTACAGTGTGCATCTCGCTAGCGGCAACGGCAGATCCACGCTGTCTCCGTATCAGTGACGTCTCACAGGCGTCCCCCACTCAGGCCGCTACAGCTCTTCTCGCCAGCAGCAACGGCGGCATCATCGCTGCCCCCTTACACTAGTTCATAACTACGAGTAGGAGAATCAAGCACCAAGCTACCAAGAATACACTTACAGGATTCTTGTCGCTCATATTAATTGAAGAAATTCTAATCTATTCATTGTATCATACATTCAATTCGACATCCATAGACCACTGACTATTTATTATATTTATTATATTCAATAAAGGGAAAGACACCACATTCAAAGGCAGTGTTGAATTATTGCATTGTCCCTTCCACTTGCCAGCAAGCCTCCATCAACCATCACAGGGAGGCTTTTAGTCTGATCCCAAACAATTATATTAAAACTGATAATGTAATGTTTAATATAATGTTGCGTAAAAAATAATACCGTATTACTAACTACAACGGGGTCACTATTGTAATTGTAATATTAAAAAGTATTGTTCGGGATTGAAGCAAGTTCCAAAACCGCCGATTGTCAGCATCGCCGGCCTTTTAGATCTCATATTTCTGCAAACACTTTGGACGAGAATTTTCGTATTCTTGTTATGTTTTAGTTTCAAATGGGCCGCAATGTTTATATGGTCTTCGGGTAATAACATCACCCGAAATTCTCTAAAGTTATTACGCCTTGTTTTTTCTTTCGTCGAATTCCCGAAACTTATAGATTATTCTTTCTGTCTCATGTAATACTCCAGTGCAGCAACGACGATGCCTTGCTGCCAGCTAAGGAAGCCGCCGCGTGAATATATAAGGCAAGTACGCGACATGTCTCGCTCTCTTGCTGAAGTTCCCTCTTACTGAACCGCGCTTGCTGCAAGCCTCTTGCCGTGACCCAACCGCAGTGAACCGATTTAACCCTTTCCTAGTAGAAGCCATGGCACGGGTCTTGGTCGTCTGCCTTCAGCAAGACCGCTATGTAACGGTCAGTATTTTCAGCAGAGCCGCCGCGGAACGATCAAGCCTTTGGTTTTCGTGCGCGTATTCAAAAGGCTTATAAGCTCATTGCAATTCTACCTCTCGTTCACTCAACAGTTATTGTCACTCAGTGTGTTTTAGTATATACTGCGACAACGACATGTGGCCGCATGTTCGGCAACCAACCTAAAGATACATGTGCATATTAAAAGGAGTTAGCAAGAACAGGTACTGATTTAACAGTGATGCCAATTGAATCGTAATAAAAAAAGGGCACACCAGCCACGCACATCCTTTTATATTATTTAAACATGCTAGTCACCCAAGCGCAAATCAAGTTTCATATAATTTCTATTCAGAGTCGATACAGGTGACAGAGTACGCTCTCTCGAACTAACAAGTCGAAGAACGTTCATTCACCCCACTACAGTCGACAGGTGACGCAATACGCTCCGCAGGCTAATAAGCCAGAGACGAACGCTTGTCAAATACGTTTAATTACATTGTCAAGGCCAGACAACAGTTTATCAAATAATCGACTATAAATACATTTTCATCAAGTCCTTCAGAGCTCGAAGGCTTGTCATTTATTATTCTTGCGTTTGACTAGTTTTCATCTACTCCCATTCTCACTAGAGGCATAATTTACTATATACCAATTTCCACCGAGACTATTTACACTCTACTAACTATGGTCATTCTCTCTACAAGGCACACTTTATTTCATACACCATCTTCTCATGCTCATGAATGAGCATGATCGACTACACGGGCTGATCCTTACAGCATCAGCATAGAACTGACATTCAAGATCCACATTAATGTACACAGCATTAACGACATCACCATCACCTTGAAGAAATAACCTCACCACACAGTAGAATATTTTCCCTTCTCTCACTTGAAGCAATAAAAACTGCAGTATTATAATATAATTGACAACAAGAATAAGCGATATCTTAACACAATAATAATATACTGTGCTTAATTTCAGCCCTTCCACTTGTTATTTCCTCACTAGTCATCATGACCAGAGACTAATCCACTGAACTATTCAATTGGCAGTTTGAGCCATAAAATAAAAATCCTTAATCGAACAAGAATAAAAAGAATATTATAAATTAAATAAAAATTTAAGTATATATTCTTTCAAATCTTATCATATATTTCTTAAGTATAGAAATTGTATAATTTGATAACATTTAATTTGATTTGTCTGATTCACTCCTGTAAATTTTAAATTTATTCTTTTTGAGCAATTAGCTCGCACTTATGTAAGATAGTGTAAATTAAATGGTAATAAAATAAAATTACAATTTATCATTATAATTGATAAAGCATGAAACTAGTTTTATAGAGTATTTATAGATTCTTTGCCTTTTTCTGGAAATGATATTACACGATTATGTTCTGAATTATAAATTCTTTAAGTTTTATTTAGAATTTTATTCTTGGAATAATTACATTTATTATTTACTTTGATAATCTTATTAAATTATTTAAAAATCCAAAAAACTTTTGCGTTTAAATTTTTTCTATTAAATCACATTAATTTATTTTTGATGATTACTTTATTTCATATTTTTAATATGTTTATAAAACCTTTTATGTACTTATATATCAGTAATTAAATTTGATTTGGTAGGAAATATTTATCGATTTATATACTTATAAATTATAGTAGGCACAATATTTTATAATGATGATTAAAAAATATATATGCCATTATTAAATTCATTATATATTGAATACAGAGTTTATTAGAAATATATCTCTTTATTTCTAATTTATTTGACTATACGTGAAATGATTCAAAAATTATTTTTGATAAAATAATAAATTGAATTAACAAAAATTAATTTAAAGTTCTTTAACGTTTTCTTATCATTTATTTTGAAAATATCTTTTCATTATTTATAAAATTGATAATAATATAAAGTATGATATAAAATAAAATGCTAATCATATTTATTAGTTGAAAGATTTGCATTCCTTCTTAAATATCTTAAAATAAATAAGTGAACAAATTTTTAAGTTTATATATAATTTTATGTATTTAATATTGCAGTTATTTAAATGTCTTAAAGAGTGATTACCTCGAAGTAATCGTAACGCTGAAGTGGTACACACGGTTCGAGCATCGAAGGGGTAAGTTGATACGGTTGTTCACAAGGATCTCCATCAGTCCATAGAAAGACATTATGTTGAATTGAATTCGTATTTATATTTGTTGTGTTTGAGATTATGTCCCACAGTCTTACTTTTTTAATGTCTTCTATCTCGTTTTTCGTAAAAATTCTATAAATTAATATACGAATTGATTTGTTGTGCTTGATATGAGTTTATAAAATTTATACAATATAATATTTTATTAGGTTATTAGGTATTTTAAATTTTATGTTATATTTTTTATGATAATGCACGATATTTGAAATATGTATCTACACTAACGTCGAAATAAGTAATATGTAATACAATAATTTCGTTTTGTATATAATTTATGATACTATTATCTTGTAAAATTCAAATTCTATGTATTTGTGATTTTATGTAAATTAATGATTTAACAAATTTTTTCATATCAATTCACTTGAGCATACATTAATGTATTAAAAAAATTCTACTGTTTGTATTATTAAATTATTATCAATTATAAAAAATTATAATAAGTATTATCAATGATTATATAAAAAAAAGCTAATAATACGCGATGTCCTAATATATATCAAATATTTTATTTTCAATGTGTAATTTTGTGCTAGATTTTTCTTATAATTGGCATTTTAATACATGTACATTACTTAAGTAAAATGTAGATAAATTATATGAGAAAAGATAATTAAACGCACCCATTTTGCTCATTCTCAAACCAGAATCTATCAGCATCTCTTAATCTCAAAAATTGATCCTTGATGACGGCGGTGAAGAGCTCTCCGGGTCCCGTTATCGACTCTAACATACCACCTAGATAAGTGTCGACATTATTCAAATTGTTCGAATATATCTCCATCAAATCTCTGAGCAATTTGGGATTACGCTTGAAAAGCACGGGATTAATGTCGTTCCAGGTTTTACGAGACGACAACCCAAAATGCATGCGAGCTGTGTTATAGTCCGGTAGACCGTTATCTCGGCCTCGCATTATATTCAAAGCTCCTAAGTCTCGTCTTGAAAACTCCATTGGCCCGAACAAATTGTTGCGGATATCGGTTCCCAGGAGATTATCTTCACGCTCAGCTATTTGCGATGCTAGTCCCATTAGCAGCTCGTCCACTGTACTGTTTGCTAGGATTTCCTAGAAATCCAAGATCAATATTCGTTACTAAATATTTACAAAAGAAGTGTAATCTAGAACTAAAATATATATTAAAAGAGCTTATAAATATAAACGTTTATTCATATCCTTATTCTTATCATATTCAAATAATTATAGAAAAATTATTTCCCAAAAATTTCCAATCTAATGTTATTTTTTCATAATTCATTTTATGTTTATTTAAACATTATGAGAAATTATTCAATGAAGCGAACAATAAAAAATCATTAGAGTTTATTTTATTTAATATTATAATTTTATTTAAAATTTTTTCTCGAAATTTTTATTAACTTTGTACTAATCTTTTGTAACATATAAAACTTATAATTTTCATTCTAAACACGTTAAAATTAATCATTTAAAATATAAAATATTATCAATATATTATTTTAACTAATGTATTCTATAAGTATATGGTTTGTTTTATAGAATTAATCAATTTTAAATTTATAATTACTGAAAATACAAAAGTTTTATTTTCTGTACATAAAAATATATAATGTTAATTATTAAAAACTATTTTTTTATAGTCAAATAGTATTATAAATGCTATTATTCTAAAAATATTAAATCGATCGATTTATTAAACTTGACGGATTTATTACAGAACAATGCGAAAATTTAGCTACTTTTCTTAAAACAAAAGATTAAAAACAAATTTATTATGTCATTGTAAAGCTTTTCAATGTACAAATCGAACTCATAAACTAATAAACATACACTAATAAAATATAATAAATTTTATTTGGTTATTCAGTTATAAGTATTTATATTATTAGAATTATAAATAAGTTTATGTTATTCTTTTTAGTAAAATAATTTTTTTTCTATATTCAGTAATAAAAAATGATTTCAAATCTAGTACATTATTTTTCTTACAAAGATTATTAAAATATATATTAGAATAATGGTTTTATTTAGAATACTTTATAACATCAAATTATAATTTTTCAAATTATATCAAATTATAAACATTTCGTACATAGTGCATTTATTTTATATAATACTAAATTATATAGTACATATTATTTAAAGAATGAATTAATTCGTGAATTGCAATTCGAAATATTATATATATTTTATATTAAATAAAAGTAATGTATGCAATTTTGAACATTGATTATTTAAAGTAGTCTCACTCGCTAATGTGAACGTTGATAGAATAACGAATCACCTATCATTAAAAAAAAATAGTATTTGGTTTAAATACTCGTAAAAGGAAAGTAATTTAAAAATTATTTATAATATTATTGTCATAAGAACACATAATCATTTTTGCATACGGTGCATCTAAGCACATAATACCAGTTACTAAAATATAAGAAAAAAGTATTTAAAATACTTGATTATCGTTAATCTTTGATCAACTATAAAGCTGATAAATAAACTTTAATTAAAATGATTACGGAATCAAACATTTAAATTTTATTGAAAAAAGTACTTATCAAATAATTTATAAAGATTAACTTTAATAATAAAAGATACAAACATGATTTTAATGTAAAGTTATTAGTGAAAATAATAATACAAAAAAAAAATAAATCAAATAAATAAAATCATTTAAAAAGGACTCTACAAGAAAATAAAAAATATTAGTGATATTAAGAATGTAAACAAGAATAAGTTACTAATGTAAAAGCGATCTTTTTCAATTGATTTCCCTTTTAAACTCAGTATATAATCTCAATAAATCATATTATTGAATAATCAAATTTTTTAATTAAAAATAATATGTTACAAGTTTTGTAAAAAAAAATGAGCAAAAAATGTTTATGATAGCTATAGTCTTTATACTAGATTTACATGAACATAATTTTATATGAAAATTATTCTAAAATTATAATGAATTACAATAATTTTTAAAAAGCCTTAGTAACAGAAATGTGAATTCAAGATTATCAAGATGGACTATGTTTTTACATGACAACGATTTTTAAATATTACGTAGACTGGTAAATAAAATTGTACTAAATAAATATTATAATGCCTTAATACAGTTTATCATTATTGGATAAAAAAACAGACCACGATTTTAAAAATATTCTGATATTTTAAAATAATTGTAACTGTAAAGTAACTGTATTATGCAAGATGCGAATAAAAGTATATACGTAAGCATATAATTTTGTAATATAATTTAAGGTTAAACCATAAAATCATATTAATAGGCTTTAAACTACTAATCACCACAAGAACCGGTTATATTAGATACTCAATCAGAAATGATATATTAAATATCTCATATTAAGTACATCTCTCTAGATATAATAGTCAATATTGTTGAGGAACGTTTATAGCGTTTACTTTATCATGATTAAGAATCAAAAAGCTTTAAAAAACTGTAAACTTACGTTAGAATCCCACCAAGTGGTGCAGAGTCGAATAGCTGGTTGACCTCTACTTGTTTTTCTAAAATTACACTGTTCGTCTCGTCTATAAATACCTGGAGGTATCATCGTGTGACCAAATCGAAAAGCGGCACTTTGGAATATGTGACTGACACCTGGGTGGAGATCCGACTTGTAACCCTTATACGCTGGAATTTTTTCCCCAAGCAGCAAGGGTAGATACTCGTACATTATAATATTCTATAATATAATAAGTAATAAGGGATAAAAATGATAAGGAGATATCAAATAATTATAAATAAGTTTCAATATCAATATCCCATTGCATTTATTTTTAAACCTTGATTTATTACGATTGCAATATGTATTTATTTTCTTTTATCTTATTTATGAATATTAATAAATATGTAATAATATATAATAATTTATTACAAGATATTAATCCGTTGCAATTTAATGGAAAAAACTAACTCGCACATGTAAACTTCTTTCTTTTTATTATACAGAAAATGTAATTGCCTAAATATAGTTTTAGTTTCAGTTTGGAAGTGAAATTTAAAATGTTGAATAGTAGATTTCATACGTTTAGCAATGCTTGTATACAATCATTACGTAGATATCAATACTATTGGTATATAAATTATATTTCAAAACTTTTAAAAAGCTAAAATAACATTTCAGAAATTATAAATATTTATAAGAAATTTGAAAAGAAAGGAAAAGAAATCATAAGATCTAGAAGAAATTTATATGAAATTTATATGAAAAAAATCTGAAAAGGAAAATGAAAAATGATTATTTTATTTTCTACGTTATATAAAGAATATTCATATGTATCATAAGAATTTTAATTGTATTGATTGTAATAAAATAGTAAATAATATTCTGAAGTTTTACTGGTTTCTAAATTTAGTATGTATTCAGGATGGGAGCAGTTCACAAGAAATTTAATTTTCCTAAAGTTGTAATCGTTATAGCTTGCAAGATCGTAGATATTAACTCCGAAATTTCTCAATGATTTTAAAGCCTTTGCTTGCGAATGTCCTGTAATGTTTGTCTAGTTTCTGCATAGCAACGTCATTTGAATTCTACAAAATTTGTAGAGTCTTGTTTTCCTACAATTTTCGATCATTCTAGAGCTTAAATTCTGATGTCATGCAAGACCTTCGGAATGGCAACTCCTATGCATTGTTGCCAACTAATTAATCTTCCGTGCAAATATTTAAAGGACGCACGTGACAAGCTCGCTCTCTTAGTATAATTTTCTCAGTGAAGACGCCGTGGCACGAATCACGGTCTGCCTTAGCAGGACCCTCATGGAATAGTCGATATATCTCAACAAAGCCGCGACGGAACGACTAAGCCTTCACTTTCGTGCGCGTATTCAACAGGCTTGTAGGCTCACTGTAAGTTTCTCAATCAATCAGTTTTCAATTATTACTCTACATAGCATCTAAATTCCGCCTTATACCAGTCAGTCAGTTTTACAATATATACGTATATAATTTTGCCAGACTCTTCAATAATAAGCTAGTAAGTCAACAGTGAAGCCACAATTATTTATAACCATTTAAGTGCGCCATAGTTAAGCAGTCTAGAGTGCTGATTGCATTTCAAGAGTGAATTAAATAAGAAGGGCACCACCAGCGCACTCATCACAGAATTAGGTAAGACAATGAATTTCTGTGAATTTAATCGAAGGAGAAACCAAATATTGAAAGCACGTACGGCACTGATGGTGCGAATACACCAGCCGCGATAGGCACTATACGATCGCAAAGCTCCCAAGAACGGCTGAAGCTATACGAAGGTACACCAGCTACAAGGGCATTTTGTTGAGTCAATCACGAAGAGTCGTGATAACTACTGTCTTCCTCTTTATACTCCGGAGGAGGCTCTGTGCTTTCGCCGTACGCCTCCTGCAAGACGAGTCTTCCCTTTCATACTTTGAACAAGGCAATGCGTTTTCTGTATGCAATTCTGCAAGTAGCTACTGCAAGGGATCCGCTGAGGTATTAATTCAAATACATTAACATCAAGAGGAGACTCGTACCAAAAGCACCATATATAGCTCTATACAAGGAATGTCAAGGATTTACGCCCTGCACTTCTCAGTGTAACAATTCCGTCAAGCACATTACAACTAGAGGAGCTGCAAATCCATAACCTCCATCATCGACTAGCAGTGCCCGCTTTATTCCACGCAATTACCAACAAGGAGCGGTATAGTCTCAACGATTCTTACTAACAACGATGAATCGCATTTACATATTTATAACTCAAAACGAAATAAATGTCACAAAAACAAATTGTGTTGATTACAGAATTGAAGCATTACCATCAGTAATGCTTTGCCACTGATTCGCATTTTGCCACCAGTGAAATGGTCGGTATGGTCTAATCCAATCATCTGGTCTCTCGACCACCGAGTAACTGGAATTCTGAACTGTATGATAAGTATGAATGTTAAATACACCAATTATCAAAGAAAATTTGTAGATCAAACAGTTTATGTAGAACTATCCTTAAAGCATTAAATATTTCGTTTCATAATTAGTTATTTTAAATTTCTAATACTTATAGTAAATTAATTAAATAATTTCTTTGCATATTTTATATACATATTCTACATAATATTCTATGTATAGTGAACTCAAGTATATTAACTCAGATTAAGGAACTAAATTAATGTTTAGAGAATTTTTAGTAGCAACTAGAATTCAATGTTCATTATAATCAATATTTTTAGAGTAAACGTTTAAAACAAACGTTTTTAATAAAATAATTTATTTTATTAAAAATTTTTTTAAATTAAGCATTAAAATTAAATTAAAATATCTGTATTTAATAATAAATTAATAAAGTAGATTGATAATATTACCGAAGGATTTCATTAAACGAATAAATCATATTAAATGATAATAAGTAAAAGTCATTTTTTCGAAAATAAAGTACAAGAAACTTTAAATTTAAATTACATTGATTATATTTTTATGATCCGAAAGATTATACAATCAATTGTAATTTTTAAATATTTAATGGAGAAAATCTAAATTAAACATTCATAATTATAAAATTATATATTGACGATGTTTATTTATATAATTTATTATGAATCGATGTTGTAAAATTATAATGCTATAATAATTAGGCATGTAAAAAAATAGCCGTTAGAATACATCTCAATTTAAGAAGGTGTACCATTACAAATGTTCCACGTGGGGTTTGCCGATTACATAGTGTGTGATATGAGATTTTGAAATTTCACGATTTATTGTGGTATTAATTCCTCGTGTGTGTAATAGTTTCAAATGGAAAAGTATCGAGAAGAAATACAGTAACAGTATATATATGACTAGTAGTTTCTGGAAGCTATTTTTTTATAAATTTCCTTTACCTAAAAATAGATCTCATAATAAATATTCGATCAATCACATAAATGAAGGTAAATTATGCTTTCTTGTTTCGTGTTTCAAAAAATATTTTAAGGTATTCTGTAGTAAATTTTATTATATTGTATTATTGCATTTTCATTTCAATTGAAATTCATATTCTCCGAAAAAATGGTTTCGCACACATTTTATGTAACTGAACAATAATTTTGAAAACTATATTCAAAAACGACCTTTGTAATATTTTTTATTTTATAAAAATATTTTATATTTTGTGTATCTTATTTTTACTTTAAAATAATATAAAAATAATTTTGATTTACGAGCAAAACAATACTTATAAAGTAGCAATATAAAATGATCCCACAATCTTACTTGTAGAGTGCCCACGACAATTCTTCGTGTTCGTTGAAATACCTCTTCATCTGCCATTTCAGGATATTTGTACTGTACCCGTGCTGCAAGAATATTATGCCATCGATAGAATAAAATGGCAAAAACAAGAAGAGGAGGGTGCTGATTTGTCCTTGGATCACCTAGCACTAGTTTAGAAAATATAATTTATAATTGTATATATTAATATAATTTATAACTATATAAAAACTATAGAGAGTAATTATAAATTAATAAAATTTAGTTTATTCAAGTTCAAGTATTTTTCAACTAATTAAACAAAAAATTCACTATTTCGAATATTCACACAAAATTTGTCTATGAAAGGAAAATAAATACGTTTTATGTTTGTTTTTTAAATATTTATCAGTACTATGAGTAAAATATGTAAAGAAGAATATACAGATAAAATAATAAAAGGATAAGATGGAAGATATCGCTTTTAATAAATTAAATTTAAATATTTTTAAAACAAACAAAAATTTTATTAATAAGTTATTTAAAATTCGACTTTTCATTTCATGAAATAGAAGTATTTCAATGGATATGAATAAAAAGTAGAAAACAATTACATAATTTAAAAAGAGAGAAAAAAGATAACAATGCTAGTTATATTCAGTTACTGTAAATAAGGCCTATAGTTTCTAAGTTATTTGCATAAATTAATTCATTTATATTTTTTTGAAAATAAAAAGTGAATTAATTCAGGAAAATATAAACAGTATTCAATACCTTCATTATAATAAATAAATACTAATATTGAGTTTTAAATACATAATTGACTATAAAATCAGAAAAATTAAAGATTTAAAAATGTTTACAAGTTACTTATATTTAAAGTAGTAAATAACGGTACCGTGTTAAAACCTACAATAAAGCCTTTCAGGACTAAGTGAGCGCATGACATTGGGAACGGCATTGTTGAATAGAGGTGCGCGTATAGTATTGCGCACTGGAAATTTTCTTGTTGGTTCCATGAGGAAACTACCATTCTTGAATGAACGCATTGTATTAGCCCAGGCTTCGCTACTGGAATATATAAAACTTGCGTCTATCCAGCTAGTTACTTTATTTATCTGTAATCTCAGGTATTTATAGTTATTTTTTTTAATTTAATCGTACAAAAAATTGATTTTACATATTTTTTTAATAGTTTATCTAGCTTAATCTCCTATGTAATCACAAATGAAAACTTTAAAGCCAAATATAAGAGCATTAATTAAATTAATACAGAACACTATTCCATGTTTTTCTATAAAATAAATACTTCAGTTTATCGATTCCTCTGAGCTATACATTAATTCCTAATAAATTCAGAAAAAATCGATTTGCTTTATGAAAAATATTAAAGTTGTGCCATAACTTGACAACTTGTATACTGATATTTAAAGAAATAGCACGGTTTTTTACTACATTTCAATAAAAAAAAAAAGAAATTCGATTTAACGATTAATATATTAGTAATTTAAAAAATCTAACGAAATGAATTATATACAAAAATTGATGAAATGTATGCCGATTTTCAATACAACTTAGATTTATAACAATATAAAAACTAGTACAGTTAAATTAATTTTAATTATAAGATTTAATACAAATTTTATATTGCATTCATTTTAAATACTAGATTTCTGATTTTAGTGTATAAATAAACGATCAAAGTAAATGAAACTTATTAAAGATAAATAATAATTATATAAAAGAATAATAAAACTTTTAAAGATTACTATTTTGATATGTTATAGTGTATTTGTGATATATTTAAAATATAATCCAATCTTATTTAATCATTCACTTAATAAATTATAAAGAATTTTTCGATTTTAAAGAAAGGATGTATTAATCATTAAATTATTTAATTAAAAATACAAATTTATAAAAAACCGAATGTTTTAGATGATATATAAAATAGAACAAACAGACCAATAGCAGTATATTTATCGTATAAAGGATTACTTAATTAAATATTGAAATATTCACTAATCAATCAAAACAAACTAATTAGATTAATAATTACCTTTTTATAGGTATATAAGTTTCAACTTGAACCTAGATTGAATAAAAATTGATTGAAAAATACATTTTTATATTCGAAATTGCTATTTAATATACAAAAACGTTATATAATATTAATTTTTAATTTTTAATGAATATAATAATAAAATATCTTATTATAAAAATTCAGTATAAATCCATATTCAAATATGGGAATATATTATAAATTAATATATAATTAAATTACATTAAGTATAATGTTAAAAAAAAATATTATCAATAGAATTCGAAAATTATATGAAAATGTAAATTAGTTTTAAAAATTCTATTTGGAAGCATTAAAGGTTCAAAATTATATTTTATAAGCGGTAATCGATTATAATAAAAGAATTACATATAATCCTATAAAACTTAGTAACGATTCCAATATATATATATATTAAAATGTATGAGGAACGAATGGTTTAAAAAAACACTATTTAGTAAACGTAATAAATCACCATTATAATATTTAAAATGTTCTACTAAACAAATGAAAACGTTAAATATATGCTCCATAAAATTATTATATTTGAATAAATATTATTTGATATACAATTATCATAAATTAAGTAAAAGTTATTTATTTATATTAACAATGTTCTTTTAATGAGCAAAAAAATATTAAAAAGGATAACTGCAAAAAAGATAAAATATGTACTTAAAATGTAGTAACATTACTAAACAGAATAAAAAAAAAATTTTATTTAGTATTAGTTTAATATACATACGTCCATAAATAAGAATGCTTGTATGACTAAAAGAAATTGTTAATGTTATACGTATCGGTAAAAGAATGATGCAATATTAAAAGACTGTCAATTTATTTATAATTTATAAAACGTTATAAATAGTGCATTAATAAAATTTATTATATTCTTGAAATTGAACGTTATCTTCTTAATTTACTATTATAATCGAATAAATACATTATGATATTTTAAATAACACGCTTTAATTACGATTGTATCTAAGAGAATTAAATTGATTAATGATTATGATCTAAGAGAATTAATGATTGCGGATTAAACCGCAAAATTCAGAGGCTAGATAGAATTCGATGCATTCGTTTAATAGGCAGCCAATCATTTTACCTGTTCTCGCGGGCTATTAGGACTGTGGCCCGTTTGTTGGTCGTAATCTGCCCGCTGAAATGGGATGTACTTATTACCTTGGCAGTCTTTGTCGAAAATCGGATCGCACTTGTCGACATCAATACGGTGGAATTCAATTGGACAGCCACTTTCACTGGCCATTATTATCTCTGATGTAACCAGTTGACCTATTTCCGGGAAATACATAGAAAAGGAAGTTAAGTGAAGTATTGGATCTTAAATTTGAAGAAATTTCTTCTTTTTTTTTATTACAGTGTCTTATTGTAATTTTCTCCACATTGCTACAAAAACATCAAATCTCGTAATTGGTACTTGTATAAAACTTTTTAAAATAAATCTGGTATCATCGTGTAATTATCTTTATCAATAATCAATATTTAAGAATAATTAAATAATCCATATCTTTATATATTAGTAGTATCTTTGTATATATAGGTTTGTGTTAATATTGATATAAATCTCGTAAATGAATGTATCTCTTTTTTATTTGTTATATTACTTTGTTTATAGTTTTCTAGATGTAAAATAGTTTCTTTTTATTAAATTATTAGCAATATAAAAATTGTTAATTTATTATATTTAGTTTTTATACAACTGTTAAACTTTTAAAATTTGAATTGTTAAATTTAGACAATTTTGCTATATTTATAATGTAATGTATTAGATTATGAAATACTCAATAATTCTATATGTATATCGCTACGCAATTGCTTAAAATTATTAGAAGTATGGTTATAAAATACATATTAAGATGTGAATTCTAATGTGAAAATTATATCCTTTTTATCAATAAAGTTTAACACTATTTCAAACTTCATATTATTCATATTATTCATATTGTTTCATATTATTAAAAGTATATTAAGCAATCAATATTCAAAATAGTCTACATAAAAGGATATGTTAGTATATTGTAATACAAATTAAAACTATAAATTAAAATTTATACCAAATAAATTATTTCAATTTTTTTACTCTTTATGTATATAACACTTTTTCTATTTTCTTTTATACTACATATTAAATATTAAAAAAATTAAAAAAATTTTAATAAAACTGTTTATTCTACAAATTATGTTCTACAGGCAATTTTATTTTTTAGATTAAAACCGAAAATAGTTAATAATTACAAAATAAACGAAACAATTTGTAAAATAAATAATTTTATTTTGAAAATAAAATTTTTTTTATTTTATGACAATCTACTTAATAAACTTATTATAGCAAAATGAGATAGATAACTCAGTATATCAAAATACAAATATACTTACCAAAAAAAGCAAAAAGAGCAGTTTTATTCGTAATTGAAGGCAATCCATCCTCTCCTTCCATAAAAAGATCACTTAATTTTCTGGCTGACGGTCTGTCTTGACCCGCCATCGTATAGACCCCATCAGAATATGCAGCCGGTACTTTTCTTATCAGTCTACTATCTGCAAATTGTATACATTATAAATTTATTAAGTTTTTAGATTATAAGATTAAAATAAGTATATGTGTTATTTGTTATTCATTTATCAAAGCTTTATAATGATTTTGTTAAAGTTTATTCGTTTTATATAAATGATAACATTTTTGAACCACTAATTAAAATCCCTATCGTTATTTTAATAATTTTTACCAATCATAATAACATCCCAAAAACTATATAAATAATAACTAGGACTTTAAATAGAAACACACTTGCCTACAGAGCCCCATTCAGGATGTACCAAATTGTTATACCAGCCATCATATCTCTGCTTCAATACAGGTTCGTTAGAAGCACCTAGAGACAAAAAAATTATTAATGTATTTGAAAGATTATTGGACTAAAAAATGTAATTAAATTCATTTACAATTCTAATATTTTAATTAATTTTATTCACATGCATGAATGTTATTAATATTTATTAACTAATTGTATTGACTGAATGAAACACAAATATTTCATTTTTTGGTAATGATTTTTTACTTCAATAAAGTAAAGAATTTGTTCAAAATACTAAGTTCGATAATAAATCGATAATTTAGTAAATAACTTTTAATCTTTTAATAATATTTAAATGTCATCTTTGTAATTATCTAAGACAAATAATTAATTGTTATGTTCATTAAAAGTACATACAATACAGTTATTATTTATAAAATTCTTGTGAGAATAAGATACTAAATTTTTATTTTTATTATTTAATTTTTCATTCTTTATCAATAAATAATTAGTGATATTAATATTAATGATAGAGAAAATGTAATAACGATACTATAATAATTCGTACAGCTATTTAATTATCCATTCTAAGTCAATAGGAAAATTTCACATAATATTATTTATATATTAAGTTTTAAAATATTTCCAATACATGCAAGTTTATATGAAAGTTAATATATCTAAAATTATAATATTATCAAATTTGTAAATATATTTTTCTAGAAGATAATTCTTATTTATTCATATATATTGTTTTAATTTACTAGATTAAATTAATATTTTAAGATTTAAAAAGTATTTTGATTATTAGACGTTACCGAGTAAAATTAAATTTCAAAGTAATAAAGCAAAGTATACTGAATTTAGGAGCGGCTATGTATAATTATAGATATAGCATAGTAAATTGTGTAAAAAATTTTAATTGATTTTATACATAATTTAAAATTTTTTTTCAATGTTTTCTAGGTGTAGTTTTCTCACTTTCAAATATATTCAGAATACCCAATTTCTTTCATATTTATTTTATAATTCTTTTTTTATTACATGAAAATAATCATTTTTATTATTTTCATTAAGTAATTATTTTTATTATTTTCATTAAGTAATTATTTTTATTATATAACTTTTATTATAAATAATTTTATAAAATAATTTTCATGAGTCCTCTATTATATAAAAGGACTGACAATTATGAACCACTTTCTGGAAAAAGCACAGCATGTTTTTATAAAGACCACTCTATATTAGGGATTTGCATGTTTGCTTCTTAATGGATAAAATGCATTACAATTTAACATCGATGTATTAGAATGTGCCAAATACTTCAAAGAAACCATAGGAATAATGAAATTTCGACTATGATGAATATAATATTATATCAAATATAATAACTTAATGTATACTAAATAAAGTGGATTATATTTATCTTGTAAGTAAAGTACAAGAATTTATATGTGGATGATTGGCAACATTAAAAAAAGAAAATCAATTTCTTAATTTTAAATAAAATTATTATTGTATTTATAATTAATGCATTATTATATCGAATTTATTAATGAAGAATAAATTATATATATAATTAAAAATATTTTTGTAATATAATTAAAAAAATGTAGAATATGTAAAAAGATACGTCATCTATATTTTAGTTTGTCTTAAATACAATTGGCAAATATTTCATACACTAATTAAGAAATATTAATAGCTTATACTCATAACTTTTCTATAGCAAAAAATAATAACTGAAAATTTTTGGAATATCTGGAACACGATTTTATTTAATCTTGTTTTAATTTAATTTCATTTAATTTTAATTTTAATATTTGTCCATATTTATGAATTTTTTAAATTTATTATTTTCATACCTAATTTTTTAATTTAATTTTCTTAAATCAGATTTCAATATTTATATATGTCAGTTAATATGTGTTTATAGTTATTTCTTAAATTCAAATAATTTCGTTCGTATTTAAAAATCTATAAATCAAATCTATTCCTTCAAATAATTGAATGTTTTTAAATATAATACTATCATAACAAGTTTGTGATTGGCGCCAACTCTGCTTTGGAATAATAAGTTATTATATTTTATTTTTTAATGTCAAACGACGTGTACACTTATTTTTAATTAGAATTTTAAGTACAATTTTTTTACATTAAAATAATGTCATAATTAGTTGAAATTTAATACTTATTGTACTGATATGTATATTCAGTACTTCTGATATAACCATGAATTAAAAGTATTAATCGAAAATCCTATTATTACAGAAATTTATATCGAAGAAGAATATTCCATCATATTTTCATGAATAACAAAATTTCTCATCATTTCATAATTTCATCATCAGATGACAAGGGATACAATCGTATATAATTTATGACTTACCAACAAGCACGAAACTGGATATCATACTAATTGCATAGATGATAAGATGAAATCTATATAGGAGTCTGTAACTACAAGTTCTTCGATTTAAACTCGTGGTAGTTTCTCCAGCCATTGTCATCCTTGATCACGTTTTGTACTCTGTGAGCCCGACAGCATATTTCTCAATAACACACACACACATTTATATATACTTTTACTAGCCGTTGCATTCTTAACTACCTCGACTCAGTTTGTCGTAAGTTCTACAGTATATTGGGGGCTTCATCATCACTATTTTTACTATAATTACAAATTATTCATATGTTCCCCAAACTAATGAACAATTAATTTTTCAGTTAAATTTATGCATTACTCTATGCACTTTCAGTAATCTTGAAATGCTTCGTGTCTTAACTCAAGTCCGACGCTGCTGCCGCTGACTAACATATACAACAATGTTTCCCCTACCATACGACGACAGGCATGTATACAGTATGAGGAAGACACAAAGTAGAAAAAGGAGAAAGAGAAGGATATCATAAGCACATTGTACAGTGACTCGCAATTTGTCATTGCGTTAGTCTTTGTACGCCTCCCTCCTTTCTGATTGCGTATAATGTCTTTTGTATGAGTACTTATGGATACATAGCAACAGGTGAAAGTCATCGAATTTCATGACTGTTCGCAGGTATAGTTTCATTCTCAGCCACAGATCACAGCTGATCTTTTTTACACAGAATCTACTGTAGTTACGGAGAACAAATTGTAAAATTTTAAATACATATGCCATTTTTAAAAATCTACTCGAATATCGGTGTTATGGATCCATAAAAAAACATTGATAATGATATTACTATAATTGGAATCGCAATACTTTGAATAACTTTTTATTAATATTTTTTTTCGCTTTAACAGATTAAATTATTTAATAATTGTCTATTTTTTAAGAATATTTTATTGTCGAATAAACAAAACTGTTTTAAATATGAATAGAAAAATAAGATTTTATTTATTTATAAAGTAATATAAGTATTTTTTAGCACTGTAATAATCTCCAATTAAAACGAGAACTCAATCTTCTACAGAAAATAAATTTTGATTTTTAAAATTTATAAAATTCAAGTACTTCAATTCCTTACTACAAATTGACATAAAATATTGATTAAAGCAAAATTGAATGGTAGCAAAATTGAATGGTAGCAAAATTGAATAATTAACTTATTTTATTAAACATTTACATATTGTTATATACAATTCATTGATGATAATAAACAAAATAGCTATATTTAGAAATATGGAATAGAAATTTAGTATACAAATTTAATGGTTCTTAAAAACTAGTATTAAATACTAGTAAAATATTAAAAAATTTTATATATTTAGGTTTATATTGCATGAATAAATCAAAACGCTCAAAAGTCGTCGAAAGTAATTAAAAGTTTTTACTAACTACTTTAATATACATTAAATAGTTATTTTGTAAACCTATTCTATTTAATTCAGTCCAATAGTTAATTTTAAACCTATCTATTATGGGATTGTCTATTTGGTATTATTATTACAGATTTCAGTATATATTTAATTGAAAGTAAATCATAAAACTAATAATATTATATAAAATTAATTTTGTAAACTAATTTGGTAAGATTTTTTAATAGTTATCGAGAATAAATAAAATTAACCGTAATAATAATACTTTAAAATTTAAAAATAGACAAAAAGAGTGCCTGAAAGCAAAATTTCAATCTCTTATTCTTATGTAAAACACTACATAATTAAATCGAGTTTAAAGTAAAAAAAGTCTAACAAATAAACTACGTTATTAAATACAATAAGAAATGAAAGAAAAGAACAATAAATATGAAACAATTCCTCTATCGTAAATTATAAAACTATGCACAGAAAGGAAATTTATTTATTTTCATTATATATTTTGAAATAAACAACATGTTCTGAACTTATGATAAGAAATAAAAGAATATTTATAAAATCAATTAATAACCATCAGTGAGCATGAGTTTGGTAATTCATACATTCTATGTTTACAAGTTTTCATTAATACAGTATAAAAATGAACATTGCAATTTGAAAGATTAGTTTATTTGAGTCGTATCTGATCATCAATATATTCAATAAATTAAAAATATTTTAATCTTATTATTATTCTAATAGTAACTAATTTTTATCTTTAATAAAAATTTTAATAAAATTCTTTTTTTCTATCTTAATGAAAATCATAGCGATATTTAATCGATGATATAATATATTAATATTAATAATATTATTATCATATATTCTAATATTATTATTCAATATAATTATTAATAATCTTTGTTAGTATTAAGCATTAAACATAGCATAAAAAGAATAAAAAAAAGAAATACAATTTTCAGACGCTTATTATGAGCTATATATTTTAATTGAAACTTAATTGAAGTATAAAACAGTTGAATAAAATTTGCTCATATTGTATTTAAATTTAATAGAATGTATAAAAAAAAAACGAACTTACATAACACAAAATGATCAGTTTTATTATTGCTCGTTTATATTAGAAAATTAGTAGAAATAGTTTCTTTAAATACGTCAACGTCTTAAAATTCTCTGAAAGTATTCAAATAAAAATAGATGTAATATTTCAATTCCTGTTATTAATGAATTGTTTATGACTCCCTAGTACGAATATATTTATTATATATTAGCCATTTTTATGTTGTCATCTCGAAAAAGTTTAAATATTTTAAATATAGAATTTAAAGTGATATCACTTCTCATCAACATAAGATATGCTTTTATTGATTTGCAAAAATATTGAGACAATCCGAATTTTGCAATATAGTTGTCCGAAATACATATAAGAAGGTGACTTTCATAATGACCTCATTACAAAAATGCATAGAAAGCTTGTCCTAGATGTTGGAAAGAGTTTTTTTATTACGATATAAATCAATTCTGATCAATAATTTTATTAACTAAATTTTAATATTGACAACGATTATACTAACCACTGAATGTAATATTCATTATATAAGATATCCAACTTTCATTATATTAGAGAATTAAATAATTTTTGCAGTGGGGTGGCTTCTTCCTACATTCCATATTTAATTAATAAACGGATATCTGCAGAAAAAAATCCCATTTATTTTTTCGACACAATAAATTATATGAGTATCTTTTGACCTTGAAACGATAACTATAACTCAGCTTTTATAATCTTCTTCCAACGTAGGAGAATTTGAAAGTCGATCTCGCATACGGACTTACGAACCTTGAGGAAGTGATGAAAGTTAATTATTAAAAGACCTTGTTCAGTTGAACGTTTAATATCAATTTATAAGCTCTTGCAAATGAATTTTCTATTTGCGAAATATAAATTTAGACGAACATGATAGATTTCAATATTTTCTTATAAATAATTTTCATTTGCTGAATCATATGCTCAATGCATATTCTTTTCTTTTGGAAGGGGTAAAAAAGTTTATTCCTAAAATAAACTCGGATATTTAATTCTCTTTGTGATGGAAGCCTTTACACATTTTAAAATATCTCAAAACAAATAGAATTCGGAATAAACTATTTAACGCTACCTTGTAATTATATTATTATGCATATTTGATTATTTCTTAACAATTATTTTAAAGCATTTTTAGTAATAAAAAAAGGTTCCTATGCTTTTTAAGCATCAAGTTTCACAGTATAAAGTTTAGTTTTTAATGGGTTCAAATTAGATTTAAAAATATAATGAGATTGGAAATTTGCTAATAGCTTATTCCAGAAAAAATTCGTCATATACCTAATAAGTACATAACAACTATCGATGTATACACTATACTATCTGAAATATTATTTGGACACATTCTCTTTTTACGTTTGATACTTTTAATAGATAAATTATTTTATAAAAAATACTTTTCTATTGGATGCATTCATTTATTTACCTTGTTATTTTTCTCTATCCAAGTATTCAAAAAATCACAAAAATTATATAATACAGTTTAAATGATACAAAACTGATAATTTGCTTATAAAATCAATATTTTATTTTCCTTGTAAAATTTAATTAAATGTCACTTTTATATTAATTTTTTTAATAAAATTGAATGTCATTTTCCAAATACTTCGTTATATTCAATTGTAAGTAATGTTATTAATAAGTTATTGATAGTTGTCTGGGATCAGACTAAAAAACCTCCTTATGATGATGGGTGGTGGCTTGCTCGCAAGTGGAAGGAACAATGCAATTATTCAATACTACCTTTAATGTTTATTGTCTTTCCTTTTATTAAATATAATAAATAATTAATAGTCAATGATCTATGAATGGCTTCATGAATGTGTGATAAAATGAATAGATGAGTGTTTATTCAATTAATGTTGGTGGCGATAATTCTGTAAGTGTATTCTTGATAGTCTGGAGCGTGATTCCCCTTCTCTTTATGAGTTGAGTAGTTGTAGTGGGAGACTCCTGCTGGTAGGGGCAGCGAGTTGGTGCCGCCTTAGCCGCTGGCGTAGGGTGAGAGCTGTAGTGAACGGAGTGGTGGGAGGATGTTCGTGTGACGTTACTGCTGGCGTACGTGAGCCGCTGAATAGAGATAAGATGTAAGAACGAGCGAAGTGGCGTTACCACTCCCACTTTATATTCCGCTTAAAACTGCTGTAATCCGTAACAATAGTTATAAATAAATAAATAGAATCATATTTGAACTTTAATTAAATTGAAATTACAATTTCTTATCGCTTTATGATAAATTAAAATAAATGATGTGATAGTACATTGTTGTTTATTAATTTTACTTATGCAACACATTGATTTCTCAAATTAAATTTATTATTTGGATGGATAAAATAATTTCTAAAAGAGATTGGTTTTCAAAACAAAATTAAAATTGAAGTGATTTTTAAGATATATTCTTCCGGAACAATAATTTCTTTTCTTGTTTTTTTTACTGAAAATAATGAACTAATTATGATATTAGTCTAATCGACTATCGCTTTTGAGTTTAAGAATCATGCATTAATTTATTTATAAAATATGAAGCAAATTCGAAAATAATTAGTTCAATTTTTTAAGCATCGCAAGTGCAATCTATACATAAACGGGAGTAAATATATTTTTCGCAATTTTCTATTAACTGCTTTTCTTTATTTTCCTTTTCATTTTTTTTCTTCTCTCTGTTTGATGTTGCTTTTGATAAGGCGTAATTTTTTGTTCGATTTATTTTGAAGGCTACAAAAGTCGTACAACATTCGTAGTCAATACAAAAGACTATTCCATGTGTTATAATTATTATTAGTTATTACTACAATGGTTTATTGTTATAATTCCTGTATCCTATCAGTTTTCTCTACATAGGTTTTATAATCAATGTACTTCACGACTTCCATATTTATTTTCTTTATTTGTCAGATCACTGATCATAGATCTACAGAAGCAATTATTGTATTTCCATGAGTTTCCAGTATCCATGAGTATCTATTTTAAATTTTATTTTCTTAAGAGACGAATATCATATATATACCGACTTTGTTATATGTATATACATTTCTGTTCGAGATTGGAGCAGCTTCGAAGAATTGAAAAGTTGGGAAAAGTACAAGCTCTCGGACGCTCATGTTTGTAAACATGATTCGGCTAATTCGTAAATTGTCTACGCCTTAATTTCAAATGTACTACAATATTTCCGTATAGCAACGTCGATCAAAATTCTCGAACCTTTCAAGGTATCCTTCGGTACTTCTCGAATATTCTGGAGCTCAGTTTTCTGACGTCATCAACATTTTCGGGCTAGCAACAAGCTCAAGGGCTGTTGCCAGCGTCGTTAGCTGCTATGCGAATATTTAAGAGCAGTTCGTCACGCACCGGGCTCACTGTGCTTTTACCATCTACTCAGTTACCAGTTAAGACTCACTGTACTATTACCTATTGCTCACTCATCTGTAATCGTGCACCGTTTTAATCAGGCATCAGTTATAACTCGCAATTACGCAAAGCTCTAGCAAGCCGCCTACAACACACAAGAACTTTATTCTACCATCATCTATGATAGAGAATTAGTCATTCTAAAGTGAAGCCATAATGCTAATAACAACTAAGTGCGTCAAACCAAGTAGTCATCAGTAAGCAGTGTCTATAATTTATAAGGTATTATCAATTCATTATTCGTATGAGCTAGTCACCTACGCTTAAACCACGTTCAAACAGAGTCTGTCACGAAAGAAACAAAACCTTTCGCGATCTCTGTGGAGCTCAATTACGGTCTCTCATTGACTTTTCTGTAGACAAAGTTTCGTCCAGTTCGCGATGACGCGGACAGGTGGCGAAGTGCGCCCTCTCAGTGCCTTCCCTGTGACGATACGTATCCACCGCTCCATCCCGCATTGCCACAACACTTCCATGCTCCCCTTGGAGCATAGTCGATCCCACGGCATACTGACGTACGAAAATAGTCGATTATTACCTCATAAAGTAAAATCCTTCCGTACTCGAAGGTATATTCTTTACTGTTCTTGCGTATGACTAGCTCTCCAATACTCCCATACTCCATTTGGAGTGTGATCGATTTTACGCATTAACTACGACAAAGATAGTGACGTGCTTCCCCCCTGTTGAGCATGATTAATTGTCCCTATTAAGTACTGCTAACTGCCATTACCATCTTCCCATGCTCATCTGATGAACATGGCCGAGTGCTTATGCTGATCCTTACAACATTAGCATAAACCCAACATTCAACATCTATTGTTCATATCAATAACAGCAACGACATCGTCACAATTACAAGGCAGCAACCTCACCTTTACCATAGAATAATTCTCTTTCTCTAACCTGAATTAATCATAGAACTACAATATTGTAATTATTAATAAAACAGAATAAACGATGTCTTAATCAAGAATATACATTGTACATATTTACAGCCCTTCTACTTGTGTTTTTTTCTACTAATTGCTACCGCGAGATACTAATTACTGAACTATTGAATTGGAAGTTCAAACCACAAAACAAACCCTCAATTTCGAACAATTTCAAATAATATTTTTACATGTTTTTTTCTCTAATTTCTAATCCATTGATGTATTACTACAAGAATATGAAATTTATTAGCTCATAAATTCCCTATTTTTTAAAATTATCTTGCAATTTTCATAGTGATTTTATAAGTGATCAAACTTAATTTTTTCGTTAATACGTAGCATATGCTGCTAATATTAACATAAAGAGTTAATTACATATAGTTTTAATATGAACGTTCAATTACCTTTAGTTATTAAAGAAAATAATAACTTTTAAAGTATATCAGAGAATTTCTCTTAATTTATAATTAATATTTGGAAATTATTTTATTTAAATCTTATTAATAACGTCGTCAAATTATAATATTGTTTATAATATATTTATTAATTCATTATTTAACTTAATTTAGTTTCATTTAATTTAATATAATTTTATTTTATTTTATTTTGTTTTATTATTTATTATTAATTAATTAATTAATTAGTATATATTATTTATTTATTTAGTAATTAATTATTATTTTTTATTAATTTAGTAAAATTTATTATTTAATAGAACATTGTATAATTTTTTACTTATTTATTGCGATTATTATACGCGTTAATCCAAGAAAGGAGTGGAAGGAATAAGTAAGTTAAGATTTTTGTAAAGTACTGCAGTTCGGTTACATGTGAGTAGTAAGAAAGAGAAAAATTTATGAAAAATATCTAATACGAATACTTACATACTTAAATATTTTAATATTACTTGTATTAGTTTTTATGTAATGCTTTAATAAAAAACATTATATTGAATTATTTGCCCTTCTAAAAATATCTACAAATATGAGTACAAATTTTTAATAGGTATTAAAAATATTTTAGAAAGAAAATCTATAAATTACTTAAACAGTAATATATATTATAAATAATAATAAAAAATATATTTATTTAAACTTAATTTTGTTATTAAAATTAATTCTTTAATGAAGAAACTTCATTCGATTAATAATTTCTTTATGTATCACAAATTCCTAGTTTAATATTAGAATCAAAAAGATAAATAGTAATAGCAACCATTTAATCAATATGTTTGTTGTAACTTAAATTCATAAAGTGCACATAAATCGCCGCCATTTATCATAAAACAAAAATAATTCCACCGAGAACTAGTTTATTGCGTTTTAAAAAGAGTAACTATATGAATTTGAATTATTAAGAGTGTACAAAATGTATTCGCCGTTCTGGCTTGTTTTACCAAGGCCGGTTCGAAGGATACAAATTGATGCCGTTGACAACTCAGAGACGACGGGTGTTGTGTGGTAGCGATGAAAGGTCACAAGTGGAAGGGATATTATAATAATACAATATAAATACGGCTGATGTATATGCTATTTATTCTGTTATTTATTGATGACAAGGTGTTTGCGGTGGCAAAACGTATACTCATCTATGCAGCTTGATGGTTTGAATGTGCATGTAGAATGGCGCGAAGTTTCGTTCGTCGACACTAGCGCTGTTTGAATGAGTACGTGCGTGGTTGAGGTTATGGATGCAGCGTAATGATTGAGTTGTACCGCAGAGTGGCGCGAAGCTTGATTCGTAGACACTCGCACTGTTTGCTTAATTTCATAAGCGTCCGAACTTGAACTAAGGTGAGGGTTGCCGAAAGACACCCATTTAGCGGGCGCGAACTTGACGACGCGTACTGGAATCTATTCCGCACTGTTGCTCTGGGGAGAGCTTCTTCGCCCTTAGTTGATTGTCGATGTCATACTCTGAATCTCAAAGTATGTGATTATTGTAATAATAATATTACTTACGAAGACTGCTGGTGTATTTGAAATGGGGACTTCCTTGTTCTTTCTTCAAGGGAGCTTGTCACTGGACACTTGTCGTTGGAATGCGTCGGCCGCCAATAAAACTTGTAATGATAGCTGTGTTGAACTACGTTAATAGGAAACTTCCAACGTGTCTGGACTTCGATAAGGTAATTCGTCTCCCGCCAATATGACTTGTAACGATAGCTGTGTTGAACTACGTTAATAGGAAACTTCCAACGTGTCTGGACTTCGATAAGGTAATTCGTCTCCCGCCAATATGACTTGTAACGATAGCTGTGTTGAACTACGTTAGTAGGAAATGCCAGCGTCTTCGGACTCTGATATGCGGATTGTCGTTGCTCCCTTGAACTTGTAATGACGGTTTTTTGAACAGCGTCAATGGACATACGGGGATATGTCGTCGTTTCTCTAGGACGTGTAAGCACTGTTCCTTTGGCAGCGGTCATGGACTTCCACTTCCATTATTTGAATAAGTACTGTATTGAATGTTATATCGAGAATTATCTCGAGAGGTATATCAAGAGTGATGAATATTGAAAAATGCGCCCCTTAAATACATTTGCTGACCATGAATTTCACTTGAACCCCTTCCCTTATTTTTTGTCCAATCAGAGACTCCTCCCTTACAGAGCGAGGGCAGCGCCTCTTGTGGCCTTATAGTTAGTTAAGGGCCTAGTCGTCTCTTGGTCTTCATGGCAAAAAGAGCTCTCGTTGCCGCTGACGCATCTGGTGACAACATGACATCTTGTAGACAGCGGGAAGAGGAGGTAGGTCCTCGTAGGTCCGCTAGTACATAATGCCTGAAGTAATTACCGAGCGGAGCGAATTCGTACATATGCCTAACTGAGTGGATTTTTCCGTGTTTATTGTATTGTTTTTCTAGACGTTTTATGAAACTATTGCTAGATAGTAGCGAGCAAGAAAGTTTTGAAATCTAAACACAAATTTTACGATGTTATATTGCATTGTAAAAGGTTCTCGCATTCTCGAACAAAGAGTAATGACTTAAATAAAATCTAGATTATTGAAAGTAATTGGTAGTGAATTAACATTAACCACTAAAGTATAACAAAAAAATTTTCTGAAATTTTATGTTAATACGAGCTTGCAATAATAAGAGAAACTTCAGATGTAAGAAACTATTATACTTTTATATTTATAGATTGTAAAATTAACAAATATAATGTATGTTATTCAGTTTTTTAAACTTGTCATATAGACTCCTACAATTGCAGAAATTTTATAATAAATTGTAAAAAATAACAGTAATAGCTCATAACAAAAATATTTAGAATCACATTTTTCAACGATAAGCAATTAGTATAATCTGTTTGTTCCTCGTATGAAATTTATGTAAAAATTATGTTTCGAAATTTTTGTGTTTTATGTTTTATGTTGTAAAAGTTTTATGTTTTTGTGAATTGTGACAATGATCTGATTATCATATTTACAAAGTGAAGTATTTTTAATATGTTAAAAAACAAAAGAAATTATATAAATGTTGAACTATAGTTTTTTACCAAGGTGCTTTGATATGTATTCATCATACGAGGATAATTTGGTTCATATGATACTCTAATAATATTATCTATCATCAATATTAATCTATTGAAGAAGGTCAACGATAACTGTATTTGTTATTGATGTTATAAAGTATATTTATTTATAAATTGTTATCCTCTTGTAAAATAAAGTTGAAATTTCAATTTCTTCGGACTAAAGTATACGTAAACGTTATTTCAACATTTGATAATGAATTCTTCAAACAAACCGTAGACATATATTAAAATATTTTCGACATTTAATGTAAATAAAATAAATAGAAAAATTAAATAAATTTTATCAAAATTAAATAATCCTGCAGGAGAAAAACTTGTAAATTTAGACGATTAAAGAATTACATTTTATATTAATAAGTTTAATTTTTTTTAAATAAATTTTTATGTCTGTAACAATTAGCCATCATAATTGATGAAGATGTTGAGTAATTCAAATTGCTATGATTAGCAATTATTAACTAATTTAGTTACTTCGAAAAATATGATTACAGATCTCTATATATATATTACATTATATGGCAAATTTCCATCACAATGAAATAGAACATTCAATTTAAGTTTGTCAGTTTTGTTCATTTTTCTATTTAATTAATGTAAAGTAGATTTATGGGCACACGTGTACGCACACACACACACACTTGCTCATGAACGTACGCATGCATTTTAAAATGAATGTATACATATATAGATGTACATATATATTTGAATAATTAAATTATTTGAATAATTAAATTGCAACAAAATCATTTTACTACTTTACTATTTATACTTTTTTCTATATGGGTATTTTGTCGAATCATCCCAAAAAAGTAAAATTTATTTATATTTTCTTTTTATGTGCTATATATAAAATATAATTATATAAAGATATGAAATAATTTATTTTTTAAGAACTTTGTACACTATTTGTAGAAAATACAATGTTTTTCAAGCCAAAAGAAGTATATTAATCTATTTTTAATTATTTATTTTATTGGTTTAAGATTATTAATATTATAAATGAACTTTAATAAATTAATATTAATTTTCTAATTCTCTTTGACATTGTATTTTATCCTTTACCTCAAAACTGTATGGGAATGCGGTTATAACCAGTGTTCGAAAACGTGTTTGATTTTCTGGCTCAAACTGCCAAGTTCGATAGTTCAATAAATTTGTCATGCATCTTAGTGGATGCTTAGGTAAGGACTTAAGTGGAAAGGTTGTAGAGATGTACAGTATGTGCAGACTTGATTAAACATCGTTTATTGATTATTAATGAATTGAGTTCACTTTTCATAGATGAGGGTGAACTATGTTCACACTTCTTGGTTATGGTGACAATGTTGTTGCTGATGTTGTATGGATCAGCAATGGATTGTGCGTACTTCTTGGTAAGGAGTATGGCTTGTTTATGTGGCCTTTATTAAAATTGTAAGGATTAGCAAAGAACTGTGCATACCTAATTAAAGGAAGTACGGGTAATTGAATTGAGGCCTTTGTTAATGCTTTCAGGATTAGCAAAGAATTATGCACACTGATTGGGAACGAGTATGATTGAATTGTGTAATAGTTACCATCAATAGCGTCTACTGGTATACCTTCATGATAAGGAGTACTTCGATACCATGCTACTTGTAATCGAATATTTTCTTGTAATGCAGTCAGCAACTTTGACTATATGTTAACTGCTGCACACTGGAGAATTGAATGTGTGTTCCTTGTAATGACTTCACTGAGAGAGTGTGACTGAGTGATTAGCTCATGGTTGTAAACTCCGGCTGAATAGCGTGGCTGACTAGGGTAGATTACTGACTTGGATGAGTAACTAATATGCCTCGACGCAGGCTTCTCTAAATATCCACGCGGCAGTTAAGTTAGCTGCCAACAATGGTTAGGTATTACTATGTGGAGACTAGATAATCTTCTAAGACGTTCGAGAATAAGCTTTAGAATGAATCATCAATTTTATCGATGATTATTTAACTTCCTCAGAGATTGGTAGCACTGCAAGATTGTGTATTGGTCTAACCATTGTGGTAGAAGCTATTTTTAGTGTTACTACTCTGGTTAGCCCATCCTTGCTGGGATGTATGTCGATTACTGGAGCGAGAGGCATCTGGTAAGATGAGAAGCGCTCATCGATGATGAATACTAATGAGTCAATCTTAATGTCATTCAGTGGATGATGCTATTTGGAAATTGATAGTTGCCGTTATAAATAGTGAAATGACCATTGTAATCAGAATTGTTGTACACGTTGTTGTAAAAATTGCCAGCGAGACAATCCTGAAATTGACAGTTCCTTGAGAGACGGTTCTGGAATAGTTGTGTCCGGGAGTGAGCGCCGAAATATCTCGGGCTCGTCACTCATCGGTTGTAAAGGCCTTGAGTTAAGGATTGCCTCGATCTGAGCAAATAAGGTGATGAGCTCTTCAAGAATTAGCAGAGTTTCTCCATTAGTGCATCTTATGTGGTGTTTTACTGATTTCACCACGGCTTCCCACTTGCCTCCCACGTGGGGCGTTGCGGGTGGATTGAATACGCATTGAGTATTGTCTTATAGCGTTACACTTTCAATCTGTTGATGTTCTAGGGTGCCTTCAACGAATAATCTTTTGAGAGCGGTATCAGCCCGATGAAAGTCGTACCACCATCTGAGTACAGCGTGCTAGCAATTCCTCTATAAGCAGTGAATCGTCTGTATGCAGAAATGAAAATATTGGTTGTATAGTCAGAGACTGCTTTGAGGTGTACCGATGATGTGTCAAAACAGACAAAAACACAAATCCAAGCTTTGTAAATTTTTGCACTTTGCCCCCTTTGGGTTTTCATAGTTATGGGGTGTTCGAAAATTAATGTTTTATTTTATGGCTCGAACTGCCATTTCAATAGTTCAGTGAATTAATCTTTCGCCATAGCGATTAAGAAGAAAGAAGGCACAAATGGAAAGGCTGAAAAGTATAATGAATATATTTGAGTTCAATTATTATTTATTTTGCTTATGAATTATAATATTGTAGCGTTATTGGTTGCTTCTATTGAGATAGAGAATTATTCTATTGTAGTGGTGCGAGTTCTTTCTTGTGTCATGATTGTCGGAGATTTCAATTGAAGTTCGTGCTGGTGCAAGTGGCACTGATGTGAGATGCACTAACTAATAATAACAATTAATGTACGAGGTGTAGAATTACAATGAGCACTAAACAGAATTGATAGTAGAAAAACCCGTGAGCTAGATGTGTAGTAACTCAATAGATGTTAGACGTACAGTGGCGCGCTGCTCTTAAATATTCGCGGCATAATTTTCGATGCCGACAACAGCGCCATAGCCTGTTGCTATGCCGAAAACCGTTAAGATGTTGCTATGGGGAAGAATTATCGCATATTATTCCTGGAATTCTCAATTCCAGGAATCGATTCCAATTTTAGATTTGAATTAAAAAAACTGTTCAATCCGGAACAGATTGACAATAGATTATTAAATACATAATAAAATTAGAAAATTTATAATATTATTAATAATCTTATTCAATAATCTGTTTTCAATTTCAAATTACAATTTTTCTGTTTCAATAATTTTATAATATCGAAACTTAAATAAATCTTGTAATGTAATCATTGGTACGGATTGAAGCAGCGTCGATGAATTAAAAAAAAAAGAAAAAAAGAAGAGTACAATCACTCGTATTGTTATGTTTATAAAAAATTAAATTTGCAAATATTTTAATAATCTACGCCTCATTTTCTAATGTGATACAATATTTCCGCATAGCAATGACGATTGTCAATTATGAAACTTTACATGGCAAGGCCGGTTCGACGGATACAATTTGATGCTGTTGACAACTCAGAGACCACGGGTGTTGTGTGGTAGCGATGACAGGTCACAAGTGGAAGGGATATTATAATAATACAATAATGATATGGCTGAAATATATGCTTTTTATTCTGTTATTTATTAATGACAAAGTTCACTAGTATTACTATTATTACTTGTAGAACTAAATTCTTGATTGAAATGATGTGTTGCGGAGACAACTGTACAATAATCTATGCAGCTTGATTATTGAATACGAATGGCGAATGGCGCGAAGTTTCGTTCATCGACACTAGCGCCTTTTGAACGAGCACGTGTGTGGTTGAGGTTATGAATGCGGCTTTATGATTGAAAGATATCGCAAGTGGCGCGAAACTGGATTGCCTACACTTGCGTTGGGTTTTGCTTACTTTCGTAAGCTTCCGAACTTGAACTAAGGTGAGGATTACGAAGTGGGATGCCCTTGGCGGGCGCGAAACTTGACGACGCGTACAAGAATTTATTTCGCACTGTCGTTTTAAGAGTAGCTTCCTCTTTCTTAGTACTTGTCGATGTAATACTCTGAATCTCAATATATATGTAATTATTGTAGTAGATACTACTTACAAAGACTAATCGTTGACTCGTCTTCAGACTCTGATAGGCGGATTGTCGTGGCTCCCTTGGAACAGGTAACTATAGTTTCTTGAACTGCGTTAGTGGACATGCGGGTTTATGTCGTGGTTCTTCCGAGGCAGTAACTACTGTTCCATTAACAGTGTTAATGGACAATCCGAAGAAGTGTAGGTCGTTCCCAAAATAGCGCTAAATGGACTTCCACTAAAACTTAACTGAGTATGAAATATCTCAAGGGTTTAATATTGAGAGAGTATTATTAAAAGAGAGATATCAAAAATACTAATTAGCAATAGATATCAAAAAACTGAGAGACACTTCGAAAAGAGTAATATCAAGAAAATACTACTAACTAAAAACTATCAAGATTAAATATCAAGACAGTTAAATATCACGAGTGATAAGGATTAAGAGAGTTAAGTATCGAGAGGGATAAGTATCAAGAGTAAATAAGTATTGAAAATTGTGCCCCTTAAATACATTTGCTGACCATGAATTTTACTTGAACCCCTTCCCTTATTTTCTGTCCAATCAGAGACTCCTCCCTTATAGTGCGAGGTCAGCGCCTCTTTTGGCTTCGGAGTTAATTAAGGGCCTAGTCGTCTCTAGGTCTTCATGATGAGCAGATTTCTCATTGCTGCTGCCGCATGCGACAGCATGTAGGAAATTTTGAGTAAGCGAAGTTTGAAATCCAAATAAAAATTTTACGATGTTACTTGCCAGATGTTTTATTGCACTGACAAAAAAGGAAAAACGTTCTCGCATTCTCGAACACAATTTTATATCAAATAAAAATATTTACAAATTTTTTAATATAAAATAATGTTTAATATATGATAATTAATTATTTAATTTATAAAATAAAAATATTGTTCCTATAAAAAATCAGTCGCTTTTTATAAATAATGTATATATATTTAATAATAAAATATAATATTCATCAAAAATAATTATTAAGGAAAATTATATTTTCCTTATTAATATGGAATCCTGTTTATAACTTTAGTTTAATTAAGCTTTTTTTATAATAACAATATTAAGATATTTTGTATGAAATATATATTTTTATTATTATTTTAGCATGTGAATTTATTAATAGCTATATCAATAACTGCTTTATTGATAGAAATTCTACATTTGTTATCTAATAAAATATATTAGCATATTTATTACTAAACAGTTATAGATTAAATTGAAAATTATCTTCAATAATTTTGTAATTAACCTTTAAAAGATTACAATTTTACATAATAATCTTTATCGGTTTTAGTAATATTCTTTTGTATATAATAAATAAAATATTAATTAACAAAAATGATTTATTTTACAGTGGCTTTACGGTATTGGTATTATTATGTATTATCATCGCCGTTACATTATTAATAGAATATTATACTATATTTATAGAGTTTGATGTGCATGCCCAAAAAATAAATTTTTTAACAAATATATAATGAATGAATATGTAAATATAAAGATGTGAAAGTTTTAATTATATTGTTCCAGAAATTTGTCTTTACAAAGGTAATAATGAAATTAGATAATATCGACGAAAAATGGTGTAGTAGACTGCCATTTTTTAAATTATCATCATTTTGCGGAGCCTGGATAGTAATAAACAACTGCAGTGGCAGGTAATTGCCAATGAGCTGCGTGTAGTTCGATTAGCTGAAGCAAAGTCTTACGTACTGCTGGCGAAGTTGTATCTTCATTGAGGAAGGCATCTCGTACGCCTCCCAGAAGTTGTTGCAGTTGTGTAGGCAACTCTGTCGCTAGGTCTTTACCAATACACGTCAGTATAAAGAACAGGGAATTCATCTGCAGTAATAAATGCATTCGATTTTGCTTCTGTTACTTGGATATTTTTACGGAATTATTGTAATAAAGATAAAACTAAGAATTTATATTCAATTTTTATAATACTATTGCAATAATTCAATTTTCCTTCCAAAAGTATTATAGCCTCTAAATTATTCTTTTAACCTTTTGTTAAAATTTTGTTAAAATTAAGTTAAAGAATTATTTCATTAATTTAATAATATTTTTAATTCATTAAAATACTTATTAAGTAATTGCTTAAGTTTTATTCATCACCTCAACTAAAATAAAATTGATAAATAGGATGAAGATAGATGCATAATTTAAGCAGATATTACAGGGTTCATTGAAAATATTTACTATTGCTTATAGAAAGGTAAATGTCTAAAAAAATATTAATTTTTTATTTAATATTTAAAATATGTTTTAAGCGTACGTACTTTTAAGATATCATAATTAAGTAACAACAATTCTCAAATAAATTCACAAATATTATGCCGCAGACAATATGTAAGACGTATGTGAACGAATTGATATATCTTTAAGCTATTATAAAAAAGGATACAAGTTCAATGTATCGTAGTTATATATTACGGTAATAAATTATAATACACAGTTTTAAATGAATGATATTTATCAAATATATAAAATAAATACGTGCGAGGGTACAAAAGTGAATGTGAAGGACAAGTTGTCATAAATAAGTACCAATCATCTTTATTAAGAATTATTATAAAAAAACTATTCATGTATGCACTCTATAAAGCATTTCATTGAATAATAAATATCTCTTCCAATGTATTCTTCTATATCTTGTGAAGAAACTTTTTATCTCCAATAATTTTATTTAATTCAAATATTTTTTTCTATCAGAAAACAAAAGAATATAAAATCTGAAACTGAAAATAAAATCTTAGGTAGAGGTGAATAGGAAGCAATTGTGGAAGCAATGATGTATATGTATAAAAGAATTTTTTAATTATTACTCATCATATTATATCAATTTTATTTTAATTTTTTTATGAATGTTATTTCTTCATTTATAGATTGCATATGCTCACTCCATTTAAACAAATTATAAAAACGATGTGAGAAATGTTCGTGATGGTTATATTTTTTGAGGGCGTAGTTGTTAATAACCGTAGGATACTTATAATACTGCAAATTATATTAAAATATACGACTGAGGAGCTGAAATCCTACTTTATATTTCTGTTCAACGAGTTAGTACTAAGTAAAATGCTAATTAAGATACTGCTGTTTTTTTTTAAAAACAATACTTAAAAATAATATAAATATATTTAATTAATACTTCTGTATGAGAATTAATCATTGGGGGACGTAAACAATCTTGACAGCATTTCCATAGTAGCGTGAGCAGTACTCGTCCTGGAGGAATACCTTCCTGCTGTGTTTTTAGCTGTAGCTGAAGACGTTTCAACTACAAAAAAGTTTGTATTTTTTAAACTTTACAGATTTTTCATTACGCAAAATTAAATTTGAATTAAAAATATATATGTTTCAATTTTATTATTATATATATCTATATACATCAATACAATAATATATACATATTATATACTGTTCGAAACTGTTTGATTTCTTGGCTCGATCTGCCATTGTTTCGATAGCTTTAATTTACCGCCGGCCCTAGCAGGTGTTTGGGAACGAGGTAAGTGAAGGGATTATAGAAGTACAATATGCGTTTCTTCAAAAATATGATTAATTTACAGTTACACTATTCTTTGATTGGATTTATATATTATGGATACACCATATTCAATCACATCCTTTCAGTTGCTTATAACTGATCTTGTGTTGAATAAGTTGTCTTCTCCAGATGCTCTTTAAGATGTTGATGTTATTGTTGATCTTGTAAGGATCAGCAACTGATTATGCACACTCAGGCAGCGATTGTATCTGAGTCGTCCCTACTTATAAGGCCTCTGACTGTGAATCCCTGCTCAAGGAAAGTCTCTGCCTTAGTTTTCTTCAATAGGAGCACGCCTTTGCCTTCCGTCTTCTGTCTTCTGAAGGAGGTTAGCTTCGACAGTGGCCACATCGACAAGAGCGCCTCTAGCGGCAGACCCGTCAATTAGGAAGCTCACTCTTCTCTTGGGCTTCGCTTGGTCGACTTGATAACAATGGATGTGTTGTGTCCCGTTACATCGTAAATTTTGCATGTGACGACTATTGCCAGATGTCTAATGAGCTGGGTTTTCTCAGATATCTAATGACTTAGACCTTCCCTGATGTTTAGCTAAAACGACTATTTTGGAGATGTTTATCGACTTGATTATTTCCATACGTTAGACACTCTTGAAAGGTTCTCACGATCTCGTACAAATAGCCCCGCGGCATCTTTGTTAGATGACAGCAAAGGGCCGATTATTGCGCTAGAAACAATGGGCGCAACTGTGGTGCGAAGAACAGTGGAAGTCATTGTGCACGTGTATCATTACAAACGAACCACTTTTCCGAACCTCCAACGGCCTTTGGAGAATTTCCTTAGAAGTTTTAACCGTTGAATAATTTCCTTGAAATGAGAACCGTTGGGATTTTCCCTCAAATGATAATATTCGAGAGATTCTCTTAATCTTGAACATATACGTAAAATTATAGTGTAATATAATATAAAATTATAATGCAATATCAAATTATAATATAATAATATCTTAATTTATTTTGTGTTAATATTGACTGAATCTTATTATAATTATAATTTTCTTTAAAATAATTTGTTTCTGGAATAGAAAACTTAATTATGAATAAAAATATTCATTATAATATTACGTATTATTAGTTAATAAGTATTTTTCATTAACAAACTTTAATAGTGAATTAAATAATATGTGAATTCATTTATGAATAATTAAAAAAAAAACAAGGAGAAACTACGTAATCTAACAAAAAAACAAAAAACATGTGGAATTAACCACCACAGAGCTTTACAAACTACTTCAATATTATTTGGTTATAACAACAAAATATATTAAAGATATAAAAATAGATATATGGACTTTTTTTAACAAAAGTTTAACGGGCAGAATAAAGTAAAGAGGATAAAAAATGTGAATTTCAGTTTAAGTAACTATGTTTAAAAAATTATCTCACATGATCATTTTAATTTATTTATCACCAATTAATTAAATTGACATTTATCCGGTTGATTAGAATTAGATTATTGCCACCAGTTATCTGGTGAGAGAAAAGTTTGGACAAGTGGAGGGGGTAGCGCTTGAATTCAGTATTTAACACGTCTGCTTTTCGTGCTTGGTGTTTATTTTTTTTCCAACTACAATATAATGATTCTACGTTGATGATGAAAATTTGTAAGATCTTGCCGTTTCTTGGTTGTTACCACGTGGTGTGAGCATGCACTACATTGTAAGTCTTCGGATCTTCTTGATGCAGTACGCTTGGTGATGAAACGCTACACTGAAAATGAGAGGTGAGAGTGAGAAGAAAGTGAAAGGTCGCGAGTCTCTTAACACTTCTTCGTGTAGTGTTATGTGGTGGTAACTTGATTGCTGGTCTCCTTCAAGCTGTCTTGTAGTGTGGAAGGATGAAGTTATGACCGTTGAGTTATTTCCTTGAAATGATAACCGATGACATTTTTCTTTGCAATAATAGCCGTTCGGATTTTTCCCTAAATGATAACATTCGAGAGATTCTCTGAATCTCGAACATTCCGCCCGCCATCAGCAATTCTATTGATGATTATTCCCCTTTGATGGGGATTGGGAGTACTGCTAATTTATATATTGGTCTTACCACGACAGTCAAAGCTGTTTTTAATGGGATTACTTTGGTCAGCCCATCCTTACCAGGATGAATGATGATGAATTACTCTAGCGAGGGGCCACTTGTATTGATGTCATTCCGTGGATGATGCTATTTGGAAATTGATTGTTGCCGTTGTAAATAGTGGGCTGACCATTGTGATAAAAATTATTGAACTCGTTTTGTATAAATCACCATTGTGATAGTCTCGAAGTGACCAAGACATTTAGAGATGATTCAAGAATTGTAGCGTGTGAATTTCTGATGAAAAAATGACCTGGTGTTAGTGCCGAAAAATCTTCTAGCTTCTAGGCTTTAGAAGCCTAATGTTCAAGATTGTCTCAATCTGAGGTAGCAGAGTGAGAAGTGATTTCTTCAAAGGTAAGCAACGATTCTCCAATTATACGTTCTAGATGAAGTTTTGTAGACTTCACCACTGTTTCCCATTTTCTTCCCATGTGAGGCCTAGCGAGTGGATGGAATTTCCACTGAGAGCTGTCATTTGAGATGATTGAAGCTATCTGATGATGTTCTTGAGAACTTTGCGTGAACAATTTTTTGAGAGCAACTTCCGCTGCAATGAACGTAGTACCACAATCAGAGTATAATGTATGCGAATATCTCTGCAAGCCGAGAATTATCGCTATGCTTTAATGAATCTTCTGTTGTATAATCTCGAACCACCTCGTGACGTACAGCAGACGCAGTAAAACATATAAAAACACAAATCCATGCCTTGTGGGTTTTTACACCTCACCCCTTCCGGGGTTGTATGGTTAAGAGGCCGGCAAAATCAATACCTGTATGGCTGAAAAGTCGTGATGGCGTGACTCGAGAAAGAGGTAGTTAGCCCATCAATTGACGAGCACGGACCCCCCTTTGCCGAGCACATATAATGCATCGTAAGATGTGAGATTTCAGTGAAGACCTTCTACCAAGAATCCAATACTATTGATGAGCGTATGTGAAGAGTTTGGAGATAGGCATGAACAATGATGAGATTTGAAAATTGCGAATGTCGTGGCAGAATAGCCTGGTGCTTATTTTCTTGTATTAATGATGCTCTCATTAGTCTTCCTCCAACTCTGATAACTCCTAGGGTGTCGATGTATGATAGGCGGTGAAATGCATGAGCAGTCGACAAATTTTCGTGGGACTGCTAGATTTTGAGTTCATGAGAAAAGTAGGCAGCTTGAGTTGCCTTTATCCAAAAAATCCTTGAATTTTCCAAGTCTCTTTGGGATATTTGGTTAATTGGAGATGATTCATGCTTTCTGTTCAATCGTGCAAGAAATCTGATACATATAGCTGTTATTGTCAATAACTTATTGAGAGTTGAGTACTTGTCAATAATGTCCGCGGTGATAGATCGGCTTGTGAGTTGCTGCTACTAATGAGATGTCAGGACAAGCTTCCTAATCGCATTACTCGTCGCTCAAGTCTGGTGAGTGTATCCATGGTGGTCCAATCCCCACCAGTGTGGATTATTTTGATGTTAACTAATCGTTAGTTCTCGGGATGCGAAATTTGCTGGATTCGACGTATCGGGAACGTAATTCCATTAAGCGTCTAGAGTAATCTACGGCAAAGTATCTGACTGCTGCCATTGTCAATTGAGAGGCATCAAAAAAACCATGTAATTCCACTGTTGACGTGCTCTCTATGTTAAACAATACCTCGATTGTTCAACTTGAGAGATCCTTTCTCTCGTTCTTGTTCAACTCTGAGAGATCCTTTCTGATGATGCTCCACTGAGCAGCGATCTGACACTAGCAGAAGCTACGACATGGTCACCATCAAGAAGCAACCTCATTATTGAGACAAGACAGAGTTTTACAGTCTTCTATAAGAAGTGAACCATGCTTATTATAAATGTAACTGTTCATAAATCATATGTTACCGATGTTTTCACAAATTACACCTTTCTATAATCTTTCTACTGGACTCCCACTCAAACATCTGCTAGAGCGACAGCAAATTATTAAAGCTATCGAAGCACTGGCAGTTCGAGCGAGGAAATAACATCAGTTTCTAACACACACACACACACACACATATATATATATATATATATATATATGTATATATAATATATTATATATACTATATATAGACGATTTAAAATAATCTTATAGGAATACTAAAAGTTCGGACAAGTAGATACTGAAATATCTGATAAATTGTGCTTCGTGACATTCTAATGCTTGTTTGAATTCCATAATAATTTATTATCTTAACTCTTACGTTTCGTGAGAAATATGTATGACTGTATATGAGCATAACCAATAAATATCCGCACATGAGAGCTGTATCGCTCTTCAACAAATTGCCCTTACATCAACATCAGTTAACGGTGATTCCTACTTAAATGTTGTTAATTACTTTTTATTCAAAGGCAGATGATTATTATCTCTTAATACTTGGAAACCATTAATAGTGTTTTTAAAATATATGTAGATTTAATTATTAGATTTATATTAAATATACTAATATATTTAAATATATTAGATTTATAATATTACTATAAAAGTAATTATTTTTATTAAGACGAAATAGATATGTATTCAAATGTGAATATAAAGAGCTGAAACTACTTGATATATCTATTTATCAAAATACTAACTGTTTAAAAATTTAAGGATTATATACAACAAGTGTACAGTAATTTCATTAAATATTAACAGGTTCTTAAATAAATTATTATAAATAAATTTATATTAATGAAATTACATAAATCAGTAGAAGTACGAATAATATGAAAAATTGAAAATGGCTTTAAAAATTTGACAATTAATATAATATTTAATATATTAATTAATAATATTGAGAATTTGTAAAATTTATTTTTTAAATATATGAAATTCTGTATTGAATATATTCCATATATAGACAAAGTTACATTATCTAAATGTTGATTATGAGTATTCAGTTAAATTATGATTTGGTGTCGCCTTTTTCGTCGTCATAAGAAATCGCATGAAAGATTTAAAGTAAAATGAAAATTCCATATTATTAGTGGAATTTTCATAAAGAGAACAATATCATTGATATATTTACCATTAAAATAAAATTATAAAATTTTTTTAACTATATCAATGAATGAAATAATGGTAAATTTTGGATTTTGTAATGTCTTCATTATCGTTAATATAAATGCTTATAATTATAAAAGATGTATAAGTTTAGTTTCTCCATATGCTGTTATTGAATTCTTAAATATAATACCTGACAGTACATCTCATTGAGGAATGACATAAAAGCCGAAAAATGGTGATGTAAAGAAATATCCTCTAGTGTTATATTGCGTTCTTGATACCATTGCTGACACGTGTTAAGTAAGGACTCCAGAAATGTCTCTTTCGCTTCTTGCTAAATAAATACAAAGTTTTCCAATTTTCGATTAAAATTTAGGTGCATATTTACGTTTGAATTAAAATACTCACTTCAATTATTATAATACATATTTTAGCTGCTGGTTCAGCGCAACACTGATTTTCGATGACTCGTATTAATATATGTTTTACAAGTTCCATAAGTACTCGTGCGCTCAGAACATTTGGGTCTGAAAATTATTGAATAAAAATTTTTAATTTTTAAGAAAATACTTATAAATAAATTTGCTTCTTTATGGTACTGATTTATAAATAAGCAATTATTATTTATGTTTTTTGAAAAAATCAACATATATAAGCTATTTTTATAATACTAAAAAAAGAAAATATTGTATCAGTATTTTAAACGTTTTCATTTAAATATCTATAAATAAATTTAATAATTAAAAAAATAATAAATTTGTATGCTAAATTATAATTTGAAACAAAATATATTAAACTCATTAAATTCAAAATTTAATGAATCAATTAAATAAAAAAAATTTAATCAACTAAATATATTTAATTATAATTTTAATACTTGTATATTAAATTTATGTAAAAGTTTGTTTCACTTTACCCAAATTGAATATTGAAAAAGATAATAACATTTTATTTATCATAGTCTACGTATAAAATGCAAAAGCGATAGAAACAATTGAAACGCATATTTAAAAAATATTGTTTTGGGTTTTGATTTAAAAATTTTTTTAAACATTAAAAATTATTTAAAAAATGAGTTATACTATAAAATGTTTTTTATTACTTAAGATACATATAAAAAACTTTAAATTTTTTTCAAAAAGTCGAATGTTTGAATGCATTAATAAATTTTTTTTCATTATTATAAATACATCGATAACTTATTTGATAACTAATAGTTTTACTGTTTATTATTTATTCTATTTTTTTTTAATTTTGATTTATCTATATAATATTATGTATATGTTTCAGTATTTTTATATATAACCATAATTATTATTATTATATATTATTATATATTATAACAATTTCCTTTTTTCTTTAGAATGTGGTTTCATGTAGTTTAAAGAATTGTTTTGATACTCGAATTGCCAATAAAAGGTGGATTAAGTAAAGTAAAAAAATAATAATTTAAAATGCAAGATTTATTCTTATTCTAGATTTATTTCATTTATAATACTTTAGATGATTTTATCCATTAATTTTTATAAATGTATTGTTCTTACTAAATTCAATTACTTAATATATAAAAACCTTAAAAATTATCTATGAGTAAGTGCAAAGTACGAATACTAATGTCTTTATTCATTAATAATTATGCAGATAAGTTATTGATGTGAATTAAAATGATTTCATATCACTATTAAATGTGAAGATTGATTTAAAAATAGAAAGTATCTGGAAATAAATATTTAGAATAAGGATAATTGCGTTAGAAATAGAATGTCTTACAAAAACGATCGCTCACTAAGAAAGATTTTAATAGGTCGGAGTTACGATGGCAATAGATAAAGTTTATGAAAATACAAAAGTAAATAGAATTACTTATATAACCAATCAGAGTTAGTGAAAATAGAATATTTTTTAAAAAAGAGTTAAGTTTTTCAGAAAGTTTAAATATCAACTAATATTTATTATCTGATGCATCGTAATCAAAGGAATTTATATATACAGCGTTCATGTTTCAATCTATGTTTACCATGTCAGGTTCCATGAATTGCAACTATATATTTACATGAAATGGATTATTATTTATATATATATACATATATATATATCTTTCTACAATTAATAAATATTTATGTTTGAACTATTCGTAGTTAAAGTTCCGCAATTTAATTTAAGAGCTTTTGTAGATCATGAATAAACCCATTATCATTTCATTAACAAATCAATAATTGTTTTTTCAATAAGTGCAACTATATTATAATAAATGTAATACTAATGAACTATTTTTTTACAATATTATGGTCGGCAAAATGTATTTGCCTAAAATTTAATATAAAATTATAAGTACAAATATTAAAGTTAATTAAATTGACTTATATATTAATACTTACTATCGATTGCTTGAAACAATATTTCTTGTATATTAGAAGGAAACTTTCCAAGTTCTGATATATCTGCAATATTCATAGTTTTAGTCATTAAAATGTCAGAAACTGTGAAGCTTTTTGTACGTCTTAAACCATAGGATGAAATAAAAGATAATGATTTTGTCAATTTGCCTGGTTTTGAGATTGCAGATTTTATATCGTGTTCTACACTAAAGTGAACTTGACCAGCATTCTATACGATAAGAAAAAATAAGGTTTTAATTAAACACAAAACAAATTAAATTGAATTTTTATTTAAAAATTAAATATTACAAATATGCAATAATATTAATAAAATAAGTTTTTGACCAAAAATATTAGTGTAATGCTTGATAATCGCAGTAAGCTTTATCTTTTTTTACTATTCAGCAAATAACAATCATTTTGAAATTGCTTAATTATTTTTTATTATCTAAAATGACGAAAAGTGTTAAATCATGCCTTACAGTAGAAATTTAGAACTAATTATTAATATTTTAGGATTTAATTTATTTAACTTATTTCATTAGAGCTTCTTATATCAATTTCGTTCTTGATAAAAGTTGTCAAATATTTAAAAAGTATGATAGGATATTTCTAATTACGTAAAAATTATTCTATAGTTATATATCTGCCATTTAGTTTTCGATGGGATTGTCTTTTGATAAATATTATATTTAGTATCATAATTTTTTTTTTCATCATACTATAATTATTATGGCATGCGTTATAAAAATAGAGATTCAATGGATTTTTTAATAAATCTTAGTCTTACATAAAATACTTTTTACTTTACACTTCGACTACTTTTACGATATGAACATAAAATTTGTATTCAATTTTACGAAAATACTTCCGATAAGTTTTTGCTGATATTATGTTGAAACATAAGGAGCTTTTTATTTTTTAAAATTATATTAATGCTCTTATAGATTATTTACTATTTAATTGATTTAATTGATTGATAGAATAATTATTTGATTTATTAGTTTAGATTATTACTTTTTCAATTATTTATATTATATTATTTTTATTTATATTATATTATATTATATTATATTATATAAATACAATACATTATTGTATTATTTAATGCAGTAAATTGAAACTTAACGAATAAGATTTAGTTTATAAAATATCATAAAAGACGTAGACAAAAAAAATGTGTCATCCAAATAAAAGATTGATATTGATTGATACTATACGTATTGCACAAATATCACTAATATAATATTATTTCATAATTAATTGTTGTCATTTAAAAAATAGTTCAATTAAACTACAATAGAAATTACGGCATCAAAGTTGGTTAAGCTAATACATCATTGAATCTATCAGTAAATCAATAAGTATGTAATGTACAATTTGATTCATAGAGACTATAAGCATACATGACTAATTTTATACGTTATAAAACATGTTTAGGTGTTTCATTTTTTATTTAATTTATATATGTCTTATAATTTACAATGATATTTATATTATTTTATACAATTTTTATAAATAATTGATAATAATGTAATTTGTGACTTATTAATTCACAAATAATAATAGAGACCTAAAGAAAAAATATTTAAATGTAGAAGTATACTCATTAACTTTTTCTTATTCGATATGTATAGATTATTTTTTAATTTCTTCTTTATTATATTTTAAATAGTAATTAAATTAATTAACTAATGAAATAGTTTCAACAGTATTTTAACAGGTTTTATTTGATGTTTTTATCGTTATTATTATTTTGTCATAATTTTAGTTACTTAATACCATATTTAACATTATTATATTAACAACATTATTTATAAGTAAATACTATAAAGTATTAAATGATACTGAAAATTTATCGTCTATTTATTATTACAAAACAAATGCAAGTAATGCAGAGCATTTAATGTTTTAGAATTGTATTAATTTAATTTTATTACTATTTTATATAAGCATGTATATTATTATTGTAAGTATGTTAATTTTCCCAATAATTCTTATATATAAAATTAAGAATAAAACTGAAAGTAATCAAATGCTTTTAATTATATAAAAATTAATCCTGTATATTAAAATAATAATTATATTATAAAAATCATGTATCAGGTAATCTTTAATTATTTATAAAAATATAAATATTTTATAAAATTCTTATTTTTAATACATTATTATTTATTTACATTTTATTAAGTATTTATAGATATAATTAATAAAATAAATAAAATGTTTTATAACATTTTTGGGTTTAACATTATGTATAAAACTGATTTTTTTTAAATTACAATTCTGTAAAAAATATCGAACAAATTTTTCGAATGAGATTAATTTTTTGTTATAGAGGTGTAAGGAAAAAAATGTCAGTAAAAAAGAAGCATTCTCTTTAATAAGCTAAACAAATTATGCACAGATCACCATAGTGGTAATTGGTGTAATTAAATATAAAAGTAACAATTTTAAATTCATGATTTTATGAATTAAAATCATTAGATATTAGTTATTGCCTTCGTAATTGCATTTATACGATATTAAGTAATACTGATACTGGAATTCGTTTAATATAAAGAAAATTAACAAAATACGTAATAAGGACAGTTAATATAGAGTTAAGGGCTCAAATGGTTTGTAATTATTTTTTCTATTTATGATAAACAAAAATTGTGGTGCATTGACAATTACCAGTTCTTTCAAAATTTTGTTTAAAAATTTACATCTAAAGAATGTAAAATGAATTCATATTTAACTTACGTGTAAGATATTTCCGCTAAATGTAGATGTATTAAGAATATGTGGCTGATGCATTGTCATTGTTAAAGGATGATAATTTGTTGTATGATGCTGTGAATTGGTTGACGATTGATATTGCAATGGATAATGAAGCTGTTGCTGATGCTGTGAACAAAGGTATTGATGTATATTTCCACTTGACTTACTGTGTTGAATATAGTAAGGACGATCCACTAAATTCAATTCCGAGCTTGATAAAAACATAAAAACATGAAATTTTTATTATTATTTTTTGTATATTTATTTTGTATATTTATTAATTGAGTTAGATAAACAAATTTACCTTTAAATGATTAAATAATATAAAAAATAATTCAAATATTTTTATCAGTTTTTTAAAATTTATATAATAAACATTAAACTTTGATTTAATCAATACCAATTTATATTTTTTAAAGGAATTAAATTTTTCAATATTTTCATTAATAAACTAATTACAATACATGTAATTTTATAAAAATAATGTCTTACATAGGTAATTGATAGTCATTTTGTTTCATAGTAAATTCTTTAGCATGTACATTCAATTGTGGATTTATTATATTAGGTGTAGAAGGATGTATTATATGAGGTCCATCAGTTCTAACGCCTAGAAAATTACAATAAGAAAATTAGAAATAATGTTATTTAAATAATAAAAATTACACACATATATATGTAAAAAACTACATTAATTATATTTACCAGGAGGTCGATAAATTTCTAAAGATGGCTTTGATTTCAAGGTTGCTACTTTATTATTTCGTTTCGGCAAGATAGCATCCCTCATCTACAAAATTAAAAATCTAATAAAATATTTTAAAGTTAATATTTAATCAATAAAACTATGATTATCAGGAAAATTTAAAATAAAAATTTATTTAATTAGTAATAAAAAGATACACTAGACTTTTAATAAAAAAAGTTTTATGATTTACAGTGAATGTCACTAATAAACCGCCAGAAATCCAATCGAAAGTACAATATGCAGGAAGACAAATAAACAAACGTATCATTTCAAAAAAATTTTCTTATTTATTTTATCTTTTAATTTTTCATCAAATTAAAAGAATATTTATTTATTTCAAGTGAATGTTATTAAGCTACCTGAAAAGTTCGTTATTGCTTCTTCCATCGATTAATCATTCATTTCTCATTATTCATGTATTTATCGGTAGTATTTGATTCAAGTTAAATAAAAAATTATTTCCATTCAATTAGCTATAGTAATCTACTTTATATAATAACTTAAATTAAAATGATTGTAATATTACTTTTTCTAATATTAAACATTATATACAAAAGAATGGTAGATAATCTTAGGCATTTTTAAAGTGTTTTCCATTAAATATACATAGATTATTTCTTAAAATTACTTCGATTCAGTAATAAATGAAATTTTATTATATAATACAAATACATATAATGTAATTTATGTACATTAATACTGTATTTACATTAATAATTTTTAATAATATCATCACACCACACTCATTTTTGTAAATTATTTCACTCTTTTTATTATATGATTGTTTATTATGTATTTAATAATTTAAAATAATATGACAAATTCTTTCAATAGTATTTCCTTCCTAAATAACCAAAATATAAATCGTGCCTTTTTTCTATTTTTCACGCAAATTATACATGTTTTTTATAATTAGACCTTAATTTATATATTTCTTTTATTAAGTTAAGTTACGTTACTTTTGTATTTATAGGAACTTGCTATATTTTATTTACTTTTTATAATTGTATTTATATTTATATGAAAAATATGAGAAACATCATATAATTCTAATTTTGAATATAGATAATAATTCATATTTTTGGTTCAATTATACTCGATGTATTTACTTTATATATAACTTAAAATAATTATATGATCATTCAGCAATAATTTCTTTAGCTTTTTTTTAGGCGTACATTAATCATTTGACAATTTTAGTAATTTCAACGAAGTAATCGCATTCTTGAATTTAGAAGCAAATTAATTAAAGGAATTTCATCGAAATTCATCTTTGGCAATGACTTTGAAAAAAATTTCCAAAGTATAGTTATTATTTTCTGAAATGTAATTAAAATCTTTACATTACTTTATTTACACTATCTAGACACTTTCCACAGTTCAAAGAATAGCAAAATATTAATTTTGGATTATCTAGTACTATTCTTTCCTTAAAAGATTTGATAAATTTTAGATTCATTAGCACTAATTAATAAATGAATATTCTCTCAAATTAAACTAATTAAGATTTATTAATGTTCAAAAGACTATTTAATGTCTTCTTTATCGTTTGAATGTATCAATGGACCCGATACTATTACTTACAGATTATACAGTTAAATTATTGTTTTTTAATTTAAATTATTTTCTTTGGTAGATAATTAATCATCCTTTATACAATATTTCACGTCAATTTAAGATTAATATTTGCAAGAGCTGATTACATTTGTCTACCGTAACTTTAATTAGTCTCATTGAAACCGTTTATCTGTACTATACCATCAGTATGAATTTCTTGTCTATATATAATATTTATAAATTATTAAAAACTATTGTTCAATAATACTGTTATTTTTTTAAACTTCATTGTAAATATTCTGTTTTATTGACACATTTTCCAAATGATTTCATAGCTGAGTAGTGCTTCGATGTCTTCTTGATTCTGCTCCTAATGAATATTATCGTCCATTGCTTCCGAATTAAGTGTCGTTCCCGTTTTTTAATATAATATTTTGTTACTGATTGATCATAACAAATGGTTCAGTTTCAATTTCAGATGCTTTTAATAACATTTTATAAGAAATACTACTTTACTAAATTGTGTAGTAATTTTTAGAAATAAATTCTAAATTCCGGTATTAAAATTCGACTACCAACTAGTAAAACTGCTTGATAACGTAAACAATCTTTAAAAGAAAAATAATAGTTAATATACATATACAGTCAAATATATATATATATATATATATTATTATTCATTCCTTGTCTGTATTTAATACAGATCTGTAAATGTTTATTATATATTAAAAGCAATTAAAGGGTTTGGGACTAAAATAATAATATATACATTTAACATTTGACATTTCGAAAACAAGCAGATAGAAAATGTACTAAAAAATGAATGTTTAAAAATATACTGATCTCAATATTAATATTACTAACTAAACTAAATTAATAATTAAAAGTAAAATTTCATATTCTTTCTGAAATTCTTAATTAAATTTAATAGTACTTGTGTTTCATAATTTATTATATTATTGAAAAATTTACGACTTATATTATTTTAATAATTAATGCTTATTAATTATATTTCTTGTCAGCTTAGAAAGATAAAATTATATGCATATTACTTTCATGTAAATAGTTATATCACTATATATTATTAAATTTCATTTGCCTTTTATTATTATACCTTATAATGAAATATGGAAATACTTTATAACATTTTATCATTATTTTAAATATGTATTCTCAGAAAGAAGATAATTATATTATATGAATTATTAAAGAAATTCATATTTTACTTACAAAAACTTTAAAATATATAAATATTCAGCTTTTATAAATGTCAATTCTTATTTTAATTAAAACGACTTATAGCATATAAATGAATGATTCATACGATGTAATAAAACCTAATTTAACACAGCAATATTTGCATATGCTGGATTGTATGTTTAAGTAATTAGACATAATCGAATGCAAAAAAAATGAATAGATCCATTTTGGTTGCGTGAAATATTATACTGTAGCAAATTTGAATTTACTTATTATATTAAAAATTAGTTTAAAAGAAGTAATAAAAACGCTTTCAACATGCAAATTTTCAATAATTCATTGAATAAAATGATTTAAATAATATTAACAACCCAGCTTTTTTAAGTTTATGCTACAGATTGTTTAGAAATATATTATATTATTTTTCATATGTTCTTATATGTAGTTCATTGATTTAAATTGAATTATTTTTTACTGAAAGATAATAGAGGCATGTTTTGAGAACATATAGTAAAATTGATAAATTTAATATAAATGATATTAAGACATTATATAAAATAAATATAAAATAATTGAAGATCCAACACTAAGAACGAGAATAATTGGTTTATATACAAAAATTGTATATTTTTTACGAAGCGATTAATGGTTTTCTCTACTACATGATACAGTTTATACAAATAAATTCGTTTGAAATAGTAATAAGATAATATTACCAAACAATATTAGTGTTAATATAAACCTAAATCAAATTTATATATTTCATTTAAAGATAATGAAAGAGTTAACAATAAAAATAAATGATTTTTAAAAATTATAAACAAAAATTAATTATTTTAATTATAAATTATTTTGAAAACGATCTGTAAATGAACCTGGAAAATTATGTTTTTCTTGCCTTGAAAAACAAAATTATTATTTAGATACGATTACAATGGGAAGATCTATAACAAATGCTTAATGTTATTCTCTTATATAAGGTGGATAAATTTGATAAGTTCACCTATTACACTTTTAGCTAAGATTCAGTAAAATTGAACTCGAACATAATTTCAAGCATCTTATAGTTTCAAAATTATTCAAACAAAAAATGCTCAAATTGATTTAAATTCTGAACACTTTATAGCATTATTTTACTCTTTAAAATATTATTCATAATAGCTGGTGAATAATAATGGTGAGAAATCTATAATTGAGACAGTAATTACAGTAAGACATAATATTACATACAATTAATTATAAATTTTAACTAATTTCATATTTACATATATTTCAATTATTGTTATTATTTGCAAATAATTTTTAAATGTTATTTAAATATCAAAGGAAAGCTGCTATTTGTCTTGCCGTATCAAATTCGTAATATTAATTATTGCGATATATATTCTAATACTTTATTTTGAAAATTACTAAAAAATATTTACGGATATAATAGAAAATATAAGATTAAAGTAATGGATAGTACTTCAATAAACTGATAAGTATTGGCAATAAACGATATATTATTTTTTCTTAGTAATTTATTAGTATTGTTTTTAATTTTATCATTCATATAATACTTTTAATTATTTTTATCCGAGTCACAATACTAGTATAATATTTATAAGATTCTAATAATCTATTCACTCTAGAAACAATTATTTTTTTACTTTACAAAGAAGTTCAAGAGAAATAAAAAAAAGAAGAATAGAGTTCATGTCTCTGATATAATAGAGTTCATGTATAATGAATAAGTTCTATAATTAACGTAAAAACACAGCTTACAGTAAGAGACTTGTTAGAATCACGCTTGACGTTGAGAATTTTACGGACGTGCACAGCCATACAAACCTCTGGAACTCTCCCTTATGCTCAATTATCCTCTTTTTGAAATTTACTCGTATGATTGGTTTAAATAAACGGATCATCCATCTCCATTTATTCACTCGTTTTCATTATTCGCAACGCAGTTTTTTTTTCTTTAGAAAATGTGAGATGGCGTAAACCATTCGGGCACTCCAAGTAAAAATTAAAAGTACGTAAGTTCTTCGATTTTCGCACTATATTATAGAGTAGATAGAATGGGTGAACGATCAGATTGTTGTTACTATTAATAGACGAAATGTGAGCGCTGAAATTAAAAGGCGCATGTCTAAAGCTCAACTGAAATAGTGTCTACACTTTCACCATTGCGTCTGCTATCTTCAAACCAGAATAAAACTTTTACCTAACCTGGTGTTTTGTTTAATACGCTTTTATCAAATTTGCTAATTTTTTACAAATGAAATCATTTGGCTCCTCAATTCTCTTTTACATTTGATAAAAATACTTTTTTTTTAACTAATATAAAATTTTTATTTATAATACTCTAGTCTCATCTATAATACTAATAGTTTTCCTCACACTACATACATATAAGTTTGCATATCATTTATATATTATATATTATAATAATTATATTATTATATAATATATTATATCTATATACAAATTTATTTTGTATACTTATTTGTAACTACATGATTAATTATTGTGTAAAGAACAAATAACATTCTTTTTAACAAATTTGGTAATGCGATTAGATAAAAAATTCTATTAAACATTCATTAATTGCATAATTTATAAAAATTAACTAAACAAAGAATTTTATAATTAGGCAAATAAATAAAAAAATTTTATGACATGGTCTTAAAAATATTCGAAGAGGACATAAATAACAAATAATTACTTCGAGTATTCAGAGAACAAAATATTAATTTTTAAAATGATATATCATTAATAAATACGTAAAATAAATACAAATTCAACTTGTTAGATGTAATGGTATGGTGTAAGTCTATGTCTATACAATCTTATTGAATTTTTATCACACAATCTGATTAATATAAAATTTGAGCAAATCAATTCAAATTTAATAATAAATTATTTAATTAAAATATTTTACCGATCATTATTATGTAACCGAAGTTTGATTTTTATTATTAAAAATATTATAGAAATTAATAATAATTAAATTTGTAAAATAGCAAAATAATACTATATAAAAATTATCTATTTAAACTGTTTTATTAATTAGTGCAATATATTTTTAGTTAGTAATTAATTTTTATTAATTTATTTTTATTTATTTATAAATATATGTCCAATATTAAATTATACATTCGTTATTTAATATGATACAATATCTATATTACTTGTTTTTTGAAATTATGGACAATTATGTTTAACTGAGTGTTTCTGTATTTCAAATATAATTCATAAAAGGATTAAACATTAAAAATTACTAATTTAAGTAATAATTACTTAATTACCATTAAGTTACTTATAATGTATATTATTAGTATTCAATGTGTATAACTTCTATTGTTTCATATTTATTAAAATACATTTAAGAAAAAAATTTATTTATCTAATTGCTTTATTAATTAAAAACTTAAAATTTATTATGTATTTTATCTACGTAGCATATAGCGTTGTTCTATAAAAGAATAAATAATTTACAAAAAATAAATTAATTGTTGAAAATAAACACACAATAAGTTTTAGTGTATAAAGTATAAATTCTTTACTTAATTATATTAATAAAATATTTTTTATTTATTTTCTTAAATTTAATAAAAACAATACATTAATATTACAATTTCATCAATTATAATACAAGTGACAAATTACTATAGCAATTACTAATAAAAGATTAATATATCTATTCATTTTGCATTAATTTGCAATAAATTTTGTATTTTTTCATTAAATGTTTTATCTTTATACGTAAATATATTTAAAAATGGAAAGACTCAACCACCTCGTCATTAAAATATCTTACCTTCGACTTCCTTTTATTCACATTTTTACCATTGTTGTAGTTCTTATCTTCATTGATTTAATGTTCACTAAGTTTTCCATTTTTTGAGGCGATACCAGTATAAAAAAGTAAGTATGAAGAAAAAAAATTAAAATAATGACAATAGAAAAGAACAAAATCTGCTCTCAAAGTCATTTCCAATGAATCAACTAGTTATAAACGATGGTCAACAGAATATACATAAGTCGTAGGCGGTAAACACGTCATTACTGAAGATTAGATCATCGTCCTTATCTAGCAAATATGTATATGCTGCTGTCACTATAGTCGCAAATAACGTTAACTCTTCAATACATCAGTCACCTGTATTTTTTTACTGAAATGTCACATATCGATTAAAAAATCCAGCACGAATGTATTCTTATTGTTATTAATTCTGGTTATGTTATTTCTTTATTTGATGTCAAAATGACTTACTAATTCATAAAGTACAATCACATGATGATATTTTATGTCTTTTTATCATTCTCCCTACCGATTCTGAGTGAAAAATTTAAAGCTAATTCTAATTAAAGGTGATATTAAAAATATATTTTAGTATTGTACTAAACTAAGGTCATAATAAGCGTAAGAGGACCCAATATAAAAATTGAAACTGATCTGTTAAACCGGATAAATTTTTGCAGTATATAACGAGAAACTCGTATCTATTAATTGAAGACATATTATACAATGTACAGAGAGGGAAACTAATTGCTGAATTATCGGACCTTGCTATTTATACCTATGTACCTCCGCGAGTCGAATATATCGTAGTAGCATTTATTCATAGATGGGTTAGATCAGAAAATAGTGTAAATTCCTAAATATCAATATTTGAGCATACAATTATTTCTAAATACTATTTGAAAAATTAATTTTTTTATACTAAAAATCAAACGAAATTGTAAAATTGTAAAACTTGCCGCTTTTTAAAAATTGTTATCAACTCCTTTAAATTAATATCAGTAATAGTTGTAACAGATGAAAGGATGAAGGATAATTGTCCAAAGTGTACTATTAACTTTACTTCTAATTAGTTTAAAAATTTACAAATAAATTATTATATATATAATTCATCGATATTTAAAATTCTTACTATACATAAATTATTGACATTACTTCTTACAAGTTATAGCTTATTTTCTAGTTCTTATTTTAGTAATGATATATATAAGCTTTTATCTAGTTAAAGACATGGTCAGTAATAATAAAAAAAATACATTTATAAAACACAGTATTTTTTTGCATTGAACATACAATAGTATCAGTAAATTCATAAGCAAACTTATAATGAGAAATCAATTTTTATTTATTACAAAGAATAAATTTTAATTCTTGATTTTTATTTATTTTTTACACTATAATTATTCTATAATTAATTCGATAATTAAATAATGATTCTATATTTAATTCAATTATATTGAGTTATCTATTATTATTATCTATTATTATTATCTATTCAGTTAAAATTCAATTCGTAATGTTTATACTTTAAGTAAAAATAAAATAAATTTATTTATAAGAAATAATTTTCTTAGGAATATAAAAAATATTTGTATTTATAAATGTTCATAAATATAAGAAAATGAAAAAAATAAGTATTCTGAAAGTAATAAATGATTAAAAAATCATAAAGTTTTTTCATTTTTGTTAGAATCAAAATAAAATACTAATTTTCAATGAATTAATTATGAATTTTAATTTATAGCAATTAGATTTTTTAAATAAATTATATATTAAATCTGCTCAATACTTTAAATTATTTTATAAAGAATTGATTTTATTATTTCATTATCTGAATTATTATAATATTTATCTTGTATATAATTGCTTTTTACATAATTTATAATGATTTAATTTTATTAATTTTTAAAGAAAGATCAGGAGTGATTAACCACCTATATAAACTCGAATCCACAGCTAGATCTAAAATAACTGATTTGTACTAATATTAATCGTTATATTATTTTTTATCAAGTTCTTCTCTCAATAACTGCTTCTTAATACACTTATATTTAATAACCCTCCTAAAAATTTATTATCAAAGGATTATTAAAACACCATTTGTTTTTATTGACTGTTTGAAAATGAAAATATTTTAATATTTTAAATATTTTTCAAGTTTCGAGTATATATATATATATATATTCATGTATGCGTAAGTTTCTTTAAAGTTCTTTAAATTAATTTAAAACGGTACAATTTATTGATCGCTATTTGATTTAATTCTTTTTGCTCTCTAATCTCTAAATGTGTAGAGCTCTGCTTATAATCAATAGTTTCATTATGATAGTCATTTATAAAACTGTTTTTTTGGACTATAATTATATATATACGGATTCATGTATTTTTAATTTTACTTAATTTTTAATCAAAATTGATAAACAAAAAAATTTATAATTCATATATTTAGTACAAATTTTTGTAACATATACATACAAAATATACGCGTAATATACGTGAAAGGGTTCAATTGTACATCTTCAAGTGTTCGAAAATCGTTTGAAGTAACTCTGTGTAGGTACTATAAGGTGATTTTAAATATACAATTCGGCCTTGTATATTTTTATTTTTCTACGAAATCCTACAACCCCCATCGATCATTGTAATATAACTTGACAAATAGTTGAATCGTGTGTATCCCGTTTTCTACATTTTTTATATATTTTATTTAATGTTCTAATCGAATTATCATTTTCGATTCAAATAGAAATAGCTGATATATTATTTTTCTTAAAAATAATTATAGTGTCTACTGTATTTTTAATTGAAGTATTTATTTAGCTAAGGGAAAAAAGATTTATTGAACAACTATTTTAAGCAATATCATTAAAATCATAGATTGATTTATTATTAGTGTATAAAGGTGTGGAAAACAAGTATATACATCACAAAAATTATACTACTAACTTTAAAAGAAAATCATTTAAATCAAATAAGAATAATGTAAATTTTTATAAAAGTATCTATTTATAAATAGATTGTATGAAAAAATTAAAAAAAATATATAGATGATTAGAATTTTGAAATTATATAATAAAAGATATTATGAATTTATAAATAAGAAAACTTCAATATGAATTGTTTATATCATAAAATGAAGACTCGATACAGCAGATTTAAGCACGAATTGGAAAGGATTAATGGGGCTGAAGGTAAATGGTTTAAACATTTTATAATCCTATCGAATTAGTATATTTCACCAATAATATGTATATATAGTAATGTGCATACTGTATTTCATAAAAAATAATATAAACTTAAATAATTAATAGCAGTTATTGTATGCAGCTATTATTTATACAATTTTTTATTAATCAAGATCATATTTCTTAGTTTGAATAGTATATTTAGCTTATTTTTTAGCTTATCCATTTTGGACTTGTTTGTATTTATGAGTAGTCATTGATGCCAGAAATGTCAAGACAATCAATTCTTAAATGATTTTTATATAATTAGTTTTATAATTGCTAAAGTTACATGTTTAACTCATTTATAGTATATACTCCATTATTATAGTTATAAAACTTAAAATGTAAAATAAAATTAAATATTAATTTCGATGGAATCACACATATATATACATTGACATTATTATTGAAATAAACAAAATTAGAATATTGGATAACAAACATCTAGTATTAAAACATTTAATTATTAAAATATCATATACCTCTTAATAACTGTCTGAATTTTATTATTTTATTATAATTCATACATTTTTATAGCAAATAAATATACTATAATTCAGAATATAAAATTTGAAATAAATTTCTTAGTTATTTCACAATAAATTCTATATTCAAAATTAAGAAAAATCATTTTGTAAGTTCATTCCAAATTTAAGAAAATATTGGAATATAGAAAATCATTATAAAACATATCAATAAATTGAATGCTATTACTATCAGACTCAGTTAAATGTCAAGAATAGTTATAATATATTAGTTTAACTACACCATATACATTTTTATTAAAAAGGCAAATAAATTTATAGTAACAATTTCTATAATTTTTGTCTGAGAATTCTTCGAAATAATATGCACAAGATATGTTAAATCATATTACTTATCTTATGTTATATGTTAAGATTATAAACTCACAATGTGAAATATATATAATTATCATATATAATTTATATTATATAATTTTTTCAATATTTAAATTTAAATAATTATTTTGCAGATAAAATTTTTTTATAAATTATATATAAATTTATTGTAAATTAACCAAAATAAAACATATTCAGATTAAAATTTTTATTTAAATATTATATAATTAAAAGAATAATGTATAACAATTCTTATAAATCGTAAATTTTTAGAAAAGTCAATGATAATTCTAAAAAATATTATACAGTTTTTACTATTTGTTATATATATATATATATATATATATATATTATATTTAATATTTTTAAAATATACTAATTAAAATTTCCGGCATCACGTAAAGTTAGAAAGATTTTTTTAAATTATTACAAAATATTTTCTGATATATTATTTTTTATTATTTTTTATAAATTATATATATTTTGAGTGAAATCTTTTATATTTTAATAAATTAATAAATCAATAATAAAATTTTTGATATTTGTTATTGATATTTAGAGCTCTATATTAAAATTGTTCAGATTTACGAGTCAATAAGTTAAACTGCAATTACACATTTGACAACATTGAAATTAATTAAATACAAATTGTTCAAGCACAGTGTTTGCATTATGTTAAGAATTTATAAAGAATTAAATTTAACATATTAATTAAGAAGGTTAAACAAAACGAAGTTTTTGATTTTCTGTAAATTTTGAATAACTCTTAAAAATAGATTTTATTATGGTTATATAATATATATACATATAATAATATTTAAAATAAATTAATAAATTTTTTTTAATAATATATCCTTATAATTATAATTGAAATATCTTGTAGAGATTTACATTTCTTTATACAATAAATTGAATACAATGAAACTTAATATTTGTCTTTATTATATTTAGTACTTAATATTAATATATTAAATAAGAAAATAATATCGAAATGAGATATGATAAATAAGCAACTACTTCATTATTAAATTAAATTTATTTGTCAACAATAGATAGTATAGTTTTATTTTTATAATAGTTTCAGAAAAAGTAATTCTATTTATTATTTTTATTAATTTTTTTATTCTTTTTCTCTTTGTTGTAAATTTCCCTGATAGTGGTAAAAATTAATACTTACTTTCTTAACAGATCCATTACAACGTTACTTATATTTTTTGGAATATATTTTTTTATTTATTTTTACAATAATAACCATCTTTTGTAGGTGTTAAATATACAGTCTCATTTATAAAATTTGTATCTTGCAGTTAATGCCTTTAATTTAATTTCACATAAAAAATTTTATCCAACTTAGGGCATTGTACAAGTTTTTAAGTTTCATCGTAATATATTTAATAATTTTTTATTTACAATTTATAATAATCACTAACTATATTGTCTTTCTTCTTATGCTATTATGTATAAAACTGACAAGTCAAAAACAAGTATTAAGTAAGTGTACAATTATTAATATTTTTAAACATATATCTGTAACTAAATAAAAAGATATATCTTTATGACAATTATTTAGAAATCACAATCAAATTTAATTAGTATAACTTATTAAGTAATTTAATACATTTTACCATAATTTATTAAAATTTTTGAAAACTAAAATAAAAATATGGGATTACATATTTTAACATTTCTTCTTATGTTCTTTTATATAAAAATACTTTAATGATACATAAAATATTTAATTTGTATATGTAAAAATCTTTTTTTTGTAACTGACTAATATATTATTTATCGTGATTTAATTAGAATAATTTGTTTAAAGTTAGTAGTTTTTTAAGTTTACCTTTAATAAAAAAAATTTCAATATGAAATTATCTCTGCATTGAATAAAATATATTTATTTTAATATATAATTTATTACAATTACTATTTATATTTAGATATATTTCATTATGAATTAATTTTTTTTATTTTCATTCAATTGATTACATTTCTGTAATAATCTAACCTTTTATAATTGGCAGATCCATATTCCGTATTAAATACGAAGTAAAATAAATTTTATAGAATATAAATAAAAAGGATAAAAAATTAAAAATATAAATTTTAAATTGAGTTTTCACCAATAAATATATTATATTTTAAGAAAATTTGATAAAATGTAGGTAAATTGATTTGACATGCAATTTTTTAATGATTGCTAGTTACATTTAAAAAGGTTATGGTTATAAAATTAACTGTTATTTTAAACATTATAAAATTATTAAAAAAATTAATCTACTTTTGCAAAAAGTAAATATTAGCAATCAACACCGTAATATTAAAATATCCAAAGAGAATGTATTCAACTAAAACTCCCAAGTATCGCATTGAAGAATCCGATTTAAAATGTAAAAATGGCTGTAATTATTACGGTAATGCTGCTTGGCAAGGGTATTGTAGTGTATGTCACAGATTGCAACAACGAGCTTTAGAAGAAGAGCGAGTTAACAATCTGATATTAACACATGAATGGTAATTATCTATATATATTTAAAGTTTTTAATATCTAATTTTTATTTTTAAAACTTACCATATGTTAAGGAAAAATTTACCTTTTATTATTTATATTATTTATAATTATATTGTATATCGAAACACTATCTTTATTTTTATAACTTATAATTGTGAATGATTGTTGTATTAAAAAAAAAAGCTTTATTACTTTAGTGAAAATATAAGTAATATTGAAAATGAACATCGTCGATTAGATAAAAGTAAGTCAAAAATGACAGCATTTTCTAGACTACGAAAATTACCAAACAAAGATCAGGAACCAAAAGTATTATTAAAAGAACCAAACACTTGTACATTATCTGACTTTCAAAATATTGAAAAAGATTCTACTGATCTACTTTGTATTATTAACAAAACCACTATTGGTAATGATGTTATAAAAAAAATAACTCATTTTTTAAATGAAATTATGGAATATAAAGATAGTAAAAGAATAGAAAAGTTATCTGATATAACTCAAACTTTTTATCAAAATTTCTCAAAATCAATGGAAGAAAATTCTATTTATAAAGGTAATTTTTAAAAAAAATTAATTTTCTTTATAGAAAATATATAACTAAATTATATCTAAATTTAAATATTAATATCGATATAGATGTATCAATAGATATTAAAGAAAAACTTCTTGATTATGTTGAAAAACATTCAATGACTTTATTATATAGCATTTTATTTTGCCCTCACTACACTAACGATGAAGAAAAAGATTTAGATATTCAAAAACGAATACGACAATTGAATTGGGTTAGTGGCAAAAACTTGGAATGTAAAATACATGAAACTAGTGTTGAAGTACGCGAATTAGTTTATACATCAATGATGGGTATGTATATATTAAATAAGCATACGTGTAATTATACAACTTTTATCATTTTGTGATAGATTTATTGAATATGGATGCAGCTAAAGCACCTCAAGAAAAACTGGCATGCATTATCCATTGTTGCAGTAATATATTTTTATTGTTACAACAATCTGTTGGTGGACCAGCATCTGCTGATGAATTCTTGCCAGCTTTAATATTTATAGTTCTTAAAGCAAATCCAGCAAGACTTAAAAGCAATATTAATTTTATAACAAGATTTTGTAATGCTAGTCGACTTATGACTGGAGAAGGTGGTTATTATTTTACAAATTTGGTAAGGTGTAGTGTTTAATTTAAATTCTAACTATATTAATAATTAATTATATACATAATAAATATACAAATATTTAATGTAGAAAAATTTTAGTTATAAATTTTTGATTCTATATATTCTTAATATTTATAATTATTTAAATATTTTAGTGTTGTGCTATATCATTTATTGAATGTTTAACTGCAGAGTCCTTAAATATGACTAAAAGCGATTTTAATGCATACATGTCTGGAGAACGTGTTCCAGCTAATACATGGGAATCAGCTCTTATGATTTGTGAAGTAAGTTTGTATATTAATTAAAATAAAATTTAAAATGCAAGATTTATCCTAATATATTACACATATTTGAAGAATTTACATCTAGTGTGTGAAAATATAACATTGTTACAAGAATTAAAAATTGAAAATAATGAAATACTACAACAAGCTATTGAATTAAAAGAGGATATAATCACATTTCATCATAGGATAACTGATAAGACAACTGCTGCTATTAAAAAATCTCCTTTAATTATTTCAAAAACTAAAAAAGTTCAAATGAATTTAGACTTGGACAATGAAGCATGTCTTAAATTACCTACACCATTAATCCCCAATGTAAATGAACAGTTTTTTCTTATACATATAACCATAATAATTTAAAAGAAAATAATAATTTATTATTAATTCTTTTTTGCAGATTTTCAGCCAATATACAAGTCAAATTGATTATAATTCCTTGACAAACCAGCACAATTTAAATCCTGTTTCAAAAAAAGAATATTCCACTCCTTCGCCAACATTTGATTTTAGCCTATTTGAAGATAATTATAAATTAGAATCTGTAAAGGGAGATGATAATACAAGCCTTATTAGTTTAGATCTACACAGTAATAGTATAAATAATGAATTTCAAATACCTGAAGAGACTGCATCAATTAATTTATTAGATGATTTACAAAATAACAGTGAAAATTTACCTTCGCCACTCAAGCCCTCAACTTCAATGCAACAAGATTATCATGGTTTTTCCATTCAAGGTTCAACTATTCCTATCATTCCTTGTAATACTGGTGATTTATTATTTAATTCAAATTCAGAAGAAATTTCTAATAATTATCCTAACTATTGTCAAAATAATTAATAATTTTCAAAACTTGTTTAAGCAAATACAGCTTATTAAATTATTAAATAACAAGTCAGATTATATGCAATAGAAATGAATAAAATGAAATAGATTTCTAAAAGTGTATATTTATTTATAGTATGTGTAAATTATGTACATAAATATATTTAATTATAATCTAATGAATATTTTATTATAATTATAATGAATAAAAGTATATATGTAATAATTACAAGGCAATATTTTATTTTAAACTTAAAATACTAAAATAATGTATCAAAATATAATACAGCAATACTATGTACTTTAAAAAATAGTTCTTTGGATTTGTAAAAATAAATTTTTTGAGCTTTTATATCTATATTTTTATATTTATATAAAAATTTCTTAGTAAATTAAGAATTAAATTAATTTATAATTAGTTATGAAATTATACTTTAATGTAGTTCTTGTAATTTATTTTGAGCACTAAAATAATTTAATACAATTTTATTTTGTAAAATAAATACAAATATTCAAGCTCAATGATAATTTAAAGTTTTTTTTAAATACATTACATAATATATATTTTGGAATGTTATTAATACATAACAAAAATATAAATTTTATTGTTAATCCACATATTGATTATAAATAACGCTATAATCATATTTAGTAGATACATTTTTCTATATTTACTTACATTAAATGTTATTTTGTAAATTTATTATAACGAATATTTATATCTACCCTGTAATTAAAATTGCTTATTTAGCATCATCAAATTGCTTTTAAGGCTAGAAATGCAAAATACAATATAAATAATTCTTATTAAGAAAGATTTTCAAATACAAATAATTCAATATTTAAGCAACAAATAATTATATTAATAAATAATAATATTAAATATTATTTTTGTATAAACTTCAATAGTTTATTTCAACAGTTAAGAGCAAATGTTACCAAATTTTTGAATTGCCTTAAATATCTGTAATCAATAGTAAATTATAAAAAGAAAGTACACAGTAAACTATGTACGTATTTGATTTATGTTGAAATAAAAATGAATAAAATTGATAATTTATACAAAATGTACATATATATTATTATGTAAATTAAAGCAACAAATATTCATAATAAAATTAATGATTTTCCTTGTATTTGAATGACACAATATTAATTTTAAATTATACTTTATAGAATTAATAAATTTTTGTTTATTATAAATTGAAGTTATTTGTTTGTAATTAGTATAAGAAAAATATTAAAAAATAGTTAATATAATAGAGTAAGTAAGTAAACTTATTAAATGTATTCATTATGTAGATTAGAAATTAGGTTAATAAACTACGATTGATCAGATTTGTTTTGAAAATATGCAAATAATAACATATAAGTACTTTAATTTATTTAAACAAAAATATTAATTTTATGACATAAGTATTGATTATAAAAATTAATCATAATACTTAAAGCGAATAAAATGTATTTTAATATGAGAATATTAAATAACTAATAGAGAACTTATTTAATATTTAATATATAAATGTCCTTTTAATAAAAAATGTCTATCTTTTAAATCAGCCACTAAATAAATTTTAAATACAATATTATTTGTACAATACAAATATGAATTCATTTGTATCAAATAATTATATTGTAAATATTTTTAAAAATATTTTAAACAAGTTATTATTAAAGGTAGGATTATATTAGTAAAAAAATTAAATAGTTAATATATACATATTATAATTGTAATAATTAATTTCTTATATTAAAGTAAAATTTTCTATTCAATAATTTTTAGAATCCACCATTCTTTAAAATTAAAAATCATTATCTAGTACTACAGATTTAATTATGAGAAGCCTTTTTGCCACTCATATAATCAATCCATCGCTCAGAAGTTGTACCAAAAATTGGGTCATTATCAATAGTGTTCAGTAGAAGAAGTTGATTAACATGTGTTGAGTGATAATCCCAACGAGCTAAATTTGGGGCTATTTTCAATGTAAAATGACGAAGATCATAAGTTGTTCCTGATCCAGTATCAAATAGTGTTAACATATTTTTTAAAGAATTCATACCTTGGTCAAATAATTTTTTAGCTTCTTCTGCATCCTTACCTGATGCTATACTTTTTAGGTCATACAGACCAATAAGTGAATATATGAAACCATTAAGAATAAACGATGAAGGTGTTGTAGGATATTCTTCGTACCACACATATTTATCTAAGAAATATGTTAATATACCACCATTATTTGATAATATTCTAAATGGTCGTAAAGCTCTGACGGCGGTTTGTAAATACTTTTCATCACCTGAATGATAATAAGCACGAGATAATACAGAAATTGCATGTCCCTGACCCATACTAGAATACCTAAAAATAATAATAAAATAATTCTCTAGCAGTTAACTGAAAATCATAAAATTTAACAAATTTAACATTATTCGTTTCTCTTTCATTACATTTATAATGTTTTTGTTAATTAAAATATTTTTATTAAAATAATTTTGTAGCCAAACAAAAACAATCGAAAGGAAGAATATAAATAATTTTGATTTATATTCTTTTATTTAAATAAAAGATTTTTTAATATTAATTATTTAAATGATTCATTATAAAATTAAATTACGTATAATATACAATATAATAATTTATATTTAGATAAAAACTATAAATCCAATTACTCAAATATTTTTTTAATTATTAAAAAAATAAGATATTTCATTTTATTATAAACAATTACGAATGTAACATTCAATGATAATGATATTTATATTGTTTTTTAAATATATTTCATCATACCATCCAGGTTCAAGAATAGCCATTCCATTAGCAACTTTTCTTTTAACAGGATTAGACCATCCACCAGAAGTAATATTTTGATTAGCAACGAACCAGCGAGCTGCATCATAAAATTGTTCCATATGTTCACTTGTTGCTAATGTTATATTATCAATCATTCCTAAACCATTTAAAATAACTCTAACAACTTTTAATTTAGATTTCGATAATTTTTTTTTTGCTTTATTAATGAGGTTAAGGCCTTTTTGTAAGTCAATTAGTAAATCCCTAGTTAAGCGTTTCCAATGATTATAAGCTTGTCCTATCCCATAGTAGATGTGATTATTGTATGCATGTAATACTAGATTATTAGTAACATAATGCAGATAATATATATCTTTTTTTTCTCTTATTTCTAATTCGATAGTAATGCTACCATTGTTTCGAATACATAGATCTAGCTTTAGCATTAATTTTGATACATGATCTATTTTTATAGAAATTCCAGAAGAACTACTTTCTGGAGTTGCATATTTCATTACATAACTATTTACTTGCTCGTCATAAATTCGACTCATTATACAACCTTGTGGTACAGTCCAGTCTTGTTTTACTTTATCTGCATCTTCAATAATTTTTGTGACAGATTCTGGTTCTGTTAAATTTTTACTGTAATGAGATAAACCAAACTGAGCAATTTGGGTTGGATAATAATAACCTTGACTTTCCCATTGTGTTGATATTGGTATGCCATCCACACCACTTATGCATTTTACTCTTTCTCTCACTTCAACATTATAATTTTCAAAAGTCATAAATACTCCTCTAGAATCATATTTTACTTTTCTATCTGTAATTTTAGAATAACTGTGATACCAATCAAAACGTTCCAGTCCATCATTTATCACTATTTTTCCATATATCTAATTAGAAATATTCTATTATATAATATAACATAATGTATTACATAAAAAATTAAAAATATTTATTAGTAAAATTTTTACCTCAAAATATTTATGTATAAAAGAGAATGGAATAAAAACTTCATTTCCTTCTTTACGACAAGTAATTATTTTTCTTCCATTGATTAAACAATCAATTTCTTGATAATCGGGGTCATTGTTCAAATGTTCCTAAAAAAAGTTTATTTTATATATATCTATTTTACACATATTTGGTTATATTCTTAAATAATTATAAACTTATAAATAAAAAAAATATAAGCTAAAATAAAATTAGATCATACTTTATGCCGGAACTGAGATTCCCAATCTCTATTCCTAATAAAAAATGAGCTACTGCAATTATTCCATGATGTAAATACGGAACTTAAAATCCCAACAATTACTAATAATACAAATGTTTTAAAATTAATTCTCATCATCATATACAACCTATTTATGAAAACAAAATTATACTTATTTCATTTATGAAAATAGCTTATATTAGTGTAGTAATAAAAATACGAATTCATACATGATTATTTTATGTTAAATTTCTAATTTATTCTAAAGCCTCCATGAAATTTAAATAAAATATATAGCTCCAAAATTCAAACCTTTATTCATTTAGATGAATTTATTGTTTAATTCAATTAACCTGGAATAATTAATTAAATTGTATGCTGGTTTATCCTTAGTATTTAACGATGTATAAGTCTAAAAAATTACCATGATACAAGAAAAATAGTTAGTAGCCAAAATTTTTTAATAGAAAATTCTGAGCAAATATAATTTCCATTTCCAAAAATTTATGTCGTTCAACACTCAAAACATTCATCATATATTCGAATTTGCTACTAATCGTCTGCTACGAACTCACACAATCCATACCATATGAACTATAAAACTTAGAGATTCTCAATAACATTTCATGTCATTAGGAAACGACTACGTTGTAATTTATTCAAACTTATACAGAAATCAATTTTCTCGTAGAGGGCGCGACTAATATTATTATTTAAAAGGTGTTCTTTATTTTGTTGAAAATTAATTGATTTTAACATTAAAATATATTCATTATAAAATATTTTATTTTTTGTATTTACTTATTAATTTAAATACTCATTGTAAATATTGGCACTGCTTTTATTAATACTCGGGGAGTTTACACAGTTAGTATGGGCACAATTTTGTTCAAATTTAAAATATTGTAATCTATTTGTTCTATTCTAAGATAACCATTTTAAAAAATAATATTGGTGACTAAAAATTGATTTCATATAGAATATTGATATTATAAACAGTTTTTAAAAGCTTATAAATGTAAAATTTTTAAGTATATCAGTTTATAATTATAAATAATTATAAATAATCTATACTATCAAATACTGAATATTCCGTTTTGTTTGAAAAATTGTTACAAATTTTGTTGATGTTTGTATGAAAACATATAATTTTAATTTGAAAACTTGTGACAATAAAAAATACAAATTTAATATAGTTTCGTAATCGATAGCTTTATAATATTTTGCCGCCCGCCTTAGTGGATGCTCAGGAACGACTTAAGTGAAAGGGCTGTAGAAATACTGCGTGCGCTTCTTCATTTAATATGGTTTATCATAGTTTATTTACCATTACATTATTGATGTGTTGGATTTATGTGATGGAAGAGTATATACTACGTTCAATCACAACAATGCAGTTGCTTGGAACTGATCCTGTGATAAATGATTCACCACCACGAATACTCTTTGTTGATGGTGATGAATTGTTGCTGATTTTGCAAAGATCAGTTATGAATTGTGTCGACTGCTTGATTGGAGTTTGTCTTGTTATGTTTTTGTAGTCTGGCTTTTCTTCATAAGAAGAAGATAGTATCAATAGCTTTAATTTTGCATCCCTCTTACTGGCTTGTTCCAAGACGGCCCTGCTAAGGCAGAGCGAAACGGTTTCCCGAAAGCGCAGAGTATTTCCGAAAAATAATAACGGTTGGAGTTTTTTTCAGAAATGATATTCGAAAGATTCTCGGAATCTCGAACATCTCATTTTTTAAGGAATTTCTTTTAAGAAAAATAAGATTTCATTTAATCTAATTGCATTAATTATATCATTAAAATGACACGATCTTGCCATTCTTTAGCCACCTTCTTGCCACGCGGTATTAGCATGCACAACATGTGGAGGTGGGAGGTCATAAATCTCGGGATCCTCTTGACGTAGTGTGCTTGGTGGTAGATTACTACTCTGAAAAATGTGAGGCCGTAAATCTCTGGACATCTCTTAGTCTAGAGCCACGTGATGGTCACCTGATTGCTGGCCTCCTCCTTGATGTCATGTGGTGCAAGAAATGGCTTGATACCTTGGTATGGCGTTTGCTTGCACCGACTCGTGGAAATGAACACTTGCTGATTTCTCCTTGCAACCGTTTCGTGCTCTCGGGCACTATGCGTAAGGGTCAGAGTCAGTATTTACTTGTGAAAATTGTTACTATCTCACTTGAATATTTCTCGAACTGAATTATACGTTATCATGACACCGCTGATGTATTCTACCAACACCTTTTCCAACCCTGCCGGTTATCTAGTTGAATACGTACACAAAACTGAAAGCGTGTTCCTTCCGTGGCAGTCCTGCTAAGGGAGAGAAAGAGATTCTCTCGTAGTGATTGCTTAAATACGCACGCGGCAGCCTAGTTAGTGGTGACAACAATAGATGCAATTGTGCACTTTTTTCGGATGTAACGGCTTTTTTTCTGGATGTCCAACGACAGTTGGGGTTTTCCCAGAAATTGTAAAGGTTGGGATTTTCCCAAAAATGATAACATTCGAGAGATTCTCGGACTTTCGAACAAACATAGTATAGACACACTTCTTAATGCGAAGTGTCATCTTTACAAGATCTTTACAAGATCAGCAAATACAACTATTGAATATATTATAGACACACTCCTCTAAGAAGAAAATCCAATCCATCAATAATGTAATTGTCAATAAACTATAATAAACCATTTTGAAACGAAGTATACACACGTTGTATATCTTTACAGCCCTTCCCCTTAAGTTTAATTTAATGAACTATCGAACACTTATAATATATATTTATACTCAAACATTTATTGAATATATTGATTCTTTAAATTCTAAAACATTATTGTTTACTATTTTTATTAATTATATTTATTAATTATATATATTTATTATATCCATATATTATATCAATATTAAAATATCCTTAAAAATCTTATGTGAAGAATTTAATAAAAAATATTGAATAATGTAATAAAATTTAATAAAATTATCTATTTATAGATAAACAATTTTTAAATTTATATAATATATACAAATCATTCAAAAAGAAATAATAAACTTTCTTTGAAAAGTTAACTAAACTATAGGTTATAATAGAAAAAAATATAATATTAATGAGGAGAATATTGAGGAATAGAAAAATCAAAGTAAAAATGCAGATTAAGATGTAAAGGTTTGCCGATAATAATTAGAAGAGTGAAATTATAAAAACTTGTTAATCAAGGTCAGAAATATGGTATAACTGGAAGTAAAGGAAATGCAAACCACAGCAAGAACTAAATATAATAAATAAAAAAAGTAATAAAATAAAGATCGAAATGATTACAATAAATAATTATACATATTTTTTTAATTCAAACAGTGCAATTACACCATGTCAATCGTGTTAACGGTTTCAGTTAAACACGCGATAATAATGCATTGATATCAGAGTACACTACCGTAATAAAAAATTAAATGTGATATATGTAAATTATTTTTTTCATTAATTTACATTTTTTATTTCTTAAAATAGTTTTTATAACACTATTCGTATAATTAGCAGTCGTTTGAATTTTTAGGCCTACAGTATCAAGATTAAAAGCAATTATTGTATCAAATCGTCTCATATAGTATAAGTATAGAATAAGTTTGATGTTTCATAGCCTTGAATAAATATTAAACAATCCTTTATTTATAAAATATTTTGTACATTCATTGTAATATATCTGTGTTCACCCTTTTGCACAAAGTAATTTGTTTACTTTTTTACAAAAAATTTTATTTTCAATTTATTTATATTTATTTAATTTTTATTTCCTAATTAAAATTGTTTAATATGATTCTATATTTTCTGTTACAAATATTTTAATTAAATAATTAAAAAGAATAATTACTGAATTTCTTACATTAGCTGTTGCAATTGTGTATAAATAATAGGATGAATTCAAATTAATAAAAAATAATCAAAAAGAATTTAAAATGATTAGTATAAATCTAAAAAAATTAAACTGATTGATAAATTAAGTAATTGATAAGTTAAAACTGCTTAAGGAATTTATGAATAGATTTAATATGGTATACAGCATTTATTTATATATTAAAATTTCAGGATCTAATGCTCACAAATTAAAAACTAATATCAAAGACTGTACTCTGCGAATTTGTTAGAATGATAGATAAAATCATTATCAATCAAGAAATTAACACAATACAACAAATTTGTAAAATTGAGATAGATACAAATACAAAAAATATATATTTGAAAAAAAAATGCAATAAAATTTACCATAAAAATTGCAGATACTTGATAGTAGATAAATAAAATACAGGAAAAAAATTGGAAAGATGGAAAAGTACAATATTAATAATACAAAACGAATATTTGCATAATATTTTATATTATTAAATATATTTTTATTACATATTATAAATTTTCATCTTTATAAATTATTAATCAATTTAATGTAATATATACTCAATTTTTATTAATTAATCCCAAAATGACAAAATACATATATTTATAAGTAATATAGATTTTTTAATTAAATATATATTTTTTATTAATTTCTAATTTAATAATCTAGATTCAAATATAATTTTACAATGTAAATTTAATTACAAAATCTTTCCTTAATTTTAAAATATCATTTTACAGGAAGATTTATATTGTATAAAAAATTACAAATATAAACATTACATATTTTATGGTGATAATAATGTAGCAAATATGAAATTATTAATTCTTTAATAAAGATTTTTTTAGAGGGGAAGTAATATTAAAATATTAAATCTATTTTAAAATACATTAAATTACATGTTTGATTCAGAAAAAATTGCTTCTGTTACTCACTATCATTCAATTCATATATTATTTCTAGTATTTTGTTTACTATTTATACATTTCGCAAGTGTACATGTAAACAAATACATAACTATTATTTAAATTACATTAGAAATTACAAAATCTATTAAAATTTTATTGATTCTATAAATTCTATTTTATACCCAATATTTATTTGATATACTAAAATATATTAATTATAGTCATTTAAATTCATCAACCAGATTTGATTTTATTTGTAGTTCATTATTAATGTTTAAATAGAAATAAATAATATTAATTTATGAAAAAACAGCAAGGGGTGTTTTATATTATTTAAAATGTACTTACAATGTATACAAATATTACCACATACATAAGTTTTAAAAATATTTTATATTTTAAGTAGTTATATACATTTTTATTGTCAATTTAATATTGTATGCACTATTACCTGACGTAGCGTAAATTCCTAAATAGTAATTAAAATCTTTAAGTATTTTTAATAAAATGTTTATTAATTATTTTATTATTTATATATAATTTTTACCTGTAATATTTCGTTTTCAAAATGTTCTATATATTGTTTCATCCAAATTGCATTGTCTTTTTGTTTTATTAAAATAGTTTTCGATTCATCTTCTAATACTTTTTTTTTTTGTATTAAATTAGCTTTAATTTCTTCCAAAAGATTTTTTTGTAAGTAAAATTCTCTATAAAATATAAAATTTTTTTTAAGAAATGTATGCCTGTTTTGATATAAAAACACACATGTTATAATAAACTTTTTAATTTTATATTATTAACATATTCGTAATAGATGTAAATATAAGTACTAAATGAAATAGCACCTTTCTATACTTATACAATGAGTATTCAATTCAAACAATAGTTGGTCACATATTTTTACATCTTTAGTATTTAAAACAGCTGCTGAATTATTTATTTCTATTTTTGTCCATTTTGATATATCTACTTTTAATAAATCCAATTCTTTTTTTACACATGATAGTTTCTCTGAAGTCTCTCTACAACATTGAATTAAATATGAATACTTATGGTTATTTTATTATGAATTTCAAAAAATTTATTATTATTTACTTTAATTGTTTACATATTTCATTTGTATTAATTAAAATTTTATCATTAAGATTTTTCACTAATTCTTGAGCATATTCATTGTTTTTAATTTGTAACTTTTTACGTGTAATAGAATCATTTAGAACTTGTCTTTCTTCTATTTTTAATTCAAGAACTTTTTTTAATTCTGTTGATCGAGCTGCATATTCTTCTGGAGATTTCACAATTTTAGATTGTAATTCTTTTGTAACTTTATGTAACTTAATAAAAACGTGAACTGAATTATTATTTTTATTACATTAAATATCTAATAATGTATGATATATATAGTTTTATTGAATACATTTATTGCAATACCTTTATAGCATTCCTTTTAAGATCATTACATTTTTTATAAGCATCTTGATATTGTATTATGACTCCTGTAACTTGATATTCTAATTCCTTACATTTTTTACTATTGTCATCAATGCGTAAACTAATTTTTTTTATTTCTTGCTGTAACTAGAATATGCAATGTTAAAATTATGTACATATAGTTAAAAATCAATAAATATTGAAAAAATATATATATAATTTAATCAATAAATTTGAGATAATTATACCTCTTGTTTTATTTCCATTTTATTCTCTCTACTATTTAATATTGCTCCTATTTTTGCAATTATAGAATCTTTTTTAATAATCATTGTTTCCATAGATTTTTGTTGATTATCAAGTTCTATGAATGCCATTTCATTTTCAACCATCTTATTTCTAACATATGCAAAAAAATTAAATAAAATCTTGATTTGCTTACGTGCTCTTTTAGGACCTATAAAAGTTATGAATTATGAAATTATATAATAGATTTTAAATATAGAAAGTTGTTATTATCACAATATTTTTATTGATTAATCATTACCTGGACTTGTTATATCAGTAAGACATAAATCTTTCAAAAAAATTTCATTGCATACAGTTGATAAAGATGAATATAAATTTATAACTCTAATAGCATCGGATGCAGAATCAATACAAGAAACACAATGGAGCTGCTCCATTGTTGACTTAAAAATAATTAATTATAATATAATTATAAAATTAATAAATATCGCTATATTTACAAATTTTACCTTAGATATTTCATGTCCATCAAAATGAAATTTATTTAAATATTCTATTATAAGATAAATCATGAAATCTTCTGTAGGATTTTGAAGATTTTTCATATCAACTTGTATGCCTGCTTCTTGCAGAACACTTTGAAGATTTTCTGGCTCCATTTTATATTTCTATACATACACAAAGCTTCTAAACTTTATTTGAAAAAACATTCAAAATATTAGTGTCATTTATCAAAAAATACTTATATACATTGATTTTACAAACTTATTTTAACTTAAATGTAAATATTTTGTAATGATTAAGAAAATCAATTTAAAATTATATGTACATAATAAATATATGTAAAAAATTTATCTTTAATCAATTAAAATATTGTAAAAATATGTTTATAATAATGCAAAATTGTGAAATTTTACAAGGTTTCTAATAAGTGCTAATAAAAGCAATACATTACTTTTTTCAAATTTATTAAAAGATTCAGTTATTCATAAAGGCTCATTAGTTCCATCTAGATACAAACTTGTGTATATGAAAATTTGAATTATTTTAACGATATTGGGTTAGACAAGCATTCGTAAAAAAATTGTATTGCATATTTTTTATCTAGATAACCTAAAAAAAAACACATGTCTTGTCGCTAATCTCTAACCATACTTTGAATTTTTAACAATTATAGCCTAAACCGGTAATTAATAAGATAAATAAAATAATTAGTAAAACAATGAATAAGATAGATCATAGCAAGTAGCGTTAATTTTTTTATGATTGTATATTAATTCATATATGTATGCTTATTAATTTCTTATCTTGTTATTAACCTAAATTAAATAATCAAAAATGTTTGATTATAAATAAGAATATATATCTTAAAAATGGTTTTACTGTAACGTAGAGAACTTTTTCAAATAAGAAATTAAAGGTTGCAATAAAAGTAGCTAAATTATTACATACTATTTATGATTTGCGATCTATTTATCAATGGATGCATCTAGATCAAACAAAACATCAGATTATCATTGTCTAAAATTTTAGACAAAGTGATTTGTGAATAATTTATGAAGTACATATGTCAATAAGCAAATTAAAAAAACTAATTATTGCTAGCCACTGAATTTGTATAAAGAAAAAGTAAACTTTACAATTTAATGTAGATTATGATATTGTTAAGGCAAAGAAGGGAAGTAAATACCAACATTTTAATTAAAATTGAACTACATGAGAGTGGGTTATCAAATTGCAGAATTGACAATGTAGTTGAGATAATCAATGAGATGAGAAAATTTTGTTTTCTATAAATAAAAATGTAAATATATAAATTTCTAAAAAATAAATTAAAATTATATTTTATTTAATAAAACATTTCATTTTAAAAACCTTATTCGGTGGTTTTCACGTATTTTTGCGAAAAATTACATTTAATTACTTTCAACTGTTGCTTTAGATTTGATTAATTTGATTAATACATCACTGAAAAAAAATACCATATAGCAAACGATTTTACTCGCAATGTCAGAGAATAAAATGAAATGCATAATTAACTAACATATCTTGATGTTGCATGTATAAAATCAATATATTTTTTTAATTTATTTATGTGTAAATGTTTACAAAAATCTATAAATGTGTTGCTATATGAGTGAGACAAACACTATTAAAAGAACACAACCACATTTAAAATACTTATAAAAGCAACCACTATAAAAAAAACTGTAAATAATAATACCAATAAGCAACTAAACAATGAAGTTGATTTCACAAAAAAATATAAATTAAGAATTAATCTGCATAAATTATTAAATACAAGAAGTTGTGCCAGATTCACCAATAAGTTAAGAATTTACTATTCATTATATTTAAGCACTGTGGCCTATGTCGCAATTTTATTAATTAACAAAAATTACTGACATCAAATGATTTGTGATTATATCATTAAAAATAATTGTAACAAATCAACAGAGCTAATAGATTAAGTCATATGAACAAATTAAAAGAGTAAAGGATTCAAACAAAATCACAATAGAATTAAGTTGAGAAAAATAAGATTGTTTTTTTAAACATTTTTATCTCACTTTTGTGTATATGGTGCCTAAGGTATCGTTAAATATTTCTAAATGAAGACTCAAAAATCTTCATTTCTGATAATATTCAAATTCATAGGTATTATTTATAAAACATTTATTATAGCTATTCTATTTTTTTTTCAAATAAAAAATTTATACATGAATTGATAAAAAGAAATGGCACATCTGTATTTAGTTACTAAACTGTTAAGCTGATCAAATTTTTAAACTTATTCAAGATAAGATGGAAATAATTTATATACTTCTGAATAAATGCTTAAGTACTCTAAAAAATTTAATATTTCAGAAGTTGTTAGTGTGCCGTACAAATTGTATGTTCATAACCCATGAAATACAGTTTATTTCAGTTATAAGTGTAAGTTTATTACAGTTTATAAGTGATCTTTAAATTTTTTACTATAAATCTATGAATAATAATACTATGAATCTATGTTTTAATTATAAACCATCACCATCATAGACAAAATTACTTTTTTGATTTTTTGAATTATTAGTCTTAATATTAATTTCTCTGTTCATATTTGTTTACAAATGATCAATGTAAGAATAAACATATTGATTATTTATCATACAATTAAGAGAAAAGTAATTTTTAAAGATCTATGAATATAATTATGATTAAAAATTATTAATTATATTAACTATGAATGAGTATATCATAGTAATAAACTTACAATAATAATTTGGTAACTTTTCATCACATTACTATTGCTTGACAAATACAAATTCATAGTATGCTTATGAAATTTAAAATTTTACTTTAAAGAATTATATATATACATTGATAAAATTTATTATTAAAGCAGTAATTGTATATTAACAATTAAGTGGTTCTGTTACAAAATTAATAGAACAACAAAAGCTTTATTCTATATTGTCATTTTAAAAATTGTACCAAAATATTGTTTGATAATAATACAATTATAGAATAAGCAAGTTATTTAATCATTAAATTAAATAATGGTATTAAATTACAATAAGCTTTTGTAAATAATCTAACAGCTTGATATCAAATTAGTCCATCACTTGTTATGACTTGTAAAAATAATTGTCCACTATATTTTTCAATCAAATATATTTTATAATTTTATGGATTATTTATTTATATCTTTCAGAAATTATTAATTTTATTAATTATTTGTCGTTTTGGAGATTTATTATTTTTATTACAAGTATAAATGAATAAAATAAGATAAATTTAATTTCTAAGTAATTAATAAATTACTACTCAATTTATTATAACTTTAAGATAAATTTTATTTTCCAACGATTATATACATTTTATTTTTGTATACATTTTACAAAAATTACAAACTGTTTATTAATATATCATTTGTTCGATTTTAATCTGATTTTATACTACTTTATTAACTTATTAAGTATAGTATAATTTAAACATTTGAAATATTATATACACAGTTATTAAGAAATGAGTATATTCTATTTATTCAAAATTTAGAAAAATTAAAATTTTTGTATCTGTTAAATTTTATTTATAGAATAACTAATCATTTGTATTTACATATACAAATCTTTTAAAAATTTTTTATAAATGGATCATTTATGAAATCATTATAAAGCAGTATCGAAATATTAAATATTTTTTTAGCAATGAGATCTACATAATTTTTAAATTATATATATTTGTATACAGTTTTAAAAACTATATTTGTATCAAATTTATTAATCTATTTACTTTTTATATAATTAATTTTTTATTTAAAAAATTTACAAAAAATAAAAACCTATTGTTTAAGAAAGCAATTAAAATTTTATATTAAACGATAAAAAAATTGTATAAAATTTTTTTTTAATTTTACCGATATCATCAAATCACATTACCAAATACACTAAAATTATATCCTTATTAATGTTACATATTGTACACATAATTACATTCCATTATATGCTGGACCACCTCCTCCTTCAGGTACTACCCAATTAATATTTTGGCTAGGATCTTTTATATCACAGGTTTTGCAATGAATACAATTTTGCGCATTGATTTGTAACTTTTTTCCATTGCCATCTTTTAAAGGTACAAACTCATAAACTCCTAAAAAATATTTATATAAATTAGAAATAAAATTAAAAATAAGATATTTCAATTTAAGTTTTTTGTTTTCATATGTAAGAATTATAATTTCATTAGAATTATAATTATATCTGTTCAAATTGATTGCATAATTTTCTCATTTTAAATAGTGAATATTACTTTCAAATACTTTCATTTACCAGCTGGGCAAAACTTTTCTTCTGGACCTGCAAATTTAGATAAATTTTTCTCAACAGGTATAGTGTCATTCATAAGTGTAAGATGTGGTGGTTGGTCTGCTTCATGATTTGTACCAGTCAAGGCTACAGATGAGAGCAAATCAAAAGAAATGATATTATCAGGCTTTGGGTATTTTATTGGTGTACATTCAACTGCAGGTTTTAGTGTCTTATAATCTGGTTCTGTGTTATAAGTTAGAAAAAAAAATTTATTCAAATTTTATTATTATATTATAATATTAAAAATAAAATTATCCTAATTTTATTTACTTGTAAAGTTCTGAATATGTAATATTAAAACAATAATAATATTTATTTACTATTCTGCTTTACCTCCATGTGACAGTGTCCAAGGTTCTCGGCCACCTAAGATCATAGAAAATCCAGAGTATATAATACCGCCATATAAGCCTAGTGGCGTATGAAAACTTGGTCTAAAATTCCTAACGGCTTTCAGTTCTTTGTAAATCCAACTGTTTCTAATTTTATTAGAATATGATTTTGGTTCTAAACCTTGAGTTTTTGATGGTATTGTTTCGGCTTCGATAATAGCCTCAATTATACTTTCAGCAGCTAGCATTCCACTTTTCATTGCATTATGAGTACCTTTAATTTTTGGAACATTTAGAAAACCAGCTGAGCATCCAATTAAACAACCACCAGGAAATTGTAACTTTGGAATGGATTGAAAGCCTCCTTCTACCAGAGCTCTTGCACCATAAGCTATTCTATTATATTATTTATTAAAATTGATAATATTATTTTAAAGTTAACATTAATAGTCAATAATAATATTATTAATAAATTAAATTGTTTAATTCATGTTAATATCATTAACTGATGCACAAAATTTAAAATTAAAAAATAAGTAGATTTGATTATATATATAAACAATGTTCAATTCTCATTTTGTTTTGTGCTTAAATAACTTAATAGGGTTATATTGCAAAAGAGCAAAGAATAAATAAATACTCCTTTTATGTAAATATTAAATCATATAAATATATATAAGCTAAGTGATATCATTTAAATCTATATACAATGTCTAGTTTATTTCTCCAAACCATGATTATTTTATTAAATAAAAAAAAAGTATTATTACAAGAGTTAGTTTAATTATTTATACATCGTTGATATTGACAGCACTGAACTTGGATGTGTGCATTGCAATAAGAGAAAATAAAGAGGAGCATAAATTTTATTAAACTAAACAAGAATAAAATAATGGAAAGGTAAGAAAAATCCATTAGAATTAACTCTAAAAGAGTGGTGACATATTATATTTATATTTTTGCTAATAGCATAATGCATATCTATTCAATTAATGTATAATTAGTGTATTTAATTGGTATTCAACATGTTCAAACAGGTCAACTATTATTTAACTTTTTGCCAAAGAAAATAGAAAGTATTAATATCCTAATTATTATTATTAGCATTACTGATTATATATGTTGTTGCAGTAAATTCATGAATATAAAGTATAAATTTCATTTAAATTTAATTTGAACATATATCAAACATAACATTTTTTAAATGGTAATATTCTAATGTCATTATTTATGTGTATGTGTTGAAATATATGTATTTATAAAAGCTAAAAATTTTAAATATCTATTATGTGTGCAATAAAATTTAATGCTTATTGTATATTTATATTTTATTTTAATATATATCACAATATAATATATTGTTAAATATATTAAAAATTGCATTATTAAATTTTAATTTAATAGAACAAAATTTATATTATATAGATTTATTTTAATATATTGCAAGATACATATATAATATAAAAATTTATTTGATATACCTTTGACCTCCTTCTAGAGTTAGTTTAATAGATGGATGGTGCTTAAACCTTTGAAATTCTCTAAAAGGATTCAAATATGGGTTTGTATAGTCTAAGCCTATCACAAAACCAATTGCTATCAAAGGAACTTCATTAAGATGATATAAGAAAGATCCACCATATGTATTTTTATTCAAAGGCCAACCAACTGTATGTTCAACTTTACCAGGGGAATGCATAGATTTTTCAATTTCCCAAATCTATAAAATAAAAAGAATAAAATTGTATAAAATATGATTTAATTATTATCATTTATTTATAAATGTTGAGTTGATTGAATATTACTGATTTCAATTATTAATATTGAATATATAGTATGAAGCAAAGTAATTAAAAAAACTAAATTATGACAGTTAAGAATATTATTAAAACGACATTAGTTTAAACAATTAAAAATGACACCTACTTCTTTAATACCAATTCCGTAGGTTTGAGGATCGCATTTTTCTCTCAGATTTAATTTATTTACGATTTGCTTGGTTAAATGTCCATGACAACCCTCAGCAAAAATTGTACATTTAGCATGTAATTCCATACCCCGTTCAAAAGTATCTTTAGGTGACCCATCCTTAGCGATTCCTACGTCATTTGTGGCAATACCTTTGATGGAGCCATCTTTGTGATATAAAATTTCAGAAGCACCATAACCTGAATATAATTCTACTCCTATCGCCTCTGCTTGTTCTCCAAGCCATGAGACTACATGACCCAATCTATAATCAAGCATTAAAAATTTATTATATATTATTCTTCTGTATATAAATTAAATTAAATAATATAGAACTGATCTGGTAATTTTTACGATATGCTAGAATATTTAAATATTCAAAACATATATTAACATAGAAAAAAAAACATTTTAGTGTCCGAGGATTAAACGTCTAACTACTATGATCTATTGTTTTTCTAGTGATTTTATTTTCTGTACAATATATCCGCACATTTGCGCTCATAGTACATGTTAAAACTGAATGCTTAAAAATTCCTAATAATCATAAATTATTATAAAAGTTTCTTAATATTATGTTCTGATACTAAAATTGTAAAATTAATTATTGGTCCAACGTTTATAATTTATATAATATCCTACTTGTATAATTCCTTAAATTTGATTAAGCTGAATAAATGTTAAATAAAAATAATGTTTTAATTATGCAAAATGAATATATAGAATTTTAATAGAAAGCAGTTATGAAGACAAGGGGACGTAATATTGAAAACTCAAAATACCATTTTTCCCAGTTATTGTTAAATGACCAGGATAAATTCAATTTTTTAATGACAGAAATGCATCCTTTTCGCACGCGAATAGTATAAATTTATAGGTTTCGCATAATTATTATATAAGAAATTGTATTTTTTAATTTATTAGTTTGTATAAATTTAAAATCAATTATTTAAATTTATAATATCAAATAGAAAATATATATATAGATTATATTGTTATACTAATTAATGTACTAATTTAAATCTTAATTTTGTTTTAAATATTTTTATTCATTATTTCAATAGACAACAGCATGTTTTACTAATGAGTGGAAAATTTTAATAAATTAATATTTAATTGATTATGCAATCCGATCTATATAATAAAATAAATATAATCAAATTCAATATATATAAATTAGAATTTGTTCTTGTATGAAAAAACTGTCTAATGGTATATGTAACTATTACAATAATTTCCATTTTAAATTGTATTTTGGAATACGATATGATTATAAAAACATATATTAAAAAATTTAAATAAATATTGAAATATTATGTTACTGTATTATATAAAATTAAAGAGTAATAGATGATAATCAATATTTTTAATGTGTGACTAAATTATTTAAGTTAATGTTTGTTGATTACTTTCTATGATATTCATTTTATTGCATTTATATATTAATTTTTCAAATATATTTGAATTATTTTTTATATTAAGTCAAGTATAAACTTTATAGTTATTTTTTTTAAATACATAATATCAATGAAAGGATTTAATTTTATTTTTTATATTTATAGATTATTTATTTTAATTATCAAAATTTACATATATGATAGATTAAACAGAAGGTGTAGGATTATATATATAAATTATACATAAATTAAATTTTTTTTTACTACAAGTAATGTTGCAAAGTTTAAACAAATATTTGTATCTGGCTTTATTGCTATAGATTACTGAAATAACAATAATATAAGGTAAATCTGTTAAATTTTTTAATTTATAGACCTAAAACTATCTTTTAAATGTTAAGTCCCAAGTATAACAATATGTGAATTTACATAAAATACTTCCTATTGTTTTACATTTAATAAGTGAAAACAACTTTAAAATTTCATACATGCGATGTAAATATTCAACACAATAAAGAAGATAACCATTATTACTATATTATATTATTTAATTAAACTATTGAATATTATTATTGCAACAGATTTATTTGGTTCGATAAATAACATTCTTATTAAAGTAATAAATTAATTGTTAAAGAATGTAATATCAACAAATGCTATTTATAATAAATGTAATAGTTTTAATAACAAAATTTAAATAATTGCATACATTAAATAATAAGATTTTAATAATTTATTTATATTTAAATTCTTATTAACGTATATATATATATATATATATATATATATATATATATATATATATATATCTTTTATATTTTATATATCTTTCCTTTCTACAAGTTTAGACAACAAGATGAATTATAATGTTAAATGAAAATTTAAATAATGAAATAATATTTTATCGCTTTATTATTTATTTACAAAAAAGATAAAGATACTAGGCTAAATTCAAGAATACTTTATAAAAGCAATTCGAATAAAACAAATCAATGAAATAAAAGAAAAGAAAAAGGATATATTAGAAATGCTACAAATTATATAAAATAATTCATAAAGATACTAAATTAGTAGATAAATATGTATACGAAAATAAGAAAAATTATAAAAGATTTTTTATAAAAGATTAATATAAAAGATTGCTTTATATTAATAAATTACATAACAACTCAATGCCTATATAAAAAAAATAGAAATGTTTAAATTCATTCACACATACTCGGATATCTAGAGGCGTAATTAAAATAACATTAACAGTTGAAGAAAATTGATCACATTATTTCATTTAAACACCTAAATTAAAAAAATTTCAGTCCATGATTTTAGAGACCAATTAATAAGCTGTAAAGTTAATTTATCTCACTTCTTATCATTACAAGGGAATAATGAAAGGAGTAATAAAATAAAACTTACTTTCTTAGTATCAAATTATTTTTCGTTTTTTTCGGAAAAGATAGTAAAAAGTTTATTTATTTTAATATATAAAAAAAAAGATTACATTATTAAATATTATTTTTATTTTTATAATTACTATTTTTTGAATTATGAAAATCTATTTTTCCATACTATTTTTAATAAAAGAATTTAATTTATATTTATAAATTTCGAATTGAAGTTACAATAAAAATGTAATTAGTGAATTTTTCAATATAATTTAAAAATTATTAGAGGATATTATTTGTTGGAAGTACTATTTAGAGGAAAAAATAAGCGAGTAATATTCTTACCTGACAACATAATTTCCATGATTATACATGGGCATTCCCTTAAAAATTGGTATAGGTATGCGTGAATGTTCAGTAAGAAAAGCGAATTTATCTACTGTAACGGGCGTAAGAAGTGGAGCCCCGAGTTCTTGCCAGTTAGGAAAAAGCTCTTGCAAAGCAATTGGATCTATGCAAGCACCACTGAGTATATGGCCTCCGATGGTTGCAGATTTTTCCACGAGTGTCACACGGAATTCTCTACCATATTTTTTAGCCAATTGGCAAGCATGAATAGCTGCCGACATTCCAGCTGGTCCACCACCTACTATTAGGATGTCAGTCTCGTCAACATATCTTTCCATGTTTATTGCTAAAAAATTTGTATATATTAGGATATATGATAATTTAGATAATGACAATAATACTTTAATATATATATATATATATATTAAAGACACAATGACTATTCACATTAATTTTTAATCCTAAAAGGAGTTTGATATTTATATATTCTAATTTTTTTATTTCATTTCATACAGATATGAGGATTTATGTATTGCATACAATTAATACGATTAATTGCATATGACTAAAGTACGATGTTGGTAATAATATTATTATAAAAGTATCAACAAAACATTTAATTAATTTTTTTTCAAATACTTGTATTATTTTAAATCATTAGATTTAAATTTGCTGGATAATGTTAATTATTTTTAACCCTATTGTAAAAAATATTATTTATAGTTTTTTTGTTTTTGTTTTATTTTCTGTTAAAAATTTAAAACCTTAATATTTTACCAAGTAAATGTAATCATTTAAGAATTAAGCAAATGGATAATTTTTTAATAAGATAATATATTTTTATAGAATATCGAAAGAATTATAAGGTAATAGGGAACTATCATTAATTATTCTTCTTAGTTAAGTTAAATTTATGTATCACATCAAATTCAATTGAATATTGAAAGTAATATTGTATTTAAAACATTTTTCAATTATCAATTTATAAAAAATTTAAGTACTTTATTGAATTTATAAATAATTTATTGCAATTATACTTAAATTGATTCTTTTATATTACTTTATTAGTTAAGATTAGTTTTGACAATGTATTATAAGTAGTATAATATAAAGGTATTTGATTTCTAGTTTGTAAATTGATTAACGTATAGAGTATAATAATCAAATAAATTATTTAACACAATGCATTGTCAGTATAATAAACAATTTAAACATATCAAAAACTTTATTAGAATATACATTTTTAGATAAATAATTATAAAAGTGGGAAAAATAAATTTGAAAGACAATTTAGTTCGATAAATTATTGATTGTATACTATTAGACTTATCAATTTTTTTTGTGTTTTATTAACATACCCATATTTATGTATGTATTTCAACTGTAAAACTTCTATATTAATATCATTACTTAAAAAACTTCATTAATCCTAAATTAAGAAATAGAAAACATAAACATTCACACCTAAACTCACATAGAAAAAGTAGTGATGGGTGAATTTACATATCAAGCAATGAAGCACTTATGTATATGCAGTTATACTTTAGTATTCTAGACAAATATGGCTTTAAATAATATTTGTTATAATACACGTATATAGATGCAGTACAACGAGAGCATTTATGCCGTATACTAAATATTAAACTTTTTCAATCTTTCACAACGTTTTTAGTTCTTAACTATAGTATGAAAAGTAATGTAGAAATATAATAATTTTGATAATTAATAATATTTTAATAACATTAGTTAAAACATTTATAACGCTCATGTCTAGGTATATCTATATACTAATCACGTATACGTTAACTGCTGTGTAATTTATATTTTATAATAAATTAAAAAAAATGGTTTTTTCATTTAAAGTCTAATAATAATACCTACAATAATTATAAACAATTATAACTATATATTTCATAAATTTTTAACCATCACTAAGGATAAGTTTAAACGTAGATTATACATTAAAGAATTAAATGATTGATCGTGTTATATTTTATAAATAAAAATAAATAAATATTTTGGACTTAATTTATTATATATTTGTTTTACAAAATTTAATGTTATTTCATCAGATTTCTTGCAAGACTCATTATTCTTATAATAACTATCATATGATTATTATTTGTTTTTTTATTCAATTAAATTATTATTTAATGGGATACAGTTATATATTTTCTAAGATTTTTTTATTTTACTCAAAGTTAATTTTTACTTACATTTTTTAAATATTTAAAGACTGTTAGCTTGTTCTTATTTATTAATAAAAGTAAAGAGATTTTGATTTAAAAATCAAGATAGTCTATATAAAATCTTAACTAAAATAAAATTAAAAAGTATCTCACACTCAAACTTCCATCATTGCATTAATAAGTAATTTTAGTTTAATTCAATATAAATCTTTAAAAGCATAAAATTAACAATGAAAAGCAATTTTATAAATATATAAAACGTATATATAAATTAGTCTGTATTTGTTGTAATAATTCAAAAAGCGTTTCTTTTAAACAAATATCGGTTACTTAAAAAATTTGATTTAAATAATAAATTGATTGGCTAGAAATTATTTAGTTGACGACTTTTTAATCGAAAGATGAGTACATGTGTAGTTGATACCTCGTTATTAAGTGTATTTATTGAGCAGATATATGGGAAATATTAGAAAGTTAAATAAAATAATAAAATATTTATTTTATTTACTTATAAAAATCGGCTATGAACCAAACATTATGTACATTATATAGCCAGCAAAAACTAATTCAAGATAATAATCTCAATAACGTATCAAACATTAAAAAAAAATCAGTTAATAATAAAGAGTCATTAATTACTCAAGTAATGTCAGGGCTCAACATACATACCATTAAACATCCAATTAATTTTTATATGTATGTATTAATACATGGAAATGAGAAACCTGTTATATTTCAAGTTTCAATTAAAATTTGTAAACAATTTTTATGATACTTTTGAAAAAGAAGATAATTGTTAATAACCCTATGGAATGACAAAATTCTATAGTTGATTAAATAATTCAAATGTACAATATTAATTTTAACAGATGTGTAAGTCTCAATAAAAAGTTTTTCCACTAGAAATTCCTTATAGATTCATGAACTATGTAAACCCTTAATATAATATCTTCTGCTCCTACATATCATAATCATAAAGATAGTCTCAATCTCTAATACAAAAATTTTGCTATCAAAATTAAAGTTATTAATACATATGAGTCATTTATAAATTGCTTATAAAACTCAGTTAACATTAATGTAGGTAACACATATCACCAGTTTCTAAATCTATTAAATTATTTCTACAGGCGAAGCTTGCAAATTCTGATACCAAAACAGTGATTATGATTTAAATTATATTAGAAAGTAATTGAACCATTCATTAATTACTAAAAATGAAATTTTGCCATTAATTGATACAGAGCATTGTTCTAATTAATAATTGATTAATAATTAGACTGAATAATTGATTCATAATTGGGCCAAATAATACTTGATCAGTTAAAGAAAAAATTATTTATGAATTATAAAATACCAACAATACATAAAAGTTATCAACAAATTCAACAATTGAAACAAAAACTTATATTATGATTTATAACTTCAAGTAAAAATAGTATTATAAACTAATAAATAATATTTATAAATATATAAATTTACAATTGAAAGATTTAACTTTACAACTAAATATTTATTTAAGCTTCAAGTTAAAAATTGATCTATATAAAAGATTCTTATATTCTGATATAAATCACAATTACCCTTCCATCTTGGATCATTTTTACGAGACTTCACAGTGTAATGTGTTGTAATTTTTGGGAACACAGCATCAGAATAGGCTCTTGGAAACCAATGCTTTAAAGTTGTCACTATAAGCACATGCAAAAAAATGTTTAAATTTATCATATTGTACTTGATAATTATATTGATTGTATTTATTCTAGTTGAAGCTCATATATTTAATGTATTTTTATACTTAAAAATGTAGCTCTTTATCTTATTATTGATATAAAGAAAAACTAGAATTATTTTTAATTTTACAGATTGGAAAGTGTAATATTGAACTATTTAATATATACATTTTTTCTTTAAATCTTCTTATTAAAACTATGAATTTATATATTTAAAAAAAAAAATAAAAAATTAAAATGTTATATATTAATAGTGTTAGTTATATAATAAATATGTTGACACAATCATGGATGCGGCAATGTCTATAAAAAACTTGCTTATGAAATCATATTTATTTATTAATCAATTGATAATAAAGTTTGCTTAAAATATTTATTATACTTTAATATAAAGAAAATAAAAGAAAAACAAATTAAATTTACACAACTACATTCTGTTCCCAATTCTCTATTTGATAATCAATATTTGGAAATAAATGTTAATGTTTCCTATTTAATAAAATATAAAAATAACAATTATTTGCTGTTAGAGAATAATTAATAGTAAAATTAATGATTTGGTTGGACTATAACATTGAGATTATTTCAATTTACAAGTCTATTTAACTTAATTAATAGAGTAATGGTATTGATATACCTAAAATATAATTTAAAAAAAAGTAAAATAATGTTTTCATCTCACCAATTTTCTTTGCATTGAAAATGGTAGGAACCATGCTTTAATTCACACAATAATAAAGTAGCAATGTCTACACATGCAATACGTTTTTCGTAAAATCTTGTTATTGTTCCACTAATTTCTTGTGTTAATTTAATCTGGAACAAACCTATAATTTAAACAGATGTTGGTAAATTATTGCATATCATTTATTAACTAATATGTATTTATATACTTTAAATCTTATTCTTATTCTTGTATTTAATCCACGCCCCTTTGCGACGTCATTTATATGATCAATCCAATATAGTCAGTATTTTAAGTCCAACATTAAAAACACGAATTGTAAAGCACGAAAATGTTTACATTAAATCCAATTTTATTTTAGAAAAACACTACTATTCTTTAAAATTTCGATATTCTATATCCTTTCAAATATAATTAATTTACAAAAAATTTTATTTTTTATTTCAAATTAAAATCAAATACTAAATCTGAATATAATTCATTTTTCAAAATTATTTATTTATCAATAATTACAAAATTAATTAAAAATAAAATGCTGTTGTTTAGATGCAATATATCTTATTGATTAAAATTATAATTTTTTATTATCAAGCGAAAATGTCTCAATAGGTAGTTAATAGTTAAATAACTGTTTAAATTTAACACAACATATTAATAATATTAGTTTTAATAATTTTAGAAGAAAATATGAATTTTAATATGTATTATACAAATCAATTAAAATTTTTTATAAATTAGAATGTGTATTTTTATATCGACGATTTATATTAATACTTTTTTTAAAAAGATTTTAATCCAAATTTTAATATGCTACTTATTTTCGATACATTACTTGAAAAAATAACTAAACTGTTATTTATTTTAAAATATTATGTTTCTTATATTATATTAAATTGATATTAGGTAATGGTGCCTTAGTATCCACTACTAGATACAAACAAGTATTATTCGACTTTCCTGATTGTTATACTAATTTATTTTATTTATTTTTAAATATTTATTATTCATTAAACGTAATGTGCATAACGTGATAAAATGTCAAAATTCAAAATAGTCGAACGTACGTAATTTTTCCATTCTACTTAAAAAATATATATCAAATAAGGATATTGAAGTCTTTTTTTTTAATTTAAATAATATAAGTACATAATTTAATCAAGTACAACATTATTAAAGCTTGTTTGAATAAATAATAGTTAAAATAAATAAACGAATTATATTAATTTTATTAAATCACAGAGTAGTAGTCATAAATAATTTTTATCATTGTAATAAAACTAATTTTTAGAAAAAATATCTATTTTCTTATTTTTGTAAAATAATTATTATTGAGGGTGTATTTATTAATTTATTTAAAGATAAAATTAAATGTGTATCATTCAATAAATACATAAAACATGAAAAGTAAATAACTATAGGTTATAATTATAATTGCTTAAATTGTAAATTATGTAATTAAACTTTGAAGTTTTTATTTAAAATGGTAAAAAGACTATAATTGAAAATTTTTATTTACAACAAGTATTTTTAATTTTTTTAACTATAACTATTATCCTTTGTAATTAAAAGATTTTTTGTATAAAAATATAGTTTTGTTAATCAATTATTAGTTTTATTAAGAAATTTTAATAATTATAAATATAAATAAATAATTATTGACTATTTTATAATTATATTGTAACAAAAATTAATGAATTAAAATTTTTAGGCCATTCAAAATCATGGAATTTATTCATTCAAACAGATTCAATTATATATATGGCCTACTATTGAATGAAGTCTTAATGTGATAGCTATTAGTTTGAATGCTTCAAAAAAGTCTATTGGTTAGATCATTCCAATAGATACTTAAATAGTTGATAATGAAGAAATATAAATTATATTTATGAAGAATTAAAATAATTGTAATGTAAATATATATCTATATGTATATTATTTGATTCTCTAGATTATATTATATAATCACTTAAATAAGATTATGTAAAATATAAAATATCTTGCATCATTGAATACATTAACAGAGAAGTAATAATTGATAAAATTTTTATACTATAAATAAAGCAATGGAGAACATTTATATTTCTTATAATTTGATTTTATAGACTATTTATAATAAATTTCATATTATATCTATAGAACCAGTTATATTGTCATATTTACTTAAAAGATAAAAGTATTTCAATAAATTAAATTAGTCAGTTATCTTTTTCAGTTACAGATCAAACAGATATTTTATTAACCAATTATTTATATGCAGTATAAATAGTAACAATTATTTTAAAAAACAATATGAAATGATTGATTTAAATTAAAAAAAAATTTTTTTAATTGATATTTAATAAAGTATTATACAATTATTAATAAATATGGTCAAATTTTGTAATATAAATTATAATAATAGTCATGATTATAATTATAAATATTACAAATAGAAATTATAACTGTTGCAGAATCTTTTACTAATCCTTAATTAATATAATTAATTTATGTGAAAATATTGTGGAAAATCCATATATTTCTATTGAATTATTTATTATAGCAGCTGTATTTTTATGTAAAAAAAAGAATATTGATTCATAATTCAGATAAGAAAAATATGACATTTTAAATATAATATATTCATTAAATAATCATTAATAATATTTTATCGAATTTAGAAATTACACGAGATTATTTCATTTACATTTTAACAAGATTAAATTTAAAATTATCTAATAATAGGGGTAGAATAAGTAATGTTGGAAATTTAAAAATATTTTTAATTTTAAATTAATATGAAGAATAATTCCTTTGAAAAAATTATTATTTGTAGAAGTTTAACAGAGCAATTAATTTAATGAAAATAAATTATCCTCTTTGTGATTCTAACAATTTTGGATGTGCAAAGAAAATTGTTTTTTATATAACGAACTAAAATTACATCTTACATAATGAATACACTATACAGTTCAAATATTACAGTTTATAAATATCAAAAATTATATATTAAATAAAAGAATTATTACATTGCTATGTAAAATTTTAGAATAACCTTAAAAAATCAATCAATATTATTTTTAATCAAAGAACAAATTATTTTTATATAAAAATTTAGAAAAAATTCTGAGAAATATAGTTTATTACAAGAGAGTGTTAACAAATATTCATGTTGGTATAATTTTAAATTACAAATATTAAAAAAAATTTCTTAACAGTACAAGTATTAAGTTTTATAGACAAAATGTAAAACAGAAAATCTGAAACTGTTTGATTGTGCTTATGTAGATAATGAACAAATATTTGAAAAATAATATAAGGATATTAATATTTAAAGAAAAATTTTATAGAAATCATCTTTATAATATAATTTCTAATTAATCAAAATTAACAATAGTTTTCTTTATTTTTTATTATTATTAGTTTTTATTATTTTTTGTCAGAATAATTTTTAAGATATTGAATTGTATAGAATTCAAAGAGAATTTTTGTGATATAAACAAGATACTCTAGATATTTTTTTTTAACAAATATTTCATCTATTGATAATTAATATAAATGGAATAAAATTAATATGAATTTTTTAAAAATTGATTTACAATAATTATAATGAAAAAACAATTAATATTTGCAAAGATAAAATACATTCCTAATTATTTTTTATTTTTATATGAGAAAATATTTTTTAACATCATTTTTCAAAATTCATAATAACTATTGCATATGTTCATGTTTAGAAACTTTTTACTAATTCTCTAAATATTCATTGTAACATAATATTATGTTAGAATTAATAACAATTTTTAAAAGAATTTATATTAAATAAATTAGTTATTAAAGAATATTTTGTAAAGTTATCCATATACAGTTGCTTATATATATTACCTAAAACATTAAGATTGATTTTCATGTTTTGTATCATTGCCACTTCAATATTCTCACGTTAAATTGCATGTAGTTTGTATTACTCCATTCAAAACGATGAAAGCTCCATTTCTTCAGAATTGTGATAATTTAAAAGGTCTACATCATTGTTATTTGATTAAAGTACATGGTTTGTACATTCATTTTTGAGATAAGTATTATTATTAATTAATATCTGTTATGTATAGATTATATTTAATTGTTTTATTTAGTATTATAATTTTAAGAGCATTCATTAACTCGTATAAGATTATGTAATAATATATCAAATACTTACAAAGGATGTTTACCCTTGGAGACGGTTAAAATTTTCAGGAACATTTTTTGATTTGTTAATAAATAAACAAATTTACATCAGATATATTAATACAGAATATTATTAATTTTTTTCAGTACTTGGTCATTTGTATTAATTAATTAAATACAAGCGAAAAAAACTTCATTTGTTAAAAATATATCTAAAATAAAAATAATAATACTTTGGTAATTTTAGTAGTACTACAGTAACAGAACATTAAATAATTTAAATATTTTATATTGTTTTGTTAACAGAAATTTAGAATATAATTGAAATGTACAAAATCA